CAATTTAAAGTGAAATATTCAAAGATATAAAGAGAAATTAATGAAAGATGAAAAGGGAAAAGATAGCTAAAAGATTGACGGTTGAACGAACTTTAGTCGAATATTTATACAATGCATATTTAATTATAATAAGTTTTTAAAAACTAAATATTCTCTCATTTCTTCGCAAATTAATTCAATTAATAACGGCGCATTTAATCGGCACCAGCCGAGTGCCAGCAAACGAGCGCCCTGGCACCGACCGATGGCGGTCGTTTCGAACAGTAGATAACAGTTGAAGCTGAAAAAATTTGCTGCTCGTGAGATAGCATGGGGGGCTTGGTTTGGTGTTGGTGCAGGAATGCGTGCGCCGTCCTACTGATGCGTGATGAATGAGCTTGTTTATGCGGAACTGAAAATGTGATTAGGTGTAGAAGGTGCTAATAGCCCAATACACTACTACCTAGAGATTTATATATACAGGATATATATATGTTTCTGGCTTGGACGGGAAATATAAGAAAGAGAGTAAAAGGAGGAAAGAGTGAATGTATTTAAAGAGACTCGAAAGAAAGGAATTTTTACCTTTCTTCACTTAATAACGTTTATGTAAGATAAAAAGAAGATGAAGAATTTTTTAAGTGGAGTAAGATATTTTCTCTACCTCCTTATAAATAGGGGGAGGGGGGAGTGGTGGTGATGGAACGTAAAAGAGAAGAAGAAGCCGAAGCGTTCAATTGCTCACCGCATTCCAAAGCAACAGACGGTCATTGCACAAAAGATTCTATTGTCATCCCAATAATTACAGCAATTAAACAAATGATTGTTTAGTCTCTAACCGACCTCAACCATTTGTTGAATGCTCACTCATCACTCGCTGCCATTGGTGCTGACAGCTGAGCATTATAAGATGAAGGGCCCGTTGCGGCCCAATCGTGTACTCCTTTTCTCCCTCTCTCCCTCTGTCCCTCTGTCCCTCTGTCTCTTACCTATTCCCTATTCGTTTATATTCCCAAAGCGGCGCTTTTCAATTTCGAACATAAGTTAGACGCTAGTGAAAGCTAATATCTTATAGAAAAAAAAAGAAAGATTAACCACACCCAAAATCCTCAGACCAGGTGCGTATAAATATGAAATTATCCTCATCTTCTGCGCGCAAAGCCTTAGAAGAGATCAGAAGACTACTAATCACAATTACACTTTTATATTCAAAGGTTTGATCGTTCTTGTGGAACAATTCACTTTTTTTTATATCCTAGTGTGTAAACTATAACATTATATATTCACTATCCGATATATTAGAACATTAAATGATACTTATCCAACAAAAAATAGCAGTAGAAGAGATCTACCCCAACTAGTAATAAAGTAAAATGCAACCATCTGTGAAATATGGTCAGGTCGACCTATTTTTTACCTATTTTTTTTTTTGCCTTCCTGCCCCCCTCCCCTATCTTTCCTCCTCTCCCCCCCCTCTTTCCTCTCTTCCTTCTACTCCTTCTTCTCCACCTACTCTTTTTTTTTAATTTGTTCCATTCTAATCTCTCTATTTCTTATTTTCTTATCCTTTGCCTATTCATTTATTTTTTTTATAGGCTTTCGTTTTTTGTCTACCTTAAAAGTACATGTTATAAGCAGGTGCCGAAAGATTATATGAAATGACACGTTGTCAAAATGATTATTTGTGAAAAATTCAGTTAGACGTCGAAAATGGCGTCCAACACGGATAAATGACACACTTTCGGCTCAATACTAGCCAATTTTCAACTAGGTCGACATGCCAATCGAACGTCACGCAAATAATTTTGAGTTGGTAGACTTCTCTCTCTCTCTCTCTCTCTCTCTCTCTTCCTAACTGTCACTATTTCTTTATCTTTTACTTGCTCTTTCTGGTCTATTCTCTTTGTATCATTTGCTCTCTATCGATTGTTATCATGAAGATAAAGTTTTTTTTCTACTGTTTCCAATTTTCTTTCCCAATTTTTAACCTTTTCTCTCGAAATAATTACTTTTTTTTCACTAGGACTTTTCCATCGACTACAACGGAAATAGAAGACTATACAGTATAACACATATACGGCTGCAGCTTTGCGGTGTAAGCTCGCTTTGAGCATCTAAACTTCCGCACCAATGGTTCCTCTTAGCTCCATGAAATTGCTATAGTATATTCATAAAAGTTTAGCAGCCAAGATATGATATTTTCTTTGAGACTGGAGAGAAGATTGAGAGAGCAAGATTTCGAGATGAATTGACTTAGGAATGACATAATTTTCCATACAGTAATATACACAGTATACACCACGGTATTTTGATATACTGTATAGAGTAAATATACCTTTAGCATATGATATAGCATTTAAGAGTATATTGTATAAATATATATAAATATTCTTATATTCTTACATTTAAATAGAAAAATAACGGTTGCGGCTTTCCTAGTCATGCTTGATTTATACAATAGAAAAGGCGAGCAGTTAGTGCTAAAAGGAATGAGGAATTATCTACTGTTTTCAGCCTATATACTTATAGACTTTAGTACAAGAGCTGAAAAAATTTAGGGTAGAGATTTGCATAATCGCATTGGTCATTATCTACTACTAATCTCTCTCAATGACCCGTACAGTAGCTCGCCACCCACTGTGGAACGATTTATAGTCGAAGCGCCCTAATCATTATAAGCATCTGTTATATATTGGAAGGAAAGGGCATCTGCCGCTTTTCGCTTTTGACCGACGGTCAAAGGAAACGTAATGTTCCGCCGATTAGAGGAAAGCCATCAAGAATCCGGAAATATTTTGCTGCATTCAAGCGTTCGCAGGTGGGTGGCAACCTCGGACCGCCTATACTAATGGAACGAAATTCGATTTTATACAGTCGGCTCACGCCGACGAGTTGCGAGGCTAAGTAATCTACTTTCGGCTAATCTTTCAGCTTGATTTAACGCCGCATCAGTCGGTTTTGCGGTGGAAAAGGGGGCGGTCTGTACAATAAAGTTCGAGAGAAGAATCAGATTGCTTCCCTCCCCCCGCAGCCCCTATTCAATCTGACTATCTCTCTTGCACGGCCGCTCGCTGCTTTCCAAGCCTCTCTCTCTCTCTCTTCTGAACTGTTTTATTCATTTGTATCTCTCTTACAAGTCTATTTTTTCCCTCATTTAGGCGAATGCAGAAAAGAAATGTACCCAAGTGAAACGAAGAAAATAATGAGGATCGGTATTGGTATCGGCAACCAATCGTGCCGTTGTCAAACTGCAAAACTATCCGACACCGTTTTCCGCGCGATCAGTCGAGCTGCACCTTTCCGCTAAACTGCATCGCTCTTCTCCCCACAAACGCGGAAATGTCACGGAGAGAGGCGTTACATAAAATCATGCGCCGTTGAGCAGGCGTGAGCCGTAGACGCCGTTAAGGCATGTGTAATTGGCGTCGATTTTTTTTTCTCTTTTGGTTACCCCTCTTACTTTTCGTAACAATCAGGTAAAGGGAAGGGAGATAGGAGTGGGGGGTGGGATGGGGGTGGGGGGGAGTGAAAAAGTAACAGGGGGGTTTGATAGAGAACATAAGTATAGTTTGAGCGCTGTATGCAATAAACTAAGCGCTCTTTTTAAGCGCGAAATAACCGCAATGCTCGCTGGACGGACAGAGTAGGCGAAACGGCATCTGGCGCCTCTGGAGAGCTAGGCAGTTGAATGAGCGCAGCGATGAGCCGAGAGAAATAATGATGTCGAAATTTCACAGACGCTAATCTGTTCAAGGTCGTGGAAAATTAACCGGCACCTGTTTTGTAGATTAGATTTGAAAATCAGGGAAAATAATGAATTGTATGGTCGGTAGGGAAAATAGGCGTTTTTTTTAGATCAAATCTAGTAAAAAGGGGAAAAGAACTAGGGAAAAGAATTAAGTTCGAAAGAACTGCACACTTAATCAAGATGACCAGCCGACCGAAAATGGCAGCAAACATTCGCCGCCAAACAACAAAAAGACAAACGTCAAGCATGTCAGCTTGTAGGAAATTTCTCATCTATTCTCTTCAGTTCGCGGACGTTCTCTTTTTGCCTCATTGACTGTTCGCCGCACTTTTTTCTCAGAGCGTTTGATCTAGAACAGGGTCAGTAACATGACGACTAATACTTATTGTGAAGCTCACGTGTACCGAATGTCGTTCGGTCAGATGAACATGCGAGAGCGCTCATTAAAACTGTTCATCCCGACAAGTAGCGGCCAGGGTCTAAGGTTCATTTTCTCTCCAGGGATGTTCGACAGCTTTTAAGCGAATAATACTCGAATATATCTGGCCCTCGGCTATTACTTTTTTCGTTTACTTATACATGCTCAACTTGTTTTCTTTTGTCCAAATTTCCCTTTTTTCTTCTCTTCAGTTGATCTCTTCTTTACGAGACTGTAGATGGCGACACCAACCGAGAAATACAATTCAAATTTAGCGCCTATCTTCCATGCAAAACGATAAAATATTCCAACCGGATACGGAAAATGAGACCAGTTTAACCATGACCTTGTTTATTCAAGGCAATCGCGCCACTTTCGAAACGATGAGCTAACCTGGATTTACTTATATTTTATTATGATAAGCAGATGTAAAAGGAAAAAAGTGACTGCGCAATTATCTTAATAGTCCATTTAGTTTATTTTTATTTAAGTGACAACTGTAGCGATGTATATGGTATGCAAATATTAAGCTGAATTATTTATAGCATAGACACCAATTCAAATACATATTACTGTAGAATTTTACTATTACATGAAATATATATGTATATGTAACAATAATTAAGGTATGAAGCACCAGCAAAATGCTATTACAAGTGGTTCAATATTTTAATGTTTCCAATCAATCAATCAACAATTTATAAAACAATAAACGATCAAGTGTAAAAAAAAAACAGAAACAAAGAAGGAAAAGGAGGAGAAGAATAAGAAGAAGGAAAAGGAATAGAGTATATAAAACAAACATTTTAATTATACAAATATAAAAACCATGCATTTTTGGTTTCTTATGATTTCTTTTTTTTGTCTATTAAAACTAGAAAATATAATGCAATAAAGGAATTAGGATAATATATAAAAAGATTAATTTATAAAAGAACGTAACAGTTTCTTTTTAATATATATATATATATATATATAATTCTTTATTCTTCATTTACTTCATCTTCGCACATCTTATAAGTGTCGTGTAGTGGCTCAGAAACAATTTCTTTTTTGTCCAAATCTTCGTAATCTAATTTTAAAATTTCAACCTCTTCGCAGAATCTTGTACATTTCTTTCCGGATCCATCGTTACTGGAATCGGGTGATCCGCTCTTCTTTAGTATTGTATTTACGCAAGATTCTAAACTGTACGGTACTCCCTGAGTCCAACTATCGGCGGAAGTTTTCCTCTCTTTGGAATGGCGGTCGTGTCGGTTTTGTGTTTTGACGGATGAATCAGATTTTGAACGGAAAAGTCTGTTGACTATTTTCGTAAAGGTTGGTTGCCTATCCAGTGAATTTGAACGGTTTCTCTCTTGTTGTTTTTCAGTTGTTTCCTTTTCCGAATTGAACACATCATCTTCGATTCTTTCTTGCGCTTCTAGCATTCGTCTTTGTTGCTTTTCAACGTAATCTTTAGTAAACTTCCTTATAACATGCGGATTTGTGTTTTCCTCGCCAACATTATGATCGTCCTTAACAACCCTCACCCATCGCCTTTGTGCCCTGACAGCCGGTTCTCTCTTCTTTTGAACTTCCTCAACAGGTTTATTTCTAAAGATTTTTCCAAACAATTTATTATGAGTCTTCTTTGCTTCGCTAGCAATCGGTAATTCGACGCAACTAACCATTCTCCTGTAATAAAAAGTCAAAAGAGGCACATTTAATCAACGAATTAATTAAATCGATATGCTAATTTATGCATAGTTATGTCAACTGAATATTAATAAGTAAACTAATTATAAACTAACCCTACATAAGGGCTGAACATAAGAACGTCCATCTTAAATCTTAAAATATTTCTATCGTATTGTTATTGTCTGTCTCGAGCAGAATCTGATAAAAGTATGTTAAGGGAGAAGTATCTACAATCTTTTTATAACAATTTTCAGAACAACGTAATAAACTATCAGATTATCATACTTTGATTTGCGTTGGCCTATATAAAAATAAAACTTGTTGATCAGAAACAATGTAAATAGCGGATGATATCGGGGACATACAAGGAATCTTATACCGGATCCTAAAATTTGTCATATGTACATTATTTTTTTTTTATCCACCTACTAAACAAAGTATTTTGTACTTTGTTATGTTTTTCCTTGTGCAATTGATTAAAAGTCTAAAAAAAAAGAAGGGCCTCTCTAAAGATTAAGGCGGGACTAACCTAATACTATTTTTAAGTTTTTTAAAAACTTTCAAGCTCTAATTTTACATTACAGTTTTAATAAAAAGGGATTGGCGAACAAAAGAAGGATATTAACCTCATTCATATTCAGCTTATAGAGTATATACTCTATATATATATATATCTCTCTCTTATCATATACATATTATGTCTTAAAAATGTCTCTTATCAGAAAAAGTATCTAAAAAAAAACGGACGGCCTTAACAGCTTTTTTTTTTAAATGTAAAATTAGCGCTAACTCATTAAATACGTGTTCCACGAATTAGCATTTAATTATAGATCTTAATCTCTCAATTAATGCGAAACTAGTATCCTTTCTTCTTTAATAGAGACAATTTAAAGATAATTTTAAAATATACGTAAGCATAACACCGTCTTACTAATCAGCTGATCAGCCGCATTCCACGTGATATTTAACATGTATACAAGGTTTTTCTATGAAGAGAATAATAAAAAAATCTAGTTCTGAACGTCTAATTCTTATTCGATTATTAACAACATCGACTTTCTAGTAAAATCTTATCTCTACCTAGATTAGATAATGGATTACAGATCGTTAAAAACTCACCCTACAAATAATAAACAAAAAGATATGTAGGCCTTCTTAGAATGAATATCTTCCAATCGTTTCTAACAATAGAAGCCGGGTCTTCCAACGTAAACACAACCGTTGAAAGTAGGTAAATGCCTTCCAAAATCTTTATTAACCTTCTTATGGTAAATGTATTTCATAAGATATTGCAATTTCAGCGGTTAAACGCGATTCAAGCTTGCTTTCTTTCCAAATGATTATGGCAAAACCCAAGTCATAGTCATTTCACGTTTCTTCCACGAGCTCGGTTGCTGATCCGTAAGCGCATGCGTACTTATTAATATTCATATGAATTAACATATAAACAGGCCTACTTCTTTAGAAAATATCCAAATACCAAACAATCCCTGTTTCGAGGTATTAGATTATTATTAAGAAATTCAAATGGGTTTTTTGTTCTTCTTTTCTTAAAAATGATATATTTATCTGGATTGATTATGAATAGTAGAGATTATTAAGTCATTTGTTAAATACATTCTAAAGATAAACAGGGGTAAATTACAGCAAAATCGTATGAATCAGAGAGATTCCTTTGTAAATAGGTTATATAATATACCAATACCATATGCAAACATCAACATTTATTTCCTAGATATTATCCTCTTACTAGAAAGAGGACAAGAGAATGTTGTTTATTACGTAATTCTAATTGTTTGTCTAGTTTATTCTCATACATTTATATCATATTTTTAACTGTTGATCGAAAGATTACAACTGATTTCGATTATTTTCAACGATTTCCCATTATATCTAATATGGAATAAGGATAAGGATGACTATGTTCATTATCTTTTTAGACAAAATATCTCGGTTGATTATATTGTTCCTTTTTATAAACTTAAAAGGAAAATTCAACGAAAGACTTTTTCATTTCAATGTGCTGACTTAGTTCTCTTTTATTCTTTCATATTTAGCAATTTAACAACCTTGAACATATTCTATAATATATTTCTATAACAAAGGTAACATATACAGTATGTAAATTTATATACTGTATATATGCATATATAATAATTTCAATTTCATATTACAAATATAGCCCTGATCCTAATCTAAACTATAAAAATAAATCCTTATATAAATAAGTATTTTGTTAAATTTCATTCTATATATCATTTTTATTTTTCATACGTTTTTAAATTGCAAAAAATATGTCTATCTTCAACTATTAGAAGATAGCTTTCTTCCTAGTTTCTTTTCTAAACTTCCTTAACAATAATGGTATTAAATTTATTTATTTTATCTCTTAAAGATTTATTTATTTATTTATTTGTTTTTCAAGGTTATAGCATTGTATCTGTGTGAGTATTTTCCCCTCCTCTCTCTCTCTCTCTCTCTCTCTCTCTCTTCACCTCGTTACATATCTAAATCTACATCTATATCCGGATATTCTTAATGGGTTTATGATAAAGAAAGCCTTAAGGAATCTTAATATATCATTATCTTTTAGATAATTTTAATTTAGCCGATAATTAAGATTGTCAACTTTATTGATGCTTGAGGAATAACATAAGAACTACCTTTCTCATTTATTTATAAAATAGAATACTTTTCGATAGTCGGAATGCAGTGTCCGTAAGAGCAGCTACCTTAAACGTTCTCGCTATCTCTTACCAATAGTGTTGGGTTGTTATTCATTCTTTATCTTGAAAGAATGTTATTATTCTTCATTATGCGGATATATTGAATTCTTTTAATACACACATACACACACATATTTATAAATTATACACACAAAAACCACAAAATCGCATAAAAGAACCAGAAAAAAGAAAACAAATAAAAAGCTTCTTTTCCTTTTTATAAATTCAAAAATTAAATAGAGCGTATTGGTGAAAAGAAGAGGAGAGTTTCTTAAAAGACCAATGTGACATTGAAAAAATAAAAGAAGTTTTTAAACAAGATAGGCCTTAGAAGGATAACGTGCCCAAATAAAAAGTTGATTTAACAAAAAAGAACGAACAAGAGAAAATTAGGGCGTATTATTTAGAGATATATCGCGCCATTTCATTTGAACAATAGCAGACGCATTAATTTTAAAGCGTAAACATGGCAATAAAACGAAAAATAAGATGAAACGTATTTTTGTTACTTGAGCGTATAGTTTCTACGTCAGTTGGACTCTAAAATATCAATATATTACGCATAAATAAATAAAAATGGGAAAAAAAAAACAAGACTAATTCTATACTTTCAAAAGAGAAACGTCATTCAACTGAACCACATTTTCTCTTAGTGTTTACAGCACGGTATAGAATCCTAGTCATAATCGTTGCACGCTCCTTTCACGAGCCCGTGAAAAGTCTCTCAAAGCGCATGCGTGCAAATAAATATTCAATTAATTTAGCATAACCAAGGTAGATACATTTGGTTATGATACAATTGCATGAGCAACAAGCAGCAATCCCCTAAAATACCAAACATTCATATCAATTCTCTTTATCATAATTCTTGTATTCTATTTTTTTATGTATATATCATAATACTTCTTTTATACATATATGAACATATATATTTATTTATATATATGCAAATAGCATTGTTTCTACAGATGTAATTCTAGTAGTTACAGGCGAAAGTGATTAGAATTTCTTGGATATAGGATATGGTCGATTGGAAGAGACCAACACGGTTTTCCATCCAAGCCGATTATGTAGAAAGCGTCGAAAAGTTTACCTCGTACTTGAATAGATCCTCGAAGCTTTTTACCCTCTGTATGACTTTGAACTGGAAAATTAAATTCGTAGTCGCCACTCTGAACCCAACCAAACAAACCACCAGATAGTGAATTAATATTTTGAATTCCCTTTCTTTGATCGAACAAGACGTCAATGTAGTAGCCCCAATCCTTTTGCTTTCTTACTATCTTAATACCATACAAGTCGTTTACACCCAAAAGCACATAGAATAGCGAATCTTTTTTCGCAATGGCAATCCCTTTTTTAAACAATTTCATACCATCTCCCGCCGACCAGCTCATCTTCTTTTCACCAACAACCCCGTAATCGGCAGAGATAACAATTCTATCTTTTCCGCTAATTAGTATAACTTTATGAAAATAATAATCGTCTTTTAATTCGGCCATTACAGTTGCTTCCGATGCTCTATCATCAATTAATGTAAAAACATCACCAGACTTGCCAATAAGATCATAACAAAACTTCTCCTCACTCTTCAACAACTTTTGAATTATATGCGGATCGCCTTCAATAACATTTTCAGGGCCTTTTTCATAATCGGCTCTACATATTAAACCATCGGCGGTAGCATTATTACTTGTCGTCATAATTTGAGTTTCAACAATTTGATAAATGTTCAACGTTGCCTGTGTATAATCTAGACAAGATGGAAATACTCGACCATATATAATGCCATACATCATTTGATCAAATATCATTGTCTCGTTCCCGAAACGCTCCCATTTCCAATGGTTGCCATGTTTCGACATACCAAACCAGAAAGATAAATGATCAACCGAAGTAAATTTTTCGGCATGTGAACTTCGAACAATTGACTCAACATTCTGCATTTGAGATACCGAATCAAAAAACGCCAACTTACAAAACTGTGTAGCCGTCTCTCTATTATTTACGATTGTTCCTCCCTAAATATTTTTGGTCGTTTAATTATTTTTATTACAATAAAAAAAAATAAATGAAAAATGGAGTCATTCAAAATTCGTACCTCTTTAATATACACAATTCTGAAACAACCACCCTCTACTTCTTGGTAATATTGAGGGCATTTTAGGCTTTCACTTCCAACGACTGTACATTCGAAAGGGGGGAATATTAATAAGGTTTCCAAATAGATAAATTTGTATTATATTCATAACTTACCTCCTATTAAAAAGACGAAACCTAACAGAAATTTCAACGAAACCATTATTAATACTTTTTCCCAACAAAAAAATGTTTAAAAAAGTCAAACAACCAACAAGTGGTCTTCCTCCAATTGCCAAAATTCGTAAAGTGAACCTCACCGTTAATACCTGCCCGCTTTTATAGACAGCGAGGGGTTCTATATGTTTTTAATGTAGCTACCTATTGAGTTCCTTCACTTGGATGAGTAAAATCTTCTTATTTAAAAACAACTCATTATTGTACCAAATAAAGGATGATGTTTAATAAATATATCTATATATATATATATCAATCTTTATTTTTTTAAATAAAAACTCGTTAAAAACCAGAAAGACTAACCTAAAAACTGGAAACAATGATAAGGTAGATGAACAGATGAAAAATATTTAAGGGATAGGGAAAAAACGATTTTGAGCAAAAAGAAAAGAAAGAAAATAATCCAAGACTTTTTAAAGTAACAATTCAATAGATTGATATTACACAACAGTATTTTAATATGTTCATAATCGGAACGAATCGGAACGCTCTTTCATGGAAAAAAAAAATATATATATATATATATATATGAAAAATGCAGTGACAAAGAAAAGCAAAGTAACTCCAGTTATAAAAGAATATATATGTCCTTTTTTTTTCTTTTTTTTTGACAGAGATATCCCTCTCTCTCTCCCTGTCCTCTTTACAACACGCCCTTTCTTTAGCATCTTCATAAAAGATTTAATATTGAAGAGGAAAAAAAAGAAAAACCCAATTTATAAAATATAAATAACAATTTTCGATTTGTCCTTTTTTTTCATTTTCTTTTTAATTCTAATTTCATAAAGAGTAAGAAAATCTGATTGATAATTAGTGGCTTTGCCATTCTTCTTTTTATCTGTCCATAGGGACTAGTGCTTCACTGGCTTCACTATTCTCTCTGGCCGATAACGATCTGGATCTCCTCATTTCAGTAGTGTCTAAATTATTATTTTGGGTTGTTAGGGTTAACGCCTTCTTACGTATAACTTGAATTGTGTAGATCACAAAAGCGATCAATAAGAAACCAAGGAAGATATAAAATTTCACCCTGATGCATAAATATCTGGAATAAGCGTAGGCGATGCACTGAACTAATGCATTGAACGATTGTTCTAAACCGTAAGCTTCAGTTTTTCTATCCTTGAACCAAAATCCGGCCAATGCTGTTTAAAAATAAAAAAGAGGAGAATATATAGAGTTTTAAGAATAGGTTTCAAAATCTTTTTCCAATTAGATATATGGAGAAGCTATGGCAAGAAAATATAAAGAAAGACAAGAATAAAGACAAAAAAAACGGATTTAAAAGGAAACGGAAGAAATCTGCTAATAGTTAATGAAAAAAAGAGTACAAACTTTGTTTAGCCGGAAGTAGGATGCCCAAAGCTGCACCAATGGAGGCAGATAGAAGTAGAAGCGAACTAAACATTTCAGGTCCAGTTTGTAGAAATAGACCAGTCAAAGCAAAAGCAGCTAAAACACAAAAGCCAACGAAAACCATCACAGAGGATGGTATATAACGAACTACCCATCCAACTATCAGACTGGTGACTAGATAAACTGTGCAGGTTACCAATAGGACTAAACCAACCATCTTAACGCCATGAGTGCATATAACAAATGATTGGGTAAAAGAGGAATGTAGTGTGGCCTCATTTAGGGCATTAACAACTGTAATACATAACAACGCTGACATTAAAGGCTTTCGAAAGAGTAGTAGAGTTCTCTTCAGCTTTTTCTTAAAAGCTGAACCAAAGGATGCCGGCGATTGACGGTTTTCCCTTTGCTCACCAATATTCTGCAGAGCAAGGATTATGAATATTCCTAGAATATTAAAGGCTAGATAGATGCCTAATAAGATGTATTTAATTCTTTTTGGGGGCTTTTCGAAATGATCAGTTTGTTCCATCGGACAGTGTAATGCTCCACATTTCAATATTGGTCGGGGAGTTGTTGTTCCATTTACGTCCAAATTTTCATTCGATTTATGGCTGTAAAGGATTAGTGAAGAAAGAACATAACCAAATAAACGCATAAGTGCCAAAACAGCAGAGAAAGCAGCGAATAGACGCCCCATAGCCGGTTCACTGGCCAGGGATGAGGCTTCCGATAGACGAACTCCTAATCTTGAAACATAAGATCCTTGAGCAACCCATATAAAACCAGAAGCCACACCAACTAGAATACTGGCTGGAATTAGAGTTGCCCAATGAGGCCACATGTTAGCCAATATAAACAGCGTGTGACAAAACCAGCCACATAATAGTACATTCCTTACTCCGAATCTTTCAATAAAGGGTGGTGCTAAGAACGATGATACTATCAGAACACCATATATGATGGCGACACAGGTTGTTCCCAAACCATTCTCGAAATTTAAAGAGCTTTGTAGACTCTCCAATGACATATAAGATATATATACACAAAAAAAAGATGAGGTCAAAACGGCCATGTTTCGATATACATTTTTCCTGATACCCGCTTGACGTTCCTCTGGTTGCTGTAAACGGTCCACCATTTTTTTCGATCTTCTTTATGTTTTCCACTATCTTTTCCACCGACTTATTTCATAATTAAATAAAAAGAATACCTCAAACCTCCAGTATCAATATAAATTTAACGCCACCGATAATACCGATAAGAATGAAAAGCAAGTTATAAACTACTTCATCTCTCCATAGTAGAGACAGTATTATTGATAAGCGTGCTTTATCAATGGCTTATAGAAAATCAATAATAGCACAACCGTTACGGATGAAAAAGGACTCGTAAACAAACGTCGTTTGTTGATAAACAAGAAAAATAAAAGGAAGAAAGTCCTAGCAGACAACTGCAAAATTATACGAAGCAACTGTAACAAATGTTACTTATTGGTTTTTATAGGCTTAAATTTGTATTTTGTTATGGAAACTAGTGCAAAAGAGACAAAATAACTCCATCTACTGCTTAAAAAAGTAACTAAATTATCGACAATTTTTTCCCTTATCAAATATAGGTACATTTTCATATTATAGTTATTGGAATATCCGAATCTGTACTTTCATTCTTATAATTCTCCATTGTTTTGCAATAATCATCTATGTTAGAGACGGGTACTGTGTTTCAAGAAAAAGAAAACAATAAGGAACTAATGTACTATTTACTATTAATTTAAAAAAAAAATAGATAAGAAATATTGAAAGTTTTAAATAAACATAAAAAAATAACCATAAGCCAAAAATTTATTAAATAATTTTTTACTGTACTATACTAATAAACTTTACAATATAACTGCTACTATAAATTTTCTACTGTTCACCATTTAGTTTTGTGTTTACTTACTCGCATTATCGTGCTTATTTGAATTTAAACTGTTTTTTTGCATAAAGTAAATACAAATTAGTATCAAGTACGCGCTACTTGATGAATAATTAGGGGGAAAAAATTGACTTATTTTCCCCAATATAAACATTTTCTCTTACTCACATTTCAACTGCATAGTATTGATTTGATGATGGGGTTTTGGCTATAATTAATCTTAGATATTCCTGTAATTGATACATCAAACGTTAAATAATCAATTATACGTTATAATGAAAAAAATATGAAATAACCAACTTTAGAGTTTGCGGTGCAAGCGTTTGCCAATAAGTTTTCAACTTTTTCAAATTCCATTTTCAAAACGTTGTAATCGTCGAATCCTAAAAGCTCATCTCCAATATCAATTTTTTTCAATTTGTCAACTACTCCTCCATTAACAATATTCGATACGATTACGTGCCCTAGTCGATCTTCTAGTGTCATACCTAAACTGCCCGTTATTGGAACGCTACAGAGTATCACGTGACGACCTGATATTTCCTCATTAGTAAACTAACGAAAAGAAATTATCAATAAAACGATGTATATAACAATCAATAAAAAAAGAGAAGCTTACCAATCGTGTTGGTTGGAAAAGTTGATCTGTTAATAAAGATAAATCGAATCTAGCCTCTTCTTTAATTACGCTGTTAATTTATACATGGAATATATATTTATATACTGCTATTTATAGTATGAAATTTGTATACAGATTTAAGACACTAATATACTGTATATAGATATAAATTTATATATATATATACGTATTTCGTTGAAATTACAATTTTCAAAGAATACAGATTATATACTTTTTAGACAGAACAACCCTAAATCCTCTCGTTGCCTTTGCAGACTGAACTCAATAATAGTAACCAACTCAAATCTTCAATGCATATGAAGAATAGAATTGAATAAAGTATGGATGAGATGTAATTTCGATTTAACATATATTATATATAAATTTATATAGTATATTAAATATACACAGTATATATATATATATATATATATATATGCTGTATATACAGTATAAAAAAGAAGACAAACCTATGACGATTTCCAATTGGGCTGAGTAAAACTGGTTTTTGTATTTTAAAACTCGGAGCTCTCTCATTGCTCATATACGATTTGGCAACCTTACGAAGACGAATATTATTAAAAGAAACTGATTATATATATATATTAAAAAAATTATACTGAAGAATTTTTACTTACTGGAGAAGTAGGCAACAATTCATAATTTGAATTTTCAGTCGGTATAACTATTCTATCAGGTTTTTTTCTAGGCAATTGAGTCTCCTGACAATTAAAACAGCCATAAAAAATGTAATAAAACTAATGACAAGATAGAATAAACATACATTAGAAAGCTGTTCCCTCTTTTCAGTAATATCCTCTCTTTCCAAGTCGTGTAATTCTTGTGGATTTGCATTCTAAAATGAGATAAAGTTTATTCTGGATTTAAAGAAAGGTTTATAAAGGATTTTTAAAGTCACGAATTTTACTCCAGTATATTGAGGTTTTTGTGTGACGATCTCTTTTTCAAAACTGTTTATTGTCTCCACAGCGCCATCTGATGAATTTTTTCCGCTAGTTTTGTGTTCCATTGATAGTATTTCATTACTTCTTTCCTTTTAGGATAAAAATGTAATATCAATAGAATTAAGTATTCGGTAAACAATTTCGTAACTAACTAATTGGCCTGTAGTTGTTGATTCTAACGATCTACAAATAGTCATCTTCAGATGTCTGCTGCCTTTCATAGCAACAATTGCCTCAGAGTGAGATATGCCTTCAAAATCTGTCCCATTTACGTTTAGTATCGTATCGCCCTTCTTTAATCCAACCTTATCGGCAACTGAGCCTTCCTTAATTCCTTGAACAGTTACATTTCCTTCCCCCTCCCTGTCGCTAGCAATGCTATTTAGAAACATGAGTTAGTTCACGACCTATTAAGACCTTCAATTAACTATCAGCCATTTCTATAATTACCTACAACCGATAGATGAATCCAAAGGAATATAAAGAAATAGACATATTTCCTCTGTTGACGCATTATTTCTCGACTAAAACAACAAACAAAACAAAAACTGTATTGGAAAAATTTCAATCAGGCTAAAAACTTACTAAACTTTTTTCCTGCCTAGCAACATACTCCCACCGTATCGGATTTTGCGCATGTCTATTAATTTCATATTGAATTACGTCAAAAAAGAATTATAAATCCTTCAATAAATATACCTTTTAACTGGCAGCATACCGATATCTAAACAAAAAATAAGAGCTTTTCTTTTCACTTCCTCTTTTGATATATAATAATTGTTACCCGTAAACATGAAAACTTACGTTTAATTTTTAAGCAGATTTCTTTATAGGAAGTAGCCAACTTCATTATCTCGGAATAAACAGCTTGTTTAATTGTAAATCCATTCATGCTTATAATTTCGTCACCGGCTTTTAAACCTTTTTCTTCGGCTTGGGAATTTTTTGCAACTGATGATACATAAACGCCTACGCTATTTTGAAACCCTCCGCGGAAAGTAAATCCCAAACTATCCGAGCTATTTATACGCTTTAAAATGATATTTCTATATCCCGATTTGGGGATTGGCGCTTGTAGATCGTATACATATTGATCCTGCGGTAGAACGTACGGCCTAAATAGAAAAGAAGCAACAGATACTAATATGGATAATGAATGAAAACAAATGAAGAAAAGAAGTATATTATTCTCAAGCTTAGTGGTATATTTGTCAATTAAATTTACCTTATCAAGTTAAAAACATCTAGCTTTTCCGGACAATTTACTACTTTACACAAATTGATTATCAACTGTTGAATATTCTCCGTGCTGCATTGGTTATTTTAACAAATTTTATATACAATATTTACTATTTAGTATATCTTTGCAAGTAATACCTTTTATATATATTCAAATAATTGTATAGCTCATCTCTTTCAATGGGATCAGGAATAATATCTTTAACCTAGAAACAGTCAAAATTATCTTATGATTAATATTTATTTATTGATAGAAAGTTACTTAAATATTCAGAGTTACATTGTTTCAAACCTGTTGGTGTAAGGAATTGACAAATTCGTTATCGTGAAGCGCCATTTTTAAAAGAAAGTAACCTGTTTTTAATTTTAAGACTCTGTTTTAACTTTTAACTACTCTTTAAAAAGAATTCAAATCGTTCGTATTTACTATTCGCTATATTGCATTCTATATCATATTCTCACCTTATATATTGTAGTATTATTACTTATCACTCTTTCTCTCTTGTTTTTTGTCAGTCTTTCTACAGTTTTACCATTTTCGTTCATATACTTAAAAGTATTATCTTAGTTCGAAAGCGGGACTAAATAAGCAAATAGCATAAACTAGAACTACATAGATCGTGCTTTATCTTAAAAAGAATGCATAAAAACATACTAAACCGTCACATATTTCACATTTTAACGCATGACTCTAAACGTTGAACAAATGGAAATTTTCTTTTGAAAGAGGTTTTATACAACAAAAACTTTTCGGATAGATATTTACATAACTTTTTAAAAAAACATATTTTGATATTCAGTAAATCTCTTTAGAAAATTAACGCCAAGTTACCGCAATGAGAAGAAAAATCAATAAATTATTTCGGTTTTGTTTATTTTCTACATTTAAAAGAAGAGAACAAACTATTGCGAAAATTATTCTAATACAAATATTGTTTTACATACTTGATCATTAATAGTATTTATTAAAGTAATCCAGAAAGGATCTTTGTCATTATCTACAATCATAGCAAGTCTTTGAGATTGCTGCTTTCTCTAGTCATAATAGTCGATAAAAAGTAGCATCTGTTGCAAGAATTGAGTGAAAAAAGGGGATAGGTGGAAATGAGGGAGACCGGAAGGTATTGGAATATTTTTATTTTAGTATGGAAACCAATTCCCCCTATAATTCGATTATGATTAATTAATTAATTCCTTCTTTTAAAAAGTAACATTATGTAAATTCAAAACAATAGACTTTAGCACCAAACCATGGAAGAGTAGTTTATTTAAGTGTAAAAAGAGATAATGTTGAATCATTAATAAAAACAAACAAATAACGACTATATGTAACTATTTTGATCACATATTATTCTTTGCCAAAGAGGTTAACTGCAGTGTAATTTTTGAAATATTGTGCACTTATAGTCACATTTTCTGAGAATACAGTCAATTGTATAATAGCATAATATTTTCGAAGCGAAAAAGAATAAAACTACAACAAATAGTATCACATTTCTTAGGTTTCATCGCTTAATAAGGCATAAAAGTGCGTAAAACCTTATCAGCCGTAAATCAAGGCACCAGTAATGAAAAGTTGATTAATTATCTGTCGGGCAAAAGAATTATAGGTTAGATATACGACGAGGAAAACTTTTAGCAAATGACGAACCTTCTAATATTGATTTTCGTGATCTAAGAATTCTTTGCAATTCGGCAGATTCCTTAGATTTGTACTATATTACGTAAAGCTATTTAGAAAAATTACCATCTTTAATAAAATACCTACACCACACTTTCCTTTTTGAACATTTAATTGAGTCTCCAACCTATCAGCTTCATCATATCCGCATATTTGCTCAATTTGCCTTTTGCTTAGATCAAACAATTCTCTACCAGACCTTCCTTGTAAAGCTTCAATTACTCTGGAGAAATACATATTTATTAGCTGTTTGCTATGCTATTTTTATTCAAAATGAGATTAACATACTCATTATCAAAACGTTTATTTCTTAACCATTCTCTGACTTCGTCCGCCGAGCTTTTATCGGAGATGATCGTTACGGACACTCTCTGTTTCGATCTAAACTGATCCCTTTCTGTCTTTCCCATCGTTAACCTATTCTTCAATTCTAAGTTAAGCGTATCTTGCTGACTCGCTTGCTCTTTGAATCGAAATGGGAAATATTTACAATAGATACCAATAAAATTTATAAGAAAAGGAAGATTCTTTTCAGCAATCTTCAAACTCACTAGAATATTTCACATCTCGCTCATAATTACTAGTTTTCTTCTTCTGTTGTTGTACTTCGTTGGAATCATTTTCTGTTCAGTAAGCAATCGGAAAATGAATCCAAAAAACTGGATTTTAATTATTGTTTTCTATAATTTACAACAAGGACAAAATAGATTCTTTTTTTTATGTTATTCCTTCATGGTCCTTTTTTGTTGTAGTTAAATTAATGTATTTAAAAGGATAAATTAAAAAAAAATCAAGATGACGAGCAGTTGAAAAGTGCGAAAAAAAAAAAAAACATTGAGATGCTTCTCAATTATAATATGTCTATAGGTATAACTATGTACGTGAATATATATACATACATATATATATATATGTATTTAAGTATCTGTGCGTATGTGTATACTATATGTACAGAAAAAGCGGTTGGGGTGGAAGCAAAAATGTTGAAGGAATCAAAAATAATGATAATAATAATAAAAATCATATAAAAAAAAAACACAACTATTATATTTCTTTTCCAAATAATGTATTCGATATAAATACAAGAAAAAGTCATTGTTTTACTATTTTTTGCTATTTTTTTTTCTTTTCTTAAATAGTTTTTTTTTCCAAGTCTCTCGAATAATTAACAGAAATCACGTTCGTAGACTTTTTGTAAAATTAATATTAATAAAAAGAAAACAAAGTAGCACAGATTCAGGAAGATGGAATTGGAATGTTAGAAACAAATACAAGACAAAATTGGGAAAAAAAAAGTATAACAAAAAATAAATTTTTACTAAACTTTATAAGCAGCCATTTTTGTTTGTAAAACTTAAACGATTAAAATAAAATGGCATGCAATAAAGGATTAAAAAAAACATATATAGGAATCGAGGCTAGGGGATTAACAACTTTTATCCATTACGATTTGTGTATCGTTTTGAAGTTTAGAAAAAATAAGGTATATACATTTTAAATATTTTTAACCTAGCTACTGTTTTCTTGTAAAAGAGTATAAAAATTATCTTATGATATGTTAATAATGGTACATAATTACACTAAATATTAAAATTTGTGTGTAAAAACATATGCATTATTGTTTTAAAAAACATTGATTTTTTTGCTTTGTGTCGTATATAAGGAAAAGAAAATCAATTGAAGCAGCTAAGATATCTCAAATCAAAATATCAACAGACAATTCACCTGGAATTGAGCTACGAGAACCGTTTGGACGCTCATATTTCCATGATTCAGGAGGAGGAGGTGGTGCTTTCGGAATGTTACTAACACTTGATTCAGACGAAACAGATCGTCTATGACTTGTGGGCTGCTTATGTTTGAAAAAATATACACCATTGTACACTCACTCAACAGAAAGAGAAGAAGAAATCAATTAAAAATTAGATATATAACTAAAAAAATTATTATAAATCGCTGCTTTCATCTATGGGATTAATTTCATTGTCAAAATACATAAAAAGAATCCACGATATGTATCACAAATTTAAAAAAAAATCACGCAAACTATCACATTTCTTGGAACTTGTCGATTGGCATAGATTTAATAAATATAAATAGACGTAAAAATTCTTTAATACATACATGTATATATATACTGTATATATATAAATATATATAAAAAGGTATTCTATATATTATATGTTTGGTCTTATAAGCCTCTCTTCCTGTTTAACCCCGAATATAATTTATATATATATATACTGTATATATATATATATATATATATATATATATATACAGTGTGTACTGTATATACTAGAATTGAAATGAGTTATTATATCTAAAATATAAAAACTTGAATGAACCAGTCGTTTTACACATGTTTTTTGGTTTGATAACACAATATTCTAATTGTGCTAGTTACGTACCGCTGGAGGCTGTAAATCTCCATTAATTGGTGACAATATATTAAAAGGAGCAAAGCCCTTATTTCCATCTGCATTCATCAGTTTCCACCAATTTCTTGAGTGGTCTAGAACCTTAAAATTAATATAGAAAAAAAAACATTTAAAATTATTAAATATAAGTATTGTATGTATGTTTTTTTGAAATTATTACTTTTAGATACTCTCCGCTATATACATCTAATTCTTTATTATTGCTTCCTTCTCTGGAGGCTGTTGCCTTGGCGATACTATAACAAAACAAGTTCGTAATCAAAGAGCATAATTATAGCCTAATAAATGTACAGGAATACTTACTCTGCATTTTCGTTTAAGAGTCTGCGATAAAATTCTAAATTTCTTTCCTCTGGATTACTAGGTAACTTTTCGGTAACTGCTTTTTGAGCTTTGTTTGATGATTTGTTAGTCTCGCGACTGTTTCTAGGATTGGAATCGTAATCTTTTGGTTTTTCTGCCGAATGCCTTGCTTGTTCTCTACGTACAACTTCTGGTTGAACTGGTTCCTACAATTATTAAATTCAGATAGAATAGATATAATTTAGAGTAAATTAAATGACTAAAATTACTAACGTCATCTCCGTATCCAAGACCTTCAGAATTCCATGTGTCGGGAACTCGTTTTTGACCATTGCTCTCTTGTCTTGGCCTCTCTCTTTCATATCTGCTACTATCTTCGTGTCGTCGACCACGCGGCTGCCTTGGCTAATGAAAATAGTAGGAAATTCTTATTATGTTAAACAATTAGTTTTGAAAGAAAACAAACATGATCAAACTCTGCTTCTGATGTGACATCTTGCCTTGAACTTAATCCCTCAAAATTGGGATAGTACGGTGGGACATATCCCGTCCATTCTTCTCTTGTTTGGGTCCAAGAAGGGCCTAGAGATTCCCAGAGAAACCTTTCTCGTTCAGTAAGGCTTTCTTCAAGTAATTCCTTAGCTTGTCTAGTTAGTAAGGGGCTAACAACTTTCGAGGCGATCTCTGGTTGGTTTGTCTCAGGATCTCTTGATGCCGAGACTATTATATTTAAAGGAGTGAACAGATGGGCAATAAGTTCTGGTGCAGTAGGCCGGAAAATATCATCCCTAAGCTTGGCTAATAAAATGAACGAAAGTTTAAATTTCTGAAAAACTTCGATGAATTCCTTAGAAGGAGGTGGACGAGAACGCTCAGTTAGAATTCCGTCGTCCCTTCTATTTCTTCTTCCAGCCGCCTTAAGGCGTCTATGATACTCAGCAGCCTGCTGCAGCTTATAAATAAAGCGTTCAATATCGTCGAAACATCGATTTAACATTTGCGAATCCCTTTCTGTTTTTTCATCAAGCAAAGACGCATTACTATCGTGACGCTCGTTACTCCTTCTCATAGACTTTCGAAATTTTTCTTTTGTTTGACCAGCAACGTAAGGGCCTGCTTCCTGTAGAGATGTTTGGGCTTGTTCAATCATTTTTACTCGATTCATAACAATTTTTTTGTCCTCATCCGTATATCGTTCAGAAGGTTGAGGAGATATAGGACGATCTCTTTTTATCATCTTAGCTCTTTCGATCATGTCAGCTACTTCGTGAGCTGACCTATCCACACATTGAAAGGCTGCCAACTCCCTTGTGACTTCACCGTTAATTACAAATAAAATAACGTTGTTGTAAATGTTATCTATCGATTCTACGGGAGTTACGTGACTGATTGAGTCGAGAGGGTAAACTTCTAATTCTTTTTTAGTTCCAGCCTCGTAGCAAAACAGCTTTCCCCTAGCTACCTCTATAGAACAGTGTAATTTATTCAACCATTGTCTAATTCCTCTAAGATATTCAATTCCTTCTTTAATGTCTCTCACTAAACATAATATAAAAAATCATTTGAAATATGAGTAAGATAAATGAGTTAGCTGTATGGAAAATACCTCGATCCATTGACATGGTGACTAAATGATCAAGATCAATAATTTGTCCTTCTTCTCTATTCATATTGTCGTTTCTTCTTCTTTGACCTGTTCGTAGTTAAATGATACCTTAAAAAATAAGAGACTAATACTTTTATTGCACATTAAAACATAAAAATTTGAAACAAAATACTGATATTTTAAAATAAATAACCAGAAGAGGATAGATAAAACAAATTTTATGATTGATAACTTCATAAATATCTTTGCTCAAAAGAATTGCTTTATCAATTTTACTAATCAAGAAAATATTTCGTACTTTACATTCAAATATATTGAATCAACAAACGTGCGAGGAATAATAATTTTTGTTTTTCCTATACTTTAAAAAAATAAAATAAAAAAATTAACCTCTTTCGCTGTTGTTGTATGATTCAACGACGTTGTGAGCACCTATATTCTGTCCATCGCGATCTCTGTGAGGACGTCTCACTTTGGAATATAAATCTTCTCTTTCGTCATGCATTGATTGATAATCGTTATCATACGTTCGTCTATCATTTCTTCGGCGACCGCTGTTCTCTCTTGATTGTTCGGAGTAATCATTGTTTCTTCTTGGCCTCTCATTGTAATAGTGGTCTTCTTGATCTCTATCGAACCTTCTATCCCTTGAACTCTTATAATCGTCGTGATAAGCAAAATATGGATCTGGATCCCTGCAGATACCGTGAATATTTTATTATCAAATCTAGTCAAAAGACATTGATAAGGAATTTAATTTTACTATACAGACTGACTCTAATATCTAACTAACAGTGTTAGATTTTTGGAGAGAAGGAGTTGTATCATTTACAGATTTTATGATAAAAAAGGTTTTTTCTCTTATCTTACCAGGAACTAAAATTTCTCTCGTTATCATGAACAACAGCTTTTACAAGCGGTTTCATTCAATGTTGAGAACCATCAAAGGTTTCAACAACAAACAAACTAAAAAACGTCTTTTTGCTCATAGATGGGCGTAAACAAATTGTACTTACTGTGGATAGTCTGGATTATTCATGACTCCTGGCATATCATTCGAACAGCCTAATCTGAAATAGTTAGCAACTGGTTAAACAAGTTCATTTATTGCTACTGCTATTTCTCGTCTTAACATTATCTCAGCCTACTACGTTCCTTATCATATAGTTTTATTTAGAAAATGTTATGATAAGGAAATCAATTTCTAACGACCTTTAACTTGATCACAGAAATTTAAAAAAGGGCGCGGTCAGAACAGGATTTAACATCGTTGAAAGTAAAGGTAGAAATTTCAATACGTAGATAACATACTCTTTAGAATCTTCTCGCCAACGTCTACGTAACGTTATAAGAAGTTTAAAATTGTTTTCGGAATGAGCTGTAAACAAGTTTCCTGTATGAAACACGTGTCTAAAATTCTTTTTCTGGGCGAGGCAGCTCCTTTTCGACCGTCCACGGCCTTCTCTTAAAGGCTATTCCAAATAGCTACCTCACCCCCCGACCAAGTGTTTTTTATCCCATATATAGCTTAATTCATTAAAATTTCCCATTTATTATCAGTATTAAATTAAAATAGCTTAATTATAATTTTGTTTATACTTTTAGTATCTTTAAAAATGATTTTTTATAAAGAGTAAATAACTCTAAACGTAACAGCCTTATTTTTTTAACAGCGCCATCTCTCTAAAGCCATATAAAATTTAAATATCTTTTAAAGAATATAAACGTATTCTTATCATCTGTTTCAAATAATAATTTACTTAGATCGAAACAGAATGGAAAGTTAAAAGAAAAAATAGATGATCCTTTAATAACTTTTTATAAATATGTGTATTTTATCAACCAAAACGTGGAAAATACTTCTTAGTAATCGTAGTGAAACGCCCACAAAGTAACAATTTTGAAATGAATAATAGTTTTAAAGTATTGCCTTTCCACAAGATTATAGCTATGAACGATTCCGTTTTTGTTTTTTTTTTCTTCTTTATTATCATAAAAAGCCGTGGAGAACCAACAAAACCAAATAAAAAAGTGAACAAAAAATCGAAACTTTTTACAACAAAGTATAGTATTGCTAAATAGGTAATTAAATAAAGAAATTTAAGATAATTTTTCTTTTACAGGAGGGGCTTTTTTTTTCTTAAGAGATAATGAATGACAATGTAATAAACTTGCAATTTAAAGGCACAGAAAAAAACTTAAATTACTGTTTAAAAGGAACAGAACTGTCGAGAAAACGGGACCATAAAATAAGTCTACTTAATTGTATAAAATAGTAGTAATACTGATTTAAAGCAGATTATTATAAGAACTGCTGTAATTGCAATACTAAAAATACTAATTGCTAGTAAACTCATTTTACGTTTCCCTTAAAAATGAGTATTGCATAATTATTAATTCCGAGCTGATACGATTATCCACACCAAAGTTTCCTTAATTTCATATACTTAATTTTATCGTTAAAGTCGTGAATCCAATTAAAATGAATAACAAAAGGATCTTGATTCATTTCGTATCCATCCTGCACCATTCTACCATTTGGAAATATTTGCGAGTCCAGTGTCGTCCAACGAACTCTGTGGTTAGAATATCTCAAGCATAAATTAACACCGACTTGATCATTCCAATCAAATTCTTGGAAGGCTAGCATTCCCTCCCAAAATTTTATTATGGCAGGAGTAGGTATGATGTATGCAAAACCGGCACAAGCATACCAATTACCAAGCCAACCTCTTAGGCCCCAACTGTCGAATCTTCTCCAACCGGTTGCGTCTTTCTGGAAGATCATTTCGTTTTTAGGATTGAGAGTATCTATATTTGAACCATTCCCATAAGCAAGCTGCCTTAAATAATTTAAGGGAGACTTTAGAAAAATAACATCCGTATCAGATAGTAGAAGCGGATGTCCACATTTGAGTAGAGAATATATGACTAAAGTCCGATATTTTAACAGTAATCCATATTTTTGAGTTCCCCATTGGGCTTTCCCACTTGCGTTAAATCTTGATTGTTGCATAGTTTTGTCTTTCAAATGCTGAAATGCTGGTGAGAGTGAAGGTGTCCAACATTTTACGCCTTCAATCGATCCTAAGCTTTTACATAAGTCTTCGTTAACAGCTACAACTAATAAATTAGATAATTTCGCTTTTTTAGCGTTACAAATCCAGTTGGTTACTTGAGACGACCATCCAGAATTGGCATATGTTAAAATAATAACATCATTGGTAGCATATAAGCTCGGTTTATCAAAAGGGCACATTATTCCATATGTATCTATCTTTGGTAGCCTGTCACAATTATGAATTCCCTGTTTTAGACGATTGAATTCCGGTACATATCTAATAGCTAATTCAGTTACATTTTCTGCTAAAAAGAATAGAACAGTCACAAGTGCTGCGATTTTTGGAGCTTTCAAAATTCTCTTAACAAGATGGATAATATAGGCCAAATATGTCATGTTTCTAAGCGCTTTTGTTCATATTAGCTCGAACCTATTGGTAAAAAAGAGATTGAAAATGTCGATACTTAGGCAACATATTTATTTAATGTTCTGTTCTTTTAAAAATAACTTATATAATATATAAAATAAAAATTCCTTTTTTTAATATAATCATAAAAAGATATAACTTTCTTTATATCAGCTAAGATTATTATTGTTAGAAAATTACGAAAAGGAAACAAGAAAAGCATACAGCTTAGTAACATCTGTTGATACTGACCGTATTCTATTTATATTTATATATATGTTGTTGTTTACTTTTTTCTCTCCATCATCAATCGTTTAAAAAAGATCATGGTATCAATAAAAGAAATATATTTAAAATCATAAATTTAACTATAATAGAAAATGCAATGTGCGGTTCCGGGAGTGCCTTGGAAATCCCTCTGACCGGTTTATGAATCACCGTTTACGAATGGTGGGGCGCGAAATTTAAATTAATTAAGTTCCGGTTTTGAAAAATTGGACAAAGTATCTTATTTTACTATTTCAATTTTATTCTGTATTAAAGTGTAAAATAACATCTATTTTTGAAAAATACTCTAACACGTGAAAACAATGCTTTAGTCAGATTTTCCATTCTTTTTGTGTTCTCCGTTGCTTTTAACCTGAAAAGAAGTTAAATTGAATACATTCTTGTCTAGTCATCATCATTCAAAATGTCTAACAATAATGATAAAAAATACTTTTATTCTATGAATAATACAACACTATACCTTCTTTCCTTTGGATTTCACGTATGCGTGAAAATAGAAGTTTAAGAACAAAAGAAGGATTGATAGGCCGTAGAAAATTAAAGCCCAATGCATCCAGGTTGGGAAATCGCAACCGAAAAGTAATGATTGCGCAGCATGCGCCATTCCAACAACAAATTGAACCTAAACAAACATAACAAATATTTGTCAAAAAAACATCTAAATTACCTTTAACCGTTTATCGCTTGTTTTAATATATGCGTGATAATAAAAATTCAGGAACAGTATGGTTATGGTCACACCATAAGCCACAGAAATCCATTGGATCCAACGGGGAAAATCGCATTCAAAGTATAAACTTTGCGAACCGTAGACCAATCCACCAAAAAATTGCATCTAATTTTTTTTAATTAATTAATAAGTGTATGCTTTTTTAAAAGAGTTCTTTTTTCACTATAAAACCAAAACAATTTGTTTTTTAAAAAAAAAAAGGCAGAAAAAAAAACATTATATTATCTATTATTTCTACTTACTACTAGACTTTTTATTTTACTATAGTTAAAAATATCTATTCTTATTGTCTTTCATACTATCAAAAAAGTATAATAGATTTTTCTAAAAAGAATAAAAAATTATGACTAATATATGGCGAAGAATGGAAGAAAATGAACATTTTATTATCGTTCCTCTATTTTCTCCTTCTATTTTCCCTCCTTTGTTTCTATTTGATAAACTAAAACAACGCACATAAGCAAAACCAGCAAAAAAAACGGTTTTTGTTCTTCCTCTTCAAAATCATTCTAGAATGATGAAAAAATGATAAATCTCAGTTTGAACTCACCAATTGAATTCTTGTCAGATAACGCTTCCACCACAAGTACTTTTGATATTGAGGTCCTAAAGCAGCAAAACCATAGTAGGAGTACATTATAACATGTATAAACGAGTTGACCATTGCTCCGAAGAATGCTGTTTTAAAAAAATAAACATTCAAGTAATTACAAATATAAAAATATAATTAGTTATTTATTAACTAACATTGACCACCAGCAACCCACTTAACACCAATCCACCAGATGGGAAACATGGTGGCGTGGTGGTAAACATGTAGAAAGGATATTTGATTGTTCTTTTTTCGAAGAATGAATAAAAAAGTGTCACCAAATTCAAGACATTTTGAGAAATAGAACCACCATAAAGCCTTAGCAATTCTCATCTCATCTGGGTTTGAACTATAATTTACTGGCTGACAAACGTAACTATAACCCAGTTTAGTGCTGGCAATAAATAATTCCGTACAAATATGCAAATTGACAAGGACTAAGAAAGCATTGTAGATTATCAGGATACCACGTAATTGAAAGGCTTCTCTATTCTTCATTATCTTTGGACCGACTTGAACAATCAGTAAGTATGATAATGTAAGAAGTAGCGTGGGTGTGTAACCTTCCATAAAAAGCCAGTTTTCCACTCTTTTATCTGTTGAGACAAGCCCATTTTTAAGGGTGTTGGAATGTGAGTCCCTACGCTAGCGTAATATTTGTAAATTATTGACTACTATATGATCATACCTGCTCTTAAGAGACTCCATTCGTAAAATTTTTGAATTTGATTTATTTTATCGGTGATTAACTCCATCTCGTGTAGATATTTTAAGCTGATCATGTATATAAAGTTTTCGAAGAAAATCATTAAAATTTTGTTTATTTAAAGATCTATTTTAATAGAGAAAGATTAATTTACTTACAAATATTGAAGATCACTGGTTGAGAATTCAATTAAAGAGTAATAATTAACTTGAGCTAAATTTTATACAATACCAATATTCCTCTAATACATTACTGTATATTGTATATTGGACGACATGACAACACCGGCTCTAGGAGTGGTCCAATCACCGTCGACTTCTTATGAATTTTCCATGCTTTAAATCGATTTTGATTGGCTACAGGAAAAATCGGTTTGGTAATTCAATAGCTGACCGGTATAGGAATAGATGGACGAGTCCAGAGTTCCGAAAATGTACCGGACGAGTTTATTCGTAAGAGTCATCTGGTATTGATTGATAAATAGAAATTTAAGAATATAGTTCGTAACTATTTGCTATTGCTATTTTTAAAATTAACCTTACCAAAAAAAAAAATGTTTAAAATTTATACAAGACTTATAAACGAAAATAGACTTTATTTTTTAGAACATACGTTAACACCGCGCATTAATACAATATGCTGGCCGACATCTTTAACTGGTCGCTACTTTCTTGATCGTTAGCGGTTTTTCAAACATATTTCGGTTTTATGAAACTTAAATCAGGGTAAGACTCTAGCTTTAAATTAAATGATTAAGAATTTCTTTAAATTAAGCTTGCTTGTTGTTGCGATTGCAGCTTAAGCCATATCTAGGAAGAGTTTTACAAAACAATGGCCTCGCCAACCTCATGCACCACTAAAGGAAAGAAGAAATTACCGCTAGCATCTACCTATGTTAGGTAATCTTACTTATTATAAAATTTTTTACCATTCTTAATTTTATTGAACATTTATGTGATTGAAAATATGTTAGATCTGCGAGATTTAATTCAAAATTTCAAAAACACTTTTAATTAATTTGAGTACTATATGCCGGTGTAATAAACATACTCAAAGAACAACGTGCATTGCATATCCGCTTGTAAAGCACGTGCTTCACAATTCTAAACGATGGATATTATAGATTGGTATTCTTATTGCAGTCCTAACGCTCTTCTACCTATGCCTCGAGCTGAGGACGCTAAAGACTCCAAACAACTTGAGGAAGAGATGTTTAAAAACAGAAATAACACAGAAAGGGACGGTGACTTTAGCAGCGAAGAACGAGAAGAAATGGCGAGCGTGGCGGAAGGAATATACGCTTCTTCCGACGTGTCTAAAGTGCTGGGAACCCTTTTGGGTCGCTTTGTTCGTGCCTATACAAGTGATAACTGCATATACGAAGGCGTTTTGGAGACTCTCTCACCTGAGGGTAAAGTTGTCCTGAAAGTCCCACATAGACTGGATCAGGATGAAGAGTCTAAACCTTGTGGCAGTTATGGTGTTCATAGTAATCGCATTAGCTCCGAAATAATATTCGCTCGTAAAGACGTTATATCTTTGGAGGCTATAGATAATGACTTGGAACAGAAAAATGAAATTCGTCCTCTAATGGTGGAGAGTTTCCAAACTGACCAAGAAATACATCAGTCCTATAATGGACAAACTGAAGAACGTCAATTTGTCGACTATTTTGATGGAGAGGAGGAAATAGGAGATGATATGACATTAGAAAATACTAAAAGCACTGGATGGAACCCCGACGATATGTTCCAGACGAATAGTAAATTGTTTAATGTTGGTTCGACTTTCGACCCGTCTATGTTAGCTTATACAACGGAACTTGTAAAAGACGAAAGCGAGGAAGGTCTGGAACTTCAGGCTAAAGCCGAAAAAATTGCGAAAGAAATTGAAAATACGAAACAAAGCGACATTAATGGTAAAAGTGCCGCCGACGACGACGATGGTGAAGAGGAAGCCAAATATAGTGCTGTTCATCGTCCTCAACCAGATAGATATCTTCCGCCTCATCGCAGACGTAAGTATTTTTTTTTAAAAAATGTTTTTTTTTGTAATATTATAAAACCACGTGATTTCTTGCAGAGAGTTCAAATACTTCGAAAAAAGCGAAAGGAAGCACAAGTGGAGAAGAAAAGCCGACTTCGACTCCCGAAAGAGCTTCAACAGAGGAGCCACCTCTGAAAGCGACAAATAATAAGACAGTTGAAGAGAAGCGAAAGGATACCAAACGTTCAGCACCAGCGTCGAAGGAGGACACAATAAAGGATCTTAAGATTTTCCAAGACAAACTCAATATACCCCATTTATCTAAGGAAAGCGAAGAGCGCAGCAGCAACACAAAACCTTCAAAGTCACCTTCTCCAACAAACGGTGCTACTACCTCTACAACTTCTACGTCTTCCACTGGTGCTACGAAACAAACGTTTGTATTATTATAAATAATTTACTAATTGCCATAAATCATTTTGATTATATTCTTAAAGGACCGTCCAAACTTTTAAGCTGAATCCTAATGCGAAAGATTTTGTTCCAAGAGGTTCGGCCGCAACGACGGTTAATACTGCTCATCAGAACACTTACGTTCAACAACAGCAACCTCCTCCTCCTCCTCCTCATCAAGCTCAGAGGCAACAACAAATTATTATGCCTCAACATTTCTCTCAAACTTCACCAGTTTACGCTCATGCGCCAGTAATGCAGCCGTTTCAACCAATCACGGCACAAACCCCTCATCAAGTTCAAAACCGGTATCCTCAACAAAACCAACCGAAAAGAGGTAAATTTATTTTCTAATCAATTTTTTTTCTATCACCTCATGTTTCGCTGTTTTTACTTAAAACTGAAGCTAGGAAAAAGGAATTTAACCACTCTTATATTCCTTTAATAATGCGTTCAAGAGCTATTCTATCCTTATTGTCTCTGAGCGAGGGTTAGGAATTTGAGTTTTTTTTTTAATAATCCTTGGCTTAGCAAAGTTGAAGAAACAATGTTATGTTAATAATAATTTATTGTAAAGCAGCTTTTATTTATATTTCTCTTCGCAGACTTAACCGCCAACTTTTCACTAACTAAGCTTGACAAGAGTTAAACAAAAGAACTGCTTATCTAATCCCTTTTATAAATCCTTTTTTCGTTTATTTCATCATAGCTACCGTGTCCATTCAAGGAAATGGAGCAACACCCAATGCAAACAACTTACGGCCTCCAACGGCACAACCAAATGTATCCGTTCAACAGACTCCTACTGCTGCAGCTGTAGTAAGCAACACTGATTCTTTGCCTGGTTCTTTAACAGGACCACCGATTGTACAAATGCATCAGAATGCTCAGTACTATACGCAATGGCAAAACAACCCAACCAATGTTGTACCGATGCCTCCCGCCCATATGGCTCCTCATCAGCATCAGAGTACTCTACTGCCACCAAGTCAATCAATTCAACATCCCAACGTTGTCATGTTACCATACGGAACGACTGTTACTTGTGCTCAAGCATCTCCGCCTCATTATACTTACCCAACGTCCACACCGCAGGCGCCGCATCTCTATGTGCATTACCCCGCCGCTGCAGCTGCTGCGGCCGCGCCACCTGCTGTAAATATACAACTCCCTAATGCGGCTGGACCTAACGCGGCCTCCCAAACTCTGAATACTATGGTACCTTATCAGATGCAGAATTATTCAGCCATGGCCAGCAGTTACCATGCTCAGCAGTAACGACTTTTTCTGTAAACGTGACAAACTGCATTAGCATCGTTGCTAGTCATTTTAAAGAGAAAAATATTTTTTTCATGTCAAATATTGAGAATGGAATTTCAATCTGAATACAAAAAGAGAGTAATTTATTCAACCTGCAGAAAATGACATGGAAAAAAAGCGTTCTATTGCAGAGTAAATATAGGCGTAAAGATGTTTTTCGCTTAGCATCTCTATTAGTAGATAAAACTAAAATTTCTATAACGATAATTCATCCCTCCTTCTTTCTGTTGTAACTTTTGACGTTTAGCGAGGAACGTTTCGGACGGCCATCCGGGATACACAGTGTAGGACATTGGCTTTCTGGGTATTGTATTATAAAAGAAAGTCTCCTTGTTCTCTGCAAATGTTTTTGGAGGTTCAGGAGGAACTTCAGCTTCACTAACAACTTGAGTATAAGGGGCCCTTTTCGGTATGCATCGTCGCCTGTTATTGAAAAGGGAAATTGTAGCCTTGACAACGCGATAATAATTGTCATAATCATATATAATACTGGCAGCAAATGCAAAGTATTGATCATTTCTAAAAACATTTTATGAATTACAAAAGCTTGTTTTGAATTTCTTCAAACAAGCCGACAACGAACCAATGTTTTGAAAGTAAACAATTGAGCTTTCTAAGCTTACTTTAAGTGAAAAGGATCTCCAGGAATTTCCATTTTCCATCCATGCTTTTTCAACTGTTCATCATAATCTAAAACGACCTCACCTTCCTCTTTTTCCTCTTTAATAAGCCCTTCTGTTGATGATATACACGGAGGTGTTGGTGCACATCTACCATCTACTGTTGAATTCCTTGATGTTCCTGCAGACTGAATATTCCTTTGAATTTGAACTCTTGGTCTTTCAATAGTACAAGCACTTCTTATTCTTTCAGGTCTCCGCTCAGCAAATGATAGCGGAGAGCCGACTTTTGGCGACGGAATTTCAACTGATGAGTTCGACAAAGCCGAAATAGGCGTTTGTCTTTCTGAAGTCTGTTGCCACGCATTCTTTAGTCCTTCTGGTGGCTTTGGACTTTAATTAAAAAATATTTTCTATTAAATCTATTAATAAGTATTAAAGGGAAAAACATTATAAAGGATTAGTTCTATTAACTCAATTCATCCACGTCGCTTATTACAACCGATCAGCTCTTTCGCGCAGTTCAATAACATACTTAATCATAATAAAAGCTTTGACAGCTGGTAAATGATGGAGAGGTTTGTTTACTCATTGTTCATACTTGACAATATTCTCGTAATTTTACTATTTAAATAGCGGAAATAATTATCTTACGTCATCTGCTGAGCGGATGATGCTCTTTCTCTCGTACTTTGAGGCGTTCTTTTAAATTGTGGACATTTCACACCAGATATTCCCAGCATAACCGATGCGGATCTTGACTGATCGCTTTTTTCAGAGACTGTTTAACAATAAAATGTCCATTGTAAACAAGGAGAAAATTATATTTAAAATATAAAATATATTACGTGGTGTTCCAAAAGGTCTAGTACGCCTGAAAGGTGATACTGAAGGGTACCAACCGTACGTACATTCTTTTCTAACGTCCGGTTTAAATCTATACTGCATTTTCTGTTATAATTAGAGTCAAATTCCCTGTAAAATATACTTTTTTTAAAATAAGAAATGTAATTTAATCAATCTATTATGAAAAAACTAACCTAATTGTTCATTAATAGTTAAAAAGTTCCTTTTTTCGAGATATAACTACTACCGTTAACAATTATGTCAACATGGTACTTCAAAAAAATAAGTTGTTTCTGACAGTTGTCGCGTATCTAAGCACCAAGAAAACACCGTGTGGCGCTGCTATACCTTTTCTATATCAATAATTTACAATACTCATTTTGCAGACGATAAAGAAGAAAAAAGTTTACCGTAAAAATTAATCGATAACGTATTAATCAAACAATTAAAAAAGATATCTGTTATTAATTTTTAATGTATTACTTTTTATTGCGAATTTCTATTAATGTTTTCTATGACTTTACCATGCTTTTTATTTTGTAAAAGTAACTCTTTAATCTAGTTATTATCTCTATTTGGTCATAAAACTTTCAAGAGTTCATCGAATGACATGACGAACCACTTGGATTCTTTTTTAACAGCTTCACGTACTTTATTACCTCCAAAGCCAATGAACGCGTCCTATTTTTAAGAATAAAAAATTTGTTAATGTAAATATCTTAGAATGCTGTTTGCTATACATACAGCAGGTGGAGAGGCTTCCATATCTGTTACACCATCGCCAATATGTACAATAGTTGAATAGGATGCCTTTAACTGTTCAATAACTCGACATTTTCCACCGGAAGCGCTTGTTGGTGCATTTCTATCAAAGTCCTTATAGCTTCCTACAAGTTAAATAGCTGCTATAACATAAAGTAGGATATCAATTAAAACAAAACTCTTACCGTCATCATTGAAAATAAATTCATTCGCTATAATATTCTCTCTTGGTATTAACAAAGAATCGGCTACAGGCTCAATTATGGTCTTGAATCCACCAGAAACAAGATATACAACCACTTGCTTGTCTTGCAATCGTTTCACCAATTCCCTTTAATAATTATCCTTTTGTGATTGAATTTTATATATAAGCTAAGCTCCTAAGATTTTTTTATTGTTGTTAATATTCAGAAATTGTCTATCTGGTTGATTAATATTTGATGGATTAATGTCAATATTTCATAATTTTTTTTTGTTACAATCTTTTCATACTATTGTTCCACTCGAATCGTTGCCAATTTAAAATGCCCTTTTTATTGGAGGAAAAAGCGTATTTATGAGTCGTAGAACGCGTAAATAAGTTAAAATATCATCAAAGATTATACGATTGATAGACAAAATAGATGGAGAAAAAAAAAGAATTCTTATTCAACATGAAGAATATTCTTTTAGTTCGTTCCATAAAGTATTTATAGCTGTGCATATTTTATTTACTTACTTAATCCCGCTAGTTAATGAAGGGGGTCGAGATGTAACGAATTTCTGTAAAGTGCTCCTATCAGGTTTCATAATATCTAGTCTTTTTTCTAAAGATTCTCGAAATGTCATTGAGCCACCCATAGCCTGGTTTGTGCTGGATTTTATATTTGTATTTATTACATTTTATCAACTAATTGCGAGCTATATTTAAAGGAAAGGTTCTTAATATATATAATTAGAAAATACTAACAGGTTAGCAACCTGTTCACCCACTCCCATAAAAGCCGCAAGTTCATCAGCTCCCTCGTCTGTACAAACGGTCGAATCTACATCGAAACACACGCAGTCTGCCTTTTTAAACGTTTCTATAACTTGGTCCATCACTTTTCGATATCTTATTTTATAAGATCAAGAATAAAATTATCAACATTAGGGAAATAATGTATGCGTTTACCTTATCAAGCGAGCAATTTTGCTTAGTGTAATTTGCCGGAAGTTAGTAGTTTATTAGATAGATTATAGGTGGCGTTAGTAATTTCATTAGTTATTCTGAAAAGAATGCTTTTTTTTGTTTCAGTAGGCCTAAATGATTGTCGTTACCTTGCGGGGGCATATCATCTCTTCAATATAACGCGTCAACGACGGTCGTTTAATCGACGGTTTATGTTAATTAGTAATTATACACCTTAGTCCGTTTAAAAAAAACTGTTAAAAGGCGCTTGGCAACTGCAAAAACTTGCATTGATTTTGCACCCTACGCGCCATAGGTCGTCACTTTTATTATAGATTGAAACTACGAAACGGTTTGAACAGGCAATAAAAATTCAATAGAAATCTTCTTAAGTTGAACAATAAGCCTGTGTCGTATAATATGCTTGTACTAGACCGCAATATATAGAATTAAGAGAAGTAAGGGGTAAAATGGGGCTAAGAGAATGAGTAAAAGGAGAAAAAATTTTGAACAGTATATAAGTAGCATTAGAGCTAGTCGAAGTCGAATCAATGATTTATTGTTATGTTGATGAAGCCTTTGTATAATAGTAGAGGAAATTTCATTTTGAAATGTGAAATTGATTGCAGTTTTAGCGGACTGAGTGCGGTTGCGCTGCAGGACGTCAATTCAATTGCAGTTTTTCTTTCTTATGTACATACACATATCGTAATTTATAGAGTTTTGAACAGTTTTATAAACGGATTATATACCTATAAACGAGTATAGCGCACATACAAGTACAAGCAGATGATTAGGGATTAAATCTTATTCTGAGCTGATTTGAAAGGAATAGACCTAAGTTTGTGTGCAATTTTGAAGATTTGGGGAGTGTAATTCATTCTTTCATTTTTACAATAATACATATCTTTTAAAAAATTGATATTTGTATAAATATCTTATATATAAACTAACAAAAGCTTCGTTGTCGCATATTGTAGTATTATAAGCAATAATTTATGCGCCACTAATTAATAATCAAGTAGTAAGAACTGCGCGAACGCAACTGATACATAAATATGTATTATAAAGGTTGAAGATAGATAGACAGAAAGAATAAATAAAGCAAGAAAGAAAAAAAAGAGTGAACGAGAAAATTGCGATTTAATCCATTGTCTTCGATCGAGTCGAATGGTGCTTGAACGAAAATTGATTGGCGTAGCGAGGCAGTTTGAATGCAGTTCGCGTTCCGATCAATTGAACGCATATCGATTGACAGAAAGAGTAGAAGGTAGAAGCTTTAAGTAAAAGAATTGAAATTTCTATTATTGATCAACGATTGACGGCGCTTTAGGGAAAAGGGAATATAGTAAAGTTTGATCAGAGTTATGAATTATTAGACTAGTCAGCGGAGGTCGCCATTCTGTTATAAACAATAGAGAATACGAAAAGAGAGGAGAAATAATAGTAATAATAATAAAATGGGGTAACAAAGAATATCGAATTCCATTGCGACCTGTATAAAGTTGAATCAAACGATCTATTGTTAGTTGATAAGAATGTAGAGAACAATTAGGCGACCGCCCTAATCACTAATTCATTATTGTCAATGCTCGTTTTCCAGCCGCCTTCGATCGGCCCGAACACGTATAGGCGCCAAAAAGCGACGCTATACTGTCGGGTGACGCTTTGAACGCCGCACTCCGGACAGCCAACGAACGAGTTCGTGCACGTCGCCGGTTTACGCATTTGCATATTAATCGTTCAGGGCATTTGAAGAAGTAGCGGTGAGGGGGGAGGGGGAAGGGGAGAGAATATGGCAATGTTTACCGGCGTTGTCAAGGTGATATGGCGCTAAAACCGTGCGTTTACTTCTGGACGGCCAGTCGGGGATTTTCGGCCGAGGAGGAGGTGCGTATATTTAAACTACAACCGTTCATGCTTTCGTAAGTATTTAAACATTCTTTCTTTAACTTATACTCCCTTCTCTCTTCAAGTTAGGACACGTAGATTAACGTGTAGTTAGTTGCATTCAACCGCAAATCTTCTTATATATAGCGAGTTTTGGCTTGCAACTTTTATTCATTCAATTGCCAACCTCCGAAGACGACTCTTCAACGCCTATAATACTTTATTATGGTATTTCTTTAAACTTTTCTTTAATTGTATAATCTAATTAAGTAAGCAGACAACAATTACGTCAACTCTTTCTCCAACTTTTTTTTCATATTTTCATATACAGTGTATTGGTGTACCGTATTTATATATATATATATATATATATATATATATAGGTATATATGATTCTATATATATATATATATATATATATATATATAGGCGGTGAAGAAAAAATCGTTCTTGTCAAACAAGACAAACAGAAGTCTTGTTCAAACTGAACATTGACGTTCCAGTTACCTGCTACTTATCGATTATGTAAAAAGGCGTTTTTGCGTCGTTTCGCCTTTTGCGAAACGTATATCATTCACTCCTGACTTTCCGTTGCAGTAGAGCGTGACGGCGCGCACAACGCTTTTAATGCAGAGAAAAAAACTCCTGATTAACGCGTTTGAATTTTGCGCGGTCGGTCAATTTTATTTGTATTGGTATAATCCTATTTCTTTATTATATATTTTTGTTGTTAACCTTATAATTTTCTTCCTTTCGATATATTCCCATATATATATATATATACTTTACGTATATATTCCCCGTCTTCTTCCTCTTCTTCCGCTTCTTCTTCTTCTTCTTCTCCTTCTTTTCTTCTTCCAATTGTTTCCTTACTCTTTTTATTGCCCTTTTCGTGTCTTTTCCTCGTTCATTCATAATTTACAGTCTACCTTTATAAATTTAATCATCCCCTTGCGCCCCTCCTTACCTTCTGGCATAGTTTCTTGCCTTCGGAAAAATATCTCCCCATTTTTATCGTTAATCTCTTACTCTTTGTCTCCTCCCCTTTTTTTAAAATTTTTAATCCCGCTTCTATACCCGCCCCCTTCCTTCTCTCCCCCTACCGGTACCTTCTCTTTTACCTCTTCCTCCAAGTTTTTCATTATTTATTGAGTGACGAAGCATAATTATGAACGAGAAATTTTCAATAATTCAACATCCTTATTCAAAACAGGCGTGCACGAACAGAAGTTGTAAAAGAAGCTTTTGAATTTTCTAATAGAAGTGACGAAGAGAAGACAAGATTGAACCTGAAAAATTATATTTGGCTTTTTATAGTTGCCTATTTAGATACACGTATATATCTAGGATGCTTTTAGTAGATATTTACACATTTATATACGGTATATACATACATATATATATATATATATATATTCATATAAATATGGAGATTTATACATATATTTATGAATGTATTATATATATGAAAAAGTATATATTTGTATCAATACGTCATATTGAAAACGAAATAACTTCTCTTCTCCGGTGTGTACATCTAAACGTTCAGACTATTTTGCAGTTGAACGCAGAGATGTACATCCTGGCGTCGAGAGAAAAACGCTTTTCGTTTTAATTGAAAAAGGAAATTACTTTGAGAATGAAGCGAACGCACGCAACTTCATTCAAAATTCACCTTAATCCGCCTAGTTTGCTGAACGCTTCTGATTGACGTATATACGTCTAATTTGTGTGTTCTGAATGCTTTAACATTTCTTTTAAAATGTAAACAAAACAACGCTTTCTAATAGCCTCTATTCGCCTTTCGTCTAAAAGTATGCAAGGCTTTAAGACGATTTTCGATTAAAGTCTTCACTACTTTTAGGTTTAAGGTTAATCTTTTCTGCTTCAACTAATTTTCCAAACGTGCGCGCATTAATTATGCTGATGACTTTTTTCTCGGCTCCAACGCCATCTGGCTGCAGGCGAATGTTTATAATGTTGTTTTCGTTGACAATATCTAATACACAATACATTATTCAACCTGTTTGTATGTTATTTATTTTATTCAGTATAGAATATATATACATATTTATTTATTTATATATTCTATATATCGATATATTTCATTTGAGTAAATTCCAGAGAATTATTATTAATTCGAACAAGTAAATTCACTACATTCCCATATTACCAGAATTATACTTACTATTATTATTATTATGATTATTATTATTATTACAAGTAAACAAAACTATATAGAAAAATTAAACGGCAACGCGGAGGGGAAAAGGAAAAGGAAGAACAAATTTACCTTTATCTTATTTTGATACAGTATACATAAATATCAATCTAGCTGTTATAAATGATAAACAAAATTTCTTTTCTTTCCTCTCTACCTTTCTTCTTCCCTTTTCCAATTAAGAAATTAGATTGCAAATTCAATATACGGACATGCACACGTATAATACTGTATATACGTATAAGATATATAGCAATCTATTTTTAATATATACATATTTCACCACTATATTAATAATATTATAATATTCATTTTTAATAACTCTTGTCATTATAATTATTATTTTTTTAAATACTATTCCTATCCCATTTTGTGAAATTTTAAAATTGGCAAGAGTCTCTGTGAGCTTCTGTTGGTCTTGTTTTCTGTTTTATTGAATTGGCCGGTTCGCTAAATGACCTTCTTCTTGGGCCCATTTTTTTAACGCTACATTTACATTCGTTCCAAAATTCTACTAAACGATTTTCGCTGTTCTGGCAGAATAATCTAAAATCAGCTAACATCTTATCTTGAAAGGCTTCGTCACCCGTAGACTTATTTCTCCATTTCCCGTTTAGCATATAGTTCCAAGCCCATAAAAACCCAGCGCCAGGCGCCTCGCCACTCATTCTCGATTCAATATAGAGATTATGCGACGACGAATTTATAAATCGCCTTGATTGACGTCTGGGCGTTGTTGGTAATGAATCGGGCCGACTAGACGCAGGTAAAGCTCTCATATCTGGTATTAGAGCCAGCATGCCGCCACTAGCGTGTATATACTGATCTTGAATATTCTGATTTTTCTGATTGGCATGGATCCCAATTGGTAGGAATCCAAAGCTAAGCAAAATTTTTTCCTGAAAGAGTTTCAAACGATTTTCCCTTGTAGATGGTTCATAGTCTTCGAATGGATGTAATTGTTTGTCGCAAACAGAGTGAATATTTAATGGGACGAATATTGGTCCTCGAAGTGGATCAGAATTTTCCGTGTACGGCAGAGCGAAGGGATCGCAAGGGATCGGCACAATATGCACCGTATCCAACCAATCTTCCGGTTCTCTTTCTTGCTTACTGGCTGGTAAAGACTTTCGGTGCCAAGCACCGATTAGATCTGATAAAGTAGCACCTGAACAATTTACGCTCTGAAATTCTAATTCGAAGGCAGTATATGGACAATAGCTTGGATGGTGCTTTAAATGCAACCACTCTTCACGATTACCGTGAGCAATTTCACTACAGTCCAACCGCGAAAAGACATATTTCGGTTCGTGTGATGGGATCCTTGCATCCTTTTCAAATCCATTCTTGCTGAACGAATGAAAGTACCATTCTTCTTCGCAAAAATCAATTTTGGTAAAGTGATTTAAATCCTTATTGAACAATTTCTTTTTTTCATCGATTAAATATAGCACGCAAAAGCCCATTTTTAATGCCCTAATATTTTCTTGATGCGGTGACGCAATATCTATTAGATTTTGCTTATACATCTCTTGTAATACTTTTATGGCTTGTTCGTTTGTACTAACGTCGACAACCTTATTTTTTAACCACTCACACGCGTCTGCAACAACAAAATAGTTAATATCGCAACTCTTAAATTTGAAAGCTTTAAAAGTTGCGCTATCTTTCATTTCGGCAGCAATAATGGAATAATCTGAACTGTAATTTAATACAAATTCACTCGATGTTAAACTCAACGATAAACTTTGCTTCAAAACGTTTCTAGGACAATTTTTAACGGTTTTTTGAAAACTATTTTTCCTTTTTAATTGATATAAACTTTCAATTGTATCCGTAAATGTTGTACACATTCTATTACAGTCTATATCCTTTAAAGTGTTATAAATATTGCATCGTTTTAAATCGTTTTCCATAATTTTCCTACTCAGCGAATAATGATATGGGGGTATCAATATAAATCTCATTCTCCAATATTTCATTGACGAGTCAACAGTATAATCTAATGATCTTCCCTTACAGGCTAAATAAGAATCAAGATACGTCCAATTTATATCGTCCGTAGCTTTACACACAAAATCTGTCCAGGAAACGTCGTAGCTTATGCTATCCGGAACTTGAAAACGGTACTTATAGGATAAAATTGTATTCGTTGGTCGTGCTTTCGGTTTATGGGTGGTTATTTTTACTTTATCCCCGTTCTCCGATCTATCTATCGCCATTTTATGAACAGTTTCACCTAAAGATAAATAGCGACAGCTTTTCTTGTCAACGGTTATCGCTTGATAGCCGTGAGATAGTCTTTGGTACATAAATTCTTTTAACAACTGTTCTGCATTATAGGCTTCGAGAGAAAAAAGAAAGTCCCTGGGATCGTAAAGGTAGTCGTTTTGGGAAAATGAGCAACTGTTTAAAACCCTATCCGATGGTAAAAAATCGGTAGTTAGAGGAAAACACGCAGGTAAGCAAAGCGCTTTCCAATCAACACCGGTAGATATTTCAGCTGACCAACTTTGTTCTCCCGTCACGCCCCATACATAATTATCCGTTAATTCTAAGCCTTTATTTGCTAAATCGTCCTCAGAGTAATTCCTTTGACAATTCAAGTCAATCGGCTTGTGATGTAACTGAATGCTATTACCATGACGGTTAATTGGGAAAGCGTGAGTCCATCGCCGTCTACTCGGCGTCATGGCGACTTTTACGTGAATGGGAGACGGTATAAAAGGATTAATACTTTTAGTTACAGATTCAACATCCTCATTTTTCTTGCTTATATCGTCATTTCGCTTAGTTGGCGAATCGAATGATACTGATCGCTTAACCAATCCCTGTTTACGGGTCTGTTCAGGAAAAGAATTATGACGTTGGCGACTGGACCTTTTCGTTGGACTCCTTGAAGTAGGTAGCGTCTTCTTAGGAATACCATTGCTTATCTTCACTAAATTCGACTCAGAGTTGTTTGTATTAAGCCTTCGAAAAATTTTCCTATCGTGTTCTTCGAAATATTCATCTCCAATATCCTCATACCCTTCTTTAGTAAATTTCCCCTTTCCATTACATATTCTATTTCTTGTTTTCCTCGGAGCTGTTTTATTAAATTTGATTAATATTAAAACGATTAGGTTTTTCTTTGCTAATTTATTTTTTAAATTAACAAAACAGAGAGCTTAAACATAAAGATATTTTCAAAGAAAGTGAAAATCACTAAGGATAGAAAGAGGAAAACGACGGAAGAAAATGGTAAGAGAACTGAGAATGGGGATTATATTCTATTACTTCAAAGAAAAAATCCTTTAAAATTTACTTGGAATTTTATAGCGAGTAGCACTCGATTGATTTTCAGCTTTGTTCAAAGAATTCTCGGTTGGCACATGAAGTCCATCTTTCCTATTAACTAGCATTGGAATGGAAATTCTCGGACGGAATTGTTTATTTCTACCTGCAGATGTTTTTAAATTAGCAAAATTATAATTAAAAAAAAAAGCTGTTCTTTTAAAAATTATGAAAACAAACCAGTTCCGACAACTGTTGAATAAAAACTATGATTTATCCAATTTGGTACAACGTAATCGTAGTCACTTTGTCTTGTTGAAAAATTCCTGACCCTTAGCAGCGGTACAGCATGTAGGGGTTGTTGACCCAAACAAACTAAATCCGAGCAATTACCGCAATCCAAAGTCCTCTGTCTGGTAACACGTACCATATCACTACAAACATCAAAGAGGCCAGCACCGGGTGAAACAACAATCGAAACTTTACCAGTTCGATCTAAACATCGATCAAGATAATATTTCTCAAAAACTATTGAGGATAAATGAAAAATATTGTTAAAAAAAATATTCTAAAACGTATTCTAAAACGGTTTATCCGTAAATCATACCGTTCAAGCTCATATTAAGAACTTCTAAAACGTTCCCTTTTATTGAATTTGATATTACTATAACAGGCTTTTGCAATAAAGTACTTTTTATCGAATTCTCGTAGTATTTATATATACTAGTACGATAATTTTTCATAATCCTTCTTAAAGTATTAATAACTGGAGTCCAATCGTCGTATCGTTCATTTTGTACAACAACTCTATCAAATAGATAGAAAAGAATCAATAAGGAAATTATTTTGCGGAAAAAGCTAAAAGGTATCGTATTTTAAAACGTTATTATACCTATAGAAATCTTCAAAAAACTCTCCATCGCTATTTTGTTGAATACATTCTTGCATTGCAGGTGGTAGTTGAGCTATTTATCATAAATAATACATTATTTAATTTCTTGTCTAAAATCAAAACAAATAGAGGAATGTGAAAAGAGGCATGGGTAACGGAGGAGGATGGAGGTGTGTTATAGCGAATGTAAAATAGAAAAAAATATACATGTAATTAAAGAAAAGCGTTAATTACTCACTTCTGGAGCAAATATTCGTATAATAAACTCTTGAGAATAGAGTGATTGTAACGTCATGATTGCAATGCTTATCTTGCCATGTATCAAATAAATCAGTTAAAAATCCGTCTAACGCTCTTTCATAATATAAATAACCATTCGTATCGGAATTCCACATTTCCGACGACATTTGTATAAAGATATTCACTTGGGCTGTATAAGATCTAAATGCTACACGACTAGTTTCCGAAACATATCCACTACTAACTCTCTTGCCACCTCTCCAAATCTCCGCTACTTGAACTCTATTAAAAATATATTAGTATTACTATTTTTTTGTTTGTTTTTTTTTTTTTACAAACCTTAAGCCGGAAAATTCTATTTTTTTATTCAAATAAACGCATGTATTTGTCTAAACAGTAAAAAAATTAGATTATTACTATTTTTTTTAACAGCCTATATATATATATATATATATATATATTAAATATCCTTTTTCATTTACCAAGCGTTCTTTTAATCTCATCATATCCGTTCTACTAAAATATTGATCTTTGAATGTAACTTCCACAAAATCCACGGTATACACCTAAAATGTAATAATAATAATAATAATAAAAGATGTAAAAGAACAAAAATTTTTAAAATATGCATAGGCCAATTATAATAGTAAAAAAACAAATTTAGCATTATAACGGTATATTAGTACTCAGGAGGTTTTAAGTTTGCTCTGAGTTATTATTTTTTTCCTGGATTTTTTTTATACAAATGTTAATAAATAAAAAAAAGATTCGTTACCTTAGAATTGACAACTTGTATTAAGGCGTCATGATATCTTTTTAAATGGAATTCATTTGCCAATTCACTAGAGACACTCACTGTTTCTGTTTTTATTTATAGTAATTTTTTTTAAAAGTTACAATTTTGGAAAATATAGTAGAATAGCTATTTATTAAAAGCTATAACAAAACTAAATTATAGTAATTATAAATTTACCTGAGCTTGTGTTTGCTCTGCTGGATGGTTCAGATATAGCTGGCTGCATGACAAGACTTCTGAAATGGTTACATTTTTAATTAATTAGTAACACTTCTTAAAAATTACTTAAAGTACATACAAAAGTATTTCTTTTCCGTTGGGAATTTGGAATTTTGTCACAATAAGTTTAATGAGATCCGACTCATCAAATGCACATGTATCTTTTGACACTAGTATATCGGAATCTATATGGATTATAGGTCATATATTAGTCTTACACATACTCACTTCGAAAATTAGTACTATACTTTGATTAGCACTTTTGCTTGTGTGGGAGCTTATTTTGACAGATTTCAATTTGTTTTTCATTGCAATCTTTTCAGACGCCATCCTTTCACAGAGCAAACTACTACGATATACTTTCAAAATTGTTAAAAAGTTGATTTTATAAAAGTTGCATTTTTAGGCTTATATCGCCCATTTCCCCTGTGTGTTTTACGGTTGCAGGCCAGCATTAACTGGTAGTTTATATATTTAAGATATTCTTTGTGAATCGTAAACGATTAGCGCCATTTTAGGAAGTCAATGCTGATTGGATGTTTTGGAAAAGTAGCCAATCACCGGTCCTTTAACACTTAACGCTGCCTTCATACACTTCTTCGGAGAGGAAAAACGTAATAAAGCATTTTTATCGTGTTTCTGATTTAAATTTTTATAGCATACGTCTAGACAGTGAGTGAATAATACATTCTATCAACATCATCGAGCGCATTATATATATTTAAGGCGTTTTTAAGCCTAACGTGACTAATATCTTCACTTAGCCGCTTCACGTGGTGGCAGTTTGCTGAGCGTGACTTAACTATCCCCCTAATTTATTAATATCCAAAATATAAACGATTAATATAAGTTTAATATTAAATAGGTATTATGGCGGAGGAAGAAACTTCAATAGAAACTACTGGAGATACTGAACAAGCTCAACGTTAGTATTGATCTTTATAATGTACCATTCTCGAGCATCTAAAAACTTTCGATTTTTTTTCAGAGGAAACTGTTAAAGACTTCAGTGCACAGCTACTTAAAGATCCCGGATTTCTGGCGGCCGTGCAGAAGAACATGGACAACATGGTTGGCCTATCATCCGGCTATATAGAAAATTTGCCCAAGGCTGTAAAGAGACGTATTAGAGCCCTAAAAAAGCTGCAGCATAAAATGCACATGATTGAAGGTACATTCCACGAAGAGTTGCACGAGCTGGAATGTAGGTTAGCTAAAAATTTGGAACCCCTTCGAGAACAAGTATGTTTGAAATTGTTATTCATTCAAAGAAAATAAGCACTACAAATATATATTTATTTCACAGCGATTTAATATTCTAAACGGAAATGTGGAACCGACTGATTCTGACTGCGATTGGCCAACTGATCAAGAGGAAGAAGAAGAGGAGGAGGAGGAAGAAGAATCGAAAGATAAAGAAAAAGAAAACAAAGAAGAAGAAGAGAAGAACATTACTGGGGTTCCCACTTTTTGGTTAACCATTTTCAAAAATGTACCATTGCTGAATGAAATGCTACAAGAGCACGACGAACCAATTCTAGAAAGTCTAACAGATATTCGAGTGGTTATGAGAGATTTATCCAATCCTGGATTCACTTTGGAGTTTGTCTTTGCTGAAAATGAATATTTTACTAATAAAGTTTTGACCAAAGACTATACCCTCTGCATCAAACCAGACGACAAAGACTCTTTAGTATATGAAGGAGCGGAGATCGTAGCCTGTAAAGGGTTCGTTAAACAATTTATATTTTGTCTTTGTTGTTATAGCTACTTTACTAGACTATTTTGAAGTAGTTATAACAACATTGTGATATGATGAAAAATCCATAATATAACAATTATATCAAATTTTATGTGCAATATAGTTTGTTATTTTTATAAAATTATTCATGTATTACATTATTTATGTATTTCAGATGCGAAATCGATTGGAAGAAAGATAAAAATGCTACCGTAAAAGTGGTTAGGAAAACACAAAAGCATAAATCTCATGGGTCCCGTAGGACTGTCACGAAAACAGTGAAAAGAGATTCTTTCTTCAATTTTTTCGATCCCCCTAAACATACTGAAGGAGAAGATGAAGCAAATGAAGAGGAAACTGATATGCTATTGGCTTCTGATTACGAAGTCGGACACTTCATTCGTGAAAGACTAATACCGAGAGCTGTTCTTTATTTCACTGGCGAAGCGCTTGAAGAAGATGGAGATGATGTAAGACCTTGATAATCTTTTTAATACGTTTGTATACCTTCACCAAATAAAATACTTTCGTTTTTATTAGGAGGATTACGAAGATGAAGAAAAGGAAGAAGACTATGACGAAGAAAACGATTCAGATTATGAAATGAAGGTATAGTTATAGAAAGCCAAAAATTTCGACTTGTTTGTGTTCAGGAAAAGATTTCGTAGTATTGTGCATGTTCTTTAAAGCTTATATATTTAATATAAATATATACTTTATCACCATTCGATATTCTCGTGCTGCTTAACGCTTCCTGTGTGTAATTTTGTAGCGTAATATGTTTCATTCTAAAAAAATACACTTGATTATTCAGTGCATTTATAAAAAATTTTTTTTGAACGCGCGTGATTATTTCAGAATAAAGACGGACAAACGTGCAAACAGCAGTGATAGCATCGAAAACAGTGGACATCAGCAGCAGCTTTGATGTTGTATATATAATCAGACTTTGTTTTTTTTTTTTCATATTATATACATGTTACAATAAACGAAAGGTATATGAAGAAAATAGTACCAACAATTTTATACATACAAGAATTACAACGAGCGCTCCTACTAGCTGTACTATAGCAAATTGATTTAGGCGGGATATTAAGATGCACACTAGAAATTTTTGATCTATCCAAACATGAAGTGTTGTATACAACATTTAATTCCATTGTATTATTGCAAGTGGTTTCGTTAGCGGGCTTAGGGCACCATTTATTTCTTATAAGGTCGTAAGATGACGGCAGATCTAAATTTGATAATAAAATTGATAATTTCTTTTATCGGATACATCTTAAAAGAGTTTTTAAATTATACCTATTAACTTTTTGTAAGTGTAGTAATTCCATTCGCAAGCATTTAAGCTGTGTCGAAACCACTGACTTTCAAAATAATTCATCCAACGAGAATTGAGTATTGATTCTATTATATTATTGGTTTTCTTGACGTAAAATGCAAATGGATTTGTTTCACCACCTCTATTTTTAGTTGATATTCTCTTTTTATATTCTTCATACAAATCTTTCGATTGAAAATCAATAAGAGCCACTTCTGGTCTTTGATCGTCTCCAGGAACAACTTTTCCAACTGTTTCGTTAGCAAACTCGAGATCGTAAGAACATAATAATGCGATCTGCAGTGTATACGGCTTCCAGTATTCAGGAAATCCAATTAGAACTGATGGCGAAAATGCATTGTGAGTTTTTTGGGAATGCAAAGCTTTTACACACAGAATGATCAGAGTGCAGCGTAACATACCTGCCGACAAACTGCCTTGTGGAGCTAGTGTATCAGATTACGACTTCCGCTACACTCATTCTAGGCTTAAATCACCTAACTAACTCCAGCTACATTCTTATGTCTGCAACAGTTCGAATCATAGAAGTATGTCATGTTAATTTTAAAGATAGTCTTCTGAGAAATTTATCGAACATACGTTATTTCTAAAGAGCAGCGATCAACTGATCGTTTTAAATACAGAATAAATTTTATTGAATTTTGTGAAAAATGCACATCAACATTATTATTATAATCTTATGATGGAGACTATAGGTAACTGTGGCATTGGTTTTGAATTTGAACGACGATTAGGGGAGGAAAGAAATCAACATTTAAAATTGAAATATTTAAACTTGTATTGCATGTTGAAGAATAGAGATTTGATGCCTTAATAACTTTTAGAAAGTAAGATGTCTCATGAGGCATTTGGCGATTGTTTTTTGCATAACTACACTCTAAACACTTTAAAACTATACAATTTTTACCACAAAGTATATTTTGTCTCTATACAGGATTTTTTTGTTTTAGTATCATGGCGGACAATTTCATCATAATCTGATAAGAACAGAAACGAGACTGTTTACTTTAATTTCCATTAACAAAGTCTTCACCCTTCTTGATGTTAGCTTTAAGTTCTGGCATTGCCTTTTTTAGTAGCTCAACTTCAAATTCCAATAATTTTCCCAATCCCAAATTTTTCTCTAAGCCTTTTTTGCCCAGTAGTAGAGGTGTAGCAAAGTATGATGCTTCGGTTTCATCAGATTTAACGTAGGCACACTCAACGATACCTTGTTGTCCGTTTAATGCACCTAACATAGAGTTAACAAATTTAGCCCCTGCATATGCCATAGATAAAGTGGCAGAGCCGGTGCCAGCCTTTGCCTCAACAACCTCTGTGCCAGCGTTTTGAATGCGTTCGCTAATACGACCTCGATCCGCCTAGACACATAAAATATCAATAAGTTGAACTGTTAACCAGATACTATTGTTAACTCACATAAGGGAAGGAGATAGCTGGGGTTGCTTGTGAAACCAAAGGAATAATAGTTACTCCAGAGTGTCCTCCAACAACTGGAACATTAACTTGGCTGACATCTAAATTCTTAGCCTCTGCAATAAAAGTATTTGCTCTGACTACATCAAGAGTTGTCACACCAAATATCTTATCAGGGTTGTGAACCCCGGCCTTCTTAAAAACCTCGCTTGCTATAGGAACGGTTGAATTAACCTAGGAAGTTGAATCTTTAATAAATCTCAATGAAATATAAAAAAAAGAACTAACAGGGTTCGAAATTATGCAAAGAACAGCTTCCGGACAATTTCTTGCGCAAGCTTCACTCAGATCTCTGACGATTGAAGCATTGGTATTAAACAAATCATCACGAGTCATGCCTACAATAAGGAAGTTTTATTATAACCTTTTGTTAAAATGTCCAACTATTTACCTGGTTTTCTTGGTACGCCAGCAGGAATAACAACAACATCAGCTCCCTGTAAACATGCGGAAAGTTCTTCAGGGCCTGTATGGCCCGTAACTTTTGCTGGGGTAGCGATATGACTAAGGTCAGCGGCAACACCTTTGGTATGGGCAATATCATAAAGAGCGAGGTGAGAAACTCTTTTATTTTCTTTCATTAAAAGTGACAATGGCTGTCCGATACCTCCACTTGCTCCCAGGATCACCACTTTGTTACTGTCCTGTGTAAAAACATCCCGGTTAGATTAATTATTCCGATTCACGTTATGTACATCTGATCTAAAAAGTGAAGTCAAATAAACCTGCTGGGTTGTCGAGAATGATCGACCCAAGACAGACAAAGCTTGGAAACTTCTGGCTGATACGAAACGTGACAACATTTTTGTACTTTTCTGCAGAGTTTGTTCAATTACACCGCTGGGGTCAAAATGGCCGACTAAGAACGATATTATTCTCATATTCGTATTTTCGTCTCTTTAGTAAATATGATTTGTGTTATATCTTTACATTTGAAAAAATTAAAATTTCCTTTCGTTAAAATATTTTCACAGATTTTTTTACCGAGTACGAAACACAGACCTATATTCCTCGTTACCACGAGTGATGATCACGTGCTTATTTAGGCGGATAAAAGCTCGTTGTTTAAAAAAGCATTGAAACGTGTTTTAATTGTAAATTTAACTATTTATATGATTATTTTCAGTTGTATTACTCAACAATTTTTTATTAGTTTATCTTTTAAAAAAAATTATGAACTTATTAACATGATTAAAATTTGTTATTTTCGTGAAGGGAGATAACTGAAGATGTTTCTATGCTAAAAATAAACACCAGAATGCTAGATTCAACAAACATGGATTTCTGTTGTATAAATTGAATGAAATTTGAATATTACGTATTTTAAACTTTATTTGAATATGTAAAAATAGAAATTTCACGTCATTTTGGCTAATAGAAAGTTTGTTTAAGACAACGGCAAATTCTAGGCTCATAAAATAGATATCCATTATAAAAATCAGTCAAGACATAGTTATATACAAATTATTCAATTCAAATTTTTATCTATTTTTTAATATGCATTTAGAAATTATTATTTGTAAAAGAAATTGATATTTTCTAGACATTTTTCTTGTTTATTTCATTAAATACTCCATTTTTTATATTTCTGTATGCTTTCTTAACATTTTTTTTCATTGTTTGTTTTATGAAATATCTATTTTAATAAAATATTTAACTAAAAGTTGAAAGAATCGTGAAAAGAAAGCTGGAAAAGACTGGTACAGTTGGATACAATTTAGATCATTTTTTATATAGAGTACTAAAAAATTGTTTACTTGTTTATTAAGATATGTTTATGTACTAATTTCAAGCGATGAATGTTTAAAAGAGCGATAAACAAAATTGAGTAGTTAAGTAAAAATTGAGTTTTTCAGTCGTCAGGAAGATAATTTTATAATCATATTTTTAGTGTCTAATCGAAGGATCAAGTATTACAAGCAGCAATTTATATTAAAGTAATACTAACTGTGATTGACTATCATAATTTTTATGGAAAATCTTCTGTGATAATCCAATATATCATGAAATTCTATATTTTAGTTTTGAACATTTCAGCGGCAAAATTTAGGTAAAACAACCTGAACATACAGTATAAACTGGTAAGAACGAAGGAGGTTGGCATTCAGCGACGAATTATCGCAGAGAAAACATCACGTGGAGCATCGAGTCTCAAATTTTTTAGAACTGGAACTGTATATATTTTTCGGTTGTAATATTAGGTGGGACAGCCTTACAACTGTAATTACAGACAATTATATGTTTTCAATTTAAAGAATTAGAATATGACAACACCAAATGGAAATTCGTTTTGCATGGAAGAGGAACCTCCAGCTCCATCTGAGACTCATCATGACATGTTGGGCTTTCGATCAGATTGTTCACAGTATCATCATCGACAAATGTAAGCATCAATGTCTGTAACTCTGTTTCAGTTCTATCGAGATATTAACAAGATTTTCAACCAAGCAGAAGATATACTTCAAATGCTTATTTAATAACTTTGTAAATATTCAATATTTAATTCTGCAAACTTTTCAGATCAATTAAAGATACTAAGAAATTACGTAAGCGGGAAAATAAATGGCTAAAGATGATTGGTAAATGGGATAGAACAATTGAGCGTCGTTTCCCTTTGGTATGTATGACTTATTTGGTTTATGATATAATTTACAACTAAGCATGTCATAACAGATTCGAAAAAGATGCCGTAAAGGTATACCGTTCTCACTACGAGCAAGAGCCTGGCAACATTTATGTAAAAGTGATAATGAATCTATTCGTATTCGTTTTGGTACTGAAGAAAACTTTGAGAGTTATAAGGAAGACAAAGATGCAGCTTATAAGATGTATAATGTGCGTTATTTTCCTTTGTTATCCAATGAAATTTGAAGTCTATCTTACAGTCAATTTTCTTGTTCTAGCACTATCTCACGGCCAATACTAATCCTGAAGTCGTAATGGAAATAAAACAAGATGTTGGACGACAGTTTCCTAATAATAAACTGTTCTATGAAAATGGCAAGAGCAATCTAGGCCAAGAAAGTTTGGCAAATGTCCTCATCGCTTTTACTAATGCTCGTCCCAGAACTGGCTATTGTCAAGGCCAAGGACCAGTTGCTGCTTTCCTTTTAATGCATATGCCAGAGCATGAGGCATTTTGGACACTTATTCGAATTTGCGACCAATACATTTGTGGTTATTTCGACGATGGTTTACGAACTCTACGTCTCGACGCAGAAATCCTTATGAATCTCATTAAATATGTACATCCGAAAGCGTCCAAAAAAATGGTACGTCGCATTATCAAATATATTTTATTTAAGATAATTACAATCTCTTTGTTTTAATTAACAACTAACAGAAGGCAATGGATGTGAGACCTGCAGAATTTATGATTGAATGGTTTATGTGCCTTTTTACTAGAACTTTCCCTTGGCCAACTTGTGAACGTATTTGGGATATGTTCTTTTGCGAAGGCGTTAAAGTTTTGTTTCGAGTTGCTTTAGTACTTATAAAGGAGTGTTTACCCAATGATGTTTTAAAAGCGTGTACCAATAAATTCGATATTCTCTCCAAACTAAGATCCCCACCTGCCAAAGTCCTGAAGGAAGATTATTTAATTCAACAGGTTTAATCATGTAAAATAGTTTTATTTTCATTATTATATTTTCGACATTTCATTTCAATAGTGTAAGGAATTACCGGTGAATGAGTATCATATGGAGAAAGAGCATAGAAAACAATTACGTAACATGCGAGCATGTGAGGTTATATCAGTACCTCAAAATGGTGATACATCAGAAGTAAATTAATGAATTTTGAAGCATATGCATTTGATAGGAAGGGATACCGGTGCTATTAAAGTCTTGCAAATAGCAAACAAGTTCCGAAGCAATCTCTTGTTTGTTTTTGTTCGGATTGTCATTTATTTCATATCATTTAATATTAAAAAGAATTTAACGAATTTTGGGTTCACCCGTTAAATTTAATTCGTTTACCTCAAAACCTTGATAAACCAACATGAAATTTATTATTTTTGTATTTTTTACGGATCATGAAATGTTCGTTAAAGGTAAGGATTTAATCTGTTGTTGTTACAATACTCGTTCAAATATTGAAAGATAAAAAAACTATTTGCTATTTATAAAAATTAATGAAAATATATTAAAAATGTTAAGACCAGTTACAAATTCTGATTCCACTGTTCGTAGTTATCGCATTTAAAATGATTATCAGTATAATTATAATTGTCAAACTTTCCATAGAGATGATCAAAATGAACAATACTATAATTATAATATTTTGATATTTCGAACATCTGATCATGACTAAGATTTATGATATCACTCTTATCAAATTTTCTGGTTAGAGGATTATGAATGAAAGTACTTTCCCTATACAGGTTGGCAAATTTCTTATCAAAAGCGTCAATATTCAACACTGATAATAATGAGCATTTTGTTGAAAAATTTGAGCATGATTTTCTCTGTTTTTTACAGGCGCAGCAAGTAAACTTTGGTAGAATTACTACTCTTTTAGATAATTGCCCAATTTTCATTGCATTCTTTAAGGCTTGTATTTCTTTTAGATAATTATTTTCTTGAAAGTCAATAGAATTACCATATGATATGTATTTAGTTACTCTGGATGAGTAATAACCACTGGTATCCAAACTCCACAGAAAGTTTTCTTTAAATCTATAAATTTTTGCGGCAATCGAACCAATATAGTTATTATGAACAACAACGGTATCTTTCGAACCAGGAACTCCGAATTGTCTATTATCTTCGTTGAAATAATAAGTACCACAAGTAAAATATTTGACAGGAAGCTTATTGATTTTGATAAGGTGACTTTGATTTCTAAGCTTTCTTATCTCAAGAAGTTCATTGAAGTAGCCTTGATCATGTGACATTCTCTTACTCAACTTAAAATTAGACCATAGTTCTTTGAAAAAGTTTATACTGGCTTTTGTTGGTTTTATATACATAAATCCTGTATTGTGTTGAACACGATCCATTTGCATATGGATATCACACTTTGTACACGTAAAATAAGGAAATGGATCTTTAAAGATGATAACATCTAAGTCGGTGAATAAAAGACTATATCCTCCTTTTAAAGTTTCCAATACAAGCAAAGATTTCAAGTTTGTAATTGAATAATAAACATTTGTACCAAAATTACCAGCACCATTTAAATTGTTGTTTGGTGGCAGAAAAAAACAGGAATGTTGAATGAAACTCCATCTAATAGTAATACTTTTAGATAAGCAAATAAATAAAACTTGCTGAAATTTAAAAGGTAAGATTGAGGTTTTATAAAAGTTTTTCAGCATTGATTCGTAGCCTTCGTTAACGATTGTCATTATAATTGTAGAGTTTGTTTTAAAATGAGACTTGAGATGATTTCTAAAACGATTTAAATCGTCTTCTGCTACCATTTCATTATCAATTAGATTATTATTACTTTTAGAACTTAAAAATTCGGTAATTGTCACTGTGTTTGGAGGTTGTGTTATTATTTGTTCCTGATTTTTCTTTTTTAGCCAAATTAAGTAAACAAAAAGAATAATCGTACAAAATAATAAAGCCCGCCATCGATGTCTTAACATTTTACCGCTCACCAATAGTTGTTTATTTAAGTGTGAAGGAGTTAATCGATCTCACAAATTGACTAATAGCTATCTCTTTGATGAGAAATACTTCTTTTTCAGTTGTTATATCTTTCAAAGTGTAGGAATCCATAGAAATACAAACTTAATTTTACAAACTCTACCCAGTAGTAAATTCGAGCAGACGATTCATAGAATTGGGCTGGTTGGGTTAATTTAGTATCTAGAACCAGTCTAATTGCTGCGGTCTTGATTTTTATATCGATCAATCCTGCTGTTTCCTACAAGATTATGAAAATTTGTGTCGTCTGTAGTAAACGAACAGATGGCGGCGCAGAATGTTCCCAAAATGAACCAAACTTAGCTTTTTATTATTAAATAATTTAACCAATTAACTGATTATATCTTTGACGATTGATTAGCGATTAAAGGGGAAATGACTGGTATGAAATTAATGGTCTTCATCTAATTTGCTTTCGAACAATTATTTATTTTTGTAGATACAACAGAACAAATGGAGGAAATCCACAAAAGACTCCTTGCTAACGTGAAGAAAGAGGTAAGACCGTAAGCATTTGCAAGATATGCGTTCGATTGCATTAGAATTTTCGTTACATAAGGTTAAACAAATTATGGAGGAAGCTGTAACCAGAAAGTTCGTGCATGAAGAAAGCAGTTCTATTACATCGTTATGTGGTGCTGTTGAAGTTTGTATCCAACAAGGACTTCGGAAGCGTGCCTTAGGTTTATTCAAGAATAGTTCTAATACACAAGCGCTTCTCTCCAAATTAAGTCGGACATTCGAACCTGCTACAATCGTTTCAAAAGCATTGGCAGAATACGAAAGCGGGTAGGTTAAATATATTTATTAAATTATTTATAACTTTCCACTCAATATATGGGCATCATTCATTTATATTTATAAACAGGAAATCAAATAATCGATCATTGATGCAAGGTCGCAATCAAGCAGCTAATCCAGTGAAGTATTTATGGATTCGTATTGCTTTGTTCGAGAAGCAATTAGCAAAGATTGTTTCCCATTTATCAGAGAATAATAGGTAACAATACGGCTTTATTAAACATCCTGCATTAGTATATTTAATTCCTGTTTATACCTGTTAGCAAATATTATGAGAAGGATGCTCTTATGGCTAATCCAGTTGACGGCCCAATTGTCGGATCACTGTTGGTGGGACCTTGTGCCCTTGATTATACAAAGATGAAAACTCCAGATCATTACTGGACCGATCCACCAGCTGATGAATTAGTTCAGCGTCACCGAATACACTCCAATGCTGTTAAGCCTAAGCATTTAAGTAAACAAGACTCCCCTAAGCGTCCAAGTTTACATGTACGCAGAAACACAAGTTCAAGTAGCGAAGAGAGTATGCGGAGCGTTCCATTATCCGCGAAAGACTACGTCGAAAGCCTTCATCAAAATTCCAAATCAACATTGCTCTACGGGAAGAATAATGTATACGTTCAAGCGGTAATTAGATTCATTTTTTGTATTAAAAAAAAAAAAAAAAAAAAAAAAAAGATTTTTATCGATTATTTTTGGGAATAGTTGTATCATGAGTATCTTTTAGAAGGTTGAAAATGAAAAGCTACCTGGATATTTGTCTCTCCATCAGTCGGGTGATGGTCTATGCATAAAATGGACTCCGAATCAATTAATGAACGGATGTGGGACAATGGCAACAGCCAATTCCACAAATGGTAATCATAAAGAAAACGGAAATTCTACCGATGATGCTGAACGAAATAACAGCGTCCTTTGGGACTATGCTGTGAATATATTTGTAGATGATATTGTCTATCTACATTGCCATCAAAAGCGTAAGTTGTTATAAGAGTTGATTGTTCTGTACTGTATATTATTAAAAGTACTTTTTATACTGAATCAGAGGATACTGGAGGAACAATTGTCTTAGTTGGACAAGATGGAGTGCAAAGGCCTCCTATCCATTTTCCCAAAGGTGGTCATTTATTGGCATTTCTTTCTTGTCTTGAAAATGGTTTACTACCGAACGGCAGATTAGATCCACCATTATGGTCACAAAGAGGTAAAGGTAAGATTATTATACTGTAGTATATAGTCAGTAGGCATAATGAAATTTAGTATTTTAGCGAAGATGTTTAACAAGGAATATATTTCATAGGTAAAGTGTTCCCTAAAATGAAACGTAAAGCAAGTCGTAATTCTCCACTTTCAATATGTGAAGACTTTCAATCACAAGATGACGAATCAACGGATTATGTTTTCAGAATTGTCTCTACGTCAAGGCCTATTTGTAGTAGTAAGTATTGATCGAAAGTTAAATTATATACTTTTTAATGTATTTCCCCCCTTTGCGCTCTAATTTAGCAAAAAAATTGACGGTTATTTCGTTATTTATAGTTTGTTTTGTAATGTTCACCTAACAGCTGCTGACCTACTTGAAACAAAACCAAAATTGTCGCATTCAACCGCATTCCCTTTCCCTCCACCAAATAGTAGACAACACAGTGATGGTAAATGGTGGAGTGTATCTAGTGATGGTACTCTTAGCGATAGTGAAATCTTACAAAAGCAAAAGGAACAACAACAGCAGCATGAGGAAGCTGTCAAACAGCTCTGCGATACAATGAAAAAACAGATAATATCGAGAGCCTTTTACGGATGGTTGGCTCATTGCAGGCATTTAAAAACGGTTCGAACACATTTAACTGGTCTTGTCAATCCAATATTAGTAGGGTCGGATGAAAATGGCCATCTATCAGAAGAGAATTGGAAGAGATTGGCCTGTTTAGATGGAAATGGCATTCCCGAGGAGAACATACATGACATTCATAAGTTAATTTATTACGGCGGTTGCGATCACAATATTAGGAAGGAGGTATGGCCATATTTACTTGAGCATTATTCACCTGGATCTAGTCGAGAAGAGAGAAAAGAGAGAGATAGACAAATGAAAGATCATTACGAAAATGTAATGTCACAATGGTTAGCCGTTGAGGCTATTGTTCGCCAACGAGATAAAGAGTTAATGGCAGCTAGCATGGCCAAATTGGCAAACCCACATATAAATGATTCGTTGACTCTAGTCAGGAATGATTCCAGCTTGTCGAATGACGTGTTTGAAAGTGTTGATGACGCGGAACCATCAACTGGTGCTTCTAAGCAATCACCGCTGGTTGAGTGTCCTGAATCTGAGATGTCTGTAGATCGGCCTACTTCATTAGGTTCACCACCCCCATTACTGCCGCCTGCTACCCAAACTCCACACTCTACACCTACGTCACCAGCGTCAAATGGTGGTGTTTATTCAGGAGCTATGTTGGAAAATGTTGCTCTTAATTGGCATCGAATAGATAAGGATGTACAACGTTGCGACAGAAACTATCCCTATTTTTCAACATCTGTCAATTTAGATAAGCTGCGTAATATTATGTGTACATATGTATGGGAGCGTTTAGACGTGGGTTACGTTCAGGGAATGTGCGATTTGGTAGCACCTCTTCTTGTTGTGCTAGACGATGAAGAACTAACATATAGTTGCTTTTGCGAACTAATGAAGAGAATGTCTGCAAATTTCCCTCATGGAATTGCAATGGATCAACATCTCGCTAATATGCGTTCCCTTATACAGGTAATTATTTATTTTAAAAAAAAAAACGAACATCTTCCCTCTTATAGAGCAAGTTTAAATCTTCCTAACAGATTTTAGATTCCGAACTTTTCGAACACATGCATCATAATGGTGATTATACCCACTTTTACTTCTGCTACAGATGGTTTCTATTAGACTTCAAAAGGGGTTAGTTACATTATATTTCGATTTTAGAATCTATTTAATAAATTTCGTTTATAATCATATAACAAAGATAATTAATGTTCTTATTTTATTATCTTTCCTATAGAACTCGTTTATGAAGATATTTTTAGCGTTTGGGAAACAATTTGGGCAGCAGCGCATATAAGCTCTAAACATTTTGTCTCATTTATTGCCTTGGCTCTAGTTCAAACTTACAGGGGTATTATACTCGATAATAATATGGACTTTACAGATATTATAAAATTCTTTAACGGTAAGTTTTTATTATTTTTCAGATCGTGATGGAAAAAATAGAATAATTTTTCGTAGGCATATAGCTTTCATTATTTCCTTCTTATTTTATTTACAGAAATGGCTGAAAGGCACAATGCCAAGGAAGTTTTGTCTATTGCTCGTGACCTTGTTCGGAAATTGCACGAATTAATAGAGAATAAATGAACAAGATAAAGAAAATAAAATTTGGAGGTGTAAAAATGTGAAGGAAATAAGGAGAATATAGAGTAACAAACAAGGAAAAGAGGAATAATTCTTTCTGAATATATATTTTAGACCCAATCAACTCTTCTCTCTTCTGTAAAATGTAAACTAAGTCAAAGAATATTTACAAATTTAATTATTGTGCGTGTTAATCGTTGTAGATGTTGTACGTGACACACAACTTCATACGGCTAAGAAGCTGTTTATATATTCCATATGTGAGTCCTTGAGCCTACATTTGTGATTCTTACATATATATACATATGTATATGCGTGTTAAAGCCTTTTTATTTTTATCTTCTAGTCATAAGTCATGCAGATTTAAACCTGTAAAGAAAAACCTACTTTACGTTAATATAAGTTATAAGCGTCATAATAATTTTTTGTTTTTTTAATGTTAATGTATATATATATACAATATATATTAAATATTCTGCATACTAATTACACTCCTATCGAACAATCAATGAACCAGAGCCATCTATTGGTCTTAATACAATTTAATCCTAAGGTTGTTTAATTTGGCTGAAAGTGCAATTTATTTAAAAGGAAAATAACAAAGCATATTGAGAATAGTCCTAATAATATGAAAATATCTGGGGTTTTTTTATGATTGATACCATAAAAGAATAAACTAACAGCAGTTAAACTTAAAAGCTTTACTGCGGAAAAACAATAAGGCATCGTATTGCAGACTTTGTTAGCCCAATTTTTGTCATTTCAAATACACACGTATATTTATCTTTTAAAGATAAAACATTACAACTAATAATAGAAATAGGAAAATGTAAAAAGCGTCAGGAATACGATCTCTAGTAGCTGCTCTTGTCACAACGTTAGCTGGCTATTGCGCCGCCCGTCTTTTAGACCAACCCGGTAATATTGCTAATATGGCGGTTGAGTTTTCTCAGTTGATAACGACGACGACGACGTAGAAAAGATAATGGAAATATATAACCGTACAAGGAGAAATCAACTTGTTTTAACTGTTTGTTTATAACGAAATTTAAATGAATGCTGAACGTATAAATATGAAGGAAGAAAAGGAAAAAAGTTGCTTGGAAACGACGATTGAACAGTGCCAGCAGATGCAAAGGCTCATAGATATCTCTGCTCAAGGTGTAATCAAATTGCGAGATATGACGATCGAAACTGAAAGCGCAGCCTTAATAGAAATACAAGAATTGGAGGTTTGTAACAAAAAAAAAATGTTTCTTTCAAAGGCAATCGACTTATTATAATTGTCGATCACGATAATGTAAAAAAAAGAAGAAACAATGTATAAATTTATAATATATTTCTCCCTTAGGCAAAAATGATTAAGAATTATGCACTACAACTGAAAGCCAAACAAGATGTACCTGAAAGCGAAATGCCCCGCGAATTACGTCAATATCCACAATTAACTACATGGCTAAAGGTAGTTGGTTTCAGTGAATTGATGGCAGAAAATTTATCAAAGCACTTTAATTATATGGACAATCTGTTACGTATGGAAGATGCTGATATTCGAAATGTATTAATTAACTTTGATTGTGAGAAGCATACAGATCAGCTTATAATGGCTCTTAATAAACTTAGAAGATATGAGACCTCTTCACCAGACTCTGATTTGTATTGGTCATCTTCCCCACCGTCCGCTAGCCTCCATCGAACCATTTCTCAACAACAACCCGAATGGCATTTTAATAAGCAACCAATCAATACGTTTTACAGGACTACTTCAACCACTCCTTCTCATTCAACACCGGTGTCTCCGTCCCCTTCTCCAAGTCATTGGGCCAACCGATATAAAACGGCAAAGAATGCTACTCCTCCACCTCATAAACGTTTAACAATTTATCCAACTGAGGGCAATTTTCCACCTCCACTTCATATATCTAGAAGCTACGAGTCGCAGTTGGCAGCCCGCGTGGCTAATCACCATTTAGACACTGAAGCTAATCGGTCAAAGAATCAAAAACCAATGCCCAACTTGTCGATTAACGGTAAAATTCCGCAAACGCCGAGAAGAAGATCGGCAGGCGACCCGGAAACATTACAAAGGATGGCTTCAGGTTAGATATTACTTTTATTACCATCTAATCTAACTAATATAGGGAATAGATCTAATAATCAAGAAATTGGAAAAGACTATATACTATCTCACTCTTTTCTCCCTCTCTTACTCTTGGAAATATCACTCTATGACAATACCATTTTATAGAATAAAAATAAATTGTCATCATGATTTGATTAGAAAGATCAATATTTAATCAATATTTAAGTCTTTTAATATGTGGGAGATGCATATTTATATCTATATGAATTAATACACTTAATAGATCTATTTATAATATATTAATACCAATTATAATCTGTTATTTATTGCAGAGAACCAATTGCCTGCGCCTACAAGTCCAAAGAATATCAATGTAACACCTCGTAGGAGCATGAAGCACTCAATCACTCATATGTAAGTACATTTATTGCTAATTACTAATAATTGTTTACGGCGGTTGTTAATATAGCGAGTTTTTATCGTATCAGTTGACAGTTGTTTGCGTTTTCTTTAAGCCTATTGCAGTTGAGCCTGATGAAAAAAGAAGAATTACTGGTAAAGATTTATCTTGTTTAAATAAGCGACAGGTGTCAGATCCTTTTTATTGATACGGAAGATTAGTTAACAAATATTTTAACACACTCTTCTCTTTCTATTTTGCTACATCTTACTTTTTTATCTTTATCATTATTATTTTTTTTTTTTTTTAACACCTCCAGAATTGTTAATTTAAGATTAATTAAGTGGTCGTTGATTATCTTATATTCATTTTATAACCGTTATCAGGTTTCAAAAAAAGTTCTTCTTGGGAGATAATTGCGATCATTGCTCAAGAAAGATGGTAGCCCTTGGGAAAATATGCAAACATTGTAAACAGAAATTTCATAGCGAGTGCGCGGCAAAGACACCCCCTCGTTCCTGTGGTCTACCTGATCAGTATCTTGACTTTTTCCTTGAGACAAATAGTAGTATGGATTCGCCTTCGGTTTCAAGACGCATGGGTTACCCTTCGATGTCTAATGAAGCGGTTCAAATGGCCGAAACGGTCTCCATGGCTTCTTCGTGCAATTCGTCTTCTTCTTCCTCGCCCGCGACATTTATGCCTAGCGCCAGCGTACCAAATACTCCGTCTTCGACGGCCCAACCATCGCCAAGAGTGCATATAACTTCCGAGAATGGGTCAGTCGAAGCTTTTTCTTTTCCAGATCAAGCGATACTTCGTTCAAAGCCGATGGACTATAGGCCATCGTCTCCTTCTACTGCTAGCACTTCGTCAAGTAGCACAACAGTTTCAGCTGTAACAAATGAGGCTTCAACCATGGTGGTTCTTAGCAATTCCGGTCATTCTAACCAAATTAATTCTGTATCTGAAAATTCTAATTCAAATTGTATTGATGAAAACGAAGACATTATTAATACTTGTACATCGAACGATAGCGATAAGAGTGATGTAACACTTATTGATAGTGCCTCGGATAAAGCATCTAATATTGAGAGATTCGATTCGATTGAGAGTTCAGAGGAAACCGGTCATGGTCTCAGTCGAGTGAATAGTGTAAGTTTTTTTATTATTTCAATTAAAGAGAACAGATAAAATAACAGTATTCGATAAATTTACTATTTCAAATTGATGATTATTGATATTAGTATGTTAAGTCTTATCTTTTATTTAATTTCTAACATATAGATATCAGTTGCTCTAAAAGAATGGGACATTCCAATAGAAGATTTAATTTGGGGAGATAAGATTGGAGAAGGACGATTCGGCAGTGTTTGGAAGGGGAAATGGCATGGAGAGGTAGCCATTAAAGCACTTGATATAGATAAAGAGCTAGACGAAGATGAGCAATTAAGAGCCTTCAAGTTGGAAGTGTCCACACTTAGAAAAACCCGTCATGATAATCTTGTACTCTTCCAAGGAGCTTGCATGAAACCCCCTCGACTCGCCATCGTGATGAGTTATTGTAAAGGGGATACCCTTTACAAAAGTATTCACGAGAGTAAAAGTAAAGTACAAATGAGTAAAGCTATACAATTCGCTACCCAAATTATACAGGGACTGGGATATTTGCATGCAAAACAAATTGTACATAAGGACTTGAAAAGCAAGAATATCTTTATTGTCGGCAATAAGATAGTTATTTCGGATTTTGGACTACTCAGCTTAACAAAATTATGTAATACTTATAAGAATAGGCGCTTAGGAGACGCCTCCTGGTTATGTTATTTAGCTCCTGAATTGCTCAGATCCTTATATGTTGGACGTCAACAACCGAAAGCGCCTAATATGCCTTTTTCATTCGCTTCCGATATGTTCGCCTTTGGGTAAGTAATCAAATTCAATATTTCTTTTTACACCTTTTCAGAGGAGATGTTTGTTTCTATTTACAGTACCGTTTGGTATGAGTTAGTCTGCTCTGAATGGCCTTTTAACAAACAACCAGCCGAAGCCATAATCTGGCAAGCAGGAAACGGAATAAAACAACCACTAACGCACGTAAATGCGTCTAAAGACGCAAAAGATTTAATAATGAGTTGTTGGAAGTTTGACCCATCGAATCGGCCTAATTATAATGAAGTACTTGCAATATTAAAGCATTTGCCTAAGAAGAGACTAGCCCGTAGTCCCTCACACCCAGTTCATTTAACTCGTTCCGCCGAAGCCGTCTTCTAGACGCCAACGTGCTTGCTTCATGCTTGTATATTTCATACAGCAAAAAAAAAAAAAATGCAATAAAAAAATTTTTTTCTTGGAAGTGTCTTGCTATGCAAGTCTTTACAAAAAAAAACGATGTATTTCTAGTCATAAATGGAAATCATATTGGAATACGATTGTATAAAATTTTAAAAATAACAACTTTTTTTTATCTATATCTATATATAGAATTCTATATATATATATACATATATGCAGTTCAGGCATACAGATAAACTTATAAGCTTACACAATCTTAACATTCATACAAATGTTTATATTAATATTCTCTTTTTTTTATATAAATGTGTATATTAATTATTTATTATTTTTAGTAAAAATAAAAAAAGATAACTTTTAACTAACAAATCTTAATCCTAAACATCTTCTGTATCCTTTATAAGTTGATCTTGTCCATTACTTTTTTCTTCCGGTGGTAAATTCTGTATATGTTCTTTCCATAGTGCGGCAGTAATATCGTTTGTCGTTATAAAATTACAATTATGACCGATAAGACGAATCAAAAAGATACCGTCGCTTCTCAGATATTTAGTAACAAAATATTTAATCTTTTCATCGGCGAGCTCTCCTTGAAATCTGGCTGTTGCCAAGTGATTTTTAATGTAGCGTAACTTATCACTCGGTAAGATAGATCTTATCAGCCAGGTTAAAAAGTTCAACACGGTTATAACAGCAACCATCATAAACCAGAACCATAAAAAGACATAGATTTTCTCATTATACATATTAATAGGGAGTACGCATTGAACAGAATAGCGATGGACGTTTCCCAAACGCCTGACGAAAAAGTCGCACATAGTAACCGTAGGAAAGGTATGACTGGCTGAGCTCATCCAATGGTCTGCATGCTCTTTTCCTTTAAGGAAATCGATTCCAAACGCTCCATACTTCGTTCCTAATATTTTATTTAAAACGAGTAATTGAATAATTACATTTGCGGCGTATAAAACTTTCGAAAAGAGGAATATCATTAAGAGATAGCCTGAAAAACGTCTGGAACACACAGCAGATTTGATTTTGTTCAAGGTCGAATTATTTTCTCCTTTCCTGGCACTTGTAGCTGTCAGGAAGCGATGTATCTGTTTAGACAAGAACGTTAAGGTCTCCTCTCGTTTCTTCTTTTCTTTCATATCTGCAATTTTGTGAGCAGTTTTGAGAATATCATCCGAATCCACTCCGGCACGATCGTTTAATCCATGCCAAACGAAGGATGGTATATAGAAGAACAAAGCCTGTCCTAGCAATATAAAAGGTATCCATTGATAATAGGGTAATACTCTTCTTTTTTCATTTTCATGCTCTCTCGGTATATAATCATCAAATGGAAGATAATAAGTATTTTTAACCCAGCAATAAGAATTCATATACTTCTTATGACTTCCGGTGAAATGTTTCGGCTCCCAACAGTTAAGGGGTTTCCCAATAAAATACTGTTGGCCTGATACGATAATTGCAAATGCTACAATTATCGCTACAGTATATCTAGAGCTTAAACGATCAGCCCAATCGTCATCTCTTTTCACATTATCACCCTTAGAGGCTCCTTTAACAACTTTAACAATCTTATCCATAGTCCTAGACCTTGCTGAACGAGACTGTCAATGAGAATATTTAAAATAATATTAAAAAAAGAAAGAAACGTTGACTTTAGAGTTTATGCAAAGTTCATTTAAATTTTTTTTTAATGTAAATAAACACGTGCGCAAAGAGAAAAAAAGGCCAGCGTTCTTATCTAATAGTTTTAGAGATACGTGCACTTGTCAATATCTAGTGAATTATTATTACTATTTACATTTTATTTAAATCGAACATTCTCTATTTATCAGTTTAAGTTTATAAAAAAATTGTCGATAATAAAACATTCTATATCGCACTTAGCTATAAATGATATATAATTTATATATATATATATATGTTTATATTAATAATATTACTAAAATCAGAATTGCACGGACGCCATTAGTTCAATAAAAAATACACATGCTCTTCCATTCCTTATACCACGATTTCTTCCTATAGAATGTTTTACCTGTTCGATGAATAATCGTAGAACTTTATCCAATAGAAGGAATTTGCTTTTGATTTAGCAGTTAAATAAGGGCGTTTTATAATACCTGAATAATAGATTTTACTACGAGCCTAAGAGTAGTGCCGAAAATAAAGATCGTTAAGAATAGAGTGCGGAGAGAAAAGTTCGATTAGACTTTTTTTTTTGTTTTAGACTTACCTATCGCAGAGGTCGGCGCTTGAATGTCAAATGATGAAACGGCCAGAGTAGATATTACGCAGCGCTGTTCGTATGATAAAGTTTTTTTTTGGGTTCTGAACAAAGAAAGTGCAAGGGAAGTTCAAAATTTGGGTTAGCAGACGACAGGCACCAAAAAGTGCAACCCAAATAAGGGTCGAAAAAAGATTCCAGAACAATATGTATAAAATTATGCGCTTCGAGTGAGCGAGAGTTGAGAGTATACGCATTTACTATCTCTCTATATACGACTATCTATTCTTCTTTTAGCCAATAGTAATATCATTTTCTCTCTTCTCTCTCGCCCACTTACTAAATATATATTCCAATAGGAAGTTAGTTTTTATTTAAAACTAATATTTAAATAAAGAAGGCCGCCTACAAGATATGTGCAGCAGAGATAAGTTAACTCTCACCCTCCCTCTTCCCCTCCCTCCTCGTTTTCTTATACTATCCTCAACTTTATCCTCTTTCATTTCTTAATTTTTCATTCTGTCTTTTGTTATAATTTTAAAGATAAATATAGACGATACACTCTTAAACCTTTTGTCTTTGGGAAGTTCTTAAATTTCACTTGCAGAAAAAACTTCTTCAAGTGTCTACTAATTAAATTAAAATCTGAGAGAAAAATAGTTTCATCATTGTATTTTAAGCTCGTTCTCTTTTTTTTTCCTTTTTGTTCTATTTATAAATATTAAAATGTTCTATAGTCTTCGTATCTGGTACGTACTTCTTATTATTTAAACAGCAATTGTTATTTACAAGTTAACGGGTTCATCGTCGAATAATTGATTATCAGGTTGATCTTCTCCAAACATTGAATTGCCATTGATAATAGTATCATTAAATTCTTGAGTCCATAAATTAAATAGCATTGAAGTTATCTCATCGGTTGTTCTTTTACTCATATTGTGATTTATCAATCGAATAAGAAACACTCCGTCGCTTCTTAAATAGCGAGTAACGAATTTCTGTAATCTTTTACTATTGCCAGTATTTTCTAGACTTTCTCTGTCGTCCTTCGATAGATGATTAAATATGTAATTTACTTTACCCCCGTACCACAAACTTCTAACAATCCATAGTAAAAGATTCAAAGTCGTTAATAAGGCAACGAAAAGGAACCAAAACCAAAGGAAAACGTAGACTTTTTCATTATACATGTTTATAGGAAGACAACACTGAACTGTATAACGGTGAACATTACCTAATCGTCTAGTCCTAAAGTCGCACATTGTTACCCTAGGAAAAGTGGGATTTGACGGTGTTGTTAATGATCTGAATTCGTATATTGCCCGAATTCCGTAAATTCCATAGCTGGTACCAAGGATGTAGGACAATGATAGGAATTGTATAGTAACGTTTGTTAAATAGAGAAGCTTTGAAAAAAGGTACAGCACTAGTAAATAACAACCATAACGTCGGGAGCATATAAAGAATACTTTGCGATTCTTACTCCGACTTATTAAATAGCGATGCATGAGTTGAACTATAACTCCGAGGCTATTTTCCCTAATATCCTGTTCAATAACCTTTTCAAGATCGAAAGCCGCTTTTAGAATGTTATCAGCATCGATTCCAGCCGATTGATTAAACGATCGCCATATAACCGACGGGAAATAGAAAAGTACAGCTTGAATTAACAATATAAACGGTATCCATTGATAGTATGGTATAAAATGTTTCCCCTCATCACCTTCGCTTATCAACGGTAAGTCAGTTTGCATTGGATAATAATAGGTGTTTTTCACCCAGCAAAAGTTATTCATATACTTCTCATGAGAGTCGGTAAAGTGTTGAGGAGCCCAGCATTTGATGGGCGTTCCAACGTAAGTTTCACCAGCTACAACAACGCAAAATATCATAAGAATAATAACAGTCCATCGGCTATTCAACCTATCGACGCTATCGTCATCCTTTAGGTCTGGATGAAAACCTTCAACAACTTCTAAGACTTTATCCATTATTCTTATTCCAGTTTGAAAAGTTCTCTCCAAAATGCTTTAATTATCATCAAAAGTAATTGTAATAATACAAATAGGCCTTAATTAGACAACTTAAATCGAGACTCTTTCTCCGCCTCTACCTCTATACCCCCTGCATATATCTACAAAGAGAAGAAGACGAAATCTTCCTATTGTTCACAATACAGTTGTTTGTTTAAGTTGAGTCGGTCAACTTTAAGTGAGTGGGTAGAAAGAGAGCGGGAGAGAGAGCGAGAGAGAGAGAGAGAGAGAGAAGAGGGTGCTGTTAAGGCCAAATTAAACTTATTTAAAAAAATTTGTTCTGCGTAAAAAACAACTCGGCGTCTGACTGAGTAAAAAATCCGCATAGCCAATCTGCGTATGTGTATTTTCCTTCAAACTTTAGCCTACTCAAAAGAACAATAAAGAAAATTCAAATTACGTTTCTTACAGAGATAAATCTCAGTTTATTATTTTCATTTTTTTTAATCGCTTTCTCTGTTTTACAAAACTTACAAAGTACAGATCAGTAAACAAGCTTCATAAAGCAGTAACGATTACCTTAAACAAGTAAGTCACAAAAAATATGCAATTCTTAACTCGCCAGTCATAAAGAAAGGAAATACAACTTCCAAATGAACGGTTGAGCATTAACTTTATAATTAACTTACATTCAAATACAAAAAATAATAATACACCTTATAGATTTATGCTATCCAACATGTTTGCCAATCTTAGAGCGGCCACAACATCGTAGTCTAGGTCGCTTTTTAAAGCTCGATAAAAGCATTCAGGGGCAGCCTGATACATTTTTCGAAGCTGTACCAATAATTTACCATCCAAACTTTCCAAAAATCCAGTAGCCGGAATATTATTACGTTCGAGCCAAGCTCTAGTCTGCTCTGTCGTCCATTCCTCGGCTACCCGAGTACAATCATCACGAGGCACACCCAAATGGGCGGCAACAATAGCAGATCCGGTAGAATTCGGATTTGGTTCACGCATAGTAGATATACGGACAGGTGGTGCTTGTTCGAGGGGTGGCAAACGTCCTCTTTCCCCTAAATCGAACACAACACGGTTCATTTGTTCTTCGAGACGAGTTTCGTCCCATAAGTCGTAAGCCAATTTCGTACCCAAAAGGCATCCAAGCCAGCCAGTAGGGACAAAGCCCTTTTCGAGATTAACTGGAATTATCGCTTTGCGAAGTTGATAGGCATAATCGCCCTCAGTTCTACAACTAGCGCTATCTTGATATCGTTTACATACGCCAATAATGATTACTGCTGATCTTTCTACGGCAAGAGCCATAGCGTCCAATGTCGATCCACGCATGTGATCCACGTCCATCCAAACATTAAAGCCCTTCTTTTGCAAGAACTTATATAGTTTTAACATAGTTGGTTGAGTAGAATGATTATAACTTAACATAACGTGCGGAGCATTTTCACTAAAAGTACGAATAGGTTCAGGAGCCTCAAAACGCAAGACGAACTCAGCGGCCCGGGCGGATCTTCGAATCCCTTCGTCGCAGCCAGAAACAGCCAATTTTCTTAACATTTTCACACATAAATCATTTGATCTCATGCGGACACGATTTTGTCTATTAAAAGCCAAAATCCATAAACCGGCAGCGGCGACTCGTTGATTCTCAGCTCCACCATCACTTAGCATGGCCAAATAGAGTTCGATAGCTCCACTTTCTCCAAGTAATTCTTTGTTGACATCATTTATAGCTAAACGGTTGATAGCAGCTACAATCTCGTAGGCTTCGAAATGGGTATCTTGATCGAAAAAGTTCTCCATCTTAATAGCTCTCTCCAATATTTGCAATAAAAATTCTATAACGTCCGAAGAAATTATTAAATAATTACAATCGTTACCAGTGGTTACGTACGCTAGCAATATGCAGACTTTTGCTTTAATCAATTTATGAAGGTCCAACGTGGATAACTTTCGTAGACAATCAATCTTGATAAAACTTCCTATGTCCGCACATTGCCTTGCAACGTTATGGAGGATACTGAGGTACGCTTTGCAAAGGTATTGCGTTTTATACACTTTTTGAGTTCTATCTTCAACATTCTGAGTAGAGCTCTCCCGAACGAGGCAAACTGTGAAATTTTTTATCAAAACATTCAGCTTTTCGCATAAGGTTAAAGTCACCGTTGAGCCGATTAGATCCTCGCACATTTGTCGAGATTTATGCGTACAATTCCATATACACGAGAGAATCTCCCGTACAATTTTGAAAGCGATTGCATTTTCCTCCTCCAAGATATTAATACTTTCAGTGCTCCTCAGTATTCTAACTAGGACATTACCGATCTTGAAGGTCACGAGCTTTTTGACTAGTTCTTGGCCGATGACTACTCCTGGTCGGTATCTGGTGTGAGATTGCACATTTTTTAATGTTCGATAATATCCTCTTGAAAACATGTCATCTTCCTTTAAAAGATATTCAATACTTTGACGTAAACTCTCCACAGTCTTATTAAATCCCAACACATCTCCATCGTCTTCATCTTCGGTTGCAGATGAACTTGAACTTTCCTCTCTTGCAAATTCCCTTTTAGCAAGAGATCGAGCATTCATTGAAGTTATCTGAACGATATTCCAGTAGGGAATATTATTCACCTATAAAATCAATTTTGTAAAGATTATCATATATTTTAGGCCGATTATGCCCATATGATATTTGCTGTGCTTGTTACACTTCCAAAAAAGATAGTGTTATAGAAAATTGAGATCCTTTTTTCATCCGTCAAAGGACGGCCAAATTTGGTTCAGGGCATACTCTGCAAAATGTAAACTGGTAAAAGAGATGAGAAGAGCATTTTGCTGTGTGGCAAACTTTCGAAAATGCGAAGATAATCTTTTAGAAAAATAAGTCGTTGTCCATTTAATGTGTCTGTTGAAAAAATCTACTGATACGTTACTTTTCTCGATTGGCCAAATTAGATTAATACTTAGAAAAATGTAGCTTTATTATGACTATTTCTGCATATACAGTATATAAATATAAATATTATATGCCAATATACGCATATGTACATATATATATATATATATTATATATATATATATATATATATATATATATATATATATATATATATATATATGTATTTATATTGATAGGAATATACAGCATATCTGTATTTAATAGTTATGTATATTTTACAGTCGGTAAGAGAATAATAAACACAAGCAGACCATTTGTAAATCATTTCGATAGAACAATAAATAATTAGGAAAAAATGATACAATCAAAAACAATGACGTATATCAATTTTCATTTTGGCATTTTGCAGAGAAAGTTTTGCAGTTCAATCAGCAAAAGAAGGCAAGATGTGCAAGGGAGCACTTGTATTCGCAGCACGCTTCGGAGACAGCATCAGCAACCTTTTCTGGGCCGATATCTTCTATTCGGAAAAAGAAAAGAGTTTTAAATCAATAATTAAAAAATTTAATAATGTTTTGTTCGACGGTTACCAAGGTTTTCGAATACTTCATCAACTTTTCCGCAAACTGGTCTATCGTGCGATTGTTCGCAAGCTTTTTTTAACATATTCGGTAGATCTTCGCATATTTTTATACATTTTCCAGGGCGTAATGTTGCTTTGATCCTAACGGAATTGCTACCATCGTCTACTCCAGTGCAATTTTTCATATTTCGTTTCTTACACAGCTTTCTGATGAGATCGTCCACAGTTTCATTCCTCTTGGCCATCTCTTCCTTCACTTTAGCCTTAACTTCGTCAAACATAGACTTTTGACTATTCCTAATTGGTAGCGATGAAACTACCACTATAAGGATCAAGGGCAAAAGAGAAGATGTGAACGCCATGTTGGAAAGTCCGACAAGTGGTAAAAATATACTCTCAATACTTTAATACATCTTATTGAGTGTTTTATTGAACTCAAGAAAATGCTCAATTTTATATAGAAATAATAAGAAGTTAGCACTTCCATTAATAATAAATGTTCATAAACCATTTGCTTAAAAAAAAATTCAAACAATGTACAGACTATATAACATAGATTGATATAAGACATTAAATTTGTTCATTATGCAACAGTTTCTACGCACGAAAAAATAATTTCCTATTCTCAGTCTCAAAAATTGCATCACTATAAAGCGGTTTCTGGTAACCTTGCGGAAACTCTTGATAAGAGAACGGTTATATCGTCTGGTTTTCCACCTAAATAGAGAGTAATCAATCGGATATATAGATACCATTAGTATAGGTATAATAATATTAACGTAATATATTTAAATACCTTTTAGATTTAATCCGCTTTTAGCGGCACTTTGACAAAAGGGAGATAAGTAATCGGGATCGGAGGCCAAAGTATGGGCATGTTCTACGAGGGATACGGCCGTATTTCTCAAGTCATTTTCATAAGTTTTTGTTGTCATCCGTCTAACGTGATGCAGTATCATTTCGTCTGTAAGATTATCGAAAAGACCATCTGAAGCAACGAGTATAACGTCGCCATCGTGTACATCGAATACTGAGGTTCGAGCGGAAGCGGGAGAATCCGAAAGTGTCAAGTGACGTAGATTAGGAGGGGCTACTGATAGTTGGAAAGGTGTATTAAAATAATGTTGCTGATCTTCAGATCTTTCGACAACTTCCCCGTGTCGCACAACAACGTAACCAGAATCCCCTAAGTTTGCCGTATGGACACGGTTCTTATTTCGTTCTAAACAGACCACACACGCTGTACAACTGCCGATTAGCGGTGTTTTATTTTCTATCACTTCTTCGTAGGCAGCTTCAAGGAGACGGATTGGAAGGGTGGGTTGAAAGGAGCCTTCCGTCACTAATCGCTCACAGGCTTCCATTAGAGAGACAGCAAAGAGTGATGGATCCACACCGTATGAACGCCAACCACCAACACCATCAGCTATTCCTGAAAATTTCAACTGCGTAATTATTTTGAATGAGCGATAAAATGAAATTTAACCTATGACGTCTCCCAGTTGATGACTAGCTAAAAAACAAGCATCGTCCCCACAGGACCTCTTTGTATTAAAGGATAGAGCACTGTTACATTTCGATATGCCAGACGCGGCTGTTATTAAATGCAGATCTCTGCTCTTTTTCGAAAACGGCGAAGGAGCATTAGCTATGTGTTGGATCTCATTATGTACACCTGTCGTTAAGACTCTAGCCAACACACGGCCATATCCGAACACAGATTGCATATTTAAAGTTGATAATATACAGTTATGGGTCTGTAGATTTCTCCGATCTTCTCAAAAGTTGATGATTTTCAGGCTTTGTTAAAGGTGACATCGACCTTGGCTGCCATTAGTTAGAAAAACTGGTATTGGTTTATATATTTCGTCGTGAAACATTTTACGATGCGATCTTACACTCGGCCACAATGTCATTACGGAGTTGATCCTCTTTTGGTCCTTTTTTGACTTAATTCGTGCCATACCAACTTTCTTTAAGTTGATTTTTTTTGGAAGATTTTATCGGCATTTCGGCTGATATAGAAATTTTATTTTTTTTGTCTAATTGAGAATGAAGAAATATTTGATATGCCAGAACAATCATTAAATTTAGACGAAGATTTGCCCGCTCAGGACATAGCTAAAGAATTTTATGCCAAATACGAGCCCAAAGAAGTACTGGGACGGTAAGCTAAGAATAAAGTGGATTTCCTTAATAAATGACTTTGTTTAAATTGTTTGTTTTTTTTTAAATAAATAAACTTACGCAATTTCGCAATACAGAGGTATATCAAGTACAGTCAGGAGATGCGCAGAAAAGGAGACAGGTCATCATTATGCAGTAAAAATTATTGACTTAACAGGAGATAAAGACTCAGAGAACGATCATCGTGAAGAATTGAGAATAGCTACGAAAAAAGAGATAAATGTCCTTCGCATGTGTGCACAACATCAAAATATCATTGAACTCCATAATACGTTTGAATCTCCAACGTTTATATTTTTAGTTTTCGAGCTGTAAGTTTTACCCATTATTAAATATAATCTTTCTAATTCATGATTTTTATTCGACTTTGCTACAGTTGTCAAAAGGGCGAGCTATTTGATTTTCTCACTCAGGTCGTAACATTATCAGAAAAGCGAACAAGGTAAAAGGTGAAAGAGTTGAAAAAAAAATATAATAAAAACATTTGAACAAAGAAACAAAAGAATAGGCCTTTAATGTTTTTTCAATTTTTGTTTTCTTTCTGTCTAGAATCATTATGAAGCAATTACTTGACGCCATAGCCTATATACATTCTAGAAATATAGTTCATAGGGATGTCAAAGTTGGTTTGTCAATTATTCCCCGCTAATGAAATTACAATGCTTTTTTCATTTGCAGCCCGAAAATATTCTATTAGATGATAAAATGAATGTAAAACTCTCAGATTTTGGTTTTGCCACAGTTATTAATTCTCAGCACGAACTTACTGAGCTTTGCGGTACTCCTGGTTATTTAGCTCCTGAAGTCCTTAAGGTCTCTATGTATGAGGATGAACCTGGCTATGGAACTGCAGTTGATCTTTGGGCCTGCGGTGTGATTATGTATACTCTCCTAGTTGGTTGCCCACCGTTTTGGCATCGAAAGCAAATGCTAATGCTGCGAGCTATTATGGAAGGCAAATATAATACGTCAACAGCAGAATGGTTAGATCTTTCTGACACTTCCAAAGATTTAATTGAAAAGCTACTGCAAGTTGAACCGGAAAAGCGAATAACAGCTAAGGAAGCATTGTGTCATCCATTTTTCTATAAGGAAGGAATTGAACGCGAAATGAAAGAGTTTTTTCCAAAAAGAAAATTTAGAGCATTAGTTTTCGTTGCTACTGCTATATGGCGACTGCGTAATTTACATAAAAATCCGCCTCCTATATCAATGAAATGTTTGAAAGAAGAGCCCTATTGCGTGAAGGGTATAAGAAAACTAATTGATGCTGCCGCTTTTAAAATTTATAGTCATTGGGTTAAAAAAGGCGAAAAGCAAAATAGAGCTGCATTGTTCCAAAGTAATGTTAAGTGTGACATTCAAACAGATCACTGAAGAATTTATTGGAGGAAAGTTTTATTGTTTTTGCTTTTTTTTCGTATTTTATCCTGCAGTGTTTCGTCTTGTTGAGACCTTCGATTGTTAAACATTTTTTTCTCTGCAAAGCTCTCTTAATTAACTAGGTAAATTTTTTTAAAGTCTCTTAAGTCAAATGTCCGAAGGAGAAAAAAAAACATAAAAAAAATTTTAAGTTAAAATCAAAAATATCTACAATTTACGTTATGAATTATAATTAAGTAGCCTAAGATGAGAAGAAAGGGAAAAGCATCGAATAATGGAGTCCGTTTTTTGCGGATAGATGTCGCCTCTGTCTATTTTGAATATTTATTTGGAATATTTCAGTCAGAATTTTCCTTGTCTACGGAAAATTTCGAATTTTTTTTTAATATTAAAAATAAAAAATACGAAAATTATTATTCCTTCATTTTGTTTGTTATTGCACTGATTGAAATTGTCAGTGCTTTTTGAAAAAATTTCAATCGATTTATACAATAAGAAATTTTTTCATTCAACGTCAACGATTTAGTACTGAATTTAAAAGATGAGTAGCCGAGGGACCAGAACTGGAAATTCTGGAGGAAAGAAGAAATCAAACGATTTTCTTGCGAGAAGAGCAAAGGACAAAATAGTAAGTGAGGAAGAATTAAAAGGAAAGGAATGTATAACGCCAGACGACGTTCTAAATTTAGATAAAATAACTGAAAGTAAGTTTTATTTTTAGTAGAAATCAATGACATTAAGCGAATGACATTGTTTCATTAAAGGTTATTTATGCCCGAATGATGCTAACGTTTACAATATCGAATTTACTGGTTTCAAGTTGAGAGATGTAGATTCTGGAATGATTTTGCTCGATGTTAATAGAGATGACAATGGTTGTATAGAATTTCAAAGTTTTAATAATTTTTTATTGTTTTTTGTTTCTATGTTAAGGCGTAGTTTATACATATTTATGTTGTATATACAGTCTATATATAGTCTATATATATATATATATATATGCTCTTTTTGCTTTTCATAGACGACAACGAAGAAGATGAGTCTGCGGATCCTAATATAGGCCGATACATTCGGTACGAATTTCCTGCTAAATTTTTGGAATTACGGCATGTTGGAGCAACTGTACGATTTAGCATTGGCGACAAGCCAGTTGAGAATTTTCGCATGATAGAACGACACTTTTTCCGTGACCAATTGCTTAAAAGCTTTGACTTTGAATTTGGATTCTGCATTCCAAACAGTAATAATACAGTCGAACATATTTACGAGTTCCCGAAGCTAGAAAAGCAACTAAGTAAGTATTCGTATATAATAGAAATCCTAACTTCTTAAAACAAATTGATTTATATGTATAACGTTATAATACGGTAGTATATTTTTAAATTGTTTATAAAATATATTCAAATATCTAATATCTCAACTTTTTCTTTATTATCTATAGTGGAAGAAATGATTGCTAATCCTTTCCAAACTCGGTCGGATAGTTTTTACTTTGTTGGAGATCGTCTTGTAATGCATAACAAAGCAGACTACTCTTATCAAGGTTGAACAACTTCTTCTCGCTTTCAAATTATGGGATCAATAATAACTTGGCAAAATTATACACAATCTATCTATTCACTTCATTCTTTCTCTCCATATTTCTCAAAATGACGAATCGATGTCGTTAATTTATTTGTATTACGTTTTTGTTTGTTTTGTTATAAGAATAAGATCTTCCTTATACAAATTCTTTTATTGTTCCTTATCATCTACTTTTTTCACCTTTATAAACTATAGTCAAGGTAAACAAACAATGAGGTCAGTATTTTATTTAAAGTTATCTATTTTTTTTTGTTTGTCTTTTTAAAAAACATTTCTATTTTAATGATAAAGTAAAACGTATCAAGAATGATATATAATAAAATGTTTTGGTCATATTTTCAATGTTTTTAATTGTTTTAATAATACAATTTAAGATATGCCAAATTCCTTTGAAATTTCTTCTCTTCTTTTGTACTTTTAAGCTTTAATGGAGAAAAAAAATTGATAAAATGACTAAAAAAATCAAACAAATCATATTGTTTAATATATACTTTATCAGTGTTTTTTCCAATTGTACTGTGTTTACTGGCAGAGGGGAGGTTGATTGGTGCAGATCCGAAAGATTGATGCCATTCAACTTTACGATTCAATTTTAATTCGTGTTCGTAAGCTCCAGGTCTGGGGAAAGTAGTTAATAGAAAAGAAAACGATAATAAATAGAATTATTATCTCTTTGATCATTAAGTTATTAACTCACGAGGGCTTTTCATCCGAACTATCGTCTTTGAAACGTTTCGAAGCAGCGCAGAATGGTTTGTAGGCGGTTTCAAATGTTCTTAATGATGTATTATCACTCTGATATGCTGTAGGTGCCGGAGCATCTGACTATAATCATAAAGCAGCTTAATATTTAATTAGCCTTTTTGAAAACTCAATATAATTAACTAACCTTATGAGTCTTGGGAAATCGGTTTGCGGTTCTAGCTCCTAATGAATAACCTTCTTTACTTGTTATAAAGTTATCTATTTCGTATTGAAAATTTGTTTGCTTTTCATTTTCGTATGTTCCCGGACCGATCTCTGGACATCCTCTTATTGGATTTAATTCCGCTCCTATTTTGTTATGAGGTACGTGAGTAGGAAATACTTCTCTATCTCCTGTAGCTCCAAATGCAACTCTGGCTTTTGCTGGATTTTCTAAAATAGAATAAAAACAAACTATTTGACAATGTCTATGTAATCTTTTCTCTAATTACCTTCTCCCAACATTATTTTTCCTATTTGATGTGATCGTTTACTTGGTTTCTAACAGTAACGGAAATTGGTGGCGCCCTCTCTAAAAAAAGTATATTAAAAAAAAGAACTTACTATTTGAACTATGAAGTATCTTAATTAGGCCTTTCTACGTATATATTTTCTAATTAGAATACCAAAAGAGCAGAAAAGGATGAAGAAAAAATACAATATTTCATTGGAAAAGATGAAATAATTAATTAAACCAATATTCGATAAATATATATAAATGTATATACAGTATACAGTATATACAGTATATATATACCTTTGTAGATGGATATTATTTCTTCTCTTATTTCTATAAATAGGTCTCTAAGGAATTATATTTGTTTGCCAGGCGAAAACAAGAAAATTGTATATAAATAACTAAGGATGAAAGTGTACATAAGAGCTAAATATAAATATTATGAATGAAATTTAATCTTAACGAGGAACTTACTCAATAGGATTGATAATAAGAAACGTTCATCTCATCTGTGATATGCTATCTATTGATTAAATTAAATAATTTCGTATATTTAATAATAGAAACTTCTATATATATATATATATATATGTTTATGTATAATTTTTACAATTGTTTTATGCGTTGTTATCTTCCTTGCTCAGGAATACAATACTCTTTCTTCTTTCCTTTTGAAAATATTTTGTAAGGAAATATGTTTGTTTAAGATTTTGTTGCGGCGTCTAATTTATTGGAAACTAGAACATCCGCTTGTACTGGCGTTAGCGATGCGTATAGTGCTTCGGGATCTTTCATAAATGATGTATAAAGAATGTCTCCCATTGCTTCTTTTACGGATTCGTCTACTAGGGGGAAATTCCTACATAGACGCTCTAATGTTAAGCTAGCTTGTCTTTGACTGTCAGCATATTCCGTATTGCCCATTGCAAACATGAGATGATGTACAACTTGCAATTGGAGGAATTTTTCGCATATAATAAGGTCATCGTGACATAGTATTCCTATGCATTTGGCTGATGCTGCCTGTTGTACGAAAACTGGTAGAGGTTCTGCTAATTTTCCAACTTCGGGATCTTCGAGAATTTCTTGAGGTCTTCTAAGTCGATCTTCTTTTGAAGGTCTCAATAATTTAACAAGACTGACGGGTATAAGTTCTTTGACCTCTTCGTATTCCATTAGCTCTTTGATTAATTCCAAGGCTAAAATTGTACAAAGAGAATTCTTAATTTATGCGCACATTTCAAACAATAAAAGAAAATTACCTTCGTACTGAACTTCTAAATGCAATGTTCGTAATAGATTCAATAATGGATCAACGATATTCGGATTAGCTTTTTCAACTATAGGCTGCACAATCCTCAGCGTATGAGCAGCCATTTGTTGAGCTTTTGGAGATGAACATGGCAATAAGGCGATAAGACCTTTATAAACTTGATTTTCGAATTTTGGATTTCCTCTAGCTAATTTCTCTAAAAGATTTCTAGCCGCATCCTGCGTTTGTTCACTCTTCGATTTGGCTAAGCATTCGGCAATTGCTCTAATTCCATAGCTTTCGCAAATAAGTTCTTTAAACTTCCTACCGGCTTCCGCAATATTCGATAAATTCGTTAATGCTTCTAGTTTGTCTATCTCTCTTGCTTGCTTCAGGCCTATAATCTCAAGAACTGTTAATATACCGCCAACTTCTAGAAACTCTCCCAGAAATTTATGACCACTAGACGCCGATATGAAAATATTGACAGCTTGCAAATGTTCAGTTAACGCTATTCCTGTCATGTAAGTTAACCGTAAAGAGGCAGTAATTCTAGTGAGAAACAAACTTGCTGCCTGAGCAAATTCAGCCTCTAACTCGGGGCCTGTTTTATTTTTATTCTGTTTTATGAAATCTTTTAAAAGGGCCTTTCTTATCGCCTTTGATCCTTTATCCCATTCGGCTAAAAGATTCAATACTCTAGATATTGCAGTTTGATCTTTAGCAGTTCCCATAACTTTTTAATTGTTGAGCGATAATGCACTACTGCGGTAGAAAAGTCAGATATCTATGAATATAATATTAGTTGTCACTGATAAATACGTGTTTATTTAGATTAAGAGACATTTTCGTACAACAAGAATTACCTTTAACGATTTCAATCACTCTCACAATATATATCTACCAAATAAGTTGAGCAATTTAGTCTTCCTAGCCCAAGCGTTTGTAACCTTGACTACTTGGCAGCCAATCAGATCACTCCAATATTTTGGCGGACAAATACAAAACTTTCAAAACAACAGCCAGGACATTCATTCTAACACACTAATCAAGATTAAAAGCTGATTTCCAACGACACTTTTTTTCATTAGGAGCACATAGCTGAACAAAGAGGGAGAAAGAGAGATGGCATAAACAAAAGACATTCATTCTCTACTTTTCAATAAATAGAGCTTATCTCTTCCACAAGACGTATAAGATGATTATGATCAACCACAGGGACTGTAACCTCTTTCTCCGCCTGTAAAAAAATTAATACATATGATATCAAGTTCAATTTTTTATATAGCATTAAAAAATTAAAGGAATTATAATACCGCAATGGCGTGAAAGATCTCTTTCTGTAAACTTGATGGAATAGTTAAATATTTTTCAACAATAGTGCCATCAACTAAACCATGATAACGTAGATTCGGTTTAGAATTCGACCTAAACCTGTTTATAAAAAAAAAAACAATTACTTTGATAAGAATAGGAAAAATAAGAATAATAGATAGGGACCATTTATAATCAATCTTTCCAGGCCAATTTAATCTCTGAAGAAGTTGTTGTTGAAGTTGATAAAAGAGAGTTTGATATTCGTCTTTTAATTGTACAATCACTCCTGTTTATCAAAAATTGTATTGTTAGTTTTTCTTATTGTGCTAAACTATTATTTATAAACTTTAACCTATTGCTCCGGAAGTTGTAACAAATATTCTCATGTCAGAGAAACATATTGTTCTGTTAAGTAGTTCCTTTTTAACTAAACATCCGGGTTTAATTGCATTAATTGTATCGCCTATATGACAGAACGCATCATTCTTTAATGAGCTCTCATCGGGTTCCTTATCATCTCTTGTGCATATAAATAAATTTTGGGCTTGATCAGCGCATATGATAGTATTTTCATTAATCAAAGTTAAAGTGCACAACCAACGATGATTATCATCGCGACCAACCAATCGTAGTCGTTTCTTTTCTGGAATATAATCAAGAATTGTTATGGTTCGAAATAAGTCACCAACGTAGATACGATTTCTCTCGGTAACGGCAATGTTGTAAGCTGCAATATTATCAGAGAATGTATTGATAAGGTTCATGTTCATCCTATCATCAAGTTCGTAAATTCTTGTAGCATCGTCAAAACAACACACTAGCTTATTATTCAACAGTGGTTGAATAGCATAAACCGCACCCGTAATATCTAAACATGATCTGATAACTGCTCTGCCCAAGGATATTTTAAAAACCATAATCCTCCCATATCTTGGCTCATCGTCACCAGGTCTAATGATGCCTGTACTAACAACAAAGTATTGTTCGGGGTGATCGCCAAGATTAGCATTGCAAAGAGATAGAGCGTATTCGTGAGGTTGAAATTGGTGTATATGAAATATTTCAAAGGAATCTTGATGCATAATCAATAAATTATAAATTTCAATAAGACTATCATCCTCAAAAAGAGGCAAGGGAAAAGGTCCAACTTCGACAAACGACGAACGAGATTTCACATCAGACGTACTGGCAGACTGATCAAGAAGGATTGTTTCCTCAGTCCCCTTCTTCTGTTTATCGTAACGACTAGTTAGCACGGCAAGAGTGTTAGTTTCAGGTTGATAGGCTATCTTTCTAGGACTTTCTCTTAAAGGAATAACTCGACTTTGTAACCTTTGCATTTCATTCATCTCACCAATAAGAAGTTCAGTTTCGTTGACTAGATAAATTCTTTTTGAAAATATAACAGAAATTAATTGTAAATAGTTCACTTCTTTTTAATAAAGAAAATTAATAACAAACTTTTCTCGATTGTTGCGTAAAATGGCCGAGGTCATATGACGAACTGTCGAGATATTGACAAAGGAGAAGATCAGCTGATGATTTACAGGAAATGCAACAGCTGGTCTATCAGAACAAACGAATACGCAATCGGTACCCTTCCATGAGAATTTCGACATTTGAAGTGGCAAAGATCCAAGTGTTAACATCACTCGGTTATGTAAAGAAGCTTAAATAATAAAGAATTAATAATATAACATCTACTATAAATACCATCAGATATTACCTTTATCCTTATTCAATAAGAAATGATATAATTTTCCATCGCCCATAGCGATAAATAAATAATGAACATCTCCAAAAACTCCCGTCAGAATCGATCTTGGGATAATATTACCGGGAAGTTTATAATAAAAAAGCTTCTCCAGAGTTGGTAATTCAAATATAAATATAGACATATCAGTCCAAACGCCTAGACAAAGAATATTTGTACGATTCGAAGTTCCTCTTGGCGTTACGTCCATGCACGCAATCTCATATTCAATTTCCAGGCTATTTATCTATCAAAAAATATAAATGCGTTAATGATTATCAATTATCTATAATGTTAAATTAACCTTTTGAGCTGAGCCGTCAATTATTTCAAAGTACACAAATTGAGCTGCGGACGCAATGACTATTTGCTCTCGGTTACTAGTACCAACTGAAATATTTTTATCTTGTTCGAATTTCCATTGGAAGACCTGCTTTCTCATAGTTGAACTCCATAATATTAAATTTTTCCTCGTAATTTGAATAATTTGGTCCTCGATAACTTCGTGAACGTGCAATGTTCTTACTTTATGATCGAATCCAGGAACGGTAATCTCTTCCATTTCTTCCGTTATCAATATTATTCTACAAAAATATTCATTCAATAAAGAAAAAATAAAGATAATATTTTTATCAGCAAATTACTTTGTTTCATCGGGAAACGTAACGAAAAGTGAGTCGTCAAAAGATCCCGAAGAGAATAAAGAGACAGCCCATACACCAAGTATACCTGGTAGTTCAACCGTTCCAATATCTTTTATCTCCATATCATTACGAACAATTCTTAAAGATCCATTCTTATCTCTACCCGAACAGCATATCAACTACTCGAAAACGTTACAAAAAAAAAGAATGATAAATAACCCTATAAAGTATGATATTAAAAAAATTAACTTGTTCTTGACCCATATCGTCTACGTCTACAGCGACAAAATCAACAATTGGACCTAAATTATCAAAATTTTCCATAACTTCCACATAACTATTGGTTACCGCATTTTTCTTTCTGTTTAACTGTAAACAAAAAGTTAATGAAATTAGAAAAAAGTGATAATTAATGTTTACAATAATTCTATATTGTTTGTTGTTGTTTTTAAAAAAAAAAGAAAAAAAAGCATTTATAAACGTCTTTCATAATCACTTTCACTTTTTTCAAATGTAACAACAACTGTAACAATTTTCGTTTGAAAGTCAAAAAAAAAACCAAAAAAAGCAAAAAAGTTCACAGTTTGACATTAATGAGGATTATTTTTTGGTAAAGATGATATTTTTTTGTAAAGATTGCTTTTTTATCTAGTTGTTTTTGAGCATCTCGCTCAAGACCTTTTTTTACCCAAACTTCTACTCAATAGATATGGAATAAACATGTTAAAAAAATCATCTAGGGTTTGTCTAGGATTTGGACAAAGGTTAAAAGCTGGAGCGTTGAATTTTTTAAGTGTTTTTGTCCAAAAATTCAAACTGGACATACATTTGATGGAGCTCAACACAAAAAAAGAATATTAGCATATGTTCGTGCCTGCTTTTCGTTTTTTTGGATGTTGGCAACTCAAAAAAAGACAAAATACTTTTTTTCTACTTACACGAATAAGTTGGGCGTCACCGCTACACGAACCAATAAATATAAATCCATTGTCCAAATACGTTATTAAACTTGGTATATTTGTCTAAAAGTTGATATGGAAAAATGATCTATGAGCAATTTAAAAGATAGGATAAGTCTAAAATACCTCTCCAAGTAGTTCAACTTGTATTTCCCTAATACCAGTTGCGGATGTTGGATCCGCAACAAGAATAAGAATGTATAAATGACCAAATGAATCACCAACGAGAAACCTTTTCCCGTCCGCATCGACCATCTCCACAGCTCTTATAGTTTGATTCTACATTGAAAAAAAAGTATATATTAGTTTAGATAATATTTGTTGTCAAAAGTCAAAAAGCGCAACAAATCCTACTCTTATAGCATGCGGTTTCCAATTTATTGATATATTCATGCCATTGTCACTAATGTGGTATATTACATCGTCCCCCAAGACAAGCATACCGCCAATTGGACAAGGTACAGGTACAATAAATTGTGCACCATCGTCTACTTTATGACGCTTTCCTGGTCCTTCAGTTATAATATATTCGTCTTCGGTCATTTCTTCAATTTCGTAGGTCCCTACGTAATACGAACCATCTTCCTGTTGTTGAAGAGGAGAATTAGTATAATTATGGAAACGGCTTTTAAACGAACTCTAAATAATAGGGAGATAGTTGGTGTATCTTCAACATACAAGGAACAAAGATCAAGAATCTCCATTTCGTCAACTATAACATTAGTGGAATTCCATGTACCGCTTGCGTTCAAGCCATTTACACCGACGTTTGAAACAGGTATAATCGTTAATAAGCCGTAGTAGATATGAACAACGATATAACGGCAATACTGGTCAACGCAACACTTGAATCCACATTCGGTGAGTCTTCCAGTTTTTCGCTGACGGAAGTGAAGAAGTAGCAATGGAAAAAAGAATGAGAGAGATTAAAGGTACATAAAAGGACTTTTAAAACGCCTTTGAAACTTACCAAGACATTTTTCGAGCACAAAGTATTTATAGAAAGTTCATCACCGTCTTCTGTGCATTCTAACATTGTTATATCACCTTTCTCGGTGACAATAAATAGGACATCTTTTTCACAGCCCTGAAATCAATGTGATAAGGGAGAGAAAGTTTTTTTTATTTTAGCGGGCTTACTGGTGGTAACATCATTTTCATTGCAGCAACCGATCCAAAAACTTTAAACTCCTTTCTAAGTTTCAGACCTTCGGGAGTGAGCTCGAAAATCTCTACAATTGAATTCTTTGCGATAACAAGGTTGATACCATTTTTAGCAGTGAAGTGCCCTAACAGGAGGAAAAGCCCTGATCACTTGATGAAAGTTAACAAGTTTTCAATACAAACCGGTTGTGGCCACTGATACTAAACTTGGTGGCTTAGCAAGGACCATATAGCCCGCCATGCTAGCCCTGATTCGTAAAAAATCGCTCCTTGCCTTCAAACTCCCCGGTTAGCGCGGATTTCTGCAATACTTTTACTTCACCGGTTAGTGACGTGATGACCGTTTGAGAATGTTAAAATAAAAGAGAATAAGTAGCGACATCTATTAATAGGCTCCTTGTTCCCCGGAACAATAAGATACAATTCAGAAATCTCAGAGTTGAAACCAGGCTAAATAAAGAGTATGTCTGGTTTGTTTATTATTGGGAAAACTTAATTTTCATAAGCTTTAATTATCGTAATTGGTGAACAGTACTTCTGGTAAAAGTTTCAGAGAAGATGGATAATATGAGTAGTGAAGACGGTCTGGAGTTTCATTCTGCTATGAAAGATTTTAAAATTATGTTCCCTGGTTTGAACGACGATATTATCGAATCAGTCCTCAGATCGCACGATGGCGTTGTTGAAGCTACAATCGATCATTTGCTAAGAATGCATTCGGATTCGAAAGAAGATATGAAAGTCAATGGCTCTCCTACTCCTAAGGCATGTCATCTTGTTGAAAATGACTATTGCCCATCTTCTAGTTATAGAAATTTGTCACCGGTCGCTAAGAAAGTTGCAGAACGCTATCACTATCGAAGAAGTCTTCCAGATGAATTTCTAAGAATTAGTTTGGAGAGCGACGAAGAAACTAATTTCCGTCGTCACAACGAAACGGTAAGATAGACTTTTTTTAAGTCGACTGAAAAACAATACGTTATCCGTTCCTTCCAATTAACAAGCAGGTCTTTTTGTAGGATGCCGGTATGACTGGGTTTCTTTTTTCTTTTTTTTCTTACTTCTTTTTTACTATTGGCTTCAAAAGGCTAAAATTTTTGTGTAATGATTAAGATAATCGTGCTTCTCAATTTGTGTTATTTTTACATGTTACAATCTTTTTATTGATTAATTCCCCTCTTCCAAAAAAACAAAGGAAGAATGAGGTATTTTTTATTAATCATTCTCTGTTTTCTCTCCTATAGGCTCATTCTTCATTTAGAAGATCACTTAATGCTATAAAAACTAAAGTTGAAGAAAATATTAGACGTAGATCATCGCTAAATGATAATTCGGAAAACGATAGGGTTACAAAACAATTTTTAGATGATGAACAATTCGCTACAATGCTCCAAAACGATGAATTAATGTGCGAGATGAATCAGAATGAAATTGGTATAATTTTTACATCTTTATTATTATTATTATTATTTTAATAAATTAAAATTGAGTTTGTCGGTATTTAATTCATCTTTTTCCCCCAAAATTTTACTATAGAAGATGGAAAATCACAAAATCGCTTTGGATCATATGCAAAATTTACAGATGAAACTGAATCGGGTACTACGTAATATATATATATAAGTTATCGAATTTCTTACCAACAATTTAAATATTTTTCATCTTATACAGATATTCTAGAAGATTCTAAGGGAAGACAAATCTCAAAACGTAGCATTTATACAATTAATAATATTATTTAGATTATAAATTTCATTTATACTTGCTAATAGAATCGAGGAAGACTAAATTAACGGCAGCTGCTAAACAATTTTTTGCAAAAAAGAAGTCAAATAGACCATCAGTGTAAGTGTGATAATGACAAAATACATATAGTATTATATATATATATATATTATATTTATGTACGTTGCTTTTTTTATTTATAGATTAAAAGACAATTCGTCACCATCTTCCTTCAATCTGCTGGAAAATGAAGAGGACAGTGATCAGAAAATAATAAACAGTATGTTTGCTCCCAATACGTACCTAATACTATTAAAATTCTATTACTCTATTCCTCAGGTGGCAGTTAATCGCCGAAAGAAGATCAGCTTGTATTTTTCTTTTTCTTTATGTTAGGTTAATATATATACACACTACTTTTACATATCTATATATAGATATGTATAGTATATATATATATATATATATATAAGTCTGTTTTAATGCTGTGTTTTTTTCACCTCCAAAATATTCATTTATCAGTGAATTTTGCTTACAAACTACAAACAAACTTGATTTATTTTTTTTCTGCTTTTCAGCAATTTTTAACTAGTCCACAAAAAAAATATTTAGTGAACTAAATTATTGAATTATTGATATGTTTATGAAAATATATTTTCAGAAACTGTATAAATTTTATATTCTTTTTGTTTGTTTTGTTTGTCAAACATTTTTTATATTCATTTTAAGACAATTCTAATTAAACTTTAGAAAACAGCAGGACCTTTTAGTAGTAGCAGACTTAGGTATTCGTATCTTTCTTTTTAATTAAACCGCTATGGAAGCTTTCTTCCTTTTTGCTAGTTATATCCTCCTTTCAATTCTCCCCTCCCGCTCTCTTCATTTCATGCGCTCAGCTTAAGATATTGGATTACTAACAATAGTCAATTGCAGAAAGTATTTCCATTGTTTAAAAATAAGAACTAATTATCTGTATTTTTCTCTTTGTACTTAATCAGGAAGACGCAATTGATACATAATCGTAACATTTTTAGAACTTGTTCAGCCATCTGGCGGTTGATTAATTAAATTGTCACAATTAGGTGTACACTGATAAAATATAGCACTGTATTTTATTTTGTACTAGTAACTAAAATTATCTCCAATTGTTTTTACATTTAATTTTTCAATACTATAGGCTTACTCGTTTAAGTTAATAAAAAACATGAAAGGAGAGCCAGAAGGAGAAAAGAGAGGGAAAGAAAGAAAGAAAAAGAAATAATGGCCATATTTAACCGTAGGTGTTATTTTCATTGTTGTACTGCGTTATAAACAGTCAATCAAAGGTTATTACTGCAAATGCTGGTCTAACATAAAGTCTGTATATATGGATAGCATTAATATATATTATAAATGTAATAGGCTTAAAAGTTATACACACATGTTAGTTTGTCAGTCTTTTTTTTCCTTGTAGACAAACTATTGAGGGAAATTCTTATTGAAAAATTTTTTCAGTTTAAGAGAAGAAAGCTCTTGTTCCCTTTTCCTTCTCTCTTCTTTATATATACAGCAAATATTCTACTTTAAAATTCCCACGAGTTTCTATATTAATTGAACAAGAGAGGCGATAAATTCTAGAAACGTCTTTTTCTTTGTTTTACGTTGTTTGTTACTATATACGAAGGGAATACGAAAAATATACTGTCACTATCATTTTACTAGTTTCTCTCCTACTATACAGACGACCATATTTGTTAATTAATTAGAAACTTATCCATTCTTTCCTATTTTTTTTCAAAATATTAAATCCTATAACGCCTTTTCTACTGCATTCAAAGTCATATAATACATTATATTGAGTAATGACAACTGCATATTTCTTTACTACTTTTAGATAATATATTACATAAACTTTTCTCTTCCTTTTGCTCCTTTAAATAAATAAAAAATAGTAGGAGAAGCAAAATTATCAACAAAAAGGTTTTATAGAGAAAGGCATTTTTTTTTTTAATTGGATAAAATTAATTATTATTTAATTATAAATTAAACAAATTTATATTAAAAACAAAGATGGTTAAAAAAAAAACATTAAAAGCCTTGACGGTTTTTATTAGCTTCAGAGACAATCTAAAACGAGGAGCACTTTACGGTATAGTAATGTAGACGTTTAAAAAAAATCACATTTTAATATTTTGTTTTTGGCGGTAAAAAAAAATATTTAAGAAAGAAATCATGCTAATAGATCTACTTTATCATGTTTATAAATATCATTTTGTTGATCCGATGCCAATTTATCGGTCGAATCGGAATTGGATGAGTTGGATTGATCAACGTATCGGTCAGCTATAGAATAAAAAACAAAATATACAAGTATTATTCAATAGTGAAAATGTGTGCTATTAGACATTTACAAAATTAACTTTACTTACAGCTGCTAGTCTTTATAACACCGTCTCTATCGATGACGTCATCTATACGTTTTTTTAACATTAGAAGACGTTGCATTTTATAGTGAGGATTCTTTTGATGTTTTGGCGGTAAAGTGTGACAACTAAGCTTCTTATTCGGTCTTGAACTTCTTGTTTCCAATTTTAACCTAGCCAATTTCTGATCTATAAATCTTTTAAACTGTTCGTCAGGCCCTTCAGTATATTTCCAGATGTCAACGCCTGGATTTCTATCCGTCCACCTCAGTAATTCTCTCGCTGCGTCGTCCATCGTCTCTTTGTTCGAAAACATTTTAAAGATTTTCGCTAATTGCTTCTTTATATCGCTCGGCTATGCGAAAGAAATAGATGTTATTTGTTATTTTTTTTAAAAATAGATTAAGAGAAAATCTTACAGAAGACGCTGGGGACGCTTTAGCTTCAACTATTTTTAAAATAATTTCATGATCTTTCGATAAGCACAACTCGGCTTCTTGCAAAAGAGCTGGACCGTGTTGAATATATGCAATATGTAGGAAATGTTCAATAATAGCATTTTGCTTTCCTGCAAGACTTTCAGGTAATTCATGAGCCAGTTTTTGAAGTTCAGCCATTAACGATACAAAAGCGTCCAATTTGTATATTTTTAAGCCACTGGATTTATTTTTACTAAGGGAGTTAGCCAGGAACTACAATTTCAAGGAGAAAGTTATTAAAAAGTCTAATGATAAACAAAATAGAAAATCCTTGTTACCTTGAACACTGGTTGAACTGGACCTACACCAGAGTCGGGGAGATAATCTTCTTTTATTTTAAAACTTACCCAATCATAGATAATACTGTGTGGAATAATAATAGATATAAGAGTAATTTCTCTAATTGAACATTATTATTGTAAAGAGGTAATTTTCGTACCGTAAAAATATTTCGATATCGGAACTAGTAAGCAGGCTTGTGAGTAAATACTGCGTAAGACGAACAAGAGATTTAACGCTATCCGTTTTTACCCTACTAGATAGACCTAATATTTCTAAACAAGGCCTGACGATGATTCTAAGCTCTTTCTTCTCGATATTCTTTAAAATGTCATTATAAGTCAATATCTCATCAAAAATTGCAATAAGATATTGGCAGTAGTCGAGATAGGGCGATCGAACCGTCGGTTTATCGGTTCCACTTATAACCTTTTTGGCGGCCCGATCAAAATCGGAACCTGTAGCCGCAATAAGGCAAGGAGCTAGCCTTCTGTAAACGGTCTGCATATCATTATTTCCGACGGCCTCGACAGTTGCAGCAATCTGTTGACAATGTGAATAATTTTTACAAAAAGAAAAGGATAAACTAAAATCATGCAAACCTCTTTGAGATTTTCGTTTGTTTTCGTGATATCTGTTATGTCTAGTTTGTCAATACGCTTAGATAAATATAGACCAACTTCAGTAAGAGAGAATATGGCATTTCTCTCTTTTTTCTTTAGTGCTTGCTCAATGGGGGCTGATCGAGATGGTATTTTAGGGGTTTCCTTTGCAACGTATTTCATATTATCCTCAATTTTCATTTGTAGATAAAAGTTTTCTCTGTCGTTCGCATCAGATTTCCTCTTGACAGGACTAGTATTTTCTTTATAAGAGGCTGGTGAGGTAGCTGGCCTTTGTAAATTACCCATTGGTGATCGTTCAGGTGAACTGACACGTTGTTTATTAGTTGAGGGAGAAGATTGTGACTGTGATACTATTTTCATTTGTTCCAAAGCCGAATTAACCTGTCTAGATTTCGGTTTCGGAGAAGGAGTCCTATTCTGTCTTTTAGGCGATTGAGGTCTAACTTCAGTCTTAGGCCTAATTGAAAAAATTAATATTTATCGATATTTTTAAAAATCAAATTAACTATCTACGGGTAAAAATAATTAAATAATAATAAAAAATCAATTGTTTACATTATTGTTGTTCTTTTAAAACGTTCTTCAATCATTGAGATTGTAGCTTGTGGGAGCTGTCGAAAAAAAATATAATTAGTTTTCGTTACAAATAGACAGTTTTAAATAAAAAAAATAAATAAAAATAAAAGTTTGGTTAAATCTAAATCTAAAAAATAAGGAAGCCTTTAAAAAGTATAGATAAACCTGTGTCTGCTTTTTCTATGATTTTTGTTTAAAAAAGTAATTAGTAAGAAATAATATATATCTGCTAAATATATATCGATTATTTCAATAGAGATAGATATTATATTTTTAACAACTTTACTAACGTAATTAAGGTGTTTCATGATCGCATCTTTTCCCTTATATTGTACGGCTATAACTAGAGCGTTTAAGGAATATTCCCTAATTGCATGATCTTTCAATGCAATCTGCTCAGCTATACTCTTCATTAGAGTTTTTTCATTCGGATAGCACACTTGCATTCCATTCTCTTGTATCAGCATACCAATTTGATCGATGCATTCTTATTTTGTAAAATTAAATTAAAAGATCAATTACGAATTGTTTTTAATACAATTAATAAAGGGAAAACGTTACCAGCTCTAAATTTTAAATTTTTCGAAGTTAAACCATCAACAACGAATTTGCATATATTAAAAGGCGAATACATTTTAGCCGATTGTTGTACTAAAGACTTTGCAGCTCGTTTAATATTTTCTTTAGTATCTCCAATCTAAAAAAATTCATATTTAAATATAGATTAATAACAAAAGTGTTAATTACTTTGAGAATAAGGAAAGGTAGAAAGCTGTAAGCTTCGTATTCAAGTAGAACGTAGTTGGAATTAAGCAGTTCGGCAAAGAGTTTCTAAAACACAAAGGTAATATAGTTTAATGTATAAAACACCAATTTCAATCTAGTACTTACATCACAATAGTCAAAAATCTTTATCAAGACGGTTGTATTATTTTCTTGGAAGCGTATAGTAAAATAGCGTAAAATCAAGTCAAGATTCGATAAAGTCAGAGATAACGGTTCTTCCGTTAAGCACTAAAATAAGTATTTGTTTTTTTCCAATTTTAATCGAATGTTCTCACCCAGTTTAAGAATAGAACATGTTTCCTACCTTATATAACATTTCAATTCCTTTTACGTAAACTTTAAAATCTGTTGCGTGGAAGAGTATATCAATAAATTCTCTGCTGAATGATCCCTCCATTTGAGTTTTTAGTTGTCTTATATATTCGGTCTTATTTCCTGAAAAGTCCCATCTAAGCGTCTATGAAGAAAAGAAAATTTATTTTTAGTAATTATCGAATGTTTTATTTATAATTAATGGTTTTTACCTTTCGGTCTTTTTCCATCTTTATTCTGACAGATTTTTCAGCATTTTCTTTCAGGTGAGTGACAGGTTCCGTTGTAGTTTCCTTCGCTGCAGGTTTAGCTTTTGGAGCTGGAACTTTAGATTTAGCTAACTTAGATTTGGAAGATTTTTCTGATATTTCCTCTGTCGGTTCTTTAGGTTTCGTTGTTTTTGAGGAATCGGAAGCATTGGAAGGCTTGGAAGATTCTTGTTTCTCCTCAACTTTGGTAGTTTGAACTGGAGCTGAAGCTGGTTTTGAAATGGCTGGTAGATTATCCTTAGCCTTTTGTATAATTGTTAAAATATTTTGTTGCGAGGCTTTGGACACTTTAGAAGCAGCTCTTTTTAATGAGTCAAATCCAACAATTCTGATTAGTGGTGCTAAAATTCCATTTGCAGCTTGTCGAACATCTACATTTCTATCTTCTAAACAGGAGTAGACAATTGGAATAATTAATTTTAATTCAGCAACAGGCGGCCTCTTGCAATCAGTTAACTTTACAGTTAACCATTTTAATATTTCTGTCTTCAACATAGGATTTTCAGGTTTCAAAGCATCAAAAATAATTTCATTTTCGAAAATCATATTAATTTTTGTATAGTTCGTAATACCATCTATAGCCTTTAAGGCAGTTGACCTTAACTGAGCTTTTTTATCACCAAAATTTAATAAGATATTTAATGCCCACATTCTTCCATAGTCTTTAACACCAGGGCCGAGAGCAGTTATTAACATGAGAATAATGTCCATTACTTTTGCCACCAGGTTTTTGTTAGATTCCTTTAATCTCTGATTGAGAATATTGCATAGGTCACCAATAGTTGGTTTTATAAATGCATTCGCTTTCAGAATGGTTATGAGTGTATCAAGTGCAGCATTTTTTTCCTTCCAAGCTTGATGTGATAATTTTTGCATAAATTCATCGGTAAAGTTGGCGCTTATATCAACTCTGGGAACATTCATTTCAATAGGATCTTCATCCTCCTCATCCTCTTGATTTGCAGCACCATTTTTATCGTTTCCAGATGTAGTACCTTTAGCAGCAGCTGATAATTTACCTCGACTAGGAGGTAATTTTTTTCGATCTTTTTGTTTTTCTCGAATGTTTTTTATTTCAGTTTTGACTCTATCCTGTTCAGCTTGAAAATAACAATTTGCGACATCGTCGGTATACAATAAAAGGGTAGCGGTCAGTTCGTAAGCGGCTTGCCTTACATTCTGAAAGTCACAAAATACAGACGATTATCAATTTCATTCTTAAAGCTGGTAGATAGACAAAATATAATAAGTATACATACTACATTACTGTGTTGAAATGAATTTTTAACAAAATCGATAACAGTTTGAATTTGTACACTTTTAATACCATATAATTCCAATCCATTGTTTAAGCAATTTAAGCCTTCTGCTTTCTTTGTTGGGTTTTTGGCTTTTAAACATTGTTCAGCAATCTAAAAGAGAGAAATTTGGTCAATTAAAAAAAAAACACTTGGAAAAAGCCACATTGAACAAAATGAAAACCATGAATAAACTTACTTGTGTTGAAATATTATTGAAACCCAATGTGTCTGCCATGGCGTACAAAACTTCTTTTGAAAGTTGATTATTTTTTGGATGACTTAACTGATCAATTACTCCATCTAGCACCAAATCGCAGGAGAGTTTTGAGAAATTAGCATTTACGGCCAGCTCTTCAATTAGTTTTAATTTAGATTTCATAACCTAATAATTTCGAAAAAAATTTTCTAAATTAGAAACATTTCCACTGCTAAATAAAACAATATCATTACCAAATGATTGCAATCCTGCATTCCTGGCTTACGTGCCAAAACGTTTATAATAGCTTGACAAGGTATATCTTCACGACAGCTTTTGCCTATTTTCTATAATAATGCAACGAAAATGTAAAAAATTATAAATTATACATTATTAACTGTTCCATTACGTACTTCTATAAGATCTTCTACAACACCTTGACGATCAGAATATTTCTGAGCGGCAAAATTTGAAACGGTATCACCCGGAAGGAAAGCTGCAACCAACGATTCAACATCTGCATCCTATAATATAAAAAAAAACCTTTTCAAATTAACTCTATTATATTAAATACAGTAAAAATCAATTAAACTTACAGATAGTACTCTCTCTTCAAAACCACTCGATGTTTCTTTCTGTTTTGAGAATTGAATGTAAAAATTTTATTTCCAAATCAAATATTTAACAAAGTAAAATAAATTAAAAAAAAAACAAAATGAAAATTTTTACAAAACAAACTATGTTAAAATTTTCTATTTTGTTTGTTAAAAAATAAAATTACAAATTTACATAGAAAATATCTATGTTATTGTAGTATTTTTTAAAGAATTGTTTAAAACAGAACTAAATACACAGGAGGATCACATTCAGTTAGAAGGACACAAGCTGGTTATTTTTTTTAAATTGGTAAAAATTAAGCGACAAAATATATATATAAAAAAAAGCTATTTGCCTGTTCTGAATTTTCCTGCAAGTAATAATTTAAATTGTAATTAATTTAAAATATAGAGAAAAAATATAAAACAAATTTTATATGTTATATTATATATATATACATGTATATATACAGTATGTATATACCTGTTCGGATGATACTTTTTTAGCAGTACGTTTTGCATCAGTTTTTTTACCAAGGTTACCAGATGATTTTACTGCAGTTCTAGTTCCCTTCATTGGAACTTTCTTTGGACCTGCAATTGATTGGGTAGGTGCAGGGGGGGCCGATCCAGACGAACCCTCTTTTGCTCCATTTTTTGCTCCACCATCCGTTTTAGCGACGATAGTCTTGTTACTGTATTCTCTAATCTTTAATGATTAGAATAAAAAAAACACAAACGAAAAATCAACGGAATTACGTATTTAAAAATAAAATTAAATATATCTACCTTTTCCTTTTTAATTTCTTCTACATTGTCACCAATAAATATTTCAACCGCCTTTTCACCTACAATTTTCATACAATTTCCTAACGCTTCGTAAGTCGCTTCTCTTATTTCAACGGTATCATTAAGATTCTATGTTTAACATAGAACAACTATTAATATTTAAAATATATAACAACTCTAATTACTTACAGCAGATAAAGCTTCAACGTAGCTTTTTAAAAGTTTTTTTGGCAAAGAGGACTTACTCGTTCGGAGAAAAAACCTATTATTTAAAAACAGAATAATTTTATTAAAAGAGTATGTAAAGAAACTGTAGACAATAAAAAAAAAATAGATAAAATATAATAAACCTTGCGAGAAAAGCTGAAGTTTGCATACGAATATCGGGATTTTTATGACGTAGATGACTTAGACAAGTCTCGCTCATTGAATCAAGAGTAGTCTGAAATATTTATAATTAAAAAAAAATGTTAAAATAGTCAACAAATAAAAAATATAAAAATTAACACATACACTTTTAGCGACAGCGTCAATGGCCGTACGTAGCTCAGTTACAACAGCAGATTTCTTTTCTTTAAATTTATCAAGGATTGCATCTAACAGCTTTAAATAATACATTCATTTTATTTAAATAAAACTCTTATTTAAAATATATTAGATTACCATTTGAACAAAAATACCAAATTTTTTCCCCAATCCATTGGCAATTAGCCCTAGGCATTTAGCTGCTGCCGTAACGCACATGACATTAACATCTTTGCTTAAAACCTATAAAAAGAAAGAGAAAATAAATCAATAAAAGAATTTCTAAAACAAATAGAAGTATTCTTTTACTTTTTTCAAAGCTGGTACAATATCTTTATAAATATCGTTGTATTCTAATTTCGGATTTACTTCAACAAGGCTTGAAATTTTCTCAATTACTTCTTTACGATCACTCCACTTTTTCGAGACCTTTTAGGTTTTGATCAATTGGTCACTAGTTTATCTTTACTAAAATTACACCGAAATAAACATCACTTACAATTTGATCCGACCAATCTTTTGGTATGTCTTTTGAAATGTCGACAGGATTAATAAAGGCTAACGGATCGATTTCTTCTTCAACTTGAACTTCTGCTGTGGCATCCTGAGATCCCTCACCTTGGGGAGCTCTTTCAATTTTGTCTTGTTCAGATTTTAAAAACCTTAATTTTTGTGGTTTGGTAGTTTTAACTTCTTCAAAAAGACTTTGTAATTCGTTTTGCAGGAGAGGTTTCACTGCTGCTAACGTCGACTTAAGAGCAGGGTCTCCTAACCAATGATATATAACAACAGCTAAATCTTTAGCTTCTTCACGAGCTACAGAATCTTTAGCTTCCAAAAGGCTAGGTAAAAGTTTTACAATAGGTTTAGGGCTAATAATTTTGGGGCCAAACTGTCGCATTGCTTCCTTAATAGTATATATACTGGCTCTGACTATCTTATCTTGTTTGTTTGAGCATCCTTTAAGTAGTTCTTCTATAACAGTTTCTTGCTTTTCAATTTCTATGTATAACATTAACAATTCGATACCCATTTCTTTTGTTTTTTGGCGTGCATTAAAGCATTTTGTCACAACAGCATTTACACATTCACCAGCCGTTCTACAATAAATAAAAAACGAATGTTTTATATTCGATTTATTATTATTACATGGTAATAAAAATAAACAGACTTGCGAGCAACAGCAGCATTTCTGACAAAATTTTGCATAGCTTCAACACCCTTTTCTTGAGCAGGAGCATTGGAGTCGATGATAAATTTTTTGGCAACACCTAAATATTTATCAAATACAGGACTTTTTTCATCTTCTCTTTCGAATAGTTTTGAAGCTTCTTGATACCCTTCCACACGAGCTCTCCAATTCTGTCACCATTAGAATATATTATAGCTTTATCAAGCTTACCAATTGAAAAACGGTAGAAATATATTGTTATTTATCACATAGTGTAATGTAGTATAATGTAATTAACATTTTACTCAGAAATGACTCAGAAATTATTTTGAAAAATAGTTTTAACGGCTGCAAAATTATTTAAAAGACAAACCGATTGCTTCACTTTTTCTTCGGGCGGTAATTTTTTCCATGATTCGTCTTCTTGTTTATCACTACTCATGCTGAAGATTTAAAATAAAAACAACTGACGTTAATACAGAAAAATTGGTAAAAATCGCTAGCTTCTCAACTATAAGACCGTTTTCAGCTTAGCGGAACCGGAAATAAAACAGCTGTATTTTAAACAGTCTTCATAGACGCCATCTGGCGGCGATTAATAATTTTTAATTGTCTATTTATAATCCTGATTAAATTAATCCATTTAATATTAAAAACTCGTTTATTATTTTCGACATTAACATAAGATTTATAAGTGTCTAGTTCCCATATTTATTGAAAAGGTCATTTGGTACATAGCCCTATAATTCGTTTCTTGTTTAAACTTTCAAAAGATATAAGAGTTAGATTTAGAAGATTAAATAAGAACAAATAACATAATCGCGATAAAAGACTTGTTACTCTCTTTGGCATATTATTATATAATAATATTAACAGTAACTTTCGTATACAACTTCGTTCAAGTTTATGATTATCCTATCAAAAACTAATTATGTATAAAAAAATATAAGATACAAGCGTTTTACACAAGTTTAATTACAGGTTATGATATGATTCTCCTTATCGTGAAGATGGATTTCCTAGATTCTCTAGCATAGCTCTGGCATACTTCAGTCGTGATAACAAGTCCTTAGGGCAGCCAAATTGTTCAATTAAAGTGAATCTAAATGTGCGGAAATTTCTTTTGTCATCGATGAACGAAACGGCTTGCATGATTGGACAAATTATCACCTTGGTATGATCTTGAAAGAAATTTACCTATGCAAATAAAACAACATATATTAGATGAGATTAGCGTTCACTTATGGAAATATACCTGAACGGTTCCATTGCTTAATTGAAGGACCATAGCACTTCTTGTGCGAAACCACGATTTCATGAAAGGTAATCTTGTCATTTCATCACCTTCTCTTGGTATCTGACTTGGGCCAGCTTTAAGGAGATGCTCAGTCATATAATTCCTAAAATAACGCAAAAGCGTCATTTTCTTTTGCAAATTTTCAGGATAACATTTAAGTGTGTGAAAATGTTCTTGGCCAGTTCGTTCGATGTACTGCATATTCCTAAAGATTAAATAGTATGTGTTTAGTGAGCATCCTACAATTGGAAAGGGAGAAAAGAGAAAGTTTCTTATTTAACATATACTCACTCTCCATTTCCAGCTAAAATCAAGCGGGAAGAATCATTGAACAATACACCAACACTGTTGTCGCATAATTGATACCCAAGTCCATATTTATCAGAGTAATCTACCCATTTACTAACCCAGTAGATCGGAACAGCTGCAGGATCTTCACTGTCCTCTGTAAGAAAACAAGTTCATATTTACTTTTTATTGCATTGTTCTCTACGGATTTACGTACCGTAATTTCCATTAATGCCTCCATCTTTAAAATTTGTCATATTTGTAAGATTTGTTAGAGCTGCATACAACTCTTGAAGATAATCAACTGAGTCTGATTGCGCAACTTGCTCTACCTTTGGAAGTTTCTCTTCAGTCGCACCAACCTTTATTGATTTTGCCAAAGCATTCGACATGGGCTTTCTTTCTGCTAGTTGATCGAATCTTGGAGTCATTGTTAAGCAGCTTATTGGTAGACCCAAAGGCATGTAACCGGCTTCGAAAAAAGGATCAACTAACACATCACCCATAGAAGGTCGTTTCAAGGGGTCACTATTAAGTAATTTCTGAATTAATAAGGTGGCTGTGGGTGAAACTTTTGATCTTGGAATTTGATAAATATTCTTCTTAATTCGATTGTATGTCTCCTTCAAGTTACTTGTTTCGAAAGGAGGTTTCCCAACAAGTAAGGTATATAAAATGCAACCCATAGACCAGGCGTCCACTTCGAAGCTGTGACCTGTTTTACAAAGAACTTCCGGGGCAATGTAGTTTGGTGTACCGCAGAGTGTCCTAAAGACATTTTAAATTACTATGGGTTCAATGGTCGTTTATTTTAAAATGTATACAAACATTTTTCTTTCACCGTCAAATCTAGTCGCTAGGCCAAAATCACCAATTTTAATATCCATGTTATCGTTTAAAAATAGATTTCCCAATTTTAAATCTCTATGTATAATATTATTATCGTGAAGGTATTTTACTGCTTCAGTTATCTGTTTAAAAAAGTAACGCGCTTCTGGTTCTGTAACAGCTCTTCTCCTTTTGTGAAGTTCCATAAGCGACTAAAATATAATATCAATTAGATCATTCGAAAGGGAATTAATTTTTTTGCTGGAAACATACACGTCTGCTGCATAATTCGAGAAGGATATACACAAAATTTTCATCATCAAAGGAGCTATAAAATTTGACGATATTCTTATTATAGATGTTACGATGGATTTCTATTTCTTGTCTCATCTATGTAAGGAGAAATGATAGTACTTTGATTAATCATTTCAGTTTAATCCTACCTTTTCTTTTTGGTGTTGTTTCTGAAGAAGAGTTTTGGGAATAATTTTTCCGGCATAAATCCGATTTGATGAGAAATCGGTCATTTCGAAGCATCTTGCGAATCCGCCCTTTTAAAGAGAAAAACGATAGTTTCATTTCAAAACATTACCGGTACTTTAAATAATAGTTACTTTTCCCAAGAATTTTCCTTTTTTGAATCGTCGGTCCGGCCTTTTAGGATCAGTCACAATATCAGGTATTTCTGCTGCTGCACTGCCAGATCCAGACATAGTGTATTACCAGTGTTATTACGAACGATTAAGCGCTAAAGACAAAATGACGAAAAAAAACAAATTCTTGTAAAACCAATCACAGTTCGTTTTACAGATTTGGCGCATGCGCATTAAAATCAAGTGGTCAACGACGTTTTTGAATCTGCGATATGAAAATCAATAAGAATCGATTTATTTTCCATATATTGAATTTAAATTTTTAAATATTTTTAAATTTAAATTGTTTTTTGTTTAAAAAGTAACTTAAAGTTAAATGTTTTCGATTCGATTAATTAATCGTCAAAATTGAACTTCTACCAGTTTTTTAAATCGGTTAGAAGTTTTACCGATTAATAGTTTAAATATCGGAAGCCTGTTGCACTATCACCACAATCACGTGGCGATAATATCTCGTCAACATTACCTTGTATAACCATGCCTGCGCTGAATTTTGGCCTTCTTTATAGACGGAATTGTAAGTTGCAAATTAATTTAATACTTAAAATACAATTAATAAATGCATTATATTAATTTTTTTTTTAAATTTTAGAACATGTTCGTTCCGGTGGACTGGATGAATTTGTTAAGTCGTTAGAGATCGAAATTTTACAGATGCAAAATAATAGTTTGCTTAATGCTAAATATAAACAACTTAATAGAACATTTTCTTAAGAATGCCAACGAAATTTGTAACAAGTAAAACCACGTGGCGAATTGAATTTGGCCCCTGGACCCTGGAACACATAGAACAATAGTCCGGTAATTGCGTTCCGGAAGCAATGACATTGCAATAGTTAAATTAATAGAGTTTATATTTTATTTTGTTTAAATCTTCATTAAGAGTGCATTTATCTAAATGTTCGTTAAGAGTAAATTTACTCAGACGTCTTATGTTAATGCATTTCTTTAAGAATGAATGCTTATTTATCTTATTTTTGAGTTTTTGTTTTTAATGTTATTAAAATTTTGCATACTTTCGTGTAAATTTTAATAACCGATATATTTCCGTACATTGTATGGAAAGTATCCAATTAAAAAGTGGTGAAGGGTTTATATCGTTCTCGCACATGTCTGATGAACATTTTCTGCTCAAAATGCATCTATTTTTTGTATTCTCCACTCCAAAAATGTATTAATGTATTTTCTCCTTACTGAATATCCAGAAAAGTTAATTTTTTGTCTAAAGCATCTTCTGCCTCACAAATGTTATATGTATGTTATATTTTTGAAACACCCATTTAATTAATTTAACACCAGCCTACCTCATTGTGCTTAAACGCAGTTAGGCTAATTGAATAATGGAATGATTTATTTATCATTTATTTATTATCTTTTTGAATTTGATTTTGTTCTTTTAAAAACTTTTGTCGTTCGTCACTGTTCGAGCCCATGATGGCATCATAATGTAGATGAACTTTGCTAGTTACACGGTTTCCAAATAAAAGAGTTTTGCTGAAGGATTTTAATCGATTGTTTTTCTTGTTCAAGAAATAACAAAATTACTTTTAATTGCTTTAGTTAACTTATATAATAAATATTATTTTTTCTCATTATTTCATGCTAAATAAGCTATACACGACTATTAGCAATTTATTGAAAAGATGAGGTTACTCTCTTATTGTGGATTTATGACGTTGAATTACAAAAAGAAACCAACTCGGCCTAGATAGCTCTGAGGTAGAATTCATTATAACGTATTATCGACTTCCCTTTTCTGAGGTTGCTATTATAAGTAAGATTGTGTTTCCTTACCTGATGATACGCTTTAATATATTTTCAATATGTTATATTCTTCTACAGATAGAGTTTGTTTACACTTTCGACTAGAAGAACTATGAAAAATATTCAAACACACACACACACACACACACATACAGACGCACCAAGAAAAGTTATGTCATCTGTGTAAACTATGATATTTTCCAAAACTTCGAAGATGAAATTGTATTTAATGACGTTAGTATACAATAAGAATCATTAGTTATTATTGGAAAATGGAAGATATATACTTATTAAACAGGTGTATGAATATATTCACGTTTATTTATTGAATATCGTCTACAGAAGTCAAATAATAAAGAAACCTTTAGAGAAAAATTAATTTAAAAATAACATAGTATTAAGTTTTAATCATTTATATATAAAAATGTTAAATAAAATTAAATTTGAGAATATGTATTGATTATTAAAGGTCAAGGAATTTCGCAATCGTTATCCGAAGAATTTATGAATATTAATGCAGGATTATAGTATGAACAATGTTTAAGAGCATATGGTGGTGGGTGGGGGAAAAAAGAAAAAGCTCGTCTGCATTGTACGATTTGTTTGTACGATTCTACAATATATTGTATAGAATTCTATACAGAGATGTTTAATATTCATTTAATACTTTAATTACATTTATACTAATACATTAGTAATTAGGAATTGGCTTTTCTTTAAATGATACATTAGATTAATGAATAATACTCTTTTAACCTTGCTAAAGAGTAATAATAATGTAGTTTAATATACTATACCAATTTTCCACGTCATATGATATTTTATTTATGGGTAGGATATTTTATATCTCATATCAAAAGCGTGATAAATTCTTTAATAATGATGTATTTCCAACGTCAAATATCGGCGTTTATTTATATTGATTATGCAAAGGGTTTGATAACATAAATACACAAACATTATCCCCTTCTCTTCTCTTTTATTATAATATATATTCCCTTTTTATAGAATATATTAGAATGATCTTCCAGTTTTTTTCTTTTATAATTCCTTACTTGTGGAAATTATTTTCTTCTCTATTTTTCCATTGTTCCGGTAATCGATTTGTCCGATGTATGTTATTAAATATTATTTTTACCCTCCTGTTTTGTAATCTACCGTCTAAATATATTTTAAATGGGCTTAATTTAACGAAGAGTGGAGAGATTCTAACAATTTTATGTCTATATTTGTTTAAACTAGGCCTATGAATTGAAAAATGTTCGCAACGTGCTTTTTTTCAGTATCCGCACTTTGCGCATGCGCTTTGAGAGTCTATAAAGAGACGAGGAGTGGATATATTTTAAATATGGCCGCCTACTCCGTAAACAAGTCGTCCATTTAAACGTTTACCTGTTCGTTCTTCGTCATAACTGGAACCATACCGTCTCCATATTTCCTTTCTAATTCACAATAAAAACGTTTTTTTAAGCCGCAGACGACGAACTGAGAGGTAAATTGTTCTTTATATGTCTTTAGTAACTTTCCTATTCGATATAGAAATGATGAATTTTATCGTATTATTATCTAATCAAAAAATATATGCCGCAATATCTTAATTAGTAATGTCGTTAATGTAAACAAATGCAGACTAAATGGCAGTCTTATTTTTTAAATTTTAGACACAGGATAAAAATCTTAATCGGGGTATATTTTGCATCGTAACCTTTTCTACAATCCCGTTCTTTTATTACTTGACTAATACTGGACTCTGTGCATCAACTGGGGCGTGCATCTCGTCGTGCTGCCGACAGGTTTTTAGCATTTTCTTTAAGAAATCTGACATTTAATTTAATTCTATATTTAATATTGCTACAAGGGAGGAGCAATCTGCCCCCTTTTCTCAACCCCAGGCCTTTTGGAATAAGCGCTGGGTTCCACCAAGCAGCATATTTCGAGAATCACTATCCCCTTTGCAACATGAACTTCATGATTTTATTTTTCGAAAAGTCCGTGGGTAAGTAGTTATTAAGAACTTTACGTAATTTGCTTAGATAATAGTCATTATTACTAATACATGCACGTAACAGCATTCTCAACAAGCTTACGCCGCAGAAATTTGACAAGCTAAGCTTCGAGTTGTTGCATGTTGGCATCGATTCCCAAACCATCTTAGCTGGAATAATCTTACTCGTACGTATCTTACAAAAAAGTCTTTTTTTTAAATACATATCTCACCTTTCTTTCCCTCTTATATAGATTATATATAGTACATGTTTATAAATATATACTGTATAATATATGTATAGTATTTTATTAGTACCCGCTTTAGAAATCTACTTTGACCTTGTTTCAAGCAAAGACTAATTTAAAATTTCTTTCTCTTCTACGTGCTCCCATAGATATTTGAAAAGGCATTGGAAGAACCGAAATATAGCTCTCTTTATGCACAATTGTGTAACAGATTATCAAAGGAGGCACCAAATTTTGATCCGCCAAATTCTTCTTCAAATGTTTGTTTTTACAATAGAAACTCTCTTTTATGCGTGCTATTTTATCAATTCTCTCATTCTCTCCACTTTTAGACGTTCAAACGTTTACTATTAAATAAGTGCCAAGATGAATTTGAAAATAGAAGAAAGGATACAGAAAGATTGGAGAAAGGAGGAGCGATTCTCACTGATGAGGAGATGGAGGAGTTGCATATTGCGAAGCGTAAAATGCTCGGAAATATCAAATTTATATGCGAACTCGGTAAGTTGGATATGGTTCACGAAGGCGTACTGCATAAATGCATCAAGCAATTGTTGGAGAAGAAAAAGAGTAGTAACGTTAATGATATGGTAGAAGACTTAGAATGTTTATGTCAAATTATGAAAACTGTTGGCCGTCGCCTCGATACGAAACCTGCAAAAGTAAAAAGCTTTTGATTTTTTTTTGTTACTACTATAATCAATCATTTTAATGAGTCATTTTATGTTTTTTTCCCCCTTAAAAATTAGCAATGGATGAATCAGTATTTCGATAGAATCGAAATGTTTATGAAGAGCAAAGAATTACCACCCAGAGTTAGATTTTTACTACAGGATATAGTTGAATTGCGTTCTCATCATTGGATTCCAAGGGAGTCCTATAGGGATAATGGACCTAGGACTATAGTTCAAGTTCGGGAAGAAGCTGCTCGAGATGGCCTCTTTATTTCGAATAGCTCATATTCTTTACATAATTCAAGCACGCCCATAAACTTGGTTTCGTGTCAAGCAAGACTTCAGCAGGAGCGTGCCAAGAAAATTAATGATCTTTTTCATAATTCTGGCCCGAATAGCTTGTCAAATTTCAGTTTATATTCCGATGCGGGAATTATTTCTAACGAGTCAATTATATCAAAACGTAAGTTATTTGAATGGGATGTACAATGCTATCAATATTTTGTTCTATTTTTCAGAGATGTTTGATGATTCGAGAAATAATCACCGTATGAACAATAGAATGTATAATAATCAGTTGAAAAACAATCGAAATATGGGTTCTAGATACCAGCAGCGTATCTCGAACGGAGATGATGAAGAATCTAACGGTTCTCTTCAAAATGGTAAGGATACTGTCTCATTAAGGCCATCTGGGCGTGTTTTTAACGTCCTTAAGCCTGCTGGTCCTACCGCTTTACCAAAATCTGCTCAAGAGCCATCCAGTTCGGAGAAGACTGAAACTACACCAACTGCCCCCATGATCCATAAGCAAGGAACTATAACAATACGTCAAACAGTTAAAAAAGTCACTAATAAACAACAAGTTACCGAAACAATTCGTTCAATATTCACAGCTGTGAATGATGATAAATTTGCTGAAATCGAAAAACTTATTAACGATAATAAATGCTTAAAGAAATTTCTAGATGAGCTAATTATCAACTTATGTTTGGCAACAATTGCAAAACAGAATGTAAAGATAATACTACAGGAAGATAGAGAAGAATTGCTTATATCTGTAGTGGTATTTTTGATGAATTCAAGTTTTTTAACCTCAGATCCTCTACAAAATGCTTTAAAAGTTACTTTGGCTAAATTAGAAGAGAATGAAAATAATAACGAATTTTATAAATTGCCGTTATTATGCGCAAATTTGTTAATACTCGATAATGCTGTATTAACTTTAAAAAATGTTACGGATATGACGCAATCGTCTCAAATTCGTCAACAATTTATTCTTAATCTCTTCCAATGTTTGGTTCATTTAAAGAATAAGTCCTGGTTGAAGAATTTTGTTGATTCCTCTAATTTTGATTTTAAATTTCTTTTAAATGGTTAGTAATAAGGTGTAAATAATTGTTTTGTTCTTTTTTAAAGGTTATTTAATATATCAGGTGCAGACGATATTAATTTAGTGGACATTTTACAAGAGAGGGAATTAGATTTTCTGGTACCCTTTCTGATTTTTGAAAGGTCTTTAAAGAAGAAATTAACAGAAGAAAATTACGATCCTAATTCATTGTCTGACTGGGTTGAGGAAAATACAGACATCTCTAAGGAAGAAAGACCAAAATTTGTTTCTGTACTCGTCAAATGTATTATGGAATACGTAACGACTAGAACAAGTACTGTTAACGGTATAGATTGCGAATCGGCAGTGTCCAAAAAGTCACATTGCGATGACGAAAAGGCACTTTTATCGAGCTTCAAACCTGTTCTATCAAGATTTATAGGAGATGATGTTGAGCTACAAAAATTTACTTTATACGCAACTCAGCTATTCGCTTATGAAAAATCATTTCCCAAAGGTGAGAATTTGTATGCCACTCTATTTATTCACCAGTCTATACTTTCACCTTTTCATTTATGAACCATAAATCATATCTATTTGTTTGCTTATTATTTCTTCGGTCATTAGGCTTAATATTACGGCTTTTCATGCAACTATACAACGAGGAAATTGTGGAAGAGGACGCTTTCTTCCAATGGAAAGAGGAAGTTAATGATGAATATCCGGGGAAAGGGCAGGCACTGTTTCAAGTCAATCAGTGGCTTACTTGGTTGGAAGAAGCCGAATCAGAAGAAGAGGATGAAGAAGAGGCGGATTAAACAGAAGGAGACCGGTAGTCTTTCTATAGATCCAGGTAAGTGTCTCTGTCTATTGTATATTTTTTTCAGTTTTTAGAATATTATTATGTCACTTTTAGCTGTTTCATTTATTCGTGTTCACTTTGTTTTTTGTAAATAGTAGTTGAACTTGTTTTTAAGCAAATATTCTCTTTTAGCTTGTTTTACCTAATATATATATATATATGTATATATATATTGTTTTTTAAAATGTTCATAATCGTGCTTGCCTGTGAGAATATATTATGAAGATGTCACCATATAAATAAAATTGTTAAAAGAACAAATATCTCTATTCTTTCACATTTAATATATTTTAACCCGAAACGCACATAGAATAGATAGGAATACTTTATTATATATTACGAAGTCATGCTTTAAATATACTTTAAAACAAACGGGTGTTTTTCAAAGGTAGCCCATAATTCTTAACATGATAATGCCCAAAATAGATATAATAATGAATTTGAAATAATACATGAAAGAAGACGACGATCCTTTCACTACAGAAGACTCTGAAAAACATGACACTTGTAGAATTTACGCCTTTTTTAATATTATAAAGTCTTACGCTTCGGTGTCGAAGAACTGGCTGGCTGACTATGAGAACTTCTTTTCATTATTACCCTTATGGGGTAGGTAGCAACTGACGTGACGATTTTTTTTGTTACTGTATACATACTCCTTCGTTAGTATCCTCTAAGCTACTTGGTTTGAAAACATATGGTCACTATTGTGAACCTGGGAATTATAGATTTCTATTGTTTTTCAATCTGGAAATTTTATGTTTTTTTCACTTCAAACACTATTATACAAATTCTATATGGGTATAGGTTTATAAAGTATAAATAGAAAGTGCACGCGTCCATCTATTTTGTATAAATGCAATATTATACGTATATATATATATAGATATATATTTATATATATAAGTAGTAATATATGACATATACAGTATATACATGTATATTCCTTTATTGTATTTATTTTCGATGTACACCTATATCAGATTAAAACAACATAGAATAGTACAAAACACCATAAAAACACGATTTAAAGACTAATGAATACACATGATATGTTCAGATATATAAAAATAAATACATATACTTTAAATATACATATACATGGAAAAAGAGATAAAGAGAAACAGACATGTTGCTACTACTGCTGTTGTTGTCATACTATAGATGTCAGTGTTTACCCATGAAATGAATATTTGTATATATAGGGAAAAACATAAACAAAAGGGCTAGAGCAAAGAATATGGCAACTTTATCTTTCCCTTTTTTTTTTTACAAAAAAAGAAAAAAGAAACAAAAATAATTTCAAGTAAATGGGTGAATAAAACAATACAAATATATATATATATATATATACATATATATGCGATTATAATAAAATGAAATAAGAAAAAACTTCTCACATTAAAAAAAAAAACAAAACAATATTTCTTTCTAAAAGTATAAAAAATGTTTAATAAAATTTTCTTCTTGAGCAATAAGATTTAAAATTATTTCAGATTATTGGTTTTGTTTTTTTTTCCCCTTTTTTTTTTAAATAACCTAAATGTTAGGAAAAAAAGGATGAAAGGGCGGATGTTTTTTTCGTTTAGGAAAAAATGTTTTAAGATTATTTCGGGACCCATTTGCAACTTTGTTTTTTTGTTTCTTTCTTCCTGTTTACTGGACGGCAGTGACGATGAATATCAAAAGAAAAGGTTGCAGTTGTTTTTTTCTTTGAGGGTGAACTTTCTGTTTCTCCATATTTTTTATTTATTTAATAATCTAACATAGTTAGATTATTAGGATTCAATCGACGTCTGATTATCACCATTGACGAGTATACTTGTCTCCTGCGGGACAACAGCTTCTTCAGTATCTCCATTTGTTGCCTTTTCGGTTTCCTTATAGCGTCTTTCTCGTCTGTAGATATCGTTTGGGAACATAACCTTGAAATGCTTGGCGAAGAATTTTTCAACAGGCTCAACGCAATTATACACAATATCTCCAACCTATTCGTTCAATAATAATGTATATTATAATTTCTATAGTAAACTAATTACTTACAGCATTGTAAAATTCAGCATTATCAAACATCTGGGCGACGTCAGCAGCTACATCATTCACAGATTTAAGCTGATGAGTCTCAATCTTCTTACGGAGCGTTGACAAATCAACGGGCTTCGTTATCACGTCATAATAATCAGGAACGTCTTCTTTTCGAACAGGGTCGATAAATGGCCAAGCACACTTTTGTCGTCCAGTTCTTGCTAATAAGCCAATCATTTCCTAATATTTTAAAATAATGGAAACGTTTAACTTAAAATTAGACGATTTTTAGTTTTTGTTATGATACCTTTAATTTTGCTTGTTCGTCAGCTACTCTTGGTTTTGGCTTTGCTCGTTCCTTTTTAGGCGAAATAATAGTAACCTGAGTCTTCCCATCTAGCATGATAGTATTTCTATTATTATGAGTTGGTACTTGATCAGTTAAAGAACTTTCATCAACAATAATTTCTGTGGTATATTGATTATTTGTATCGTTTAAATCCCTAGAAAATGCATCTTCCTCCGTATCACAGGAATAATCTGTTTCCATATATAGCGGCCGCTGTTTCTTTCTTAGGCTCATTTTTACTTTTAAAGGATCTTCCGGATATTCACTATTTGAATCAGAAGATTCGTAATTGTTGGCATATAGGGGTTGTCGAGAACGATTTCTCTTTTTTCTTCCCGATGGATAGGAATGATCAACAAGATGATAACTAGCTGTTGATGAAGCGGATGAAGCCGATGACGTTCGCCTTCGAGAAATTTTTACATAAGGTTCCCCGTCCTCTAATTTTTCATCATCACCCATATCATCATCACTTGAAGGTAAGACGTTTGTTTTAAGTGCAGCTCTCCTCGCAGCTCTATCAGCTCTGGCTTCCTTTTCAAACTTGGTCTTGTCTTCTTCGGTCATTTCAACTTTTCCATTTAAAGTTCTGTTAGATCGAAGAGAGCGTCTGGATCTACCATTGCATAACATACAACCATATTGTTTCTGGAAAGACATTTCGCTCTCAAAAGGTGGATCATTACACCAATAGTGTAGACTGGCATTGCAGCTCATGCATTTATTTACAGGTCGTTCACTTGATCCGCATATACAACAAGTTACAGTGGATCGCTAATAAAAACAAGTTTAAAAGTTAAATCTATCATATGATTCTTTTTTTCTATTTTAGAACTTACTCTTGGTCTCATAGACCTAAATAAATAATCGTCATTATTTAGTCCATTTTCCTCATCATCCTCTGCATACCTGGGCCGTCGAGATCTTTTTTCGTTATTTTGTGGCTATAAAAAGATACGTAGATGCGTTATTGTTTTCTTTTTCCTTAAATTACTTACATTGCAGGAAGTACAAAACCATTCTCCCGCTGGAATGGAAAATAACGCCGGTCTTAAGCAGGTCAGATGAAAGGCAGCATTACATTTGTCACATAATATCACTTCTCCACCTTTGCGACAAACTTTACATTTCTAAAATTTTTTTGATAAACAAATGTTTTAACAAATAATTTCGCTAATTTAATTATTTGTATAAAATTATTGAGTACCGAATTTTCGTTTGATTTGGACCAATCAACAGAGTCGTAAAGGTAGTTAAAAAGTAAATGTAACTCAGGCAAGCAGTTACACTCAGCTACAGCCTCCATCCACATCTGAACACTCTCATTTTCATTATCCTCTTCGCCTGGGTGTTTTTAAATATTTGTTATAATAGTAACAATAACAATAGCTATTCTCTTACCTGAAAACCGAAAATATGGCTTAAAAAATCTATTGTAAACTTGTTCCTTCAGCAAAACTAGGTTTGATTGCTTTAATAAAAAAGACATATTTGTTAGTTATTTAGGTATTGAATGCATTTGAAGTAGGTTGTCTTACCAAATCCTTCAAGTTTTCCAATTTCATAAATTCCTCTTTTCGAAACCCTACTCCTCCCAGGGCAGAAGCAGTTACTTTTTCACTCATTTCATACATGATTCGCTTTAAAGAGTCGGAAAGCCCTTCCACAGCTTCATCTTTCTTATCATTTTCCATTTCTACGCAACCAGTCTCACTTTCGGTCGCATTCTCACTCTCATGCTCATTTTCATTTTTAATTTCATTTTTAATTTCATTTTTAATTTCATTCTTACTCTCATTCTCATTCTCGTTCTCATTATCGTTGTCATTCTCATTCTCCTTCTCATTTTCATTCTCTTTCTCCTTCTCCTTCTCCCTCTCCTTTGTCGTCTCCTTTTCCTTCTTCTCTCTCTCTTTGATCGCAGCGGCTTCCCTGGATAGCAATAATAGTAGTTGTTAGTGATGAAAAAATATGCAGATTATTTTATAGAAGAAAACTTACTCAGTAATGGTTTTATTGATGTCATTAAAAATAGCTATAAAATTATGCCGCAAATTTTTTTCCCTTTCTGTTCTTGCATTTAAGGCCAATTTCACTAGTTTCAACGTTTTAATGTCATTATAATAGGCCCAAGCCCTATTCCGTAACCGTGGATCGTCTGGAGGAGGGGCACGAGGAGCGCTAAAAAAATATTTTAACACATTATTAGCAAAATAGATAATAAATGAAAGAAAAATATACTTCTTCTTCTTGTTCGAATGTTGTTCGATTTCCTTCCATATTTTACGTTCAGAGTCGTTTGAAATTTCAACGAAAACATGCGATGGACAGCAAGAAAGATACCAATATCTATTGTAATCTCGGTCTTCGCCCAAAGGTGATGATCTTAGGGTCACTTTGGCAATATACTCAGCCATCTGCAGTATATATATATATACATAAATACATATATATTATAGTGTTGGTTTACAAATGAAATTTTTAAAATTAACTAACCGTTATATTCTTTTTGAAGTCTTCTTCTTCCTTTTTATCATTATTTTTCTTTTCTTTCATACGGTCTCTATTTTTTAAAGAAAATATGTATTTACAGGATTATTATAATCTTATATTTCTTATAACGTAAAAATATAGCATACTTTATCTTTTCTGGACTCTCTGTTGTCTCCGCTTTATCAGCATTAGCGTTTCTATCCAAATATTTCATCATATCTATGCAAATTAGTGATATAAATTATTAAAAACAACCTTATAATTAATAAATTTATCTTACGGGAGCTACTTTTCAATTCCTCTAGATCTTTTTTCTTGTCCTCCTTACGTTGTTTAATAGCGAGTTGACGATCTTTCCATAATTGATATACGTTTAGTTGTTTCTGATCAATTTGTAGCTTTGGAAAGAAAACGGCTTAAAATTGTTGGAGATATGCACATAAAAATAGGTTAATTAAGTCAACCTAATCCTTTTACTATAATTAAGACTTACTGCTAAAAAATCGCTATCAACCAATTGCTGATGCATGGCTAAAAGAAGCGAAAGTTGAGACGACGCACATAATTCTCGAAATTGAACATTATCCAAATACTGTGCTATTTCTTCGACCTTTTTTTAAAGAAAAATGTATAATAAATATATTTTCAAAGTAAAATTATATACTGAATAGGCTAGCGATCACTTACAGATAAACATTGCGCAATAAAACTAGGTTCATCATCCACTGAATTAGCGGTTCTATTTCTTTCATAAATGATAATTAAACGCAGTGCTTGCTCAACGTTATATTTATTTATTTCAAATTCGTAAAGAGGCTTATTAAGAAACTGTATTCTCTGTTGAAAAGTGATTTTTTAATTAATTGATCGTTTCATCACAATGATGAACTTAACGAACCTTTTTATATCTCCAAAGTAACAAGGAACCTACAAAACCAGCCAACACATCATTTACGCAATTATATACGGCTTTCTTATCGCACAGGCCAGCAAGAAGATCAACTTTTTTGAAAGAAAATATTGTCAATTCTTGCATTTGCAAACAGTTATTAAAAAAAAATCCCGAGAAATAATAAATATTATTGAAAACTTACATGGCGACAGTCGTACAATAGTAAGAGGTTTTTCAAAATTCCCCAAAATGGAATAAAATGACGAATAAAATTCCGTTATAAGGCATACATCGGCAAATTCGAAATCGCATACACCACTCTCTGACTCGATGTTAATGAGACTGGGTTTTGGTATAGGTACAGTTTTCGGTGTCTTAAGAAAAATTTTCTCTTATGAATAGATATATTGTATATTAATTTTACTTACGGATTTTGTAAGTGATTTCCTAGGTGAGGTGCTTGATGGCTTTTTTTGGGGCGACTGTGTACTTCTTCGAGGCCTTGATGCATTCCCTTTCGGGAGCATATCGAAGAGTTTTGTCTAAAAATCAGTATTATCACATTTATTGTCTCAAGTTATCCATTGTTTAAATCATTAATATTTATGCAATGAAATCAAACCTGCTTTAGCTTTTTTCGCTTTCTTTTCGATGGAGATGCTGATTCCCTTCTCTTGACGTTGGATAATGCTTCATCCTTGGCTTTGAGAGCTTGCCTTTCTGATTCAGATAAAGTAGCCTTTTTTGCCAAGGGTTCATCATCGCTATCCGAGTCGATCATTACATGATTTGATTTCTTCATGTTTTCTCTTTCTGATCGCCTCTACGGTGCCCCAGGATAAGTCAATTTGACGAAATGGCAATCCGATCGGCTTTAATTTAAAGAAAAGCGAACAATATCGTTAAATATGTCTGCAATAATATGTAGGATAGCAGACGAATTTTAAACATGGATCTTGTCTCCGAAACAAAGCAGCCATGCTGCAGCAAACTACATCAGCGAACCTCTCTAATTTATGCCTTATAACTGCTTTATCGCTCATTAAAAATTTTTATTATTTTATGAAATGTTCCTTAAACAAATATATGCTCTACCAATAAACACATACTTATCTAAATATCTAATCAAACGAATTTTGTAACAAAAACTCAAGTTTGCTAAAATGTAGATAATTCGTATCAATGAATTGCTTCTATATTTTGGCGCTTCTTTTACTTTCAAACAGTTTCCTTCCAAGACGGCCGTTTATCGGAAAAATTCCCCGTTTATATCGAAGGGATATTAATTCACCCTTTTTAAATACGACATAAAAATACTTACCAGTTGAGAAAAAGAATAGGTCGATGTAGAATACTTTAAAAGCCCAAGAAATAGTTCGGCCGTCTTTTTGTACCAGGGTCACACTAGATTACTGAAGTAAATTATCTTTTATGAAATTAAAATTAACTTGCTTTTCAATGGAAAAAAAATTTTTTTATTTATAATTTTTAGCTAGAGTGCTCTGTATATTAACTTGAACTAAAATATCAATGAAATTTTTCTTGTCAATGAGTACCTTTTTTGAAAAAAAAATTATTTTCATAACATAAATATTAGTAAAAAAATTATTACTAAACAAATTTTTTGTATTTTAGAATGTAGTTTTTTAAGTAAAATAGGTAATTTTCAAGAGATTCAATAAGACTTTGGGAGTTAGCGCTACCTATACCTCGTAAATGTGTTTACTAGAAGAATCTCTATGAAAATGGATATATATATATGAACAATGTCGTATAATATTATATAAAAATAATAAATATGGGGAACACTCAACCAAAACTCCACAAAAACTTTGCATCTCTACCTGATCAGGTTAGTTAAGTATATTTTTCGTGCAGAACCCTAACTTCGCTATGTTTTTGTACAACAGGATTTCCCAACATCGTCCAAGTTTAGTAAACGAAAGAGAGCTCAATCGTTAGAAAATTTAAAATCCCCATCATCTCCAAACCCTAAGAATAAGGAATCAGACTTTTTACCTGAATACTGTTCAGGTGCATATGACGTTCTGAGAGACTTTGTTATTGAAACTATTATAGCCAAGGGAGCCTATGGAAATGTTTTCAAAGTTCACAGAAAGACTGATAACAAAGTATTAGTTTTAAAAGTAATGCAAAAATCGACAATAAGCGAGTTGGGAGCTAAAAAGAGGGTTAAAGATGAGGCATCAATTCAAAGTTCCTTTAGTAAACATCCATTTATTGTTAAAGCTTTTTCTTTTTTCCAAGACATGGACAACTTAAACATTCGTAGGTCTTTTTTTATTCTAGATATACTAAAATTTACTAATATAATTGTTGTTTTTCTTTTAGTTATGGAATATAAGCCTAATGGTGATCTTTTTGCTTTATGGAAACAGAGTGATCGTTTTAGCGAGAATCTAACAAGAGTTTATATAGCCGAAATAGCTCTAGGACTTGGTTGGTTTTTTTTTATCTTTCTATTTAGGCTCAATTTTTCACTTAGTTATTTAACTTTACTAAATAACTTGCAGATTTCCTACACAAAAATGGTATTATTTATCGAGATTTGAAGGTAAACAGACTATGACCTTTTTTCGCTTATGTAAATAATATTATATTGATTACAGATGGAGAATATTTTACTGGATGAGTTAGGCCACATCTCTATTACTGATTTTGGTCTATCTAAATGCTTGTCAATTGGAGAAAGAACAAGAACAATTTGTGGAACGTTACAATACATAGCACCCGAGGTATTAGCTATGCAAACTTATACGCATTCAGCTGATTGGTGGTCATTAGGTATTCTTATGTATTCTCTATTGGCCGGTCATTTTCCAGTGAAACCTGGAAAAGATCATTTTGAAATGGCCAAAATGTGTTCACAAAGTACATACGAATTACCGTTTTACGGAAATTATTCTAATGAAGCTAAACATATTGTTAAAAATCTGTTAGAAAAAGATAGCAGGCGAAGGCTTCACGATATTTACAGTTTGCAAAATCAGCCATTCTTTCAAAGATTAAATTTTGACGTTGTCTTTGCTAAAAAGATACCTATTTTCGATATCATATTAGAAAATTGCAACCAATATACAACAAAACGTATCAATGAAATATTTAGCGTTCTACCTCCAATGTATTTCCAATCTGAAAATACTGAGATTAAGCTCAATGGAATCAACGGAGACTACATTAATGGGTTTGATTACGACGCAACTTTTATGGTCGGCAATCGCACTTACGTATGGTGCAACAGTATTGCTCAAGCTAAACCAATTCTTGTCTAACACGAATTCCCCTATATAATAAAAAGAATACACTTCTATTATCATCTAAATTAGTATAAATATATATGTATATGTTAAGATAAAGAGAGCTAACAATTTATCTCTTTTATGCAGTATTATTTTGCTCATTCCCTTTAATAAATACTCCCCACTCTCTCTCTCAATATCTTTACCCAATGCAAATGTTGATCTGTTGTTTTATTTTATACTATACAATACCATTCGTTTTGAATTCAGTAACTCTTTGAAAGAATTCTCAAAAAAAAACTTTTGTTTATTATCAATATCTGTTTCTAAACTGTGTTAACCTCATCAGATTATCAATTCTACTAACAGTCGTTTAGGGGGTGTTTTTCCACTCTAATCATTCTGTGAACTATCTCTATTCTTTTTTATATATACATGGTGCTACTAATATGTTTCATTTGTCATTTAACATTGTATTTTTATTCTCTTTTGCTTTATATTTTTTTTATCTTTTACGCCCACTTAGAATATTTAATCTTTTTTCCTTTATTATCGATTACTGTTTACATATTTTTTCAATTTGTTTTCAATATAACTTTTCGTAATTATAAACTTCCTTGTTTTTTTTTTAATACAGTTACTTTATTTTTTATATGCTTTTTCGGTGATTTTTCGTTCGAATATAAATGCCTCTATAAATTAATAAACATTCTTATCATATTTCAAAATGAGGCTGTTTCTGATATTTTGAAATTATTATACACTCAAACTAAATTTAATACTTAATATAATGTTAGTATAATGTGCTCAAACAATATAAATAAGAAAAAGAATCGAATTTCGAGCAATTCTTTTAAAGAATATTCTCGAGGAATTATTGCACGATATTTCATTAGATTTGTAATGAAATATAGATATTTAGTAATATTCTTTAAAGAATTATTAATCATCACAGGTTATTTTCCTAAGTTTAATAGCTATTTTTTTTGTACAGCTTATTTTGGCCTGTCAAGTTTTATAGAACATTTTTACAGTATTTGTTAGGAATTATTGTGAATTTGAAGGTGAAGGGCATAACTCTTCAAAGAGTTTTATTGCAAGGAGTATTGTTAATATGCAAATTACTGTAGACTTACTGCAAAATTTACTAAATAAGTATTTTTTTTTGAGACAACGTGTCATAAATTGAAAATTTTGCTGATTAAACACAGCGATATCTACTCTTTCTAAAATGTAAGATAAGAGTGATTCAACATTAAAGAAATAGGTTTCCCTCTCTCTCTCTCTCATTTCCAGACAAAGCATTGTTGAACAGTAATAAGTTATTTAAATAATACTTCTTGTCTGTCAAGTGAAGTCCAGATAAATTGATTATATTCGAAATTATTGAAGTTGCTATGACGATAGGCCTAAAGGTAATTTGTAAGAGTTGTGCAAGCGACTGAGGCGCCAACTCAGCTAGACAGACTGATGAGTCACTTTTTTGAAAAAACATCACTTGTACAATTATTTCTTAAACATTTTGAGCGATTATTCAAAAAGTAAAATTTCACAATCAAGATAATTTTTTGCTCTTTATTGACGGCCGGGCTGCATATAATTCATTCTTCAGCCAGCTTCTTTTGAAAACACTGTAAGATGTCTCTCCGAAAAACTGTACAGGAAGATAATTCTCTCTTCCGTATTCCTCCCTATTTCTATTTGCATGTTTTGGATCAAAATACCAATGTATCTCGAATTGAGGTTGGTCCAAAAACATACATTAGACAAGATAATGAAAGGGTCGTATTGGGACCGGAACGAATGATAACAGTTCCTCCAAGACAATATTGTATTATTGAAAATCCTGTTCAAAGAAATGGCGATGGTGAAGTAATCTTAGACGGATATGGTCAAGTAAAGTTGGCTCATGCCGATAAAGAAATTCGTCTAACTCAAGATCCTTTCCCCTTGTACCCTGGAGAAGTTTTATTACAGCCAGTAAAGCCCCTTACTATTGTGGTTGCAAACTCTGCTCTTAGATTGAGAGCTGTCTTGGATTTTACTGATGGGGAAGGAAAGAAAAGAATTGCCGGTGATGAATGGCTTTTCAAGGGACCGGGAACTTATATCCCAAGAAAAGAAGTTGTCGTTGATGAAACTATTAGAGCAACTGTTATTATGCCTAATCAAGCCTTGAAACTTAGAGCTAGAAAGGAATGTGAGGATTTCGAAGGCATTAATAGAGTTACGGGAGAAGAATGGTTAGTAAAGAATACGGGCGCCTATCTTCCTGGCGTTTACGAGGAAGTTGTTGATGTCGTCAACGCTTACGTATTGAGCGAAAAGAGAGCTCTACATATGCAGGCCAGTCGTACGTTTAAAGACGACTTTAATGTCACAAGAAAAAACGGAGAAGAATGGCTTATCAAGTTATCTGACACTGAAACTCATATACCACACGTATACGAAAAAGTTATGGGTTTTGTAGATATTACAACTTTAACAAACCGCCAATACTGTGTGATACTAGATCCTGTTGATGAACATAACAAGCCTCAATTAGGCAAAAAGAAGCTAGTCAGAGGAGAAAAAAGTTTCTTCCTTTTACCTGGAGAATCGCTGGAAAAGGGTGTTCAAAATGTATACGTTTTAGGAGAAAACGAAGGTGTGATTTTGAAATCCAACGAATTATTTCAAGATGGCGATGTTACCAGGCAACCAGGTGATAAGTGGATGATTAGAGGACCTGTCGAATATATGCCACCAGTTGAAGTAGAGGTAGTAACCAAGAGAACTGCCATACCTTTGGATGAGAATGAAGGTATCTATGTGAGAAATATTAAGAACGGAAAAGTTAGAGCTGTCACCAGCGGTACTTATATGCTTACACAAGATGAGGAACTTTGGGAAAAGAAATTACCCCCAGTAGTTGAGGGTCTATTGACCACTGGTAAAGATCCTATTGCAGACCGATCTGATAGAAGATCCACTGGTGTAGAGGGGAAACCAAGAGATAAAACTAGAGTAGTCACTTTCCGAGTTCCTCACAACGCCGCCGTACAAATATACGATTATAAGCAGAAAAAAGCTAGAATTATTTTCGGACCTGAATTGGTCATGCTTGATCCTGATGAACAATTCACACAATTATCTCTTTCTGGAGGGAAACCCAAGAAACCAAATGTTATAAAGAGTCTCTGTCTCCTCTTGGGACCTGACTTTTGTACAGATATTATTGTTGTTGAAACGGCTGATCACGCCAGACTTCAACTTCAACTTAGTTACAATTGGCACTTTGAAGTTCAGAAAGACAATGAACAAGATGTCGCCAAGATTTTTAGCGTACCAGATTTCGTTGGTGATGCTTGTAAAGCAATGGCCTCGCGTATTAGAGGAGCTGTTGCTAGTGTACAATTTGATGATTTCCACAAAAATTCTGCTCGCATCATCCGTGGATCAGTTTTCGGTTACACAGAAAATAACAAAATTGGTGAATCCTTCCTCTTTAAACAAAATAATCTCGTTGTTACTAGTATCGATATTCAGTCGGTAGAACCGGTTGATCAAAGGACGAGGGATGCTTTACAAAAATCCGTACAATTGGCAATTGAAATCACTGTTGCAGCCCAAGAAGCTACTGCCAGACAAGAGGCAGAGAGATTAGAACAAGAAGCTAAGGGTAAATTAGAAAGACAGAGAATCCAAGACGAAGCTGAGGTAGAAAAGTCAAAGAAGAATCTGCTAGAGCTTCAAGCTCAGTCTGCCGCTGTAGAAGCCAGAGGACAGGCAAAGGCAGAGGCTGAGAGCCGAGCTGAAGCTATCCGAATCGATTCAGAAGCCAATGTGGAACAAGCTGAACTGAAGGCTAAAGCATTGAAGATCGAGGCTGATGCTGAATTAGAAAGATTGACTCAAGCCCTTCAATATACAAAAGAATCTAATGGACTTGAAATATCTAGAGCAAAAGAATTGGCTGATATTGAAGTAGAAAAATTCAAGAGAATGATTGATGCTATCGGAGCTGATACCATCAGGGCAATCGCCGTCGCTGGACCAGAGATGCAAGCTAAGTTATTGCAAGGTCTTGGCATCAAATCAACTTTAATCACTGATGGAAATAGTCCAATTAATCTTTTCAATACTGCAAATGGATTAATCGGAGGCGGAGCCATCGTTCCCACAAACTCAAATGTCCCAGAAGAATAGATAGAATAAAAATGGATATTTTGAACTTTATAACTTTCTTATTATAAAAAAAAGAGAAACAAAAAAAAAAACCAATACACAGAATGACATATTCAAACACGCTGCATTTCATTTCACATTAATTAATAATATTAAAAATAGTTTTAGCATACGCAATATAATAAATTTTTGTATTAGAAAATCGCACAACTGAAACGCCTATCTGCATGATTTGAACTATAAATTGTAAAACCATTTAGATTATACGAAAATAGCCAAATGTTAAATGGCACTCGACCATTTCTCCTTACTACATATATATATATATATATATATATATATATATATATATATATTGAAGGTGGCGATTTCTCTATTTAAGGAGACAGCGTTCGAAGTATGTACTTCCGATATAACCACCTCTCATTGACTTGAAGATGTTCTGTTCAAACATCCGCTGGTTTGTTTTTAGCATTTCGGCAGCATTTTCGTTTAAGGGGTCATGAGGGTTAGGTTCCTATTTAAATGATGAATAATCAAGTATTAATAATGACTAAATGTGTGCAATATTTTATTTGAGTAATACTATACCAGAAATAAGAACTGTATCCCAACAATAACAGAGTGAAGGTTAAGAACAGGCTTCCAATCCTCCCTGAATAAATTAGATTAATTGTTTTAGTACAAGAGTAGAAGGTCATAACTATATATCATGAAATACCTGAGAATATTTAAGCATATATTGCCTTGCAAATCAATGTTTGGATGGTATACCATGGTTTCACATTTTACTTTGGGTGCTTCATGAGGATATCCTGGTGGAATTTTGAAAGAGAATACAAACTTTCCTCCACGATAGAAGCCTTCGTCGGGTATTAATGTCAATTTAAAGTTTAGGAGATCGTCTGGGTCCGGAAAATCAACTTTACACGTTTTAGGAAGATTTAGATCGTTTAAATCTACAATTTATACATTAAAAGAGTTTGATAAAAGTATTTAATATGACTTGAAATTTCATACCCTTCTGGACTCTTAGAACGGCTGCTGATACTTTCTTCTGATTAACTCTCCCGGATTTACTATCATTGCCTTCTTTCTCTTGATTTCGTAATGAGAATAATTTAATCATATTCAATGTATATAAAAACCAGGAAGATTGTCACCAATGAAAAAAACAATCGCCTTTATTGGATATGATATTGCGATGTCAGTTGACTGCTTTTTTTTTCTTTAAATATTATTTTCGTATTTTGAATTTTTATACCAAAAATATAAAAAATATATTTTTTCCATTAGATTTTAAAACTTTATTTCTGATAAAATTTATTTAAAATTACTATTTTAACGATAAAATATTTTCAACCTACTTATAGCGCCATCTACAATATGAAATTTTTACCTTTAAATAGTAGTATAAAAGTTTTTTCCTGAGTTATGCTTAACAAAATTAGTATTAATTAAATGAGTTCTTTTAATTTCTTGTTATTCCACTCGGCAAATTAGCCATGTCCTTCATCCGAAACGCTAGTATACCTCCCTGCGATTGTAATATTAATACTGAATTGTTGGAAGGTAATATATATTTTCATTTGGGCCACGGAAAAAATGAAGAAGATCTAAGTGAAATATTTGAGGAAAGAAAAGCAAGGCTAATTCCAGTTTACTATAAAAAGTATGTTGGAGTTGACGGAAAAGGTTGTCCCAAAGCTCTTGAAGTTCTTTCTAAAAACGAAAATGAGAGTGATCATGAACAATTACTTATACTATATCGAAAAAGGCCATATCATACTTGTAAATACTCCCTATTTATAATTGCAATTGTTCAATGGGAAAACGAGTTTTCCTATTACGACCAAAAATTACTCTTTGGTATGTTATGTGCCAATATGTGCAATAGTAAGCTTGAAAGGCCTAGAGCTTGTACTTGGAATCGTTCAAGAACCTGCTCTTGCCAAGGAGTGTTTGAAAAATTTAAAGGTAGAAGCTATACCGTAGGCTGCTCTTATTCACCATATCTAGAAGGTTGTGGGTTTGCTCAAGCCCAAAATAGGGATATGAAAAAATATGGTAATTTACCTAGAGAAGTTGCCCAACTTATTAATGAATGTGCAAAAGATGTCGCTGAGATTCAAAAAGATCTTGTTCCCAAATGCTTCGCAAATATGGTTAAACTGAATAATAATTGTCGAATTGGCTTTGGATCTGAAAGACCTTATTCAACTGTAAACATTAATATGGATTATTCTGCCCATACTCATCAGGATTTTTGGAATATGGATGAAGGTTGTTCGGTTATCTATACGTTAGTGCCATTGAAACGTAAGCCAGAGCAGTTGCACATACTGTCCCATTACAGTACAACTCCAGGGGGTTCGGTAGGAGGTTTAGGATTAGAGCTAACAAACGGATCTGTTCTAATTGAATATTCTAAATATGAAACTCATGCTACAACTGCTCTCACAAAACCTAACAGCTTATTACCGAAGAGATTGAGTCTTACTTTTTATCAGCAAAGAGATTTAAACGAAATAAATCACGGCTATTCAGCGGAGAGGGCCCAACGTATGAGGCAACAGCGACAGAGGAAACAAAGAGAAAATCAACAAGGGGACTTGGATAGAGGTTTCTTGATGGATGAAAAGAGCACTTTTATCGATGCAATATTAAAACAAGAACAAGACCCCAATTAACAAGATCAAGAAAATTCACTATTTACTTATTCACTTTTATTATCTTGCTATAGTTTTTCCATTATCAATACATGAAAATCAGATACTGATCCCTTTGAATATTACGGGGTAAGGATAATTTTATGAGCTTCTCCACTTAGTAGGATTTCGAACGCTTTCTTATAATCTTTAAATTGGAATTTATGAGAAATTAGCTTCGATATGTCAACGCGTTTCGATTCCACTAGTTTCTCAGTTTCGCGCCAAGTATGAAATATTCTTCTTCCGTGAATGCCACGAATTTGAATTGACTTAAAAACTAATTAAAGATATAATAACTATTAGTTTTTAGTGATATGATACAATATACGAACCTAAATCACGCATATAATTTTCGATAATTAACGGCTGCTTGACGAGACCTACTAGTACAATGTGGCCTCCCTTTCTCACTAGCTGAAACATAATAGAAGCTATTTGCACTGCTCCGCTACATTCTATCAATCGGCCAATTCCATCTCCGTTTGTCAGTTGAGATATAGACTGAATAAATAGGACAGATCTTAGGCATTTATCAGTATTTTGCATGTCAAGTATAAATGTTTTTCGTAGTATCCATCTTACCTCTGAAAGATTTTGATGATTAGTATTAATCACGTGATCGGCGCCCATCTCCTTGGCAAACTGTAGTCTTTTCTCGTTTATATCGCATATGATGACTCTTTTTAACAAAAATATTTATGTATTATTAAACAAATACAATATATACCTGTATATAAATTGTATTTACACCTGTTTGCCCCGCAACTTTTAACGCAGGGAATTGCCATAAGCCCAATAGGACCAGCACCAATAATCAGGACATCTTCCCTATTCAAGTCACCTAAATTCTCAACGGCATTGTGAGCAACACCCAAAGGCTCTAATAAAGCAGCTTCATCAGCATCTATTTTTAGTGGATAATATTTGATGTGTTTGAAATATTTCAATGCTCTACCAACTTATTATGTTGCCTAATTTATAGCAATACTTGGAGGATACGATTGAATATTGCGAGCAGCCGCCGTACGGAGTTTTTTTTCCATGGCCGTACTGTCCCATATCACTGCAAATATCTCCTCTATCATGCTTACACTGATGGCATTTACCGCAAAAAAAATGATTCTCCACCGCAACTCGATCACCGATCTGTGGAAGATTTACTCAAAAGGTATAAGAGCGAAATGATGATTCGTTAAAATTATTAATTAGGGTGGAGAAGTTTTATTATTCTTCCTACCTGAAGCTTTGATTCGGGTCCGCATTTGACAACTGTTCCGCAACATTCGTGGCCTGGGGTAAATGGAATTGATGCAATAACCTTAGCAGCATCGGTCCAATTCCATAGAACTAGATCACTACCGCACAAGGACACAGACTCTACCTGTACTTATATTTATTTTTAGAGAAGCAAACAAATTGCGTGATCGTAATGAAAACAAATTTAATTTAACATATTATGAAGGCAAGTATGATACCTTAATTAACACTTCATCTTCAATGGGATGTGGGACAATCATATTTTCATCAAAATCATAACCTATTTCATCTTTTGTTTTCACCAAACCATACATTCGGTCGGGGATTTCTTGTTCATTAGACATATTAAGGCTGCAATAAATAAATAAGTTCTTTTGTTTAACTAATGTTTCGGAACAATAGAATAGAAAAGGAAAGAGTAAACATTTTCTTATCAGAGTATACGCCCTCGTTAATGAAACTAGTCAGCAATTAAACAATGCTATATTAAAATTATACAAATATCATGCATAATACAGAATTTGAACTTTTGAAATGGATAAGATAAGACAATGAAAAAAAAACAAACTTTTGCAATTGTTGTTTAACAAAATAAAAGAATTGTTCGAATTGGGCGCTACCAGTTTAAACTGGGTGAAAGATGTACTAGAGGAGAGGAACCCGCCAAGTATTTTTTTACACTATAATGATGATTTTAATAAAAAATAAACATTGTCTTTAACAATAAATAAGACATATTCAATTATATATATTTTCAGATATTTCATATTACAAAAAAATATTAAAATTATTCATATTTTACCCAGAAATCTAGTTAGTTAGTGGATCATACGATTTATGTGCAATTTTTCTTTTTAATATACTTATATTTAGTATTTATAATAATAGGAAAAACTTTGAAAAAGTTGTTAAATAATTAAACTATGTCTGTATTTTCTTTTTATGAAGAATAAGAGCTTTTTTAAGATTTGAAACCGCAACTTAATTAATTAAACCTTTCTCTTTTGCAGTATAAAAAGTATAAAACTGAAATATTTAAATGTAAGTTGTTTATATTAAGTTGATGCCTAAATACAGAATACAGTCTTCAATAAAGCTAATAGGATTTATATTTAATACAAATATCACCATACAGACATATTTTTTTAGTATAATGCAGACAAAGAAGGAAAGGAGATTATATTCGAATTGATCCTAGCACTAAAGTTGGTACAATTCTAGTACAGATGAAATAATAGATTGATATTTTATATAAAACTTTTTGTATTGAAATATATGTATACGAGTGTGTACTGCAAAAGTACAATGTGAAAACAGCGAACGGAAAATATTCATTCTAACGATAGGAAATCGGATTATCTTGATTTTTAAGTAAAAAGTAATCAGCTTTTTTCTCTTTATTCAGTTGATCTTTCTTAAAAAATTGAAATTATAAAAAGGTTGACTCTATTTGCCAAAGTTTAAAAAAAATACTTCGAAAAGTAATTTCTACAAGCTTCCGGAGTATTGAATTCTGGTGATGGTGTAATTTATCAAGGATAACCCTTCCCTTTACCTCCTATCAATGCTATTATTCCACTGGATTTAACCGGAAGCTATTTAAGCGGCTACTTTTGAAAGATTCCTGAGAGCAATCGGTTACAATTACATAAGTAAAAGATGAATTTATATCTCGAGAATTGTTATCTTCTAGATTAATAGCAATGGAAAAACTTCTGCAAATTAGTGGACGGTCATGTTAGTACTGTCGGAAATGAAAGGTTCCACTATCTGGATGCTTTGTTTCTATTTAGTTTCTTATGAAATGAGAAGCTATTTCTGCCTGAAATTCAATACTAAGATGTTCTACGTGGTTCAATTACAAAAGAATATACTGTATATACAATATAACGTCGCTTTTCTATCATTTCATCTTCTGCTATTCTCTTTTTAAACAAACAAACAAATGAGCTAAAACTACAATTTTGTTTGTCAATTTTGTCATGATAAATAGACAAAAAATTTTCCAGATTTAAAAATAGGATTAATCGCAATAGCCTTGTTGTTACTGTCATCTAGCGGGCTCATTAATCCGCCGGTGCATTAATTATTACTGTTTTTCAGAAAGGAAGTGATTAAATCCCATAAATTAAATCCCTATTCCGGAGAGTGCTTTATTTTTCTATTTCTTACATTTTTTACTGCTATTTTCATTTCCTAAACACTAAACTAGAAAGAAACGATTTTTTCCATTAGCATTCATTCTTTTTCTCAAAATATACTTTGTTGCAATCATTCACAAGGCTCTAAACATAAAATTGTTTTGTTACTATTTACCAATGGAGTATTTACCATCGTGACATAATATTTAATAAAGTCATCAATTGATTATCCCATTTTTAGACATTTCTATTAATATTTCAAGTAAAGACTTGGTAAATTAATCTATAAATAAATCGTTCACTAGGTCAATAGTTTATGTATAAATAAATCAGTAAAAGGGTATAAACAATATATACGGTACATATATGTTATGTACGTATAATTGAGACATCATATTTGGGCAAAAAGATAGAGTTACAATGTAAATTGTCCACATTTACATATATTGAAATTATGATCAAATAATTAATATTAATATTGAAAATAATAACATAAAGAGACTGAGTTAGGACATTTGCACAAAAAAAGAAGAAGGAAGAGTAGAAGAGATTAGAAGATGTTTAAAAATAAGAAAAATGGAACATGATATTCTTCTCGTCTCTTCTGCATAAAATTTATAGCAGTCGAGTCTACAGTAGATATAATACAATATCGTATACAAATTGAAAGTACAATGATAAATTTATAATTTGAAAAAGCGTCGTTTCTACTATATATAATAATAAAATGTATAGTATACAAAATACATATTTACTGTATATATTTATATATATATATACTGTATATATATATATTTTTATATTCTTTTAAATAATGATTAATAGAAATTATGAATAATTTGCTAAAAATTCATGCTAAATATAGATTATATATGTATATATATATATATACTATATATATCATGATATAATGATATATGCTTATATTTAAAAAAGCAAATTGGAAAATCTAGAACGTCTGTACCAATGTGAACTAAATGCAATAGTTTAAGACATTTTTAATAGTAATTTATACCTTGTTCCCTTTCATCTTCTATGTTTTTACTACGTATACAGTATTCGCTAAATTAGTTATTACACAGTATACCGTATTTTATCTTTATACCTATATATTTCTTTCTCTCTCTCTCTCTCTCTCTCTTCCCCTCCTTCTCTCCTTTTACGCTTACTATTTACGTTAGAAGTTTGCAATAATACAAACAATAATACTTGGTTTATAGAGTCAATGATTATTTTATATAATATACACAGCATGTACAGTATTTTTTTAATACTAAGATAGCTTAGCCGTAAATTTATTGTCTTAGGTTTATTTTTCATAAACTTGTATTAATAAAGATAATACGACTAAAATTAGAAAGTATTAAACGTTGAGACAGAACTCACAAGAGATAATTGGATACCAATGATAAGTAGCTTCAGAGAATTGTTTTCTTCTTTGCTTAGTCCTCTTTCTTTTTGTTTTTTTATATTACGTAGAATTAAGCTGGAAAGCAGCAAGAATACGTTTTAAAAATGATATTGTTAATTAAGTATAGTAAATTAATCGTATTAATTTAATCTAAACTATATTTTCTTATATATAATTTGCTTTTTTTCTCATCTTAATGTATCAAACAAGACACCAAAATCGGAAGTTATAATTATTAGTATTCTTTTGTCTAAATATACTTTAATAATCCTACTATTAAATAAGTTGCCAGAAAATTATTAACTTATATTTTACATTATAACTATGCTAGTTAACGGCACATTGAAGCTTTCATTTCTCTTCAGCTATTGTATATTTTCTTGTTATATTATAAAATAATACATGTAAATTTCTATATACATTTGTGTCTGTATATATATAAGGGAGGTAGAGGCGTGATGAGGTAAAGAGAAAAGGATACACGCCTTTATTATGGTCTAATAATACTTTAATATACTTTCCATTTCTGATTATCTTTTGTCAAAAGATTGCTCTCTCTATCAAGTTCTTTCCTAATAGACACGACAAGATAAAGATTCGAAACAGTTAGATGCATTCTTTCATTAATCTAACCTTATGTGTCCTTTTTTTAAGCCATTTAAATCCTCTTCCCGTTTAATAAACTGCTACTATGTATTAGAGTTATTTTTGTTTGTTCTCAATTGTAATAATAATTCATAGCAAGAGCTTTGCGTATATCAAATGTTCATTATTCATTTAGGAAGCTCAGGCTTATTCATTTTCTATAAATAAACTAATAAAAAAGATTTTCAAGTATGACTAAGTTAGGATTATTTATCGACAACTTTATTGCGTTTTGTTTCTTTTTTTTCTTTTGCATTTATCCCAAAAGAGAACGCACGTATATACATCTAGCAAAGTTTTAATAAGTAATCAATTGGTAACCCGTGATGAACTAGAGTATCAACGATTTATTAAAAAGGTTACAAAGTAGATATTCTGATTTTAGTTTTAATTATTATTCATAGAAGAAAAATATCGGGTATTTTGCATAAAGTACTTTTTTTTCATCAGTAAATTTACATATTTTAATTAAAATATGCGTAATAATAGGAAGAGGGTAATACTCTTCCCTCTTGTGTAAAATATCAGATGGACAATGAAACAAGATCACAAAGCCGTAATGGTTTAGATTTCTTCTGGAAAAAATTAATTAATTAAAAAATTATTTATTGGTTTGTTTGTTTATTTTGATTTTTTTAAAAGAACGTCCACCTTTTGCAAAGAAATTATCTCGATTCAAAAATATTCTTGAATATCCGAAGAAAATGGTGTCGCTGCATGCTACGGGCTCCGCTTTACAAATGGGGGCTACCAAATTATTCTACATTAGTGTACCCACATAGGAATGTTTTGTTTTATTTGAGTATTTTTTATTCACCAATTATCGTTTGTTTACTCACTGATCAACTAGTTTTACCAAATATTTATCAGTACATCATGGCTTCCAAAGTGAGTTTAGCAGATTTAATAATTTTGTACTTAGTTTGAATTTATTTCTCGGGTGCTTGAAACGCTTTTCCATCATTTAAACTTGGCTATTTTTAACGCGTATTACTTTGAATGATACTGCAAGAATTTTTAAATGAAGTTTGGAAAGCTAAAACAAATTTCATCAAAAAAGAAAGTCTTTGTATTGTCTTTAATACTTCTGTTTGTATACGTGTGCAAAGAAATTCCCAATTCACCTTTGACAAGTCTTTTTTGGGATCGACGTTCTTTAATCACGTTGGCTGAAGGACGGAACGATCTACGCCTCAATCAAGCCTTAAACTATTGGAAAAATGTAGATAGGAACATCAGTATTAATTATTATAAAAAGATAACAGATGCAAGTGAGATCACCCTTGTTATAAATATAATAACGACAAAAAGAATGGTTGGATCGAGGAAGGCCGGATACTTAACCCAAGTTGCTGCTAAGGCGGACAAGCTTGCCAAAAAAATAAAAGGAGTCTACTTAAATGTTTGTAACGTTCACCCAGGTCCGGGAGATCATACAGAAGCAACGTATTTGCAAGAATATCTACCCTTTATTAAACGCTTTCATTTGAACAACGCTCATCATAGCATTCTGGAAAATTTTGAGCGAGAAAAGGACGACTATGTCTATTGTATGAAAGAAATATCGAAAAAGTTGCAAACTGATTCTCCTATTCTAATGCTGGAAGACGACGGTTTACCGCACGATCAGTTAATTGAAGTTAGTCAAAGAATACTTGAATCGAATTGGCAATTCGATTATGCAAAGTTGTTTGCGAAGAGTGAGTGGAATGGATTCGGAATGAATATTAAATCGTTAGTTGAGCTATTAGCAATGTGTTCAATTTCGATCTATTTGATAGGAAGACGTCGTATTCTATTAACGTCTATTATAACGATTATTATGGCATTGGTTCTATCTCGTCAATTCCTTAGTCAATGGCGACGTATTTCAATATCGCTTTATACCCGTGTTCCAGCTCCCGACTACGGAACTGTAGCTGTACTTTACCGAAAGCCAGTCGTTGATTTAATTGGCAAACAATTCAGCAACGTCAAATGCTCCATTCATTTCCCTCTAGATGTTGCTCTTGCAAATTTCCTAAATTCCTTTAACTTACTTGGCCTACTCGTCCAACCAAATCTTGCTTATCATATCGGCCTTTATTCCAGTATAAAAGCTGTTGGATCATGGCCAGTTGACATTGCTTTTGCACCATCGTATATTTAATTTTTGTTCTTTTTTTTCTATATAAACTCTCTTAATAAATCGCTTTTTTTTTTCTTTCATAAATATAAACTGTGACAAAGTTAATCGCAAAACAATTATTTCTATATATATTTAGATGAAAGACGAAAGGAACATTCAAGAACTAAAGAGAACGGCTGAAATATTTAGAGGTGTTGGCCAGCAAACGTTTCAAAAGAGAGAAATGGAACTATACGAGTTATCCATGTTAAGTGGCGCTCTAATCCCGCCACACGTTTTCGACCATTTAAATGAATTGTTAAAACGCAACTTTGAACCAGCGGTAATAGCGAAGGTTATACTACTGATGTGTAATAGCAGTCGGCGTGTCAATCCTCCAAAATCTAAAGAAACTTTGGGTGATAAATATAACTCTTGGCAGCTAACTTCTAAAGCTACAGAAGTGAAAGCTCAAGAAACGAGGAAAACCCCTTTGTCGGACAGTTATACGACAACGCGACGAGAAGATGTAAGAAGAGCCGCAAAAATATCTCATAATAAACAAGCGGCCAAAGCAGATAGCCCGGTTGGTTTAGCGTTGGCATTTAAGATGAGGCAGACTATGGAAGAGAAGAAAGAAAAGCAGCCTCAATCGATCGATCTTGTGGGTATTCGAAAGAACCTAGCCTCGTACCCTAGCGAAGATATTTGATTGAAATGATAAGCTGTCTTTGTTTTCTGTTTTCTTTTTTTTATTTAATATTTGAACATTTGGACACGAATTACTAAGCCGCCCGGAGAGCAAAAATTTGCACAATAAGCGAATTTTACTTTTGATCATTGAATATATCGGCGATTTTTTTTTTAAATGGCAGCAATTTATTTTCATAATACTCAGTCCAGTTGCTTCAGCAGGAGTTCCCTCTTTTTTTACCTATCTAATTGCGTTTATTTCGGATCAAGCTGTTAACGAATTGAAGCAGACAACAATAAGCTTCTTTCTTGATATTCTCTTTTCTCTCTTACTTTTTTATGCAGTGGACGGGGGAGATCTTTTCTTACGAAAGTATCCCGTATCGAATAGACCAACACAGTAGGCATATGATAGGAAGTCAATCTTCAATCTGTCGTATTTGCTACCATCAAGTTCCTTGAGGGTGGATAGAACTTTTTCAAGACTAACCCCTGTTGATTTTTAATTAATATCCGCAGAACGCCAATAATAATAATTAAGTATAAAAATTCACGAATTCTTTGAATAAATTAATAAAAAGTTTTTAAAAAGAGAAAGAAAAGAGTACCTGCTCTCTTGGCGATGGATTGTAATTCGGTTATTGGATTACTACCACATTCCTGTTTATAACATCCGCCAAGTACGACGAAAATTAAAAGTATTGCTAGGGACATGTACTTTATCCTCATCCTTCTATTCCTCGATGCCCAATGACGCACGATTGCTTTGCCCGCTTTCCGGAAAGGAAGCGTCATAGCAATTTTGCCCCGTCCATTAACCGACTCTGTTGTTTATTACTTTATCACTAACTTTCTTTCACCAAGTTCAATCGTTGAAACGTTTTACCTAATTTACTTTCGCTTACGAAGCATCTATCCAAGATATTCAGACTTACCCTCTTTAATTTCGAATATATGTAATATGAATTTTTAATAAATATAGCTGTATTAGTAGAATATGTGTAAAGTATTTGCTAAACGATACGTATTATGACAATAAACAGAGGAACTCATCAATATTGATAAACAGGCTATGCTAAATATGTAATGACCAACTTCCTATAACAATTAATGCTTACATTTCCACTAATTGCCCCCGTTACGAAAGGTATATTACTAATTCCTATTATAGGCTTATCCATCTCACAAATTTATTCACCAAGAAGTAGTTTTGTATTCAAAGCCAGTTCTCCAATCCACAAGTAGTGTATTCTTATTAATTTCATTCATTATCCCTGAAATTTATGCATTTGTTAGACGTCTTGTGTAATTTCATATTTAATCTAACCTTATAATTAGACTAGTATAATCAATGTAATATTTCAATATTTTACAGCATATATGATGAATTTCATAAACTAGAATAGTTTTACTTATAAATACCATTTCAATTACTATCTCATTATGTTTCCTTTCAAAATTTTCTTAAATCCATTATTTAAGACTATCCGATTAACGATGAATATTCATAAAAGGGGAATTATATGCTTAAATAAAAGCGAAAAATTAATATTTTTCTTAGAAAACTATTAATATTTTACCAGAAAACTGAATGCTTAGACATAGACGATAAAACTGTTCTTTTTGGTTTTCAATTGTCCTAAACTTTTTCGTCTCTTTCTTTAATCTTAAATTATATGGATTAATCGACTATATAAACTTTCTTTTCACCTTTACGTAATTAATTACATACCTTTTTATAGAACTCAATTGATGCTATTTGCAATGTAATATTTAATTGAGTTAATCAGATGAAATATTTCTGTAGGAACATTTTTTCATCTCTTCCTTCGGCATGTTGTATTCATTTCTGAACAGAATAGTTCTTTTTCATTGAAAGTAGAAAATGTATTGATAATATATATATATATAGTTAAACACTTTATGACGTCACATATTTTATGATTTTACGTTTATAGACTAGGAAACTGTACAATGTGAAAGAATTATGGAAACAATTGCGAAAGAGATTGCTTTTTATCAGTCTCATTAACATATTTTCTGATGAAGTTAGCAGAAAAAAAAATAAAAAAGATGACCTTCAACATCTTCTACATTTTCATGACAAATTGAAGCTAGTATAGCTAAATAAGGTGTCATTTAAAAACTGCAACAAAATTTTTGAAAATAAATACCTGTGTGTGTGTGTGTGTGTGTATATGTTTTTTTTGACAAACTTGTATATATATATATATATGAAATTGTTACTAAAAGAGAAGTTTGTCTGAAATAGAGAAAACGGAGAAAAACAAAACAAAACAAAACAAAAAACAATACGAATTTTATTACTATAGAAAGTTTTTCTTACACAAAAAAAGAGGGGAATAATTTTAGAAAAAATATCTTCAAAGAAAAGATATATATTTAATGGCTAAATTCAGAAAAAAAAAACTATATGGGAGTAACGTTACAATTAATTTAACAGAAAAAAAAAGAAACGCCGTTGCCCAGCCCTCTTTTCGCCAACAATTAAGTAAACGAAAACATTTTGATTGACTATCTTAGCACTAGTTGAAATATTGGCGAATGGTTATTTGGTTCACTAAGGTTAAAAGTTCACTATGTTTCTATAAGGGATGAAAAAAGATTATTTACAACAAACAACTTCTACACTTTCAGTAATAAAGTATACTATTACCACTCTCTACTCATTTCTTATAGGGCTGCATTGGAACTTGTAATTTTCAACAGGTTCGTCTCCTTGTCGCTATTGGAGACATCAGTTAAATCTTCAACGCTGGTTCTCAATGACTCATCCACGTTGTCAACTGATAGTAGTCAGCTGAGAATTTTGTAATATTATTGAATTTCTCAGAAATTTGCCCATTATCTAGGGTAACAAAATTAAAATGGCTCCCTAATTAAGAATCGATCAATATCTTCGCGGAAATACATTTCACCGGTTGGGGTGCATTAATCAATGTGTTTATGTTTTAGCTTTTAAATATTTTTCGTTCGTTTTAATGCATTCTCTTTGCATTTGATGTTGATCCCTAAATGCCTATTACATTGAAAAAACTTGTCATTGGAGGTATTAGAAAGCTTAGATGCTGAAAAAAATTTAAATAGCTTAGGGTAGAATAGGTGGCGCTAAAAATATTCGACTGCAACTGATCTATATTTAAAAAATGGCCGCCTATACCGCAAAGAGCATCGCCATATTGAAATAGTGTTTTAGATATGATATTTGAAAAAGGGCGCCATTCCAGCTCATTATTTGCTTTTACGGCTTTACGCATGCGGCCATGCGCGTAGAAGCTCAAGTATTGTCTGCAGATATTTTGTAAAATTTACACATGTATAGCGATCCGTAAAGAGCTAAACGCTATAGAGAAGCTACCGAATGGCTACCCAGAAGCCTGGAGGATGGGTTCAATCCTTAATCATGCGCTTCGATTCGCAGGTAACGTTTAAAGAATACAGATTGTTCTAAATGCCTAATCACTTTTCTAAATTGATAAATTGCCTCGTATTCGTGTTTATGACAGTTTTGTTTATGATAAATACTGACGTGCCATATGCATAATATTACTTAAGATATATTATTAATAATAATAAAAATGATAATGATAATGATGATAATAATAATGATAATGACAACAACAACAACAGCCACTAAATAACAACGAAATCACAAAAATTATTATCAATTACTATGAAAATAATTCTCCATAAAATGTAAAGGATAATCGTGAATATGATTTCATCCAAATATGATAATGATAATAATATTATCCGAAAGAGTTAAATGTTGTTGTACTACCGTTTTATGTTCCTGGCGCCGGCGCGGCCAAATGATTTACGTTAAAGTTGAAATGTTGCATATTTGCAGCTTCCGATTCGAACTGGCTTACATACGGCTCAATCTATCCAGAACGTCGAACAAAATAAGGAATGTTTGATAAACGTTAGCAAGTACAAGTTTTCCGTTGTTATTAATGGACTTACGAAAACGTTACAATCCGTTGATTCGATGGTGAGTACAAAAAAAAAAGAGGCTAATGGAGCTGATTACTGTTTCGTTTTTTTTTCTCTTTTTTTGCCTTTTTTTTGTTTTTTTTTTACCTATCCGTATTGTTTCTTATAGAGAATTTACGGCCCTGAAGCGGAGAGGAATTTTTACGAATCACAAATTATTATTCTTGATACCTTAGAACAAGTTTTAAATAGCGTATGTTTTCAATTCAATTCAACTAATTTTTGTTTTAGTATTATCGTTCTTTTTATACATATATTTTAGCAACCGAAAGATACAACTAGACTAGATGAAACGATGTACGTAAAATTGTTACTGCCGGAAATTTGCAAGGTGAATCATTTATGTAAGGTAGGATTTATCTTACGTATTCAAGTAGAATAGACGTCGCTATATTGACGCCCGTCGAGACTGCATAATGTTATTGATTAGATGCATGTGTGTTATAAATAGTAGAAGTCATTGATTTTCCATCCCAAAATAGTTGGATCTTCTTCCGAATTTTTTTTTTCCAGTTCCTGAATATAAGTAACGAGAGTCAGCTGGTTCTACAATTGAAAAATTTGGCCTCAAAAGTATTGTTTGCTTTAAGTTTGAATAATTTTGGTGCCGTATTTAATCGAATCTCGGCTAGGTAATTAATACGTTAAAATTTTATCTTGTTTAACCAGGCTGTAAAGCTATTGGTAAAATTTTATTTATAAAAATTCTCCAATAGATTAGCTAATATTGCAACATTAAATGAGGAGACAACTGACCATACCGATTTGGAGTTGATTCAACACATAAACGTCGATTGTGCTAGGCTAACAAAGTTGCTCAATGAAGTTGTCAACAAGTTTAAAACACTTCGAAAAAATGTCCAACTGATTTTAGCACAAAGTTTGGAAAGATCAATATGGAATTGGATGGAAAATTATCCAGAAGAATTTACGGAACTGCAACAGCGTCCGTCCGAAGAATTGGCCGAATGTTGTGATAAATTATTCGAATTGTATAATACTTTTTGTGAGAGCAGTATGAAAAGGAAGGCGGTTGTATGGCCACTTCAAATGATGTTGCTCGTTTTATGTCCGAAAATCCTAGAAGAGATTACGAACGCTGAAACTGGCGCTCCTTGTTCACCAAATCATGTTAGAAAAGTAAGTATATTGTAGTACTATTAAGTGTTTTTTTTCTTTCCCTCTCTCTCTGTCTCTCTCTGTCTCTCTTTCTTTTAACATTCCTTCTTCTAAATCTTTACTTATAAAAAAGTAATATAGTTGTACATTGCATTTACCCAGCGAATTAAAGCCTATCAAATATAAATCGATTCGCTTTTTTTCTCTTTATAGAAACAGTACATAGAGGAGGTGAAGAAAAGTTTAACAAGCGGACATCACGGTACTCATAAACAGCTTACCGAAGGTGCCGCTGTTACCTGTGTCAAATTGTGCAAAGCGTCCACATATGTCAACATTAAAGATCGTACTAATGTCCTCTTCCATTTGGTTCAATCCGTTTTATCAGACCTTAAAGTATTACTATTCAATCCTGGTAAACCTTTTTCGAGAGGTCAGAGTTTAGCGAGTCAAGACGTTGATTTAATGGTTGATTGTTTCCTTTCCTGCTTTCGAATCAACCCGCATAACAACGACCTTTTAAAGGTTTGTAAAAAAAATTATGCATTAACAATTTCTAAAGATATAATGAGATAATAACTTATAGGTTTGTCTACAAACGCACGCCGTACCGACATTCCATTTCGTGCTGGTAAACGTTTTGTATAGAATTATCACGCAAGTGAGTGACAGACAAGCATTTCTATTTCGTTCGGTCGTTGACAGTAAATTTTGCAGCCGCGACTTGAGTGGTGGCCTAGTATCGAGGTGATCTACGGAAAAGCTTCCGAACTACGAAATATGTTTACCGAGACCCTCAACAAAGTAACGCAACAAATGACTCACGGTCGAGCTGGCATCTTGGTTGGTGTTTTCTATTTATTGCATTCTTACTATTATACTTTACTAATCGCCACAACAGCCTTTTTCGCAGACTATGAAAGACAAGGTCGGATTCAAGTTCAAGGAAAAGAATCCAGATGACGCGCTAAGCTATCGCTATTTACTTTTGTGGATGGTTAGACTGATAAATTCGGATCCTCTACTCATGCTACACGTTTGTATAAGTTTCTCTATTGCTTTAATACGATTATCTCTTTGCTCCTTCTTCTTATTCCTACCAAAATCTATTTTTCTCCTTTAAAATTTCTAGAATCCTGGGAAGGCTGGACACGAAGTACAAACGAGCACTTTGGAACTAATAAACGGTTTGGTTTCTCTAGTTCATCAACAGAACATGCCTGACGTTGCCCAGGAAGCCATGGATGTTCGTATTAGTATAATTTTTTTTATATACTGTATATTTTAAACAATCTTTTCGATTATTAAACACAATTAGCAGGCATATATCTAATTTGTTTTTCTGTCGTGTAAAGGCTCTGCTATGTTTGCACGAACCGGAAATCATCGAAATTTGGAATCCGGAGACACCGATTCATTCGTTCTGGGAGATCTCTTCCAGAGTGTTATTTTCCATTTCGCAAAAGTTGATTCAGCATCAAATAGTTAACTATACAGAAATTTTAAAATGGCTACAAGAGATAATGATGTGTAGAAATCAATTTCTACTAAGAAGAAAGGACTATGCCAACACCGGCGCTAATTTACGTATTTGCAAACAAGCCCAGATCAAGTTAGAAATAGTATTTTTTTTGTATTTGTGGAGTATCGATATCGATGCTGTTCTTACTGCAATGTCCTGCTTTCATTTATTATGCGAGGAATCAGATATTCGCTGTGGTGATGATTCAACGCAAACCCTCCCTAACTATTCAGTGTATGGAGAATTGGCAACATCATCAACAGTTTTAACAACTGGACGAGCCGTCCTACAAAAGCGAATTATGGCTTTATTGAGAAAAGTTGATATACAGACACTTGGAAATAAACACGCTTGGGAAGATACTTTTAATACTTGGGAATACGCCACAAAATTATTAACAAATTACCCAAAGTCAATAACAATGCCAACCAGTTCGAAAACGGAAGATCCAGCGGCGTCCGTGTCGGAGACACTTCACAGACCCGGAGGCAAGCGTAGGGGAGGTCAACAAAGCACAACCGACCACGAACTGGAGGATCAACTTAATGAGTGGGCAAATATGACAGGTTTTCTCTGTGCGTTAGGCAGCGTATGCCTACAAAAGTCATCCGTTAATTCTTCCGTTACACCATTGGTGACAACTTCATCGATAGCGACCATCAACACACCCAAAACGAGACCCGAAAGCACTACAAACAGCCCAATAGCCTCATTAACAGAAACTCGCAAAGGGTCTGTTTTACAAGGTTGTACAAATGAATTGCAATATTGTCCCGTTACGCAATTTATTGGCAATATTTTAAAGTTGTTAGTTTGTAACAACGAAAAATTCGGGCCTCAAATTCAAAAGCATGTCAAAGAATTAGTTGGTCACGAATTGAATCCGAAAGTATATCCGATTCTTTTCGATCAAATAAAGATGCACGTTGATAAGTTTTTTGATTCCCAAAGTCAAGTTATTGTCATGGATACGAATACTCAATTCATCGAGAATGTAATTTTTATAATGAAGAATATTCTGGAAAATAAAACAGAGCAACCAAATGAGCATTTGAGTATAACAAGCATAGAAAGTTTGATGTTAACAATCGTTCGATACGTTCGACACCTTGACACAACAATACATGCTATTCAAATCAAGACAAAACTATGTCAACTCGTTGAGGCGATGATGCACAGACGGGACGATCTACCATTTAGGCAGGAGATGAAATTTCGTAATAAAATGGTAGAGTATTTAACAGATTGGATTATGGGTAATAGTCATCAACTGAACGTTCAAGGCGATATCGTCGCTGTTTCAAGGTGCTGTAGAGAATTAGATCAAGCTAGCATGGACGCTGTTGCTGCTTTATTGAAAGGCTTGCCTCTTCAGCCCGAGGAGAGTGATAGAGGTGATTTAATGGAAGCCAAATCACAATTATTCCTAAAATACTTTACTCTTTTTATGAATCTGTTGAATGATTGTTCAGAAGAAGCAGAAGAGAAGGTTACTCCAGATGGTTCTAGAAAGCGTACTACATCAAATTTAAGTACCCTCAGGAACTGTACAATTGTAGCCATGTCTAATTTGTTAAACGCAAATATTGATAGTGGCTTGATGCATTCTATTGGTCTAGGTTATCATAGAGATCCACAGACAAGAGCAGCCTTTATGGAGGTTCTTACGAAAATCCTGCAGCAAGGTACTGAGTTTGAGACGTTAGCCGAAACTGCTCTTGCAGATAGATTCGAGCGTCTCGTCGAGTTAGTCGCTATGATAGGCGACAAGGGTGAATTGCCCATAGCAATGGCTTTGGCAAGCGTTGTATCAACTCCTCATATGGACGAATTGGCTAGGGTATTTGTCACGCTCTTCGACGCCAAACACCTTCTTTATCAGCTACTTTGGAACATGTTCTCGAAGGAGGTCGAAATCGCCGACTGCATGCAAACCTTATTTCGCGGCAATAGTCTAGCCAGTAAATTGATGGCGTTCTGCTTTAAAGTTTACGGACAAAGCTACTTGCGCGAGCTGTTACATAAACCGATTACGGATATGTTCGAAAGCGATAAACAAGGCGTTTCCTATGAGGTTGATCCCACACGCTTGGACGAAAATGAGAACGTAGAAGTAAATCGCCAAAATCTAATGGCCATAACTCAAACGGTCTTTAATCTTATTGTAACATCCGCAGAGAGGTAAGCTCTAAAAATAGGGTCTTTTTTTTTTCTTTTACGTTTAAAAAAAGCATGATTTGCCATCAGAATCGCACGTTCATATTTATTTTCTCCCCTTATTTTTTTTTTGTTTTATTTTTTTTAAGTTTGGTGTTGTCAAATTATTTTTCAGATTCCCCGGTGCATTAAAAAAACTTTGTCAGTGTTTATACATCAGTGTTCAAGCGAAATTTCCAGAGAAAGCTGTAGACGTTTTATCTAGTGTTATAACGCTGCGGTTCTTCAATAAATCTATTGGTAGGATAATTTTTACAAGAAATTATAATCTCTTTTTTTCCTTCCTTTTTTTTTAAATATGTATATATACTGTATATAAAAAAAATCCCCAGCTCCATGTTTTTTGGTTCGTTTAGGATTACAGGGGCTTACTTATCTATAATAGCACTTTTTTGCCTGATTTGTCGTGCACTGCTTGGCATTTTTTTTTCTTACTCGAAAAGCGTATTATGTACTGTTTTATATAAAAAGTTACACTAATTTTCATAGTATATCTATATATATATATATATACTGTATATATTTCAGTATATAATTAGTTTAAAGAAAAAAATAATAGAAATTGTTAACAAAAACAATAAAAAGGTGATTTGGAGAATGCTTTCGCTCTTAAACAGGTTTCCGGTAAAGCTTAGAAGTATGTGCCACTGCTTATATCAAGTAGTGACTCAAAGATTCCAGCAAAGTACACCAGATTCAGTTTGGACGGTTATTGGGACAGTTGTATTTTTGAGATTCATCAATCCGGCTATAGGTAATTAGTTAAGACATTTTCCTAGCTTTAACATTTGCTTTTATCTATTATCTTTCTATTTATTATCCAATCTATTTATCTTGTTTGACGCTTTAAGGCTTTTTTTGGGGGAAAATCTTGCTAATATAAGAACCGAGAAACATCTCCTTTTTTGATATATTATTCAAATGTCACACAATAAGTTACCAAATGAAATATAGGACTATTTTTGAGTTAACTTCTTTTTTTTTTAATGACTTAACTAAAGAAAAGAGAAGATAACAATACTGTAATTTCTCTATTATTTCCATATTATCTTTTATAACACAGTATCACCCTGCGAATCTGGTATAATAGATCAACAACCTACACCAAAAATCAAAAGAGGACTTACCCTCATGTGTAAGATTATGCAAAACTTAGCCAATCATTTGCCGTTTACAAAAGAACAGCATATGAGACACTTCAACGATTTCCTCAGGCAACACTTCGAAGAAGCAAGAAAGTAGGGAAATTTAAAAAAACAAAAAATACAATTACTAATACTGTACATTTATTTATCTTTGTCTTCCTCTTATTTTCACCTTTTAAGGTTCTTTGTTGAAATTTCTTCCGATTCGGAGAGTGAAAATTCTGACTCTAGCAATCATGGATTGTCGTTTATTAGCGATGCTAATGTTTTGGCACTACATCGATTATTGTGGATTAATCAGGAACGTATTGGAGATTATTTGTCAAGCAGTCGTGATCATAAGGCAGTTGGTAGGCGACCTTTTGATAAAATGGCAACATTATTAGCCTATTTAGGTCCACCGGACCATCGGCCAGTGAGTTTTGATTATCAATGGAGTTCGGTGGATATGAGCTCTACGAAATTCGAGGAGATTATGAGCAAGCATCAAATGCACGAAAAAGACGAATTTAAATCGTTGAAAAATTTAAACATCTTTTATCAAGCGGGAACAAGTAAACTAGGAAATCCCGTTTTCTATTATATTGCAAGAAGGTATGCCTAACAAAGCAATTAAAATATTGTGAATAAATTTACATATATTAATTATTATTATTGTTATTATTATTATTCAGAGTTGGAGATTTAAATGGTGATTTGCTAATCTACCATGTCCTTTTGACATTGAAGCCGTTCTACCATAAGCCATTCGAAATTGTTGTTGATTTTACACATGCGTGTTCGGATAATCGATTAAGAGTAGTGCATACTTTCTATCTTTTTAATTAATTAATTCTTATATATACTGTATATATACAGTATATTTATATATATATATTGTTTATCTCATTCTCTTCTTTTATAATCCTATTACAGCAAACTGATTTTCTATCAAAATGGTTTGTAGTGATGCCAGAGGTTGTATACCAAAATGTCGTTCAAGCCCTTATCTATAACTGCAATTCTTGGGTAAGGGAATATACAAAATTTCACGATCGGATACTATCGCCTCTGAAGAGTAATAGAAAATTAGTTTTTATCGATCATCCATCGAAATTAAACGATTATATTGATACTGAACAACAAAAACTACCTGGAGCTACACTCTCATTGGAAGAAGATCTGAAAGTGTTTAATAATGCTTTAAAATTATCTCATAAAGATACAAAAGTTGCTATAAAAGTTGGCCCGACAGCCATACAAGTTACTTCAGCTGAAAAGAGTAAGGTTCTAGGACATTCTGTCTTGTTAAATGACGTCTATTACGCGTCGGAAATCGAGGAGGTTTGCTTGGTCGACGACAATCAGTTTACTTTGACAATATCTAACGAATCTGGTCCGTTATCATTTATACACAATGATTGCGATGCAATTGTACAAGCTATTATCCATATTAGAACGAGATGGGAACTATCTCAACCGGTAAATATAAATTAATATAATAATTGGTTGTATTTGTATACGTTCTATATATATGGAGAATATACGTTATATATATATATATATATACAATATATGTTTATTATGTTATTGATTCATTATGCTTTTTTGTTCCCAAAGGATTCGGTAACAGTTCATACGAAGATTAGACCAAAAGATGTTCCTGGAACTCTTTTAAATGTGGCTCTTCTAAATCTAGGCAGTTCTGATCCTAGTCTAAGATCGGCGGCGTATAATCTTTTATGCGCTCTAACGCAAACTTTCGACTTAAAAATTGAAGGTCAATTGTTGGAGACTACGGGTTTATGCATACCATCGAATAATACTATTTTTATAAAAAGTATAAGCGAAAAATTAGCTGTGAACGAACCGCACTTGACTCTTGAATTTTTGGAGGAGTGTATACAAGGCTTCAGAAATTCAAATATTGAAATGAAGCATTTATGCTTGGAGTACATGACACCGTGGCTTCCAAATTTGACTAGATTTTGTAAGCAGTCGGACGAAGCTAAAAGGCAAAAAGTAGCATTAATCCTCGATAAGCTTATCACCATGACTATTGAAGAGGAGGAAATGTATCCCTCAATACAGGCGAAGATTTGGGGTAATATTGGTCAGGTATCGGATTTATTAGATATGGTTCTCGATAGTTTTATCAAGGTAAATGAATTGATAATTTTAATATTTAATATAAAATAAAAAATTGCTATTCTTTCAACAATGCAGAGAAGTGTCACGGGAGGTTTAGGTTCGATTCAAGCTGAGATAATGGCTGATACTGCAGTCGCTTTAGCGTCGGCTAACGTTCAATTAGTGTCGCGAAAAGTAATAGGAAGGTTGTGTAGATTAATAGATCGGACATGTATGTCGCCCACACCCACGCTAGAACAGCACTTAATGTGGGAGGATATAGCTATATTAGCTCGCTATTTACTCATGTTATCATTCAATAATTCATTGGACGTCGCTAGCCATTTACCATTCCTCTTCCATATTGTCGTCCTACTCGTTTCTACTGGACCTTTATCTCTAAGAGCTTCAACTCACGGGCTCGTTATCAATATTATACATAGTTTGTGTACATGCTCTCAACTCTCTACAATTGGCGGTACGTGATTCCATTCATCATTTTAATTTTACTAATTGATAGTATACAGTTTATATTCTGTATTGTAGTTAGGGAGCTATTAATCTAACAGATACCCATTTCCTCATCCACTAACCTTGTGTTTTTATTCCATATTTTCATCAATGAACGCAGAGGACACAATGAGAATGTTGAAATTGTCATTAACCGAATTTTCTCTTCCAAAATTCTACCAACTATTCGGTATAAGTAAAGTAAAGAGCGCAGCTGTCAGCGCCTTCAGGTCGAGCTATAGAACGGGCGACAGATCGTTCGCCTGTAATCCGGATCAAGATCGAATGTCCCTGCAGTCATTAGAAGTAATTGTTGACGCCCTCCTAGAAATTATGGAGGCAGTTATGAGAGATGTACCCAAGTGTGATTGGCTTCAACAATGGACAGACTTGGCAAAGCGTTTCGCCTTCCAGTATAATCCAGCCCTGCAGCCGAGAGCGATAATTGTGTATGGTTGTATTTCAAAGATAGTTAACGATTCGGAGATGAAGCAGCTATTGAGAATATTAGTTAAGGCCCTAGAGAGTTATACAGATTTACAGTTGATCGAGAGTATAGTTATGTGCTTAACACGCCTGCAGCCGCTATTACGCTCAGATTCGCCTATACATAAACACCTATTTTGGGTATCTATATCCGTTTTGCAGTTGGATGAGCAATCCCTCTACGCGGCCGGTTTGGCCCTATTAGAACAAAATTTACATACGAATGATTCGTCGGGCTTATTTGATAATCAGTCGCTTGAGAGCGTAATGATGGAGACGCGTGAACCTTTGGAATGGCATTTCAAGCAATTGGATCATTCGATGGGTCTAAGTTTTAAAACTAACTTCAATTTTGCCCTAGTAGGTCACCTTCTAAAAGGTTTTCGTCACCCAACCCCTAAAACAATATCAAGGACTATTCGGGTATTGAATACCTTGTTAGCGATTGTCACTAAGTCGACGAAGCGGGATCGCTTCGAGGTGACACCCCAAAGCGTTCCCTATCTAGCAGCGTTGGTTTCGGTGAGTGAAGAGGTGAGAAGTAGGTGCCATCTTAAGCACCGTGTTTGTCATATGTCGGAATCAACATCTAGCGATAGTATGAGTGCCGATATTCATCCATCGCCTTCGGCTAGCCCTCAAGGTCAACTATCTCCCAGCGCTCCGCCGCAGGGATCGCCAACCACCTCATCAACTTGTACGCCTCGCCAAAAATCATGGGACATGTTTGATCAGAATATTGTGCAGGCGGCCACACAGCGGGGGATTCATAAAACAGGACAACATGTTATCCAGAGTTCTTCAGCTAAATCGTGGAGGTATTTTTCGATATTACGTAGATATATCCCGATGCTTTCGATTTATCGACTTTCTCGATTTTCTCGATTTATATAATATACTTTCTTTGTCCCGTATTTTTAAAATTCTACTGCTTGATTCCTGCTTCAGAGGCTGCTCTCTCAAATTGAACAATTTATTCATTTTCTCTTTCTTTCTCCCAAAAAAAAATCATATAGATCTCTCGACCTGGATCCTGTTATATCGACACGTCCACCGCCGAAAACACAAAGATCGTCGTCTGTACCAACCCCGTGTAGAGGACACAAACATCATGAACTAAAGGATCAAGGGAATAGAGGATCAGTTTCGAACGAGAATAATATTCTATTGGATCCGGACATACTCACCGATCATACAACTCAGGCGTTACTCTTAACCGTATTAGCGACTCTTGTAAGGAATACGACGGACGAGAATGAAGCCAGAATCTTATACGAATATTTGGCCGAAGCGTCTGTTGTTTTTCCTAAAGTATTTCCAGTTATACATTCTCTTCTGGATGCAAAGATCAACAACGTTTTATCTCTTTGCCACGATCAAGCTATTTTAAATTCTGTACATAATATTATTCAAAATATGATTGCCTGCGAAGATGCTAACGCTAATCAGCTAAGTTATTTACAAAGTTGTGGATTCGGTGGTTTGTGGAGATTTGCCGGAAGTTTTGCCAAAGTAAGCGGAAAATTTTATTTCCAATTTCTTTATCACAAAAAATAAGAGAAAAAATTAGACGTAAATAATTTTACTTAACAAGCAACGCACAAAGTAAACTGTAGAAAAAGGAAAAGAAGAGAGTGAAAGAGTGAGAGAGAGAGAGAGATAATGAAATTAATATTTTGTTTTCTTTTTTTGTATTTTTTGTATTTTTGTCAAGCAAACAAACAAACAAATGAGACAAAAGTTATTTATATTATTTCAAATGGTTTAGCAAGCGGGTCTGTCGAAAGATGATCGATTGAAGATGCACTTCATTCTACTTCAGCTCTGTTTTCCAAATAATAACGAATACGAAGAAAATGGTATATTAAAAAAAATCATAATAAAAACGAAAAGCGTGCAAATATAATCAGCTTTTTCCTTTTATTTTTATAGAAAGTACGCAGATAAATGCTTTAAAGCTTTTCGTATAATTAGGGGCTTGATTTATTATGGCTTTCTTAATATTTCGCTAGACTAAACTTACTCTATTAAAGAAAACATTATCCTACTTAAACCAATTGTCTTATTTTCTTTGTTTTATTTCTTTGAAAATACAGGGTACGCAGAATCAAGATAATGCTGAATTGTTTGTAAACTGCCTAGAAGCAATGGTAGAAATGTGCCTTCCGGGCGACGATGTTGATGTGCAAGATCCATATCCATCGTTGCTCGACATCGTAACTCATCTCAATTTATCCTCGTCTATGTCGTCGCTAAGTATTGGATCCGTGCATTCACCCACCGATAAGGATTCGGTTATTGATAACGCTTCGGTGGCAAGGCTCCATCGTTCTAGTCAGCAACCGACCGGCGCAGCAAAAAGGGCTGGAAGTGTAAAAAGAAAAACGAATAAAAAGTGTTCGACGCCCGACGGCGGACGGTTTCAGTAAAAACGATCTCAAAACATATCTGTCGTTCTAGTCCGTTTGCTTTTATTCGTTTGGCTGTTTTGATATTTTTTATTGTACGTTCGATGTTTTCGATCATTAAAGCATTTTCTCGTTCTTTTTCCGAATGTATTGAAAAAAAACAACAACAAAACAAAACATATATGATAACAATGATACCTTTATAAGCGGACGGTTTCCATTTTGCTTTTTATTCTTTTACTGTATAAATGTATACCTTTGTATACTGGATATATTAGGTATATACTTATAGACAGTGTATATATATACACTTAATCGTTTTCCTTAAAACTTACAAACAACTAATCTTTAACAATCCTATGTATTATATATATATATAAACTTTGTATATAAAAGAAGAAAACCTACAGAAATCAATTGAACAACAAACGTATTTTAGCTTTGTAAAATTTTTATTTAGATACTCTCTCTCTCTCTCTCTCCCAATGTAAATGAGTAATTTTGAAAAGCTAAATCGTCCTGACGTAGTATTATATGACAATAATCACCATAAAGTTATGTTTTACTTAGGCTCATTGTTTGTAAGAAGCAACCAACGACTAGGAAATAGTTCACACTGGTAGTACTTTGCCTCTTTTTATATATATATATATATATATATGTATATATAGACAAAGAGAGAGAGAAAGATAAATATACAGTTCATATGTACATACATAAATAAGTTATAACATCACATTCGCTTAATATTAAAACAAGTTTGCATATAATTTACAAGAGCAAGATTATATAAAATACAATAAATCTTCATTGAGGAAAAAAGGAATTAAATAGGTGGATTTCATTGCAGAGAAAAGGAGAGAAAAGCATAAATTTGCAATATTTTATGAAAATATAAATTGAATATTTTAAAAAAATGAATATAGTAAACAAAAAAGTCTAAAACTGTATTAGTGGATGCTCTAATAGGATTAATAGAGAGAGAGGGAGAGAGAGAAAGAGAGAGGAAAAGACAGTGAGCGTCAAAAGAATTAAGAAAGAAAGGAAGAGGAAGAGAGAGAGAGAGAGAGAGAGAGAGAGAAAGGGGGGGGGGGGAGTATGTCTAATGAATAAAAAACAAATTGGCCAAAATCTTTTGTTCTTTTGAATTGTAAAAGGAATGCTTAAAATGCGAACTTCTTTTCGTCATGACGATGATCATAATCAGCATTAATTTTCTAATTTTTCCTGATCATCCTTCTAATATTCCGTACTACTATCTACATTCGATACCATTTCATGCGGTCTACAACAAGAGATATGTTTAGTTAAAGTTATTTTTGAGATTTATAAAAAAAGTATGTAACTTACTTTTTTCCTATTTTTATATGAATTATAAAAAATACAACCGCCAAAACAATACAAACGCTTCCAGTAACAATATAAGCAATACCCAAAAAAGGGTTCTTTCCTCCTAGCCAAGATGTTGTTGTTAGTATTATATACTTCTTCCCTTTAAAGGAGTCTACTTCAAAAGAATAATCTACATCAATTTTATAGTTTCCAGCTCTCAATCCGTCTCTAATTATAATATTATTACATTATTAATAAGCATAATTGATGTTGAAGTTTGAAAAGAGATGTGCATCTCTGTATATTGAAGAAACTTACTTAAAATATTCATCACTTGTATCAACTATTCTATGCAATTTCCTAAAAGTATTTAAAGCTGCGGTACGCATCCATACTATTAAATCTTCGTTTTTATAACCGTTATTATCTTCATTTTCAGTATCCAATTCATAGACAGGTTTCAGCCAATTTTTCGGCTTTATTGTATCTTTAAAGGCTGTCCGTTTTATATGTAAATAATTAGTTAATTATACATATATATTAGTATATTTGTTTATAAATAGTGCAAACCTTCTTTTAAAGGTTTACCACCCGGATTGTTAAACTTGACTCTTTTATCCGTTGACCATGCAATACCAGTATTTTTTAATTTAGCTGTAACGTATTCTTTATTCGGTTTTTGGTAAGATAAACTAAATCTGTCTGGATAGGTAAATAAACAAACAAAATTATTATCGAACATTCTATTTTCGTATAAAAAAATTCTATTTTTTTAAATACGAATATATACAATTATATATATATACCTTGAAAAAAACTATTGGCAATTGAACCACATGGAGCGTATTTAAAGGTTTTACCGCTTGTCGAATTTTTTTCATCTTTATACGGATCGCAATAGTCGGTTAGTTTACCAGTTTCTCCCCTTAATTGATCGTCATCTCTAGATCTAACATATCTTCTGTGGTTTTGATAAAAATTCGATAGGCCATAATAGAGATAGACATTTCCTTTTAATTCTTCTCCCTCTGCAATGTTAAACTTAACTTCGCATTTACAGGTCTTTTTGGTACCATCCCTGATAACGCGAGCGCACGACTGCCCTGTCTCTGTATCATTGCAGTGTGTATAATCTTTTTTTATTTCCATCACCTATAAACAAATAATAGTGATTTAGTCGTTATCGTTGTGAACGTTTATCAAAGGATATTACATTGTTTGATGTGATTAATAGGGCAATTCCTATGGGTATGAAAGCTATTCCTATCGCGGCAAATACGGGTAAAACGGTCTGTGCAGTTAGAATTGGCTGCCAGGCAGGCAATTTTTGTTGTTTAAACTTTGAATCTGTAATGAATTATGAATGTTTAATCTCCATTGATAGAATAACCTGATGTTTCAGTTATCAACAGTTACAAGTTAAAATTTGATGATCAGTCCAAATTTTAGTACTAAATGTCAAAGAATACCTTTAGGTTTCCTACTAGCTGGTTTTTCGTCCACAGAATCAGTTTGTGGCACAGCCATAGTTCGTTTATTATTGATTCTATTTATTAGTCTAGATGTTGTCTATCAACCGCTCCGTTAATTTCCGCTTCCTCTAAACCACAATTTGGTACTTTCGAGAAAATACTTTATTAACGAGTATCACGCTTAGAATAGTGGAGTACTATTTGACTGTATAGACGGCCATTTTAATTCTCCCCGATAGACTCGCAGTCTAATGGCACTTTTAACAACAAGCATTTTGATGTCTATTTTTAAATAACCTTTTTTACGAAATGGAATAATTAACAATAGTGAATTATCCAAATTTATAAAAGGTTTCTAATACAAATTTGTTACATTAACAAACAAATACATTTCCTTTAGAAATGTAGCACGATTTCATTATTCATCAAACTATAAAATAGTAAAACACAATGCAATTCATCCTTATCTCATTATATTATCATTTATTTTTCAAATAAATTGCTAAGTTTAAATATTTTTTACGTTAATCAGCTCTAGATTCTATTACAATCAATGTTTTAGGCCTATATTGACAAGAAATGTGCCTACGTTTTATTTCTTTATAAAATTAGTTCGGTTTTTTAAATATACTCTAATATTTTCCAGTTAGTCATATATTTTTAAGCGGAAGTAAGATCTTGGTGGAAGTACGCATCACTTGTGAATCATCTGTCACTATTTTTACTATAAAAAATTTAGGAATTTAATAATTGTAGAATTAAAAAAAACTTTTTTTTTTAAAAAGAAAGAAAAGAAAAAAGGAGAAGAGCAAAATAAAGGGAAAAAAGGGAAGAAAAAAGTTAAATAGTTGAATTTTCTGTGAATTCAATTAATAAAGGAAAACTAATTATTAGTAAGAGAAGCTGCACTACTGGATTAGTCGTGTTAAAAAATGGCTTCTTTAAATGTACTGGCGATAAAATGAACAAGTTTGAAAGAAGGGCACGAAACTACTTAAAAGCCTATGAGAGATAAAATTTAAGAATTCTTCTCTCTCCTCTATAAGTGACAGTATCTGAGGGAGAAATAGAAAAATATATTTTTTAGCATCTTTTCTATTAGTTCATTCTCTCTCTCTCTCTCTCTCTTTTATTCTCTTAAAGATTTATAAATAATTTCTCTCTTTTCTTATTCTTGCACCAACTTTTCACAGGCCCAGATGGTTTTTTTTATACTGCATTGAAGCACCTCGAAAAGTAAATTTTGCCAATTTAGTCTATTTATACAAAACATAGAATAAAGCTCATCCAGGGATACTTCCTATTTCAAGTTTATTTTCAAGGTTGGGGTGCTAAAAAAATGTGCTGTCCTTTAACAAGGCTAATCTTCCTTTGGTTTCTTACGTTTCTTTTATTTTCACGGGATTATTTCATTTAGTTACTTTCAGCGTGAAACCAATTAATATAAAAAGGACAAAAAAAACTTATTCTTGCCTTATGTTATAGTTTTAAAAAATCTTTTTGCATCTTCTATCATGAATAGACTGAGAGTAATCTCTCTTCAACATCCTTCATTTTATAGGAAGAGAAGGACACTTGCTACTTTCAGACAGTTAATTAATCCTTAAAAAAAAACAATATAATTGACTACATTAATTTGGCTAATTTTATCCGTCATCTACATTTCAATTCAACATCATAGGATTTATATAGCATATATTCTTTCTGTCTCCACTTCTTCCTCCCTCTCTCTCTCTCTCTCTTTCTCTTTGTCAAAAGCAAAACAGAGTTAGCAAGACAATTTTCAATATTTTTTGTATCCCATGATAAATTTGGTATTGTAAAATATCAAGAGACGTGTTTGTTGTTTGCATTTCATCTGAATATAAACCGGAAATCCTATTTTATAAGTCAGTATATTTTCCTTCTATCTTCCTATATTCCCTTACCTATCCCCCTCTTCTCCCAGCTTATAGAAATTCCTCATCAACACTAATTTTCCATTTCTATTATCATCTATTCCAACTGATGATGTACGCCTATTCTTTTCGGATTGTGTTTTTCTATTCTTTACTTGCCAGCCATTATCTTCCTTCATCATCTTTCTACTTATCTCTAATGAATATGCCAAACAGTAAATCGAATAATGAAACAATTCCTTTCATCTTCCCCTTTTGTTTTATTCTAAATCTTTTAGAGAATATTTTGTGAATCATTTATTCCATGTAAAATAGATTGTGCTTAATCAGCAGTTTTGCATAAATGCATAAATATATGCTGATATATCTTCCTATATGGTTTGTAATTATTAAAGGGAGGAGAGAGGGAGGGAGGGATGGAGGGAGGGAGGCAGAAAGTCTTGTTATTTATTTTGTTTGTAAGAATATTATGAAAGGAAAGAAAGGGAATATTTCGTCTAATCAACTCATTAGACTACTTTTGTTATCTTGACAGATTCATTAAAATCATTTGGAAATTTGCCAAAGGATTTGAAAGAGAATCTTAAATAGAATGATGGAAAAAAATTTCTCTTTGTCCAAATATTTACTTGTTGTAGTATATTGTTAATTACTCTTCGTGAAGAAGCTTTACATAGATGATGGATTTATTCCCTTTTTCGTCACTTTACGACATCTTATCAGCACACCTAACAATAATAATGACTAACTGCCTCTTCTGAAGTTTTCTTTTACTCCTCTGAAGAGTTAGTATGAATGATTAATAACCATAGTACCAAACTATTGTCTCCTCCAACTATCAGGATTCTTTAGCCTAAATATTTTAATCAAAAACTGTAAAGCTTTCAAATCTCTCTTTGAAGTAGGAAAGTCTAAAAGATGCTGACTGTTTCTCTATCCTAGTTTCATTTAGTTAGTTGTCCCTTTTGTTTTCCGATCATTTGAATTTATTTCATTCATCACAGGAAAAATTGTTTCCTCTCTTCCTTTTTTTTTACATCTAAAATTTCTCTCCCTTTTATAATCTTTACCTCAAACGCCCTAATTGATATGTTTCTCGATTAACTTTCAATATTGAAGCTCTATAAAACGATAACAATTACCCTTTGAAACTTTCCCTTATTATCATTATCTGTCCGGCCAAACTATGTTTTTGAGCGTATTGTATAGATGTTTATAAAGATTTTATACTTTAAAGTTCTATTATTATTAGTTTCGGATACAATTGTTGATTAACTTAACGACTCATAATTAATTTGTCATTTGTAAATTGAACAAAATCCTTCGAGAGGACATCACTCTACGGGAACAGTTGGAAACGAGATAATAAAAATATCCAATTGACAGTTTGCTAAATTTATCTCATATATTAATTTTATCAAGCTGAAAAACTAAATAGGAATAAAAAATAGAAGGAGAGATATAAGAGAAGGAGGAGCAGAAAAAAAGAAGAAAGAAGAGAAGAAAGGGGATAAATGACCATATCATTTATTCTAATTGTTTATCTTATTTCATTATACGCGCTTTTTCCTTGAAGATAACAAAAATTAACCTTCTTTTTTATGATGAATTTTTGCACGTTGCTGGTTTTTTTTATTAAAAAAAAACATGTTTTCTTCATCCATTTTCCAGGTCGATTAACTTTATTATTAGATTATTAATAAAATCTTTCCATACATTTTTCACTTTAAATAACCGATAAATAATAAATTTGAATAATTATTATTTAAAAATATTCAAATATTCTTAGGAAAATTTACATATTTATGAATATTTATATATTTTAATGATTGTTTCTTTAATTTTTTTTAATTTTTTGAAAAATTAACTAAAAAATAGCCTTTATTTAGCAATTTTTTTACAAAAAATCCTCTAATTTTCGTAGAATTTCCATCAAATAATCAATAAAATTCTGAAAAGGTCGGATTAGTTCCTTTAAAAGGTGATTTATGCTCAAAAACAACTTTGTTTTTTAGCTTTTTTCCATTTTTTATAGAGTTCTAAAAGTTAAAGACAAACAATTTTTTACTGAGGACAACTTGGAAGTTGAGTAGTGTTGAATTTAGGTATAAATACCGCAAATCACCACCAAATCGATACCCTTGTCCTCGGGTTACCGAGTTAAAAACGCTGCCTTCTCCTTTTTTGCTGCACTAATCTAAGAGCCCAGGTATAGTTTGCTTTATTATGGCTTATTTATTCGTATTATAATTTAAATTTGTCAACTGAATGAGAACTTGAACAATTAAATATCTTATAATAGTTTTTTGATATATATAATTATCCGAGAGATTGAAATGATTTGTTTTTCAATACTTGAAATCTAATTTCAATTCTCTAAACTATAATAGCTTTTTATCAAAGTTCTCTTTCTCTCTCTCTCTCTCTCTCTCTCTATTTCTCTTTTCTTATTATTTTATTATGAATAGTGTTGATAATTTTTCAATTTATTTATTAATAACTTTGCAGATAACTTTGGTTTCCTGACCTCTTTTGGTAAAAGGATTCAGTTATTCATAATATGAGGTTAATTCACTTTTTTGCTGCATAAATTAAAAGTACTAGAGAAGCAATGGGCAGTTTTTCCGCTAACTCAATGAACAATTATAACAATTATGACTATTCTGGTAACCACGTAGTGGCCATGGAAACGGACAACGTTGTTGAAATAGACACTGATGCCGATATGTATCCTATTACCAAAAATGCTGAATATTTACAAGATGAAAGATTAATAAAAACTAGTTTTGGAGACTTACCATCAATTCCTTCCTCGTGCAGAATTAGAAAGAAAAGTAAGTTGAATATTTGTTGAACCTTTTCTTTTTTTTCTTGTAAAAGCTTATATATATATATATATTTGTGTATTTTTTGTATAGAACGTCGAACTTATACGTTGGGTGAGCGAAAAGCTATTATAAAGTACATTGAAGATGAAGGAATGGTTTCGGCAAGAAGGAAATTTAAGTTTCAAAGGAGCCAACTATCCTCCTGGTCAGCCAAAGATGTTTCGAACTTGAGTGGCAGCTTTCAGCAATGCCAACCGAAATTGAATAGTCACCTTCCTTATTCTAATTACGTTGAAGAAGCTCTGACGGCATTTATCACGAGCGGTCGAAAAAAGACAATATATGAACTAGAAGAACAAGCCTTACGTCTCGTTGCCACCCAAGTTCGAAAATCTGGTGCTGGCATTAGATTGATGAATCATGTCTTGAGAAGAATTTCCGGAAAAATAACGGAAGATGTAAATGTTCTTTTGGACAACAGCAACAAACCTCTAGCAAATTTTTATTCGACAAGAAGACCTCTTGGAGTTAGACAGAAAACCTGTCAGGGCAGTGTAATATCACGATATTATGGTATGACATCCCCTATACTATAAAAAATGAATTCACGGTCTCCGACGAAGGTCGTACCGAAAGGATATTATTCCCATTTGAAGTAGTGAAATTTGAAAGAGCTTTGTTAAGATTCATCTTGAAGACTGTTTTTTGTTAATTAAACACATAGGTATATAAATATATAGCATTTATTTAAAATAGTTTTTCATTCTTTTTACGCCTCGGTTTAAGCTGTAACCTCTTCTTCTCCACCTTTTGTCTGGTGGCATTAACTCCAATACCTTGACTTGTTTCGTGATGATTCATAAAAGTGTACAATTTTTCACCATGAATATCGCTGTGAAGTATCTTTCCAAGATCCTCTTTTGATTTGGTGGCCAAATCCGCAACATTGGAAACTTTATTCAAAATTGTATAAGCGTTTTTTGTATTGATACCGGGCATTTTTAGAATTAAATCTTTGGCGACGTGTTCATACATTCCTCCCAATAGCATTGCTTCTTCTTCACTCTTTTCTAACGATAGAGCATCTTTTAGATTGGGTTGTTCTCTATTTTCTTTTAATTCTCTAAATATCGTTGCAGTTTTATAGGCATCCTGGCTCCAAATTAATCTAACTCGGTTAAAATGTAAAGTTAAAAGGGTTAATTTCCCCATTATATCATGCGTAATCATTTCTGTTGAGACGTTATATTTTCCTTGTAACAGAGAAAATGGTTTGTTCTTATCAAATTCGATCAGTAGAACAGGTTTGCGATAATGACGACACATAGCTTGACATTGATTATACAATCTTCCATTATTCAATGAACCAATAAGATCACTTAAACTTTTTCTTTCTACACAAATTTCCGGAGTGAGAATATAGTCTCCTATTTCTATAGTCGCAGGTTCAATTGTAATGTTCTTTTTATGTAATACAGAGGGTAGTTTACTTCGAAACTCCCTTACATCAACGATTATTTTGTGTTCAACGGGTGCACGAGCATCGCGAAATGACAATGAAGTCTCCTCGTCGTCATCCTCCATTTTATCATCTTGATCATCTCTTATAACCAATGCCTAAAACGATTAGAAAAGGCATTATTACCCAATAGATAACGTACTAAAGTGTAATATTGTGATAATATCTTACAGCTTTCTCTTTGATTAAATACTCAAATGCTTGCTTCTCTTTTTGTACGGTTAAAAGATATCTTTGCTCCTCCGACGAGTTTGAATATAAAAGAAAGTAGACCCTTAGCGGTTTTCCCGGATTACAAGCTTTAAATATTTCCAATTGTCTAACCACTGATATTTCCGGATCATAGAGTATAACGTAAGTTGGTTGCAGTTCAGATAAAGTTCGTAAAATACTATAAGGATCGCTATTGCCATATAAAGGATGAAAGACCGTTAACGCTTCATCGACTAATCCAATTTTGATTTTTTTTGTTTTAACATCATCCTGTAGGAAAAGACACCTCTATTGATTTCTTTGCTTCTTTTTTTCTTTTAAATTATTCAACTATTTATTAGTTACCTCATCACCGGACGAATCGTGAGTTATCATTTGAGTTAAGGTCAGCTCATTACTTTTTGTATTCTTTGTTGTTTTGCAACGACGATTGGCTGCGTTGTTCATTTCGTTCATACGATCTTTAATTCTCTTCAACATTTGATTACCGCCGCATTTTAGATACTGAAAAACATATTTTGAACAGAATGATCATCATTTTAAAGTGTACAATTCAAAAAAAAAAAAACAACTTCTTGCAGAAGATTGCAAGTTCTAATATCCTTTGCGATTATCATTATTCTACATGCGCTATCATCTTGACAATGCTCCCTTATTTCTTTAATTACGTCAGAAAGTACTTTCCATTTTGGGCATTCTTCAGCAGGGCTATCTGTAGTTTCCTCTTCATCGTCCCAAAGATCAGCTTCGGCAGCCACACCAGGCTTTGCTTTTGTTTTCTTATTAGAAGAATAAACTCTTTGCTTTGCAGCCTTTACATTTAAAAAAACAAAACGTATTATTTCAAGTTAAGTTTATTACCTTTACAAGTTGGCTTCGTTTATTTATATTTTAACAAACCGTAAATAAGGAATCAGCAGCGTCTAAATAAAGCCAGCTATCACTAGATATAAACGTTCTTTCGCTGGATCTAATTGATTTGATGAACTGATAGAAATTAATGGCATCGTACTGAGTAAGATTTCTGTAGTAGGGTACAATAAACAATATATACTGTACATATTCTATATATATATATTAGATATATATAATTAATCAATAGTAATTTACCCTAAAATTTCTCGAACCATTCTTAAATCGCTGACTAAATTTTTTGTTTTTATAGATAGTTGATGCCAAATTGGATCTAAATGACGTCTCAGAGTTCTATCAAAATTTTGAGATAGAGCAGTTTCGATTGTAATGTCTTCGTCGGCGTCTAACTAAATATAAAGAATAGAAAATTATTTCCAATATTTAAGATATCAATCAAAAGAAACAAACCGATGGATGACTTTTTTTCATTTCTCGAACGCAGGATGATATAATATCTAGTAAGGCAGTTTGGCAACTAGCCATTGCCGGTGTCATTTCAATTTCCATTTCAACAACGTCAATCGTATGCTTTTCCATAAGATCTTTCACATCGGCATGAAATCTTGGCCAAAGAAACAACTTTTTTACATATAAAGCTTTTAATACCCTTTCCACATAGCATAAACCTTTGATAAATGCTGTTGGATTATCAGAAAAAGCCTTAACGAAACCAGTCTAAATATGAAAAAAAAAGACAAATTACAAAAGAAATCAAGTGAAATAACAAACTAAACAACTTACCTGATTTTGCATTCTATACAATCTTAAAATGAAAGCTTCTTGATGAGATTCCATAATTCTTTATTTTAAAAAAAATTAATAAATACTATATATTTTTTAATAATTAGGTCTATATACTAACTTATGAGCTTTAAATATAATAATTCCTGATACTAGTTGAGAAGGAACTTTCTTAGTTAATAAATCCATAACTAATATTCTTGATGTTATGAATAGAACTCCGCCATTTAAGTATAATTGTTCTCTAGAAATGTTTGAAATTATTTAATATTATGATTTGCTTTAATAACTAACTAAAATTACCTTTCAGCAACGCTAAAATCTGATGTAATCGATTTTGGTAACGGCTTAACGTCTTGTAATTCTAGTTGTTCTATAAAATAGGCCTATAAAGAAAAATATTTGTATTTATGTGTCATGTTATACTAAAATAGAGGTCACTTGTTCTTCTTCATTTGTATTTATCACATAAACCAATTGACCGGGATCACAGTATAATTTAAGGAACGTTACGAAAATTCTCTCCAAACCCATTCCTCTGCGAATTTAGAAATTTTTTTTTTTTAAAAAATCAAAAAGTGTTTAATTGAAAATCTACCTTGCGCAAACAAGAAGACCATCTTCATTAAATGCATCTGCAAAAGCTTGCTTTTCATATGAAAGCAGAGCCATTGTTTTTACTTTATCGCCCAAACAACTATTTCGCAATACTAATAGGGTTTACTGTAATCATTTAAATCGCTTAAAATTCAAACAACGATTTTATCTGATATATGCAAATTTAGATACAAAGTCTTCGGCGTACTTTAAACTTAGATTTCAACTTTTGTCATTTAGACCAATGTTCGTCTGCTAAATTTCGTTAAGTTGCCGGTGATTGGCTGAAAGAGGAACTTTTACCCAATCAAGATATTTGTCACTCATCACAGCATTTTGTGAACTCGAACAGAAACTAGGACGATGGCTCTTGCAAAAGGTAAATTAAAGCTTTCTTTAATTAATAAAACTATAAATGAAACATTTGAAAAACTAATATTTTGCAGAAGTAAGTAAGGCCTTCATTGTTGCCGCCAAAAGAACACCATTTGGAACATTTGGGGGTCGACTAGCTGCTTTTTCTCAAACCGATCTACAAGAAATTGCTGCCAGAGCAGCTTTAGAAGCGGGTAACGTTAAACCAGAAAATGTTGATTCAGTTGTCATTGGAAATGTTTTTCACGTAAATATTTTAATTAATGTTTTACGAATTGTCAACAAAATAAATATTTATATTTTGTAAACTTTTTTAGAGTTCAATAGATGGAGCCTATACACCTAGGCACGTTAGTATAAGATTAGGAATGAAAACAGAAACTCCAGGACATGCAGTGAATAGACTTTGTGGTTCTGGCTTCCAGTCGGTAGTTACGGCCTGTCAAGAAATCGAGTTAGGATTAAGTAATGTTGTATTAACTGGAGGGACAGAGAACATGTCTCAAGCTCCTTACGTTTTGAGAAATGCTAGATTTGGTATTAAACTCGGAACTGATCCAGTTTTGGAAGATGCCCTTTGGAAAGGTTTAATTGATCAACAGATCAAAACTCCTATGGGTGTTACCGCTGAAAATCTAGCTACAAAATACAATATTTCTAGAGAAGAAAGCGACACTTTCGCAGTTCGTAGTCAAACCAAATGGTTTGAAGGTCAAGAGAGTGGTGCATTTAAAATGGAAATGGTACCAATCAAGGTTAAAACAAGAAAGGGTGAAGAAATTATGGAAATTGATGAGCACCCTAAACCAAAGGCAACAGTTGAAAGTTTAGCAAAATTACCATCTGTATTCAAAAAGAATGGAACTGTTAACGCCGGCAATGCTTCTGTTTGTTATCATAATTCATTATATGAACTAATTATAATTATCTTATGTTATTTATTGTAGGGTATTTGTGATGGAGCCGGCTGTGTTATTGTTGCCAGTGAACAAGCTGTCAAAGATCAAAACTTGACGCCCCTTGCTTCAATAACTGGTTATGCAATTTCAGGCTGTGATCCAAGTATAATGGGTATTGGTCCAGTGCCAGCAATCAGAGCCCTTCTATCCAAAACTGGTAAGAGCGTCGGAGATGTTGATATTTTTGATATCAACGAGGCTTTTGCACCACAATTTCTGGCTTGCCAAAAGGAGTTAGGTTTAGATCCGGAAAAAACTAATGTTAATGGAGGAGCTATTGCCCTAGGTCATCCAGTCGGCGCCTCTGGTTCGAGAATTACTGCACACTTGGCTCACGAATTGAGGTAATTATTGTAATCCTATTATAATAATAGCTATCATTATTATTATTAATCCAGACGAAGAAACGCGAATATTGCCGTTGGCTCTGCTTGTATTGGTGGTGGTCAAGGTATCGCAATCATGATGGAAAGATGTTAGAGAAAATTTGATGCTAAATTTGAATAATTTGTATTAATTTAACCTTCAGAACAAAAAAAAACCAAAATGAAACTTAGTAATTCTGTAGTTCTTTGATATTGTAATAAAGATCTAGAGAGTTAGGATTAATATATGCTCCTCGACTTTTAACGTCTTCTCCGGCTAAAATCTTTTTCACTGCAACTTCAACTTTCTTTCCGCTATTGGTGTACTGTTAATACAAGAAAAATGTCAAATTAACGACCTTTATCGCAGAGCAGATAATGTGTAATCACTTACCGGTATATCGGAAATAGACAAAATTATAGATGGCACATGTCTGGCAGATAGTTGCATACGGATTTCAACTTGAAGTCTCTTTTTCAAATCCTCATTAAAATCGCTTCCTTGGGCCATTTTCAAGAAGAGTACAACTCTCTCTTCATTTCCATCAGCACTCTTTTGACCAATGCATAAACTATCTGCAATTTCTTTGAATTCTTCAACTAGAAAAAGAAAAAAAAACATATACAATTAATACATTGAATGTAACGCGTTATTCTATAATTATTTTTACCGATTTGATATATTTCTGAACTACCAAATCGCACACCATTTGGATTTAGAGTACCATCACTTCTACCCAACATCCATATTCCATCAGTCTTAGGATTAATAAGACAAAAATCACCGTGAGCCCACATGCCATCATATTTATCATAATAGGCCTTTCGATATTTTTCATTTTTAGGATCATTCCAAAAATAAATTGGCATACTTGGGAATGGCTTCCTGCAAACAAGATCACCACTTTCGCCATAAACTTCTTTTCCATCCTCATCTAAACTGACCATATCGACACCCAAATGAACTGATTGAATTTCACCTTCATAAACTGGTAGAGTACAATTCTGACCAGCAAAACAGGCAATTATGTCCGTACCACCCGTAATAGAACCAAGTAATATATCTTTTTTAACGTGTTCGTAGACGTATCGGAAAGATTTTGGAGATAATGGTGAGCCAGTCGATAATATCGAGCGTAGCGTTGTTAATTTATGAGTATTCACTATAGAATAAGAATAAGAATAAGATAAATGATGCATTAACGAGACGCTTTTTATCTATTATAAATGGATTAAAGGTTTAAAAAAAAATAATCTTACTGGGTTTTATGTCCCTTTCTTCCAAAACGGCCAACCATTTTGCACCAGTGCCAAGTATAGTGATTCTAATAATAATAAAAAGTGTAAAGTTGTTAATAAAACACGTATTCAATTGGTGAGCTTTTACTAAATCTTACCCAAGTTTATCGATCAAGTCCCACAAAATATTTTGATTAGGTACCAATGGAGATCCATCGTAACAAACTAAACTGGCTCCAATGGCCAATGGCGAAACAAACCAATTCCACATCATCCAACCAGTTGTCGTATAATAAAGCATTCTATCCTCACTCCTCATATCTCCTTGGAGAGCGTGTTCTTCTAGATGCTTAATTAATGTTCCACCAGCCGAATGAACAATACACTTAGGTACTCCGGTTGTACCCGAAGAATACATTATAAATACTGGATGATCGAAAGGTAATTGTTCAAAAATTAGATTATCTACAGTGCCGTCGCTGTTCCTTCCAGATTCCAAGAATTCTTCAAGGGAGCATCTGAAGAAAATATTAATAGAAACAGCTGTAAAATTGATTGATTTTTTTGTAAATATTATTTTTTACATACGCATTTCTAATGAAAGATAGATCAGACTTGGACGATCCATTTTCAAATTTCAAATAAGGTATAACAACAACTTTTTCAACTTCAGGTAGAACATTCGCTACCTTTGATAATTTTGTCAAGTGTTCGTAGGTTTTACCGTTATAAATGACTCCATTAACGGAAATAATAAATTTTGGGGAAATTTGACAAAATCTTTCAAGAACACCAGTTACTCCAAAATCAGGAGAAGCACTACTCCAAATCGCACCAAGTGATACAGCAGCAAGCATGGCAACAATAGCTTCAATACAGTTTGGAATGTATCCCACAACCCTGTCATTTTTTCCAATACCCATTTTTCTCATAGCAGAAGCATATAAGGCCACATCATCCTTCAATTCCCTAAACGTTCTTCGCTTAATTTCATCGTGACCTTCGACTATATAGATAATTATGATAAAACTATCTTAAATTAGCTGTTCATTATTTATGTATATATATATAAAACTTCGTACCTGCCGCATAAATGGCTACTTTATCTTCGTCTTCATGCTTTAAAAGATTTTCGGCAAAATTAAATAAAGCTCCCGAAAACCATTTAGGAGGAAATTCATCCATTCTAACAGTAGCATCGTAAACCTAATAAAAAAAAATTACGTAATATTGAAACACTATATATATATATAAATTTATATTGTATATATACAGTATATAAACTAGTATATACGTAAAATTAGTTTACAAAATAATTAGGATGAATTGCATTCTTTATTGTTATTTTTTTTTTAAAGTTTTTTGTTTAGAAATACACTATATTATGTTCCGCCTTTTTTTTAACCCAAATGTTGCCCGATACGTATCTATCTATCTATGTACAGCTGTTGTAAAAAATATTATTTTGTAAATTGTTATACATAAAAGTATTAAATTTATTTCAAGTTAAAACGTAGAATCTGCCAAAGGCCTATCGATAAAAAGAAAGGTCAAGTTCAAGGCAAGAAGGCGTGGACAACAACTACCAATCAGAATAAGTCTTGATCGGCTGATTCTATATGACGGAAAGACGAATAATTTTAAAAGATTAAGCTAACACATTACCTGATTATATGATCTTGAATATTTTATATTCGTAAAATCCCAGACTTCTCCCCAAAATTCTGGATAATGATCTACACTCCATCTATGCAATTCTTTGTAGGTTTCTGCAAAATCATTCAACCTTAGAGAAAACTATTTCGTAATTCAGCATTGAAATGTTACAAAAGTAGAATAATTACGCAAATTTTGTCCGTATTTCTTGTTGATAAGATCCCTGAATGTATCCAAGTTAGTTTTCTTGGTTCTATCGGGTTTCCACAAACAATTAGGTTTTCTCAAAATTGCCGCATCCATCTCAATTGATAAACGTTAAATAAATAGTGATCTCGTCGCTGACACGCGTTGGGCAGAAGCAGAACGAGGGAACTCCCGGGGAACTCCCATTACGTCATTCGTACTCGAGCGAGTTGTCGCGCGAAAATCAATTGTTCGGTTATTTATAATTATATTTCCATAGTTCCATGTTTAATACTGCCCTTTTTCATATGCACAGAAAAATTTCATGTAAAACATTTTACAAATATGCAATTCAATAAAAGACCAATAAACAACAACCTACGCTTTTTAGCGCAAATTATCGTTCAAGTCAAAATGAAACAACTAAAAACTAATCCACTTGCATGTTAATCGTTGTACTCATGCCATGTTTTTTTTTTAAATGTTTGTCTGTTTGCACTCTCAATCGTTCATTGTACATTGAAAAACGACCAAATCTCGCATGCGGACATGATCCTAATATTATCCTCCTCTAATATTGCACATGTCATTCATATATATATTTACAAAGAAAAAAAAACGTTTCCACCAATGAGGAATAAGTTTACCTAAATTCGAGATTTTTCTTTTTTGTTTCGCACAACAGTTCTTACAAAAGAATTAAAGCAATCAAGCGCGCACTGAAGTTGTCGAACCGTTTGGAAAGATAACATAACAATTATAACGAGGCAAAACACTTATTTTTCGAAAAAGCACTAATTTTTTTTTTATCGAAAAATCACTTAGTTATCGAAGTCATGGTTAACGGCATTCCCACACCTTCACTGTTTCGTCGACGCTTCCAGTAGCAATGAAGGGGTTACTCGGATGAAAATCTATTAGTAAATTTATTTTTTTATTAATGAGTTAATTGAATAGATTAGAAGGGTTGAGGGGATAGGAAAGGTATTGTTACTTACCAAGTGACGTGCAGAAATGAGTATGAGCGTCGAGCGTTTTGATATTCATCTTCGACTTAAGTAGCCAAACACGTAAAGTTTTATCATCGCAAGCAGATAACAGGTATCTACCTCCAGGATGAAAGACGATGCCACGAACCCAGTTATCATGGCCGACCAGAGTTATCACGCATGCACCACTATTTACGTCCCATATTTTTATCAATTTATCCCTACTTCCTGACGCTACGTAACGACCATTCTTATCTGAACTTAAAGCTGCTCCTTCACTGATGGAAGGATTTGAGACACTTGGCGCCCATGCAACACATTCTACAACGTGCTGGTGATCTCTAAGCTCGCTCTAAAAAGTTTTTTTTAATGATAAAGTTAAGTAAAACTTAAAAAAGTAAGACTGTTGACAAATATTTACTTTGCAGCCCTTTTGTCCTACAACCCATATTCTAACAGTTTGGTCACTGGAGCAAGACGCTAGCATGCTACCATCGTCGCTAATGCGAACCATTCGAACCCAATCGGTATGTCCAAAATATGTGAAAACGTTATGTCCTGTATCAAGCTGCCACATTTTAATAGTTTTGTCTCTTGACGCAGAAATCAGCATGTCACCACGGGGCATAAAAGCTACGCTTGATACATTGTGCTCGTGACCATGTAAGGTTCTTATGCATTCATGACCCACAAAATCCCATAATTTAATCGATAAATCAGCTGAACACGAGGCTGTTGATTACAAAAAGTACTTGGTTATCAGTTATAAAACTCTAAACAAACGTAAGCCGTTTACATATTTCAGATATCAAAAACACAATTACTTTTTATTTACGTCATTGCTAATAAAAAAATGTTCCTTACCGAGAATCTTCCCCTGAGGATCAAAGGCGATATCTTGAACGGCGTCTGTATGCCCCTTCAGTGTTCTCTCGCATCTACCACTATCATAGTCCCATATCTACAAAAAAGAGCAATCAGTAACCTGCATGAAAATAATTATGTTAATACCTTTATTGTAGCATCTTCGCTAGCAGATACGATGACACTGTAAACAGGATGAAATATAACTCGAGTGATTGGGGCGCGATGACCAGTGAGACTGTAAAGGAATGGTGGTCTCGGGATCCATTCCGCAGGCTGACGTTTCTCCTTTGTTGGCAAGCCACCAGTCATCTCTTTTTCGGCTTCACTAAGTCGATTCTCCAAATCCATTACCTTTTTCTGTAAACGTAAGACGGATATCCATTTTTTCTCTAGGAGTCCTGTGAACTTCTTTTCATTATCTAACTCTTGCTAAAGATTGAAAATAACTCATCAGATTTTCTGATTGTCAATTAGAATCATAGATTTACCATATTCGTTTCTTTTTGAAAAGCTTCCAGACTCTCCAGCAAACCGTTTTCATGAAAATAACTAGCAATAGCTTTATGGCTGCAATTTTATGATTAATCAAATTAACAATCAATAAATGACTATTTATACTTACAGCTCTTCTCTCTGCCTTTGTGACAACCCCATCGTTGAAATATTTGAGGGTCAGCAGCTTATTGCACCCTTTAAAATGACACTTCCGATTTCCGAACTTCCGACAAATAATCGATTCGATAGGAGTAACTTGGACACGGCAAAAATCTAAAACCGGTTATTAAACGGTCACTTATGAGATTGTCTAATTTTATGAATATAGCATTAATTACAATTTCATTTGCTAAATCTATAAAATATATGCTCAAAAATGAATTAAAATTCACAACAACCTTTCTGAACTATTAATTTCGATGAAATGATGACTTTTTCAATTACCGGTTAAATGAGTGACATCTATGTAATTTAGTACACAGTTAAAATTTGGCGGCAAAATCGAATCGACTATACTTAAAGTCAGCTGACGGAACATTCATCAAGAAATTCACTTACAAATCATTATAAGAACATAAGTCTATTACTATATTATTACTTTCATTAACTGACTTTTAGCTTATTATATCTATATTCAATATTAAAGACTTTTTAAATTTCACGTCACACCAGACAATTCCTCTCCGTAGGAGTAGGTAACCTCATAAAATCAAAACTGTTAGTTCTATCAAATATTTTTCCTTACTTAAAATTTTCATAGATATTAACGAATAATAGTAATATTAATGAAACGAGTAATTATGTGCATTATTAGTTAAATAGCTCCCGTATTTACAATCTTTGAAAGCGAATTTTGATTTTATTAGTTATTTTTCTTTAAACAAAAAAACAGTTAATACCAACTTTATTCTTAACGTTCGAAAAAAAAATTTTCAGTTTTAATTTATTTTAAAGCTTTCATCTTATTTATATTAAGTAGATGGTGTAACATACATCTTCATAACAATAAATGAATCGTATACGTATAATTCAGCTTGTTTCGAAATATTGCTAAAAAGCTTATATTATATAAAGATAAGGAATTTAAAAGGAGCTATTATAACTGACCTTAAATCACATCAGTAGTATGAGAAAGAAAGCATTGATATATGGAGCTCGGAGACATTCTTTTATTTTATAAGAAATTGTTTACACTCTTTCTCTTTTCAAAACTATATTTTATTAGCTAAAACACGAAATGTTTTATTAAGACTTTATACTGCTGTAGTTTCCTTTTATTACAATGTAGGCCAAAAATATAGGAATGATAAAGAACAGCAATTGATAGGGTTAAAAAAAGGAAATATCTTTGTTTATAGCATCAGTAATACCAGTATGTTATTACGGATAGTATACAAAAATACCAGTATAATTTTTTCTGATTTATTCATATTCTCGTTTATCTTTTACAACGGTTTTTCATTATTTTTTTTGCACAATGTAATCAACCTATTGAGTTATTTAATATGTTATATAATACGAACTTAAAAAAATACAATACTATTAACATTTTATATTTAAAAAGAGATATATACAATTTTTACACTGTACTATATACAGACACAGACACAGACACACACATATATATATATATATATATATATATATATTAGTATATACTCTAAATATAACTATTATTACTAATCTATAAAATAAAAAATCTATAGTATATATATGTGTTACTTATTATTGATAGCTTGAGTATATGGGTATAAAACATTCTCTAACCGATCGTGCGTAATTTTATAAAATCGATCTCTACATTTTTGTGAGTAAATATCGAAATTTTAGACATAATATATTACCTTTTAATAATAGAAGAATTTTTCGATTTACCTATACGTTCTAGGGTAAGAAAACTTTTATTCAAAGCAACGATATTTTCTATATACTGTAATATAAAAATATTTAAGCAAAAAGAAAACCTCTCTGTTTGCCTGGAGCTATCCTTAACAGGTTGATAAATTGTAAGAATATACACTTATATTTTTAAAGACTATTTGATACTTTTATCATCACTTTTTTTTAAATTTTCTTATTTATTTAGCAATATTATAATTGTGAATGAGAGATAAAATCTTCAGAATTTTTTTATTTAATATAATTTATACAAATATGTTCAATTTAATTCTTATTTATATTCAATTATTACAGTCCTATGTATGTGTTGTATAAATATTAAACAAACCAGCTTTGAACGTCTTATTTGCCATTTCTCATTTGATAGCTCACTTACAAACTTGTTTGTCCTACAGCTTTATTCTTTTACGAACGTATCATTTCGTTTAGAATAATATAATAAAACCGATCTCTGTTTCAAGTATAGAAATCATTTGGTTAAGTATTATATTCTGTCGATAGTAGTATTATGATCAATTACAGTTGCTTGTTTAAATATAGAGCTGTTTTTTTATATAACTCTGTTTGTAGTTGCATTTTCTATGGTCTTTTAAGAGTTCTCACTCTATTAATTAAAGCCTGTTGATGATACTTATTCTTCTGAAACATTCGCTATATTTTACCTGAAGGTGTTTTTATTTTATAAAACTTAAAGCCTATGCTTCATAAATGATTTAAAATGCCAGATTTTCGAGTTTATACTATATGCACGCCTCGCATGTTGTGTTAACCTGTATTCCAATTGTTTATTAAATTAGGGACGTTTCTCGTTGACTAGTGAAGGATGAGAAATTGTTTGTTTATAAAAACAATTCCAAATAAAAATTTTGACTGGTTACAGACCAATACTGGTGTAGAAAAATAGGGTACAGAGAAGAAAAACACCTAGCTATACTCCTTGATAACTCGTTCTTGTTGTTAGATCACATAAAAATCTAGTATTTAAAAGGTCGTGTCCTTTTAAATTTGATGTAGAGTTTAGTACGAGAGATTTCTTTTATATAGGTCGAAAATAGGCCAAACGGAAGGTGAAGCATTTAATTTTTTTAAATAAATTAGCTACCTTTTGTCTAATTTTATTCGATAATCAGTATCATCTTCCATTCGATTGATTTAGAAATAGAATAAACTGATCGCAGTCGTTGATTGATATAGAGCCAACGTATTGCTTTCATTAATCTTCTTCTTCTTCTTTATTTTTCTCTTCTGGAAGAAAACGATAGGAAATCTTATCGCATTGAATGATGTTCTATCTAGTTACGCTTTATCTTCTTATTCCACTGGTAAAAATTGCTATTCCACAATAAATAACATATAAATATATCCTAATATTTTATTCCAAGAAACTTTTCTCCTATCTATTTACTCTGCTTCTATTTAATAGTAGGATTTCAATCAATTGACACCTATTTATTTACAATTCTTAATTCAATTTCAAGAGGTTAGTATAAGAATAAAGTTCATTGGCAGCAGTGGGCTATATAAAAAAGAAAGAAAAAGAAATATCTTCATTCTCTTGCTTTCATTGTAAACTGTACTCTTTTCGTTTCTTTCTCAATTATTTCTTTATTTTCTTAAATTTTGTTCTTTATTCTTTTTTTTTTGAAATGGACAGAAAACGTCCCCGCTTTAAAATTATTTTTTAAGATCCAATAAAACATCTGCTTGTTAATTTTCTCTTTTTTCCGCCTATAGGGAAGCTTTTAGCTTTAATTTTTATAAGGCTAGCGGGAAGAAAGAGAACGCGGTTGCAGGCAGACTCCTTTGATCGTTGTTCTATGTGATGCGGATTCCGTAGCCAGACTAATATCAAATATGGCGATCCCAAAGAGTATAATGAATGTAAAGAACAACTATACACGGCACTTGGCTTGATCTGCATGAAAAGTTGTACTATAAATAATTTATGAATAAGAATGGCAGAACGGTAAGTTTATTTAATGTAAATAAGTGAGAGAAGTTTTAATTTTTTTTGTTGTAATCCAATAGCCTGCAATGGGTCGAAATCATCGAACCTCGAACGCAGGAACGTATGTACGCCAATCTCATAACGGGAGAATGCGTATGGGAACCTCCACCTGGAGCGGATATAAAGAAAACAGACGATAATCAATGGTGGGAACTATTCGATAAGAAAACTTCCCGATTCTATTATTATAACGCAACCAGTCAAAAAACCGTTTGGCACAAGCCTACAAACTGCGATATAATACCATTAGCTAAATTGCAAACCCTGAAAAATAATAGTGATATTCAAGGAAATGGAGTTAACCGATCGAAAGAAATCTCAACACAAACCAATACTGCTTTGTTACCCCAATCGACTTCTCTAAGAATTCTGCACAACACTACTCAGACTTCCCCTCACTACAGGAGACGACAGACTCATAGAAGTTCTACGTCGAGTACAACGTCTAGTCCTACTTCAAGGAGTAGTTTAGATGATTTGGACTCTAGAAGCCGAAGCAGGAAGTCCTCCCACGACAGTCCACATTTAAGATCATACGGTTCCCAAAGATGCGGTCGAGTTACGGATCAGCAAACTTTATATGAGAATACTAATATTCTCGAAGATCCAGTCGGGAGGCGCACTCCTCGCGCGTTCCCGAGAACTAATCCTCGTACAGTTCCTCGTTTACAACATCAAATCTCTATGCCCTCTCCCCCTCGTCATTCTGATTCATCAGATACAACACATGTGGAGGAAAATTCTTCAATTCAAACTGTTCCTCTTCAGGCTGAATATGCTAATGTCAGACGTAAATCAGCCTCGTCTGACATTGAACGAGCCCAACAGTTGTCTGATACATCAACATCCTCTTCGTCTTCCTCGTCATCAACAACCGAACAAGACGAAATGATGACTCCTCCTAATCCTAATTCTCTACCTGCTGTTCATCAATCGCTTCGCCGTAAACCTAACTCTGGTATTTCATCAGTCGTAACTACTCAAGCTCATCAAAGAATTACACTGCCGACACCTACTCTCGAAAAGAGTGTATCGCTACAAAGTGATATGGCGCAGGCTCAAAATCATAGACCATTGTCAATGCTTGTAACGTCGCCAAGCGACGTAGATGGATTACTTTCTAATGATCAACCGGCTAGACCAAATGATATAGAAAAATATGCGGCTGAAAACTTGAACAAACACAAGAAGGGACTTTTAGGTAAAAAGGTCCCCGTATCGAATATGCTGTCGTGGACAAAGGATCCAATTACGAAGCCTATGATTCGGACACAGGATAAGCAAGTAAAAGTAGAGGCTCCCGAACTTTTCAAGATGATTCAACAATATATGGGAGATAGAAAGTTTAGAGGTTCAGACAATGATTCGCTGGACTTGGCGCTGATTGTATGCACCTCTGGTTGGGAAAGGCTATCTTTAAGAGACGAAATTTATATGCAATTATGCAGACAAACTACTGATAATAGTAAAGAAGAAAGTTTAAGAAAAGGCTGGGAATTACTCGCCATTTGCCTTAATTTTTTTCCGCCCTCTAACAAATTTTATATGTCTTTGGAATGTTATGTAGCAAGGCACCTAGATCCTCTGGAGCAAGGAACTATGCCCGCTACTGTTCCAGTAGCTCAGTTAGCTTCGGCGTGTCAGAGGAGGCTGGAGAAAATTCACAATTTCGGCGCTCAGAAAGGCACAATTAAACCAACTATCGATCAAATAGAGCATTCTAGGGTAAGAATGAATTTTTTATAAAGGTTTTAGGAGATTGAAAAGTTAATTGCATTTCTTTAAATTTTTCAGAAATCCTTATATTCTATATCAATGTTTGGATCCGTTTTGGAAGATATCATGTATAAGCAAAAGGATCGCTTTCCTCGCCGTCAGCTACCATGGGTTTTGACTACTCTTGCCGAGTATATACTCCAATTAGGAGGAGCAAAGACAGAGGGAATATTTCGGATAGGTGGAAATATTGATGAATTAAACGCCTTAAAAGTACTCGTTGACAAGTGGCAGGAACCAGTAGAGGCTACTGATCCCCATCTACTTACCAGCTTGCTTAAATTATGGATAAGGGAACTATACGAACCGTTAATTCCCGATTATGTGTATAATCGCTGCTTAGATGCTTTTGCCGATCCAAAGGCAGCTATAAACATTGTTAATGAGTTACCCGAAATCAATCGTCTTGTGCTATCCTATTTGATTAGATTTTTACAGGTTCGTTTATATTCAGTCGAATGGCTATGCTGCTTATTTTATATTTTTAATCGAAATTTTTTTCGCTTATCGACATTTTATTCCCCATTTAGGTGTTCGCAGCTCCAGAGCATGTGGAAGCAACGAAAATGGATGTAAGTAATTTGGCTATGGTTATGGCGCCTAACTGCTTACGCTGCCAAAGTGAGGATCCTCGTGTTATATTCGAAAATACACGTAAAGAAATGTCGTTTATAAGAACTCTTATATTAAATTTAGATACATCTTTTATGACTTCCGTTATTTAGAAATATTTCTCTCTTTGTTTGTTTTTTTTTTGGTTTTTTTTTGTTTTTATTCATATCATGCTTTTAACAAATTTAATTGTACTCAGTACTAAGTTTTCGTACTGAATAATTATTGATTTTTTTTTTAAGTGTCATTTTTTTCACTTTTGTGTGAGATTAATAAATGTAGGAGGAATATTGAAACGACCTTTGACTATATTTAAATAATTTTTTATCAGCTGATTTATCGATAGTGATTAGAGATAATACGTACTAATAGTAGTCAGTTGGTAGAAGTGAACAATTAAAATGACGTTTAAGAACCAATATCTCTCTATAAGTGACGGTTTGTAAATTTTTATTGAATTGTTGAAAAGAGTAATTAAAATTGAGTACTAATTCTTCATAAAGAAAGTGAAGAAGTTGTTAAGAAAGGATGTATGGGTAAAGCTTTTCCGACCGGTTTTAAAGAAGAAATGAAACATACACTCAAACTCGCTATACCAATAATTCTTATTCAGATAAGTCAGATGATTTTAGGACCAATATCACTTATATTTTGTGGTCACTTAAAAGATCCTACAAAGCTCGATGGAGCAGCTTTAGGAATAAGTGTAATAATATTTTTAATACTATGATTTTAAGTACAATCTATGAATTATACAACTTTTAAATGTATTTATCTCCTTTCTCTTTCCTTCTGTTTTTATTATTAATATTCCCAATTGTAGATGATAAACGTTACTGTCGTGTCTGTTGGCACTGGTTTAGGAACGGCATGTGACACATTCTTCTCTCAAACTTTTGGCAGTGAGAATAAAAAACGTTTGGGGATCTATTTGCAAAGAGCATTTATGCTCTTTACGTTATGCTTATTTCCTATTATTGCCGTTCACATTAACTTAACGAGTATACTCTATTTACTTGGTCAAGAACCGGATGTTGCCATTCTAGCTGGAAGATATTTACTTTATTTTATACCAGGCGCAATAGTAAGTAGTATAAATAGAAATTAGTGCATACATAACAACAACTTAAGATTTGATATGAGATCAGATAAACATTCTCTTCTTTGTTTTTTTTGTTTTTCTCATGTAGTGCTTCTTTTGGTATTTGGTATTAGCTAAATATTTAACAAGTCAGAATATTATTCTACCAAACGTTATTATTGGTTTGTTTGTGAATGCGGCAAATGCTATAATGCACTATGTATTTTTATATAAACTTGATTGGGGAACCGAGTAAATATCTTATTTATATATATAAATTATCTTTAGAAGTAAATTATTGCTGTTTTATAGCGGATCTGCAATATCGCAATCCGTTTCTTATTTCCTCTTCTTCGTGCTCACATTCTCCTTCATTCTACTCTCCGGTATCTATAAACCTACATGGGATGGTTTCACAATCGAAGCATGGTTTCATTGGGGAGAATTTGCAAAATTGATGATTCCTGGAATGTTAATGATGTGCTTGGAATGGTGGGCTTTCGAAATAGGAATATTTTTAACGGGTTTATTGGGAAAAGCTGATCTGGGCGCTCAATCGGTTGTACTAAATATTGACTCATTATGGTTTCAATTACCTTTGGGCTTACAAATCGCATGTTCCATACGAGTTGGTCAATATCTTGGAGCAGGTAAAGCCCTAAATGCAAAAACTACTGGCAGAGTTGCAATGACTATAGTCGGTTTGTAGACAATTTTTTGTATTATCTTTAAATATAATGATAAAATTGATTAAATTTCAAACAAAAATAAAATATCTCTATTTAAACAGTTTTTGCCTCAATTTTAATGGCCATAGTCTTCGTGGCTGCCCGTTTTAAATTGCCGTACATTTTTACAAATGTGGAGTAAGTTTGATCATTAAATTCTTTAAATATAATATTGAAAAGAGTACATTCAAAACAGAGAGGTTGCTAAGATGGTTGGTCAACTTTTACCGATTGTTGCGTTATACATGTTTTTTGATGGAATGGCGGTGAGTTATAGAATTTTTAGTAATGTAATCTATCGCCTTACCTGCCTTTCTTTCTAATTTTAAGACGGTTTGTAAAGGAGTTTTATACGGTACTGGGCGTCAGATTATCGGAGCTATTATGCTGTTTTGTAACTACTATCTTTTTAGTTTACCTCTGGGTATACCTCTTATGTTTTTAACGAAATTAAGGGGAGCTGGATATTGGTGGTCTCTTGCCGCTAACTTAATTGTACAATCAACAATCCTTTTTGGCATTATTCAATGTACTAATTGGGAGAAACAAGTTGAACTTGCATTGATTCGAGCTGGTATTACAAAGCCTCTTGAGGATATTGACGAAGAGAGTCAACCGCTATTGGAGAAGCAAAGAAGAACTTCTCTTCCAGCACCATCAGGCAGAGGAGTTCTCTCATCTGTTTCGATAAGAGGTAGAACTGATTCAGAAATTACCAACGGTGTACGTTGGATGGAGATTGTCTTCTATAGGACAATTACTGCACTTATATTAATATTTTTCTTAGCTGCTGGAATTTTTGTTCGAATCACAATCAATCAACCACAATGGCCCACTCCAATAAATAGTACAGTTAGTTACAACACTAGTCAAACTATGCCAGTAGTTACTACTTTAATTACTTCTACGATTTAAAAAACAAGTAAATATATTTAACAAAGTTAGAAAATGAAGAATTATAAATAGAAAATTTTTAGTTTGTTTAGCGTTTTCTTTGCTTCTTAGTTTTTCCTTTTTGTTTTTCAGTTTCTGTAGCTTTTCGTTTTTTTGGTTTTATTCTAAAATCATAATAGACATAATATTTCAGTCATAATGATAATGAATAATCAGGTAAAAATATAATACAAACTTTTTCTTTTGTTGAACTTGTATACTTGCTTGTGGTTCTTGAATCTTCTCTCGTCGCGGAGCGGATTTAGATATTTTCCTTTTGTCCTGTCTAGAAGCTTTCTTCAACTCTAGTAAATATTGCGAAACTTCACATCCAGACTCCTTCATTACTGTTGCTATTCTGTAATATGAACAAGGTTAATTATAAAATGGGAGATAAAATTTAAAAAATTTACGTTCGTAATAGGGTACGGTCAGAGTCGGTAAAAAATGTAATAGCTTCTCCGGTTCGTCCCGCTCGACCGGTCCTACCGATTCGATGAATATAAGATAAAGCAGATTGAGGAAAATCGTAGTTGATGATTAATTTAATGCAATCAACATCAATTCCCCTCGCCATCAAGTCAGTGCAAATTAGTGCAGCTAGTTTTCTTTCTTTAAGCAAATCCAAAGCTAAAGCCCTTGATTTCTGCGTCATACCGCCATGCATTACCCCAACAGGAACACCCTTATGTATCATTAAACGCTGCCATAGCTCCTTAGATCTTTTCTGAGACTGAACAAATATCAAAGTCGGCTTATCAACAATATTTGACAATAAGTCTCTAATAGCCAAAACTTTACCATCTTCATTACCACAATATTTAAGAGTTTGTTTTACACTAGTCACGGCAGTATTTTTAGCTCCTACCCTTACATTTACAACATCTTTAAATTCCTGCATAGCCCACTGATAAACTAATTCTGTTAGCGTAGCGCTGAACATAGCTCGTCTCAAATGGCTATTCTTATTATCAGCTTGTCCGCAGTAATCCAATACAGATTTTATTTGCTGTCTAAAGCCTACCCTCTCGGCATTTATACCTTCCTCCATCAATCTGTCGCTTTCATCCAAAATAATCCATTCGACGTGCGATAGGTTGATTTTATGTTTTGAAGACTTCAATAATTCTAATAGTTTATTAGGAGTTGCTACCAATAAATCAGCGCGAGTCTTCGAAGATTCTCCGTAATCATCTAGTGATGTACACTCAATTTCCAAGTTCACTGTTAACTTAAGTGCTTCCTTATATGTCTATTTTAACAAAAGTTACATAAATAAATATTGATATTAGAGTAAATGACTGTTACATTACTTGTTGAGCCAATTCTTTAGTTGGAGCTAGTACCAAGCATCTAACTAAACAGCCTTTTATTTTTTCTGTTTTGGAACTTTGTTTATTTTTCCATTTGGGTGACGTTGTTAGTATATAGTGAATTAACGGTATAATGAAGGCCATAGTTTTTCCAGATCCAGTGGGAGCACAAGCTAGAACTTCATGTCTCTACAAAAAAAAATCATTTAATAAAGTCATAATAAAGATTAAAAAATATTCAATCACTTCAATCATGGCCGGAATTGCTTGCATTTGAACAGGAGTAGGCAATTCATAACCACTCTTCAAAATATTTTCTAATAAATTATAATTTATTTTATATTGCTTTTGTAGATCATTCCAATTTTGAATTGGTTCTGGAACAACTTCTCCACCAATAGTAATTCCGTGATTTTTGCGGAATAAATTAATCTAGTGAGGATAACGGTAATTTAAAACGGCAATAACGAAAAAAAGAAAGATTACATTATCTTGTCTTTGAGCTAGTAATTTTGAAAAAGACATTTTTGTTTTACTTGAATTTGTCTTCTTTTTTTCTTTATTTCCATTTTGAATAGCGGATTTCATATTCTTTAAAATTGTTATGCTATCTTCTTCATCTTCGCTTTCGCTAGTACTTTCTGACCCATCATTTTTTAGGAGTTCATATGGTAAATCTATTTAATAAATAATTTTAACTTTTAGTTAATACAAATTTTTAACGTCATTAACCTTCATCGAATGCTGTCCATCGTTTTCTCTGCTTTGCTAAAAGTTTGCCATAAGTTTTTTCTTTTTTTGTGATTGTGTTTGCTTGATTCGATTGGAATTGAATCTGAAGATCAATAATACTAGTTTGGCATACAAATTTAAATTTTTTATATTACCTCCACTTCTTCAGGTTGGTTTATATCGATTGGAGAAATATTTAGACCAATTGTTAATTTATCTAAGGGATTAATAGCCTTTTCTTTCTTCAATTCAGCGGAAAGCATGTTTAACTTTTTTGCCAAAATTCGTCTGCAACCTATCTACCAGTTTTCATTCACTCATATCCGGTGAACTCCAAGTGCCAGACGCGGGACTCAACTTATCAAGTAAGTTTGATTATTTGCTTAATTAATGTGTGTTAATTATCAACAAGTCAATAAAGTAACTTGTAATAGCTTTTTATAATCTTATTTGTAAGAAAAGTTTACAAATTTTAATTTATTTAGCTAACTTTGCTGGAAAGTATAAGAATTAAAGTTCTTTTTATAAATTCCAAAAAAAGAATGTTGTTTTCTAAAACATTTCCCTATAAAAACTTAAAATGATACTATGTTATTACTCTTTACAATTAATATTTGTTTCTTTTTCGTTTAAAATGTTACTTTTGAGGCATTTTTGTAACAATTTCGTAAAAATCTGTCACGTGATATTCCACAATCATTCTTGAGTACTTTCAATGTCCCACGCAATTTTGAGCTCCGGCACTTCTGCGAATTTTCTTGGTGAAGCCGGTTCTCTTCTCTTGTTCAGGTATTTTACGTTAGTTTTTCTTATTTCTTACTCATTTTTTAAAAGTTTTAACTTATCTATTACTAATTTAAGTAATTAGTAAGCAAATTTGAATTTAATATTGAGGAATTAACAAGAAATTTCTGAGATATTTAAGAAGAACATTAAAAGAATTAATAAATTCGGAGAATGAAACTTGCATTTATATTGAAAAGTCTTCAGAATTATATGTATTTCTAAAACCAGCTTATCCTTTTTTGCAATTATATTTTAAATACTGAAATTTTTTCATGTTAAAAAAAAAAGACACGTGTATAATTTTTTTGTAAGTGTTTTGGAACATTTTAGCTAGTGTCACATCGAAAAAATCTCTGCAATTCTCTGTAAATAAAAATTTATTTTATGTAATTTGTATGTTTAATAATTTATAATTAATAGAATATTTAGCATTATTTTTGTGAGCAAAATTTTCGAGGCAATTTAAATGTTAGAATGTGCATACTTTCGGTCAGCTCATTAAACTAAAGTATCTCCAGGATTTTCCTTAAGAATTCTGTTTAGAAATGATATTTGACTTTGAAAAATGCTTTAAATAATGACCACGTGTATATTTGTTCTAAAGTAATCACGTGAAAATATTTTAGAACCTTTTTAGGGGGCGAATTTTATCATTAATTATTATATCTCAAATGTCGTTTTTTTCAGCGTGCGTTACAACTACTCAAACTGAGTAGTGTTAAGACCTGGACTTGAAAACTACTCGTCTTTTTATTAGATTATAAAAGTTCTAAACAACCTCAAATCTTTAGTCATTCTAACTTTCTCGAAGGAAGAGCACGTGGTATTTTATCCAATTAGAATAACCGTAGTTTTGTCTTTAATATAAATATGACGGTAAGGACGGAAAGTTGTGATTTACTAGATTTGTCAACAAGTGTTGATTGTTTACATAGGAAGTCGAAGAAAGAATAGCGCCAACACCCCCTGCTGTTATCATCAGCACCCCTAATGAACAAGAAGAAAGCAACGAGGAAAAACTGTGCAATCTGATAGAGTCATTGGAAATAAGTTCAAATGGTCAGAAAAATGGTAATCGTGGCGAAAAATTCGGTCTATGATCGATCGATTTAAGAGTACATTGTTATCGTTTTGCTTTTTATTTGCAGCCTCAAAAAAAGAATCTCTAACGGAAGAAGAGCTACGTTTAAAACTCGTTGTTGATTCTATAAACAAAGAAAATTTAAAAGAAGGTAAGTGATTTATTTTCTCAACAAAAATTTTTTCAGATTGAAAATCTTTCAGAAAACATAAAAGAAATAGAAGTAACTAAGGAGGAAGATAGGCCGACTTCAAAAAGCTCCTCTGAAGTTGAGGATTGTTCGACAGAGACAACCCCAAGAAAGGGTAGACCAATTTACGGACGCGGTTCCTCATCTGATACAATTCCTGAAGAGATAGCCGTGTCAGATTTAAAGTATATATTTTAAAGCATAAGATTCTAAACAATAGTTGAAACTATTCCTTTAAATTCGTAGTGGTCCACCAAAGCCACCACCTGTTAACGTAGATCCACCGAAGTCGGGCGATCGAAGAAATTCAAATGATAAAAGATTTTCTCCGGAATCCGAGTCGGGTATAAGTAGCTCAAGTGAAGGCAGTGAATCTATTGCTCTGAGAAAGTTCATGACACAACTGAATTTGATGAAAGATCCACGTACAATGGGACTGACACGCCCACCACCATTGACTTCTGAGCAACAACTATTATTAGCTCATCAGGCATTTGCCCAGGCTCATCCGCACTTGGCTGCACTATCACCAGGTCCTAATCCGTATGCAGCTCATCTTCCATCTGCTCTTTTCCAGGGTCCCGCTACACCTTCCCCAACATCACCTCATTCACCTTCTTTTAATGTGAACGTTATGAAACAAATGCTCGGTATTCAGACCGAGAATGGTAAAATATTTTCACCGAAGGACGACAAGATTCCCTTATCGATTAATCAATTGATTAACCCATCCCCAACAACAACAGATTCCTATTCAATTGAAAAAGCAGCAAAAATGTATCGAAGTGCTGCAAATGTTATGGAACCAACTTGTACTTGGAGTGGTCATTTACCTCCTAAATCTCATAAGAATCCTATTTACAGTTGTAAAGTCTTTCTAGGCGGTGTCCCATGGGATATAACTGAAGAAAATTTATATGCAACTTTTAAGAATTACGGAAATATGAAGATTGAGTGGCCAACCACCAAAGACGGTGCTACCGGAATTCAAACTCGTAGTGCTAAAGCTGGATATGTATATATTCTCTTCGAAAACGAAAAATCTGTTCACGCATTGTTAACTTCAAGTGCACAAGATTATTCACAAGGAGAATATTATATAAGAATTTCTTCGAGGAGAATGAGATCCAAGGAAGTTCAAATAATACCCTGGGTTTTGTCTGATTCAAATCATGTTAAGCAACCATCTCAAAGATTAGATCCAAGTAAGACGGTTTTTGTTGGCGCTCTTCATGGAATGATTAATGCTGAAGGTAAATTGTCATTTTTAAATAATTTACAAATAATTTAATTTATTTTCTTTTATATTATCACATGTTAAAATCAATTTTGAATTCTTTTTAGGTCTAGCCCATGTAATGAACGACCTATTTGGTAACGTTGTTTACACGGGAATAGACACTGACAAACATAAATATCCAATTGGATCGGGAAGAGTTACTTTCGGAACTATGAAGTCGTATTTGAAGGCAGTTACTGCTGCATTTGTTGAAATTAAGACGACGAAATTTACCAAAAAGGTTCAAATTGATCCATACTTAGAGGACTCTCTCTGTACAATTTGTACCATACAATCCGGTCCATACTTTTGCCGTGATTTGTCTTGTTTTAGATACTTTTGTCGCAACTGCTGGCAATGGCAGCATGCTTTAGATGCTTTTAGATCTCACAAACCGTTGATGAGAAATTCCCGAAATTATCCTAGCAACGTTATTCTTTCTAACTCACCAGCTGTTTTTCATTGAGTGTATTAACCTTAGCACTTTTGTTTATGACCTTCTGTTTCATCGAATGATCATTTACCGTGCGTTCTTAATTTTGTTTTAAATGGTGAGGGTTGCGCATAATGCGCATGTTTTTCCACTTACTAGATATTATATGATAATGATGTTATCAACTAAACTTTATCCATTATGAACGGTCGCGTTTAAGAATGACAATCGAAAGTTATAAGCAACGTCTAAAAGATGTGCCATTACTTTTCGTCAGGTCAACGTTATTTTATTTTATTTTTAGCCGGAGCTGTTGACACTGAATTGTTTTTTCAAGTTCAATTTTATTTTGCCTTGTAAGATCCATGCTATAAACATTATTTATCAGTCAAATTTTAAACTTGAGTGTACTGTTCGAAAAAAAGTGATTTGCATGTCTTATTTTGTTCATTGTATATCTATTACATGCTAGTAATTGACGTTGAACAATAAATCTTTACGAAAACAGGTAAAGCACAATTTTTTCTTTTTTTTGCACAATAACAGCAGTTTATGAACAAGTTAGCAAAATGTTATTTTATAAAATCACATTTTTCTTCGTCCATCTTTTCATTGCATGCTTTGTCTCCTTGCTGCTACTGTAAAAGGCAATTTTAATTAATTGAATAGTATAGCTTTTTCTAGCATTGGAAATGGTTAATGTTCTAAAAAAAATTAGCGGTTAAGCTTAAAAGCATCATTATTAGTTAATTGATTTTAAGCAAGAAACAGCCGTAAGATGAGGATAGTTAACCTCATTTATATTTTGAATCTCCTCGTCTCGATCATCCAAATGTTCACCTTCCAATAAACCTTCATCTATTGATGGCCTTTTAGTGGCACTATATTTTCTAACTGAACGTAAGTTTTACATTAATATTCACTAAAATATTTTTAGATAAAAAGAAAACGCTTTGGTTGTATATTCTGAACTCGGATAATTAATTTTAAATGGTTACTAGACTCCCATATACTTACTTTTCTCCTTAACCCTCTGTCTTCTCATTTTAAATTCTTTTTGCAGTTCGTCCTCTTGGTCTACATAAGAGAAAATTTTTTAAATTATCAATTTATAAGATGCAAATCTATTCAAGTCTAGATTACCTTCAGTCTTTGATTTTTCCATAATTTGTGGCTTACTGACGCGCCTTTTAGCTAATTCCTTTAACCATTGGGGTTTCTCTGTTGTATTTTCCTTTACTTCCGATTTGAAAACGGGTTGGTTACTTCCATTGGCACTTGTATCAGTTGTGTCCGTAATAATCGCAGATTTTCGATCAGCCACCTCTTTAGCCTTTTGCATCCAAGCTGGTTGTTCATCTTTTCTAGACACAGGTTTAGGTGCAACAACAGGACGCGGCCTCAAAGAAGATTGCCAAGCTGGAACGCTAGAATTTGCCTCCTCTTGAGAAACATTCCTTAAAACGGGCTTCGGTCGACGAGGTGCTGGGACTGGTTTCTAAAAAAAATTTGATAGAGTCAACTATTAAGGGCTCTCAAAAAACTTGTTATAAGCTTACTGAAGAAGGTAATGGGGATCCAGAATGATTGTCGTTTGTGTTATTTTTCTTGATTATTTTTTCGATGTCGTCTGTTTTTATGAAGGTTTGTTTATCTTCATTGTTCTTACTTGTCTCCTGCTCCTCGACTGCTTCGGCTTTTGTTACCTTCTCTTTTACAGCTGATGCAATAGTAGCCGACATAGACATGGGCATGATTGGTACTCCAAATTTCGTTGCTTTCAACTTCGGCGGGGTATCATCTTTGGGTTTTGGGGGTATGTACGGTATTGGAACGGCTCCTGGTGGCAGTTTAGGCTTCTGTTTCTTAACGGGTTCACTATCATGGCCATTAGCTTTGATATCGTTTTCGGTTTTGGGAAGCTTATCATTTAAATTTATATCAACAGTGCTAAAAACGGTACCCGTTGCAACAGAGGCACGGGTAGGTTTTTTCCTTCCAGGTAACCTCAATGAAGCTCTGGCCTTTTCAGCCGTTAAATTCAATAATGGGGAAGTAATCTTAAGCAAAAGAAAAAAAAGCTTTAATATCTTGCTAAGAGAAGAAACAAAATACTGACTTTTATATCATCAATGGAAGAGTCTCCTTGCTTGGAAGACTGAAAAAGGAAAGAATTATTATACAAGAGGAGAATGATACTTCAAATTCACAGCAAAAAAAGGAAGGAAAAGCGTATTTTTTTAATTTATTTTTAGTAGGAATAAATGAAATTCTTACTGCATTATATCATTCACACCTAGTATTATTAGTAATGATTCTAGTTCTATAGAAAAGATAAGGCACACCGCCCTACCGGAACATCATTGCTGCTTCGATTTGTATAAAGATAAAGAGAGTTTTGGCAGTTTTAAAAAAAGACAGAAATAAAGATATACTATATATAAATAGATAGATATATAGATAGATAGATAGATAAAGAAAGGATAACAAACCTCCACAGTAGAATTGAGGCAAGACGAAGTTTCAAGGCTACCGTTGTGAGAATCATCATCACGACTACTGGTTAGTTCGTGATCATTCTTTTCTTGGCTGACGTCGCTCTGATAAAGAGAAAAGTGAGTGAGAAAAGAATTTATTTCGGTATTAACGATTGATTGTTATATGATCGTTGCAAATTCCTTACATTTGATAACTCTGAACACTTATCTTCACTTAAACTGGTTTCCATGGGAACAACATTTTCTCCTTTACAATCCGGTTTATCCAATAGATTGGACATTTCGTTTTGTTGTGTTTCATCAATTGCTAATTGTTCGCTCTCTTCTTCTTTGTTTAGTTTGCAATCTTCTCTTTCTTTTGTTAGTTCTTCTTTTTCTATATCTTCGTTAATTTCTTGTTTTCTTTCCTGTTCTTTCTCTAGTTTTAGCCCATTTTCATGAACTTTGTCTCCTTGTTTACCATTTACAACCGTATCTCTTAACTTTAATGAGGAAGAAAGAGAAGAGAGAATAAATAAAAAATATTGGTGTATAAAGATGCTAATTATAAAAAGAAAATATAACGAGGTCATCTAATTATTCAAGCTAAAAAAAACAGGATAAAGCTTAATCAAGGGATAATTGGGTTAAACCTTGTTATCCTCTGCATTAGCGTCACTTTCGTCATCATCGGTTTTAACTGCCGAACTGTCATTATCTTCCACTATATCTTCATCATCAAAATCGTGCTGTCTGTCGTCATCTTGAGCATTCTGGTTATCTGACAATCCTTGAACGCGTATGGAAGGTGTTTCAGAATCATCAATTGTGGCAACCGTCGATGCATCAATTATTTCCTCTTTTTCAACATCTTTTTCCTCTAAATCGTGTATAACTCTTGACATAGTTTCAACATCTTCCGGAATAAATTTCTGTTCACTTTTCTGATATTCTTTTATTTCAAACTTGTGTTCCTCCTCCTCTGAGAATACTTCTTCATCGGCCAATGGTGGTGGTCCACTACGATATGGTGACGGTTCCTCTTCCTCATCAACAGATGGGATATTCATCGGTGAAAATCCCTTAGACAGGGAAGGTGGACGATTATCGTCCAATGGTGGAGGAGATGAGGGCGGTATCGGAGGAGGTTGAGATGGTAAAGCAGGAGGAGAAATATCACCTATATTCTGTTAAATATTTAAAAATATATCAAAATTGTAAACAAAGACAATTTTGATAAAAAGCAATTACGGAGAAGAAGGAAAAAAAGATAACACTCATAATCAGACAAAATCAGTTAATAAAGACTTCATTACACTGTTTCAAGGTTACCTGCTTAGCAAGTTTTTTAATGACGTTTTCTTCATCCTCTTCATCCGAACTCCTCTTGGGAATATGTCTCGCTTCTAATTGGCGAATAGTTTCCTATAAAATATTAAAAATTGATTTTTTTTAAAAAAAAAATATAAAAAACAAGCCCCATAAAAAAAATATCAATAAAATTGAAAATTAATCATATTTAATTGAAAAATATGAAAACAAAATTGAATAAATAATTAGCCGAACGAAAAATTAACAAGTTCTCAAAAGCCTTACGGATGAAGCAAAGCATTTTATATACTATATATAAAGTATATATAGTATAAGTGTGTTCATTTCGAAATTATGTAGAAAAGGAAATATAATTATATTTAAAGAACCTTATCTTCATCGCTGATTGTGTTGAAGCTACAACTCGAACTTCTAATGACATTTATAGCATCTTCGTTTCCGGATGCCGAACGGAACAAAAACTAAAGAAATTTAGTAATAATTTCTTCTTCAATATATTATGATATAATTTCGTTTGTTTGTTTTTGTTATATATTAATATGTATATATATATATGAATAAAACGACAGTAAAATATTTATAGTTGGTATATTATAAGTAGAGAGAGAGAAAGAAAGAAAGAGAGAGTGAGAGAGCAACGGAGAAAAGTCGAAAAAAAAAATTTATCATACCTTTCCTTTCTTTTCATCTGGAAAGAAAGAATTAATACAAATAAATATATGAAATATTAACTGAGAGCATATATTCGTAATTTATTATTTTTTCTATATTTACCCATGATTTATTCGATTTTCGGATTTCACTATGTTCATAGATTCGCTAGTAGCTGCTTTTTAACTGAAAATCAATATATTTCTTATAACATAATATAGTATATAATAAATGCAATTTATATATAGACATATATTTATTTATTATGAACAGAAATTGTCGTAAAGGAAGTATTTTATAAGTTCAAGGATATACTCTTACTATATTGTTCAATATATTTGTTGCATTTACGGGGAGAGAGGCTCTAAGCTGAAGTGGTAGCGATTACCAACTTAGCCCTATATGGTACTAAAAAGGACAATGATGAAAGTTCTTTCCTATGACTAATCGCCTTAGGATTCCAATCTAAAAAGCTCGTTAAATAAATTCTAAAAAAGGCACCGGAGAGTTGTCTGATTATTAGAAGAGAGAAAGAGGAGAGTATAAGGTGTTAATCTATATTATTTTTTTTTTTCGCTGCACAATGATATTCAAATATAAACCGTCATACAACTATTTTTACACGAAAACATAGATTCCTATTGATTTTTATTCCCCTCTCATAAATAAATAAAGTACCTGAAAAAATTGAATTTATGAATTAAATAAGTTACGAAATTTTAACAAAAATACAACAATCCTTTATGGATATTGCGTTTTTTTTTAATTGCTATAATTGTTTAATCAGGTGAATTGCATTTTATATATTTTTATCGTTTTATGCTCAAGTTATGTAAATGTTAGAACGTAATGGAATCAAATTAAGGAAAATGTAACAATAACACCATTCTTTATCCAGTAATACGATAAGGACTTTGATATTTTCAACTCAAAACAAAGAATACTCGGCCATAGTTGTAAGGTAAATAATCACTGTCAATCATTCTACGATTATAATCGCTCGTAGTTAATTTATTATTGGTCTAACCGTAAATCTACTTGATGAAAGAATGCTGATTGTTAATAATATTTTAGATCATTGATGTAATTATGGTATGTAAACACCTTCATTAGACCTCCAATATTATTCACTTGTTGGTTATCATAAATAAAATGTAGTTTTTTTAGTATTTTAAGTTTTATACTAGTTAAATTCTGCAAATTTCTCAAGTAATTTGAGGAAATAAATTGAAAAAAACAACAACAAAATATAGCCTAACTAAGAGGTAGAAGAATATAGGTAAATTTTCTTATGCATCGTATGTAAAATTAATCCATTCGTGGAAATTAATCAACATTTCATTTTATAAATTAAAAATATAACTTACCGACAATTGATGAATAATTTTGAAATGTAAGTTAATGCCTGGAATATTTAATCGAAAACAACACCTACTCCAGAATCTATGAAAAAAACTTGTCTGCTATTGTATAAAAAGTGTCGAAGCGCATTTTCGTATCTAATGATAATCTATCGTTAAATTTTTGACATTTCTATACCTATACACGTGAAAAATATCCTAAAGATTGGAAATGTTTATTTATTATTGTTTTTATAAATATTACGAATATAATAATGTTTCAGCGCTCAAAATTTAAAAGCTGTACCTACGAATGACGCATATTCTTTATAGATGTAATAATAATCCAATTGGTTGGGTAGATTGGTCATAAAAAAGTGTTAGATATATCAATAAATTATCGCGTTTAAATATCCTTAACTGATAAGAAACAGATTAAGACAATTCTCCAGACGAAAAGAGATAGTGTATAGTATCAAGAGAGCAAAAAAGAGAAAGGGAAATCCGCGTCATCTATACCAATAGGTTTCATATTAGATAACACAATAAAACCATTCTTCTCTTTAAAAATTTAGTATTTATTATAGATATTATAATATTAATATGGCCTATTTTATTATGAACTTGATAACGTACAAAATTTTTTATAAGTAAACAAATGCATAAAAAAAAGTTTGTCAATATATTGTATATTATATTATATTAAACACGTAAACATAAGTAAATTGTATAAACTATCTTGATAATCCTAAGTTCTATTAATCCTCCAATTTAAAAAAAAAAAGATGAACATAACCATTTGAATGTCTGCAGATCAATTCAGTTGAGCAGAAAATAGCATTTCAATATCTTCTTCTGGTGTATATGGAGAGTGCTTGCATGTGTGAGTATGTGTGTATGTGTGTGTTTGTATTGCGTTTGTCTGTATATATGTGTTTATTAATATATTGTAGCATCTCAAGAATTTTTGAAAAACCATTCTTTTTCCTTAATATGTTGAAAGTACTGTTAGAAAGAATAATACAAAAGAGATTAACAATTGATCAACTGACAGAGAGAGAGAGAGAGAATTAAAACTCACTTTAGGCGTAAATGATTTTGAAGTATCTTTGGCTCTCTGTGAATTTTCCAACTAAAATAAGTAAAAAAAAATATCAATCTCAGTTATAAATGGAACAAGATGGTATCGTTTAAATTATTCTCTAAGCTAACCTTTGTCTTTAGCTTATTCGCCTGAACAAAATCATTCTTTCTTAAACTCTGAGTGATATCTCTCCACACTTTTCTCGATTCTTTGTCATTTTGGCTCTCTATTGGTCGAACACGCTTTTTAAAGGTGGAAATTTCTTTGAGATCCAATATATATTCTTTATTGTCACCGTCTAATTTTACAAATTTTATACTATTTTTCCATTCTCCATTGATTTTCATAATAACATTCGAATTTTCCGGCTCACGTATTTCTCCATTAACAAAATGGACTCTTTCCTCTGCCTGATTTCGAGTGGAAAATTCCAGTGTCGCATTATATCCTGATTTAGGACATTTAATTGATACTTTGTCACCCAGTTCAATCAGTGGATTTGTAAGTAGCGATTTAACATAAATGCTAGGATATGTCAACAAATATTCTTCATCAAATTCATCCAATCTTATCTTAACTGTAAAAGAATAAACAAAAGCAAAATTCTGTGTATTCCCATCTAAGATATAGATTTTATAAAAAGAATTATCATCTTACTATTTCCAACTAATGATATTCCTACACTCATTCCGTGAAACGATATTTTTGTCCAAACAGATGAATTCAACGAAATACGCTTTTGTTTACTTTCCATAAAAAAGGCGCTAATTGGTGGGTGATGAGACACTTGTTCGGCGGTAAACGATAAAGTTGTATTGTCAACCGACCATTGACAATGAAAATTTTCACCAATAATCGGATTATAAGGTTTGTTTATTTTTCCATTTTTAATAGCACCCTTGAAAGTTGTTAAATACCATTTAACTACAGCTTCCATACGATCTCTAGCTGTTTTCTCATCAGCGATACTATAAATTACAATTATGGTTATATAAATAAACGTCTAGTTAAAATAGATAATGTATTTATATATATATTTCTTAGTATATGTTACAATAACGTAAAAATATTACCCTAAAAACAGTTGAGGATTAGAATTACAATCGGCAAACATCTCTAGAAGGGATTTTTTGTCAAGTATATAAGCTGGTAGGGTTACTTTAGTAAGATCTGCACCAAGCTTTAGCTTAGATAGAATATCAACAGGAACGGGACAAGAGCTCTCCGATCCCCTTTCAATATTCTCATCCTCTTCGCTATCGTCTTCAATTTCCTCTATATAAAATATATTAGATGATATAAAATATTTATATGTTGAGAGAGAGATGAGGGAGAAACGTACGAAAATCGGCTGGTTCCATTAATAGTAAACTATCTGTACTTTGATCATCTCCCCTATTTTTAATTTTTTAAAATTATTATTATTGTTATTATTATTATCTTTTCAACTTACTCCTGATTGGAATTAAGTGGATAGTACCATTTCGTTTGTCTTGAAGGCTGCCCCGCATTTCTTAGCAATTCATCCTGTATTATATATAGTAAAACATAAAACAAAGAAAACTATGCTTAAGTAAATATATTAGTATATATATAAATATATATACCTTATAATCAACAAGGGACATAAAACAGTCCTCTAAACATTTAACGTTAGCTGAACTTATAGCTTTCAAATTAAGTAGATCCTGCAGTCAACAATAGGATATTGTGAATATTAGTAATAAAGATAAGTAATAGATATATTTGAGTATTATTACCTTATCAAACATAGATAATCCATAGATTGAAGGTGAAAACTGCAACAAACACGTAAAAGCGTAAAAAAAAATTGATAAAATAATAGAAATTATAAATTCTATTTACGTCAGTCGCCTTAATTAAGGCCTTATTCAACAGATTAACATTATTGAGCATATCCTTAGCCGATTTAAAACTTTCCACCATGTTTAAAGTTGAAATAGAAGTCGTACAATCATTAATATTTGCCGGTTCTCTATATTGAAAGAAAACAAAAGAAAAAAATGAATAAGCTTATGCAAATTTTAATTGGTAAAACTATAATAGAAATAATTTGGAAATAGTAAACAAAAATTCAAAAAATTAATTAACGAGAAAGGAGAAGAAGAAGAAGAAGAAGAAGGAGAGAAAAGAATATGTAAATCTATTTAAAGTTTTAGCAATTATTCTATTAATCTAAATTATACGAGGTGATAAACTTACACTGGGGGTGTTGCTATAGTATCAGAATCTTCTGTTTCGATTTCGCTTCGAAGTGTCTTTTTCCTTTAATTATTTAGTGATTGAAAAAAAAAACGGAACAACATTTAACTAAAAAAAAAACAAAATAAAAGAAAAAATTATTGACAAACAAAAAGTATGGAAAATTTTAACGTTTTCTCATACAATATATTAATAATTTTGTTTGTTTTGTTTTTGTGTCTAAAATTACAAATTATCAATAAACACAGATACACGAAAGAAAGCTAGGAATATCTTTTACAAATACCATGCAATATAAATGCATAAGAGTGCTTTTATTCTTCTTTATATAACTTACTATTAATATATCTATATATATATACTTTATATATATAATTTTTTCCCCTCACCTCGTTAACGTGTTTGTCGACTCGGAATCGGAGGAATTTTTTATTTCGTCTGATAGACTAAGTAGACAAGGCGTAGAATTGGACTTTTGTTCGGCTTTTGCCGCTTCATTCCACAATGCATTCTCGGTGGTTAGCTTTTTTTTTTAATTATTTTTTACTAGATTAAATAAAAAATGTTTCTTTTTATTACTTACGTTATTCTTTCGATAGATCTCATTATGATATTCAACAGTAGCTCGAAGTCTATCGATCCAGCATTGTCGTTCTTTTGTATCAATGGCTGAAAAATTGAATATTTATATTCGAGATCTGTGATTAATAATCTATCATCGCCAACCTTTCAGTTGAAACGATACTCCATTAGATGCATTCACATGAAAAGTTTGATAATCTTCCTCCGATGGATATACAACGGCGTTCTAAATGTATTTTACAAAGGAAATTAGTTCTCATATAAATTCTTGCAATTCTATTTAAATTACTGTTAAGTTAATTGATCCGCGTGGTCTTTGAGTAGTTTTATGCTCTTCTTTCTAAATGTTAACATTAATATTGCAATTAAGTAAATGGTTTCGTTAGTTATCTTAAACTATACCTCGAAGTAAGATAAACGCCCAGGAGTAGGTTCCAAAACGAAATATCGATATTGCCAACCTTTCATCATATTTGTATATTTAGACAACTGTCCTTGAAGTGGTTGTCTATATCGATATATTTGATTTTAAATTGAAAATATGTCACAAAAATTTAGTTTTAATACCTTAGTGAATGCTTTTCTTCCTGATGAAGAAAGACCTAAAAAAGTTGAGTTGGAATTAAAGTTTCGGTTGAAAATTGGAATGATTTTGTTTAAATTACGCAAATAGCTGATAAAGGATTTAGAATTAAGACAAACTTGGGCTCGTTTGAGTACATCTAAGACTTTCAGCCTTTCTTCCTCAGATAATTCGGACATGTCAGGAGAAAACTGACTATTACCATCCGTAGAGGACGCCATTCCAACCAATCACAGAAAACTGTGAGATACTACTACGAATCTTTCGTTTAAACGTTACTCAACCAGCTACAAGGGGGGAGGGGGGAGAGAAAGGCGGGGAATGGCGGATTTTTGCTGCTTACTTTACAATATTTTGTCATATGCACACAAAAAAAAGAAAAGAAAAGTATATAATCAAATATATATTTACATATATTCATTTATTTCCATATTATCTTATACAACTTTTACTAATAAACCATTTTTGTATGAAAATAAACAACTTCCACTTAAAAGGAAAATATAGATTATAAACAAGATTTGTTAGTTATCAGCTTGCTTTATTCTCTCAAATGAATTTTAATTGTTAATCATGTAAACTTAAATAAACAGCAGCAATATACCTATAACAAAAATGTAATGTATGTTCCTTTTCTTTAAAACATAGATTAAGCTGCTTACGTAGAAAAAAGTTAGTCTTTTCCTCTTCTTTTCAACAAACACAGAGAATACGAATCGATAAAAAAAAGACAAAAAAAACGTTCAATAAATCTCTTTTTATCGTCGTTCGTCGTCTTCATCATTATCATTATTATTGTTTTTCTCTCAATCAGATTTACGATTCCGTCTTTTTCCTAGTATTTTTGGCAATAGCACGCCTCATTCTGGCCAATTGTTCCGCTTTCATCCATTGGAATGGACTTGTATAATCCATATCAGAGTCGTCCTCGCAGTCCTTATAGCTATTAAATCGTTTTGGGCCGGCATCGGCATACTCCTCTATCGAGGATTCGGCTGACGAATAATTGTCTGAAGCCTGTTGTCGACCTCTGTTACGAATTTTCTCTCGTGCCTGAGCTCTGGTCCTATTGCGATTTTGTTTCAAAGACTGAGCCTGACCTCGTACGTAAACTTTACAGTGAGCTTCAGACGCAGGTTTAGCCTCTATAAAAGTATGAGGGTTGATCTGAACTCGAACCTCGACTCTGTTTCTATCCTGACCTACTTTCTTTCGCCATTCACCGTCGTTGTGATTAGGAACAACATTATTTTTCTGGCTCATACCGTTCGTAGTATGTTTTTGGTCTTGATCTTGCTCTTCGTCGGATTCGATCTCTTGCTGCTCTCTTCTGTGTTCCGATGCTCTTACTGGCTTTGGCGTTTCGGGTGGAGTACTGCGTTCGATCGTTTGCGCTTGTTGTTGAACGAAACCTTGACGTACTACATTGTTATCAGGAGGAGTGTCTGATTCGATAGATCTTCTTTCGGGTTCCGTTAGAGCTCTGAGACGACGTTGTATAACACCTGGAGTCAAGTGTTCGTAATCCTCATACTCTTGACCACTCCAACGTTCAAGTTCAACTTTACTATAGGCACCTCTCTCTCTCATACTTTGAGATCTATGAACGCCAGATTGTGTATTTCTATCACGCGAATTATAACGGACAAAATTGTCCCTTTGATCAGAATTATTCAATGGAAAATAAACGGAGTCGGTAACAATTTTTCTTTTAGAATTTGGAGTAGTTGGAGGAGTGCAACTTCCTCTCCTTGGACATTTATCATTGCACTTTATACTTAAATCAGGTGTAGATCTGGTATTACAATCACTAAAAGTACAACGATTGGCTATTGGGGAGAGTTGGAATGTAGTTTCGACTTTAAATCGTCTTCTTTGACCACTTGCTTCCAATATATTCTCGTACTCACTCAATTGTCGCATAAAATTTCTATTTGGTCTAATAACTGGTCGACGAGTTTTAACGTCTTTCAAGGCTTGATCTAGGCGCATACCTTCGCACTTCATAAGATGAGCAATAACTGTCGCTGCAGATCTGGAAACTCCCATTTTACAATGTACCAATACTTTAGAATTAAGTTCCTTAGCCTGACTTATAAAAGCATTGGTGGAATCCCACTCGTTGAGCAGCCAAGCATTTTCGTCGTCGTCGACACGAATATTCATATATACAAATTCACGGTTTGGATAAAAATTGTCCACCTCCCGCGTTATATTAAGGATATGTGTAACATTTTGCCTTTTCAACTCTTTAAGATCTGAAGCGTTACCTTCCGAACCTAATAGTAAATAATCACGGATAGTTGATGGAGAGTTAAACTGCTCTAAAACAACTAAAATTTTTTCATCAATCCAAGACTTTCTAGAATGTAAATTCATTGATAATTTCTTTTCTAATTTCTCACGAATCATAACGGTTGTAACCTCTTCTAAATCGACAATCGCCATAATTTCTCTAAGAGCCCCTTCAATCTTTCGCTGCATCTCGAGTTCCGTTGGCGATTTATGGAGATCGTATATTGGCGATGTAAATTTAATTTCAATATCCTCACAACTCTTATTCCATTCAGAAATATTGGCGTATACAGAATTTACTTTATAATCGGCGGTCCAATCGTTACTTCGACGAGTCGACCTATTCAATTTATTTAGGTGTTTCGGATTATTCGCCATTTCCTGACATACGTAGAGGCTCTGTAGAGCTGACCAAAGCACTTGAACAGATACCGGCTTAAAAAAATTCTGCTCATTGTTCGATGCCACAACGAAATAACTATTAAACATAAAATATAACATTTCAATGATATACTAAATATATATATATATATATATATATACTGTAAATAAATACAAACCCATCCTCACAAAGTCTCACATCCATATCACAAAATAAAGGAAGTATAAGGCCGATAGTAGCACAGGTTTCTCTCCCATCCTTAAACGGGATAATATCAATACCAAGAATAACAGCCGCTGGACCAAACTGTACTTCTCCTTCAGGAGAAACAAGAGCCATATATCTTATATGATTATCATTTGCGCTTTCTAAATGAACAGCAATTTTTAAACAATGGTCTAAGCATAGTAGATCGCAAATCATTTGCAAATGATGATGGATAATGCTCTCTAAATAAAACAAAATAAAAAAAAAGGAATAAATCATTATTAATGATATAGAAAAAAAAAATAACAATTACCGCTGCTATCAATTCTACGATGAACGCATTCCGATAAAGGTAATATAAGAGCTGCTCCCTTCAAAGCGACATAATTGTGGCTAAATGAGAGAAAGAAAACGAATCAAAATAAACATGTTTAATATGTAAAAACAAAGTACATACATTCCGTATAAAATAAACAAATTATGATTAATGCCACAACAAGAAACTTACAAGTTACAAAAATTTCCGATAAGATTATAAAATTTGTTTTTATTTTTGTTATTTTTTTTAAAAAAAAAAAACAAAATTACAAAATTTTTTTTTCAAATAATCTTTTTTGTTTCTTTTTATCAAAAGAAACAAAAAAAAACTATGATTACATAATATATTTATAAATTATTTATAGTGTCGTTTACATCAACAAACACTACACCTAAAACTTACGGTAGATTTAAAATTACTTTATCGCTTTTCAATGAGTTCCTTTAAGGAAAATAGTTAAAGAAATAAAATAAAATAAAAAAAAACAACAAATAATAATCAAAACATAACTTTACAATGAATTATTTAAATAAAAATAATTTAACGTTTTAAATAGGTTATTTTAAATTTAAAAATAATAATAATAATAAAAGTTTGTTTAGTAAATAAAGCCTTAATTATAAACTAATGAATATATATATATATATATATAAAAAACCCATCAGTCAACTTGATTAGTGTCAAATAAAGGTCGTCTAGCCAAGTATAGGATTATTAAGAAACTATACATATATACTGTATGGTTATTATCAATACTTGAAAAAGTTATTTAACCTACCTAATGGAATGTTTATTTGTATCATCAAGAGAGAAGTGAGCAGTTCTCTATTTACAAAAAGAAATAAGTATTAGAATTATTAATTGAGTAGGAAAGAAAAGAAATCTACTAACTGTAAAGGTAAACGGAGATTGGGGTACATTGTTCGGCGTTGGAGACCTTGTTACGGTCACTAAAGACATTCTTCATTCTGTAGGGAGAAGGAATAATATATAGTTATTTTGTAACCATATATCTATACATAATAACATATTTGTACATAAAAAGAGAGAGAGAGAGAAAGAGAGATAGAGGACGGATGATAAAAACCCATCTTTTCAATTAACACCTTGTTTAAATAAAAACTTTCCATTATAAGTTGCTTTATTAACCTTTAAAATCTACAGTCAGTTAACACGTGTCAAAGGTAGATATTTTTTTTTTATCTCTTAAAAAGAGGCAATTTTAACACTTAAAAAAATGCCTCATTTTTATTAATACATACTATTTCTATTCGTTAATAGAAACAGTAAATACAATAAATTTCAGAGTCATTTTTCAGTGAGTATCTTCATCCTTAAAATGTGTCATATATATTTTCGATAAATTTAGAATAAAGATAAAATATATAAACTATCTAGAAAATTATTTGTTAAACGTAAAGGAATGTAAACACACTTGTGAGATATCAATTCGAAAAGAAAAGGGAAATGTACCAAATACCTTTGAATAATGTTTCACTATATAAGAAAACTCGTTAACCTTCTGACGCCGAAAGTGAAACTGACTGACAGACAGAGATCGACGATAATTATTTAAACGTTAAATGTACTCACTCACGCGCGCTCAACCCAAAACACAAAAGTAGTGTTTAAAAGCTTCTTCTGGAATGATTTGTAAGGAATCGGTTCTCTTTTTGACACAGTTTGATGAAATATACTGACTACCTATGCAGGAGATATAACAGGTTCATTTTTAAGTGGAATGATGTAAAGAAAACAAAGCTGATGAGCAGCTGATAATCGCCATGTTTAACTTGAATACCGGATATTATTGTTTTGGGTCTGCCTAACAACAGCGCGTAGTGGAATCCAACTCTCATCTTGCGCAATAAGGGAAAATATTCTTAGAATTAGAGCTAATTTTTCGCGTGTTACAACAGTAAAAAAGATGTATAAATCCTGAAAAATATATTCGTATAAAGATTAATTTCTTATACAATTTCAGTTTATCCAATTGAAAACTTACAATACGTCATGCTTAACCTGTGTTAACAATTGAATTAGAGTAGTGGACAGTTAATTTACTTGTTAAAATTTATTGAGGAAGAAACTTAACAAAGCATAACCAATAAAAATATTTTATCTCCAGGATATAAGTTAATAATAAAAATATATTCCTATTTATATAGAAACTGATATTCTTAGGCTTTTAGAATTTATAATATATGAACGTATATATTATTATTTATAAGTTTTTCAATCAATAAGAGAAAAGAACAAATCAAGTTCTATTTACTGAATTAATGTGTAACATTTTCGTATATATATATATATTGATGAATTTACGTTATTTGCATACTGTTTGTATATTTCAGTACATATATAGTGGAAATATACGATACTATATCAATAGAAAAACTGTTATAATATCTTGCACAGAAAAACGATAAAGTTATTGATATATTATAAGTATAACTTTTTTTTTATTATAAATGTATTGCATTATCCTCTTTATATATAGAGAGTTTTTTAAAGCTTGATGGCAATAACTCTGATTTTCAATTAGTTCTTTAGAAATTGGCAAAAATTTACTATTTCACTTTTATGTTATTTTGAATGTATGTGAAATCGACTTTAAAAGATGTCCCTCTTTTTTATATATACAGTATATGTATGTATCTATGTATGTGTGTACTAAAGCCTGACACACCCGGAGTTGAATAAAATTGTATGTATAGTGTATACAGTATGAAGTTGTCTATACACAATACGTTATTTATACTGTATAAGAAAAAAAAATACATAAGAAGTAAAGAAATAGTACAATTTGAAAGGAAAACAAAAAAAAACGCAAAAAAAACAAAGGTATTTCAATGATTTTGGAAAGTTATAGATTAAAAAGAGAGAGATTATGAGAGAAACACTCTCTACTTGAGTAAGTAAGTGCTGAGTTGGTTCAATTGTGTCAGAGATATGAGAAAAGGTTTTCTATTCTTTCTATAATTTACCCTTTATTTTTCTTGTCTGATCCACCTATCTTCCCATCTTTCTCTCTGGCTTTCTTTTTCCCTTCCTTTGATCGTACTTGCTAATCGATAGTTTGAAATGTGAACTCGAGTTATACTAGAAAGGAAGTTCTCTTCAGGTATTGGAACTCTTAATGAAAGATAAAAAGTAGAGTTTAAATTGTTCAGTCTCAAGGTTTTATGTTTAAAGGAAGGTTTCATCTATTAAAAAGTGATAAAGATAGAGGACAGGTAGGAAAAGACTAACGAAAAAAATCTCTCACTTACTTTCACAAAATGAATAGAATAAAAACAATAATACACTATCACCCAGTAGTAAACGCCAGTAAGTCAATTAAAATTTGTTAAACGTACTAGATAAACGCCAATAACGGTTTTAAAAAATGAAGCTAAAGACATAGCTCGAACTGTCTAATACACCTAGAGTGTCTCTTTTTTCTTTTTTTTCCCCACAAGACATTTTACCGTTATAAAGGATATTGTATAGAGTAAAAAAAAACCTCTTTTAGGGTGAAATATAATAAGGGGGAGGGAGAGGGGAGGAGGAGAGTATCTAGACGCAAACTAGGAGTACATTATAAAAAAAATAAATAATTCGAAAAAAAAAGAAATATAAAAGCTTCAATCGGCAAAAAAGAAATTTTCTCAATATCTGATTATGAGAACAAAGAGGGGAGAAAAACACTGCGAAATCAGAGTGGAAAGCCGTCTAGGCGATAATAAAATGCAATAGTCAGCAGTTACAATATAAACGTTAAAAGATAAAAGAGGATAATAGGTAAAAAGGAATAGCGAGAAACGACCAAGAATATCAAATATTAGACAAGAACTTGACTACTGATAAAGGTAAAGATATAGAATAATATACTTTGTATTTATTACTAATATTTCATTAAGAAAATACATAACATCAAGGAAGAATTTAAAACGGCATATATAAAGTGGGAAAAGCCTTATTACTGTTACTGGGAGGCGTTGAATAGATCTATTTTAAATACCATAAGCTTTAATCTACCTTAAGTAAGTCGATGTTTTTTTAAAAAGGATTTTTGTGTTTTCCCCCTGTAAACCTTTGTTAATATTTGAACAATTCAAATGATAGTTCAATTGATAGATATCAAAGTGATAAATTAATCCTTGGTATAAAAAAATGAATAGACGGTTAGTCTTCGCTTATAATACAATATATATATGGTATACTCTTTCTTCGTTTAGAGATACCATAAATTTATCGTATATCGTCAAACTTTCATTATAAAATAATCACCCCAGTGGACTATGATTAACATAGACATTAATCTCTTTTTTTACCTGTTAATATATAAATCTGTAGCGAAAAAAAGAAGACAGAAAAGTATTCTAAAACGCTTTTATTCTCGGAAAATTTTCTCTTTATTTAATTAATGGAGAAAATTTATAATATTTCATATATTTCTCTCTCGAATTTTAATCGATCTTAGGCTTTCCAAGTTAAAACTATTGATTGATTTTATTTATATGTTATTTACGTTTTAAAGTTCATACCCACTCCTTACCAGTTTCCATGGTTAGATAAGTTATTGTATACTTAATACATCGCATATTTCGAAATTTGTTTACATTTTAAAAATTTTTAACAAGTAATAATTTTAAAAATTTAAACCTTTTATTATTACATATTCGTCAAAATACTAGAATTTTTAAAAAGTACGAAACTATCTGTTCAAAATGGACGATTTCTACTGAACTATTCAGCTGTTTATTGCCTCTGCCTATTTTCTTAGATTATGTAGTTTTGTATTTTAGTGATCATTGACGCGTTTTTAAATAACTGATGTAGACAACATTATCGGCTCGATTTGTTACTACTGTTAAGTCGATTATATGTGAGTAAATGCCAATTTTGCACGTGTTGTCGCTCAAAAACTTCTATGGCGACAACGTTGTGTTTAAAATATCAAACATAACGAATGTTCTTTTGAAGATTATATACCATATTTTTTTGCATAAATGATGAATTTTAATCTTTTGTGCTTTCTACAGAGTATACTGAATATGACAGACGGAGGTAATACCACAGGAGAGTGCATTGATCCTGATGATGAATATTCTGAAAATACCAGAGCGCACGACTATTTTCCAACTTCAAAAACAGATTACAACAACAGTTCACAAAATCATTTGGCCCCAACAACATTTTACGATGAAGAGTATGTTAACCCTGCAGCCTTCTCATATTATCCCATACCTAAGAATTACGCAAATATAAAGATCGGTACACAAGATAACAGTGATAAAGCATCTAGAAATAATAAGGCTTACGACGAAGTATATAGAATATTACCCCACGATCAAAAGAGATATAAAATATGCTCTCCCAAAGCACAAAAATGTTATGATGAATCTATTGAAGTTGAAAAGGGTCCACCATTTGATTATCCTCCAGATGGAAAAAAACTTGATGATTCTTTATATAACATTATGAATGGTCCATCAACAAACCCTGCACAAAATATCTGTTTGTATTTTTTTGTACAGTCAAAAGCTTACTTTAAATATTTATTTGTATTATTCTTATTACAAAAGGTTTCAATCTGGGAAAGTCGTTAAAAATGTCACAACCTAGTGGAAAAGATTTAAAAAGTCCAACAAATAAGAAAGAAGTTTTTGGTACGAGAACTCTGAAAGGAAAGGATAAAAATAGTCGGATTAAGGTTAACAAACAAATAAAGGAAAAAAAAACTCATCCTTCACAATTAGAAAAATCATATGATTCGAATCAAACTGACAATAATTCAATTGAAGCTAAGGAAAAGAAAGATAATTGGTCACTTGACAATGTTCTTCAGTTTGTTGAAGGTTCTGATCAAAACGATACTAAGAAAAAGAAAAAGAAGAAAAAATCGAGAAATCGCAAGGTTAGCAACGATTCTACTGTTAAATATCATGACGATAGCTCAGAAGAGCAGTATCCGTCACCTAACGTTCAAGCTAAGGCGACAGTGATGTTATCTGAAAATTTGGAGAGTAAGTTATAAAACTCGATAATGTTCCATTCATGTAAATATTATTGTAATGTTATACTTTTTATATTATAGAAGGTGAGACTGGGCCTTTGCCAACACATTCCATTCCTAGTGAAAAATCGCCCGAACTTGAAGGTGAATCCAAAAAATTAGTTAAAGAATTAACGATTCAAATTAATTCGACTAATCAAAAAGCTGCTGAAGCTCCGAATGAATTGATAGATAGTCAAGTAAACAATTTTTCCCAAGTTCAAAGTCCAACAATAAAGGAAGAATCTAAATTGACTTCTTATGATGAAAACCTGAAAGCCATAACTCATTCCGAAATTGATACCGCTAAGCAAAGAGACGCAAAAGGATCTCCAAGTCAAAATTCTCTTGATGAAAATTGGCAAAAATTTTCTTCGAAAAAGAAAAGAGAGAAACGTCACGAAAATCCTTTGCCACCAGCTCATCCTGATAGCAAGGTACAATTCTCCTAGACTGTTTGTCTGTCTGTCTCTCTTTCGCTCTCTCTTTCTCTCTCTCGCTATATACATTTAAAATGAAATAATGAAAAACAATTTTTTTCTGTCTTTCTTAGCCAATCGATCGAAATTCGTCACCATCGAAAAATTTTGAAAAGAGTCAATCCTATCAATCCCAAGCGTCAAATTTAAAGGATGTTCACTCTCGAAAGAATAGTACGAAAAAAGTTACTGTTGTTGTAGGTATTCGTAGCGATGAGAATAAGAGAAAGCCGAATAAGTCGTACAATACTTCAAGACCGATGGATAAGAATTTTACTGGTAAAAAATTGGAGAAAGGTCAACCTGTAGAACAATTAAATGAGAAAACATTAAATACGAAATTAAATAAACAAGATTCTCTCCTGGAAACGAATAAAGTAAACAAAACAAAAACAGAAATTTTTGTCTCTTTTAAACGATATATTATGTTAATAATTTATATGTTTTATTTTTTTTAGATGCTTAGAGCGGAAGTAAACATTTCACATCACAAGTCTACAACTACTTCTTCAACTGCCGAAAAATTAAGTGTCACAAGGGAGAAATCTGACAGAGACTTACGGAACCCTTATTATTTGCCAGATGGAATGAAGAATTTGGCTTGGTCCGATGTACAACTCAATATGTGCTTCGATTCTCGTTGGGAATTACCTTTACAAAATTTTCCAGAACTATGCAATGTCGAACCTATTAAAAATCCCTTCTCTTATCACTATTACTTAAAGTATGTTGATGATAAGGATCCTAATGGGATAAAACCCGATACAATGAAAGAATATTACAAAAATCATCATTTAAGACCTAACGGAATGACAGAAGACGACTTGAGAGAATTTGACGAGAAGAAAAAGGTGACATTGAATCCTAATGCGTCTGTTTTCGCACCAACAATCAAATGGCACAACACACCCCAGGGAAGAAATGGTGCTCCTGATAGAATACCAGGGTTATTATTAGAGAAAATTCGCGAAATTGTTAACAGTCCTAGGGATAAGTCTCCAGAAGACATTTTGCAGAGAATTAGTAATATGTTCATAGAAAGCGACTATCCAATATCCAAATCAAAGGTATGTTGTTTGCAGAAAGAGAGCTATTTTAATAAATTTGTAATTTTTGTTTTTCAAAGGACCATGTAAATACGAAATTTGAATCATTAATCGATCGCCCAGAAAGGTTACACCCTATAAACATCCCTAACGAAGAAGCTCTTCACCATCCTTTAGAAGTTTGTGGGCCTATGTTTCCTTTCGAGTATTATCCCAATGAGGAAGCGGAAAGTTTCCTTGGCGCAATGTACGCTCCGAATAATCCACCTATGAATTTTCGTCCGTTACAAACCTACCCTCTAGTCTTTAATACGCCCAGATATCGTACGATGAATTTTCAGTGAGAGAGAGAGAGAGAGAAATGAACTGCTTACAAAATCGTCATTCCTCTAAAGAAATTATTGGTAGTAGTTGAGAAGTAAAATAGACTAAAAGAACAAAATACTAATAAAAAAGAAAAAAAAAGCAAAGGTTTTATAATTTTATTCTAATCCAGTTCGAAAAAAGAAAAAAAACTGTTCTAATTATAGAACGATTGTTACTGTTTTTATACTGCCGAAAAAGATGGTGCTTTCAAAATCATCCGTTATATTTTTTCGTCTTTCTTAATCTATATGATAATAATTCGTCTCATTTTATGTGGATATACACTCATGTGCCTATAAATATTATTGTATTTTATTTTTTTTGTTCTTGTAAAAAAGTCTCTTGATTATTGTTGAGTGAGACTTTTGTTTTTGTATTGTTGTTTGTTTGTTTATTTTTCTACACGTATATAAAAAAAAACTTTATATATTTTATTGATAAAGGTAAAAGTATATATATGCTTTTACTATATAAACTGTTGTTTGTTTATATTCTTACAAGTAAAATGATAAAAAAAACACTGTAAAAAGTATAAAACTAAGTTATCTGTCTTTGAAAACTGCTCGAATGAAATCAGTATCCTTATCATTCAATGACACCTGTATAGATAATAATGAAAATTATTGTATATGTGCTTAAACGATGTACATACTTGTTCATAAGAAATATTTCTTATGAAATTGTTAAGATTTATCTATATATAAATTTATATATGTATATATACCTCAAAGTTCAATATTTTAATATTGTCGATTAATTTGTCGTATATTTCACTAACGTTCTCGTTTGTTTTCGATGCGTCATATTTTGCCGTATCAACTGTTAGGTTTGCTGATGGTTTTAATGTTTTACAAAAATCTTCGGTGATATCCTTTAAAAAGCTATTTTTTTTGTTTTAAAAATAACAACAAAAATGATAATATATATATATTTAGTGTTTATACTGCTTTATAATCGTATTGCCCTTACTCTTTATTGACGAACACATCATCGAAAAAGTGCTCGTATTTCCTTTTCTTGTGTAAATCTTTAATGGCTTTACAGGGTAGGAACGATACGGTTATTCCATCCAATGATAGCGGCTCTAAGAAAGAGTATTCGTCATTTAGGCCTTAATTGTTTAGTTAAAAAATTTTTTTACCGAAAGGCATCTCCCAAGGCGATGACGCTAAAAGTTCATTGGCCTCCTCCTCATCCTCTTCAATAACTGTTAAATATATTGAGTAAAGTCTAGCTTTCTTGTTTATCTTACGAATATTTGCTTATTTCTTTCTTTTTTTTATATTTTTACAAGTCCATACCTTCCATTATTTTGGTGTTATCTTCCTCAGTTATACTCTTATCGAAAGCTTTACCGTGTTCTATACTATATAGCATACTCAAGGCGTTATACTTTGCAATATCTTCCCCATTCTGAAAGGGAAAGAATATTATTAAGTTATTAAAAAGAAAGGAAAATGGTGTGACGAGATGATTGTGCAAAAAGAATGATAGTATAAAAACGGTAAGAGTGACAAATATAATATATTTAAATTTTTACATTAATGTGAACGTTGTTTGCAGTTTTGTATAGTTCTTTGTCATCGCATTCCATTCCAAAGGATACAAATGGAGAATGAACAATGTCGCCTAAATAGACTTTCATCTCTTGGAAAACCTTATTTCGCTGAGGAAAAAATTTCTTCAATTACAAATAAACATTTAAATTACAGGAAAAAAGATGATAAAACAGCAATTAGTTCACCTCAAAGGGGATTTTAGTGCATAAAGTCACGTTCGGTTGGTTGTAATCGGCATTTCTCAAGGAATAAGCCATTCCGTCCAATCTCCATCTATTGTATTTGTGGGATGTGATAATGGAGGCTCTCTATAACCAGCGTACATATTAGAGACTTTATACTTAGTTTATTGTTTTTATTTTTTTTTATAAAGAAAAGATAATATGAATAAGGATATTGCAAAATTTTAGTCATACTCCTCTTTGAGCTAGTCTCATTTGATAATCCCAGTCGAATACTCCTGTCTTTGAATCGTATCTTACACCTAGTAAAGATCTTAATCTTTCATCCCTGAAATGCATCACTTGTTGAGTATTAAAATGTAAAAATAGAAATATAAAATGGGTGTTACCAAGAATTCCTTATATCAAATTCCTTTCCAGTTACCGGTTTTGACCATGAATGAAATTCGTCGTAAATTTCATCTCTCTCTCTCATCTAAAATAGAAATGAGAAAGATAAATATCAATTTTTCTTTTGAAAAAAAATTTTATTCAATTACTAACTGTTAGCTGAGAATTATCAAGAAAGGGAATAGATGATTTTAGACCAGAGACGTCACCAACGAACCTTTTATTACATTCAGATTTAATTTATTAATCTTTTAAATAGGTTTATTTTTAAATATAATACTTTTTAATATATTGACTCATCTTTTGTACATATTCTAGAGTTTCTACCCTTATAAAGCTATTTCCCCAGATTTCCAATAGAAATTCGGCTTTTTCTTTTCATTAGAAGTAAAGATAATTTAAAATTAATCGCCTATTAAAATTCTGAATTTAAATGGAAAATATCATACGCTGAAGACCAAAACGTTTAGTTTTTTCCGTAGCAATGCATAATAATAGAATAAATCTTGCGTATAAACTAGCCTCTTCCTCAAGGACATAAAACTGAAAAATAATCATTTAATTATTTTTTTTTAAAAAAAAAATAAAACTCTTTTAATTACATTTATCTTTGGAGAATTTTCGTATTTAAACCTCTGAGATACAGTTTTTAAAATGTGCCTTATATCATTAGCCCCAATCATCAGGATACTCCTTTTGTCATCAACAGTATGAATATTGCTAGGATAACCTGAGAAAAAAATAGCCGGGAGTGTAGATAGATCTTTAAAATTATAACAATTACTCAGGAAATCAATGGCAGGTGATTTTCCCCAATATGATTTTAACTTTTTCGGTGGCATTTTGCTATCTTTTAGTTTCTTTTGAACGATATATCAGCGGTCTTTCTTTGTATTGAAAAAGTATTTTGAAATGCTCTTAAGCAGACGAAAAAATGCCCGAAACTACACGTTGGTTACCTGGTCCATGAGATATTTTGTCATTGGTATTATCCAGTGAATTGGGGAACCACAGCTTGTATCTGTAGCAACGACACGTAAATAATAATGGCGGCTAGTTTCGGGCGGCACTAAAATCTTTAAAGCATTTTCTACTTTTAAAGGCCTTAACTCCATGAAAATGGATGAAACTAGTATTGACACAGTACAGGATCAGTATCTAACTCAGATGCCTGATTACCTTCGTCCTGTCAGTCGCAGCATTAAGACAAAATGGTCTAAACTTCACGGTGATATACAAATGTCAAAACTTTTAACTAAACGGGCAGAGAAGAAGATTGAAAATGAAAAAACACGTGAAGAAGCTATGCAGATGGCAAGAAAAATACCAATGGAACTTCTGGCTAGAGATTGGTTAAGAGAAACTAGGGCAGGAGCGGAAACTAGAGCGTATTTGGTTGATCGTATTTTGCCAACTTTAATTATGGGACTTGAAAAGCTATTGCGGGAAGTTGAGAGAAGAGGATTGTCTATTGAAGATGCTCCTCCTGAACGAGAATTTAATCCTATTAATTATATTGCTCAGTATTTAATGAGGAATAACCCAAGATATTCAAATTTTTCGGAAGCATCTCCTTATATCAGAGGATTACGTCAAGTGAATGAAAATCTTAAGAAACAACTCTTCGATATGGAAGAAAATAGGTAAATCAAAATATAATTTTTTATTATATAACATATAAGAAACGTTATTACGGAGACAAAGAGCTTAAGTTTTAACCCGATAAACAGGCTCGCAAAGGTCAAAGCTGAGGCGAGGAAGAGAAGGGAGCTAAGAGAAAGAGAAGAAATGCAACGAATTGCTGAGACAAGGCGTCGACAGGGCTCCCTTAATGTACAATACGAAGATTGGACTTCAATCTCGGAGGGAAGGCTTCAATTGTCTGTCGTAAGTTCATCATTAATATAAATGACATAGTCAATTTATATATCTTTCTCAATTCAATTAGATTCAAAACGCTTTGAGGTCTTTTGCTGAAATTACCGATCATGTGGCCGATGAAAATTCAAACGTAAAGGCTATTGCCCAAGCTCTTATTAGAAGTCTTCAAACTACAGATGATACTGGAAAGACCCTTGAAAAAGAAGATTTCGTGTCTGTAAGTTCTGATTCTGCATTCCCTTAGGAAATTAAATATTTCTTTTCTTCCTTTTCGCTGATTATTATTTTCATTTTTCCGCCTTTCTAAAAAAAAATTAGCTTGTCGATAGCCTAAGCAAAGAGTTGGATCCAGAGGAATTTGAGAAATTATTAACTCATCTTAAGCATTGTGCCAATGCTCATTCTCTTCAAAATCGCAAGGAGAGGAGAAGAGACATGCTAACTCAGCTATTTTTCTCTTGTGACCATACTCTTGTAAGTAATTTATTGTATAAAAGTAACATTTTTATTATTTAATCTTTGTGTCTGATAGATTGGATTGATAGATCGTCATAGAATATTAAATCTGTTCGAAATGTTCTGGGATAAAGCTAAGGGCAATACAAAGAACGTCATTCGCAATCCGCGAAAATGTAAGATCAAACGAATTTTTTTTTTGGAACAATATTTATTCTATGTATATTTTATTAGGGCCGGTTGTCGAAGTTGAAGAAGCCGTAGCTGCCGATAGCGAATGCGATAATGAAGAGGAATTCGATACCATACATGCTACTGTATTAATATAGCATTGATAATTTTTCCTAGAAGTATATAATGAGTTTTTTAAATAGGGTGGAGTTTCTGAGCTGGGAACAGAGGTAAAAGATGGCGAGGAGACTAGAACATCACCTAATTTAGACGAAAAAACGGACGAAGGAAAACTTTCTATCGAAGGGGAAGAACAAGTTGAAAAATTAGAGGACAAAACTGAAGAAAATGATAAAGAAGAGACGAAAGCAGATAAAGAGCAGGAAGAGATAGTTAGTGAAGAAGCTAAACCAAATGTAGAGGGTGAGGAGGAGACAAAACAGCCTGACAAAGAAAATAAAGAGCCGACAATAGAATTAACAGCGGAATTAGAAAAGGAATCAGCAAAGAAAGCTGAAGAGGAGGTCAACGAAAAAGAGGAAAAGGAGGAAAAAGAAGAAAAAGATGAAAAAGAAAAAAGTGATATTAAAAATGAAGAAGGCGAGCAAGTCGACCAAGAAGAGAAGAAAGATTCTCAGAAAGAAGAAAAGGAGGGCAATGAAGACGAGGAAGAGCGGCCCTTGTCTCAAAATGCTATAGAAGGTTTGTAAGAGACGCTGTTAAATAAAAAGATACGATGAGTTTCTATATATATACTCCCCTTAATAGAGGCAGAAATAAAAGCACTGATGGAAAAAGAAATGATGAAACCTCCCATGACACAACAAAGTAAAGTTTCATTCGCTGAAGGAACAACTTTCGTACGGGAAAGAACTTGTACGTACTATTTTTAGTATACAGTCTTTTCATCACCAATTGTGCGATTTCTTTAATTTTTAAACGATCCTCCAGTGATAACGTCTCAAGGTACAAGAAGTCAATCTCAGGCGTCAGCTTTTGATGAGAATCAATTAAACGTTTCCCAATTTGTCCATCTAACTGAGACTTTTATAGGCGATGAGGCAGAGTCGGTTATTTTCAATAATTTGGTTAGGTTTGTTAGAGAAGGTTACGTCGAAACTGAAGATGAAAGAATGCAAAGATTAGTTAAAGCCAGAAGAGAAGCGTTGTCTGCTAAACGACGTTTGATGCTGAACAGTCTATTTGAGATGTGGGACAATGATGCTTCAGGTTTTATTGACTTGGAAGAAGTTTGTACTATTATGAATAAATATAAAAATGGTATGGAAGAAGAGGCAATAGAGAAGGCAAAGAAGGAAATAAAAACTAAGAATAAGGTGCACGATCAAAGATTAAGTAAGAGAGAATTTCGCGATTTGTTACATAGGGTTGTCCATTACATGTCTGGAGAAGATACATTTGATCTACTGGTTGAATTCTTGATTAGTAGCGTTGAGAGAACGTATACAGAAAGAGTTAGAGGCGAAGCAAGGAAGAAATGGTTAAAACAAATTGTAACTGCAGCCGAAACGTCAGGAGCGAGTATGCAGCCAATTTATAAAACTCTATTCCAAGCTTTGTACAAGGACGCCGAAACTCATGGTGGTGGAAAATTAATAAGTGCCTATGTAGCTATGTTGGAGAGAAATATTATAGCACCTTCTAGGGGACCACATTTATTGCGTTACGTAAGTGCCACCTCGGAAGATGCTCCTTACGTACTTGGCAAAGTTCTTTATCCAGACATGAAAGGCATTAGTTTTGCCTCGGTCGAAAGTGGGAAACCTATTCATGTGCCAAAGGTTAGCAATCATGGCAATATACAATTTTGGAATAATGACAGGCCAGAAGACGAGAGAGAAGGATCTTTTATAGTTGTTCCTTTAAAGGACAATAAGAAAAGGGTATTTGGCATTTTGGGTATTGATACATTGTCCGATCCTCATTCTAGAGCTATTTTTATATCGCACGAAATACAATTCTTTCAAGGGGCTGCTAAATCGTTTAGTATTTCTTATCATCACGTCGACGTAAGAGAGAAGACGCTGAGGATATCCGAATCGGCTATAAGCTGGATATTAAGAAGATGCCCTCACGTAAAGGACGTAACTGTTTATATGGTAGAGCCGGAACAGAAAACTAACGAATACGTTTTGAGGAAGATGATTGTGACTGATAATAAAGGAACGGCTCATTTACTATCTACTCCACCAAAGCTACATAGGAAGGATAATCTCTTTCGGGATTATTTATTTAACTGCGTTGATAATTCGGAATCGGTAAGCGCTGACGCGTACGGTGAAAGGCATTTAGCTTTTCCGCTAAGAGATGAACAGGGTATGACGGTTGTTCTATTAGATATGGTCATTGGAGAACTAAAAGCTTTACCAAAACTCGAAAATAAGGAAGTAATGAAAATGTTAAAGTTGTTGCAAATGGCCTATAACGAAATATCACGTTCCTCCGAGGTGAATGATGTTGAAGTACTATTCGATAAGTTAATGCTTGCTGATCTGAAAGAAAACGTCGCTAAATTAGACGCTCAAGCTTATGCTGAATTAAAAAGCTATAAAGAGCCTCCAGAAGTAAGTTTCTCTCTTTTTTTTTCTATATATTTTATCAAATGAATTGATTGATCTCGTAAATAGAATTCGTAATTGAAACGCTTTATTCCGTCAGATCATCCATCAAATTATAAAGGCAGTATTAACTGTTTTCTATCCGCAACCGGCAATTGAGAGTCAATTTAACAATTGGAATGGCTGTAAACAGGTTAATTTTATATATATAGTATACTAAATATATATATTCTCTTATTTCCTAAAGATTTTACACTTGAAACAAAAGAAATTTATATCTTAAATATTTAAACGTTAGAGTAAAGTCTAAGCCTCTTTTAACAATAATTAGCTGTACAAATAGTATTATAATCAATAAAAAAAGGGATCTTTTAAGGGTGGAGTAGTATCTTTTTTAAGAAAAGAAAAAGAAGAGAGAGAGAGAGAGAGAGAGAGAAAAAAAAACTTTTATATTTTGTTTTTTTTTCTTTTTTTTTTTTTTTTTTACACCGATTTCGATCGTGATGATTAATTACGGTAAGAGTTGCATGTATACAATAATCACGTCTTATCACGGCATGTTTAAAAATAAAAACGGACCAAGAAAAAAAAAACATGGATTTCTGCCTCATCATCATTATCATCATAATTGTTATTACTATTGTCATTATCATCTTTATTATCCTTATTGTTATTTATTATTTGTTTCTTATACGTCTATATTGTATTGAATCATTTATTTGTACTATATAGTGCATATAAATGATATATTTTGAGAGAGTTTGACTAACAACGAGACTAATTCTATTTCTCTTTTTTTTTTACCAATTTGGTTGCATTGCCTGCCTCTCTCATTCTTCCTTGCTCTCCGACACTCACTCGCTGCCTCGATTTGTAATATATGCTCATTCTCTTCTCTCAACATCAAACTTGTTTAGTATCTAAATCAACAATTGGGAAATAGAATTCTTCATTACGATCCTACTCAAGATCCGTCTGACGATATTCCTATTGAATTAATTTACGGATACTTAAACGGTAATATAATTTAGTTATTATATTGTAAGATATTATAAATATCCTATATTAATAAATTTATCTCTCTTTTATCTTATCAGCCGTTCCACATGGAACCGTTGCAAAAAATGGCTCTATACCAGCTCAGTATTTGTATAATTGGGTTTTCGTTTGCGTGTCCCTAATTGAACATCAACACAAGATGAAAGAAGGAAAATCGACACACGTCATGGACGTTGGTCAGACAAGTACAACAGCGACAACAGAATAATCAGTGAATGTAATCAATAAATAAATAAAAACTTTGTATTTATGTGCCAATGATTCCATACAAAAAGAACAAAATAAAACCAAAATATAGTTTTACAAAAGAAGTTTAACAATAAAAAATACTTGTGTTTTATTCCTTTGAATTTTTGCCGCGAAAAAAAAAAGAAAAAAAATATATATATTTATAGTGGGGTTACCTGTTCTGTAGTTCGGTCTCCACGGCAGTTTGAAAATGGCCGACGACTCGGACGCAGCTTCGAGGGGAAAGACGTCGTCGACCGAAGACGTCTCGAATTCAGATTCAAAAGATCGCAATAGCGATGGAAACTACTTGCATGTGGATAGTAGTGATATTGCTCAAACAATTAGCCGTACCCGCCGAAGTAGTTTAATTAAAGACCCGAATAAGAGAGCTATGAAGAAAAAGACTGTCTCATTTAGTTCAATGCCAAACGAGCGATCGGTAACGAATGGTATGTTAAAAATTAATAAATATTCGAAATTTCACGTTGTTTCTATAAGTGATATCGTTGTTTTTATTGCGAGTCAAAAATCGCGTTCGATTTTTATTTCATTTAAAAATAGGCGTGGCAAAAAGGGTCATCAGCTGATTGTTAAAGAGTAATAAATGCTGAGAGAATCATAAGAAATTGTTTAATATATTTTTTTTTCTACTCACCTTCCCCCCTCCTCCTGTCTTTCCGCTCTAGATAATAAGATGAATTTAATTGCTTTTCTTTTCTTCCTTTTTTAATCATGTCTTCATGACTTCTTCCCCCCCCTCCAGCACCCGACTGTTTAAAGAGGATGCAAGAGGGAACTCATCTGATTAAAGTGCGGGCAAATTCTAGACATTATAATCGTATATTTCAATTGGATTCAAAGATGCAGGAGATCTGCTGGAGACCTTCGACAAAGAAGCCAAGTAAAGCGAAAATTCTAGTGAAAGACATCAAAGAGATACGCGTCGGTAAGAATACGGCTAACTACGGGGAATCGTGTTCGTTTACAATTGTATACGGAGAGAATTTTGAAACTATGGATCTAGCAGCGTCAACACCGGACGAAGCCTGTATATGGGTTACTGGATTGACTTGTCTAATAAATGGCAAACCGGAAGAGGTTGTCGACGATAGGCAACAAATGCGTGACGAGTGGCTTCAGGAAGTTTTCGACACAAATGCCGAGGAAGGCCATTTGGATGCTGACGTAGTGATGAGAATAGTTCAAGACTTGAATTCTTCGCTGCCGGACGGTAAAGTAAAGTTGAAATTGAAAGAATATTTGAATAAGAAGAATGGTTCTAGCGGAGGACGAATTAGTAGTAAGGAGTTTGTCAATCTCTTTAAAGAGATTTCAACTAGGCCAGAAATATATTTTCTTTTAGTCAGGTACAGTTTTAAGGCTTTATATAAGAAAGAAATATAAAGCTGGCTATTTCTCTATACTAATGCTGATTTTATATTTATTGACTTAAATCTGACAGATACTCAAACAACGCAGATAGCCTGACTGTAGATGACTTGATGCTTTTTTTGGAAGCGGAACAAGGTATAGCGCACGTGACTAAGGAACAATGCCTAGAGATCATCAATAAATATGAACCAACGAAGGAAGGACGCCGACTAGGCCGTTTGGGAATTGATGGCTTTACGGCGCATTTACTATCGAATGATTGTAGTTTATTAGTAGAAGAGGAACGTCGAGTGTGCCAAGATATGACACAACCATTGAGCCATTATTTTATATCGACGTCGCATAATACCTACCTATTAGAGGATCAATTACGTGGTCCGTCATCGGTTGATGGTTACGCTAGAGCGTTAAGGAAAGGTTGTCGTTGCTTGGAAATGCATTGCTGGGATGGTGTTGAAGGAGAACCAATTATTTTTCATGGACATACACTTACTCCAAAAATCTCTTTTTCTGAAGTCATAAAAAAAATCAACGAACTGGCGTTCGAAAAGTCGGAATATCCTCTGATATTACATATAGAAAATCATTGCAGTATCGGGCAGCAAAAGTTAATGGCTTCGACCATAACTGATGTATTCGGGTCAAAATTATACACGAATTCGACGGATAATTTAACCAAGATGCCCTCTCCGGAGGAATTACGCGGAAAGATATTAATACAAACTAAAAAGCTACCCGATGGATCTGAAGAGAACGATTTTGTAACTGATGAAGAAGAATTTCACGATCAGTCATCTTCCGACCGTTCTAAGCGTTCGAAAAGAGAAAGCGCTAAAAAACGTTTACTAGCTAAGGAATTATCAGATTTGGTTTCCATCAGTAGAACTGTACGTTTCTATGACTTCGAAACTTCTAATGCAAAACGTAAGTATAATTAAAATGAACGTACAGTTTGGGCGTGGTGATCTCTCTCCTCCCCCTTTTTATATGTGTGTACATGTCTATTATATATATATATGTGTATATATAAACATATTCTGTATATATATATATGTATATATATATTGTTATTTCTTATTTATCCTAATCGCATCGCTAATTGATTGTCTATTAACATATAATATATAATACTAATATAACATTTTCTATCGTTCGTAGAACAATGGTACGAAGTTTGTTCCATGAGCGAAAGTTCAGCTTTGAAATTATCAAATCATTCTGCCGACCATTTTGTTAATCATAACAAGAAATTCTTGACAAGAGTGTTTCCAAACGGTAGCCGAATTGATTCTAGCAATTACAACCCGCAGGACATGTGGAATAGCGGATGTCAATTAGTGGCGCTTAATTTCCAAACCACCGGCACGATGATGGATTTAAACGATGGAAAATTTTTGCAGAATGGAGGTTGCGGTTACGTTTTAAAGCCTGGCATAATGAGAGAGCAATTGGCCTATTTTAATGCAAATGCCAAGGACGCTACGGCTGGTATTGCACCAAAGATTTTAAGATTACGCATAATCAGTGGACAATATTTGCCTAAACCTAGTAAAACGCTAGCTAAAGGAAATGTAATTGATCCATACGTTCAAGTTGAAGTATTCGGTATTCCGGCCGATTGTGCTGAAAGAAATACGAAGACCGTTCCCCAAACGGATAATCCCGTTTTCGACGAAATATTCGAATTTCAAATTAATTTACCGGAAATGGCTCTAGTAAGATTTACCGTTTTAGACGATGAAAGCATTGGCGACGAATTTATAGGTCAATATACGATACCTTTCTTATGTATGCGTACCGGGTATAGGCATATCAAGTTATTGTCTCACGCTGGGGAGGAGCTGCCAAATTCCACATTATTTGTACACGTCCACATAACAAATCATAGTCGATATTGTTCTAAGAGAAGGTCCAGAAAGAAGAAGGACTATACAACTGTTAAACATATTGGTGTAAAAACGATTGACGATGCATTTAAAGCAGCGGTTAATCCAATGAAAGAGGCGACTGACCTTCGAGACAACGTTCAATTTGCTCTAGTCGTTTTACGAGAACAATGCGGCCTCTCTCCAACAGCTAGCATAAAACAATGCGTTCGAATTTTATCTCGGACCATGACATCCTGTAATGCAACACCTCCTCCAAGTCCAGCTTTGACGGAAGATTCGACACCTACGATTGTCTCGCCGTCACCTTCAGCCGTCTCATTAGCATTGGTAATTAAAGATGATTTCCCTGGATTCGAAACGCAGGGTAATTTACCCGATATATTGAAGAAAAGACTATCTGCATTTGAAAATGTAAGCATTCCCCCTTTTTTTTCTAAGTTTTATACTGTATATAAAAAGAGAGAAAAAAAATTATACAAAATTAACAAACACAGCTCATTAATCATTGCAAACAATTAATGGCCAATTGCGAACGCATACGAAACTCAATTATTCAAGTTAAACTTCGAGATATGGAATGTCACGAACAATTGCGTAATACTTTAGAACAGCATAATCTTAAAGGAAAAAAGCTTAATAAGGTATTAATTAATCTACTTAAAATATGTTTTTTGTTTGTATATAAGTATGTATGTCTATGTGAGTGTGTTTTTTATTTTTTTAGTATTTATTATATGTGTTCTTATTCGTTTGTAACTGTTTTTATTTATTCTGTCAAGGCTGCCGACAATATCGTATGGAATAATCGAGTACTACAAGGACAGGTCGACTTAATTGACCAATCGAAGGATAACTGCGCGGAATATATACAACAGATTCAAGATTCAGCTAGTTCAATTGGCTTAACTAAGTTAAATAATGTATCTCCCGTCATAAATGGTGCTGGCCCGGATAACAATCAGCTTCCTTTGCCTCCCTCTTAGCAGAGAAAAAGTTTTTATAGCTTTTTTTTTGTTTTTCATTTCGTTCTTTTTTCATATCAGCAAAAGACCTGCAACAACAGCAACAGAAACAATAATAGAAAAATTGATTGCTCTAGTCTGAAAATTCCTTATAACTTTCTATTTCCATTTAGAAAAAACAAAAAACTTTTAAAAAGAAACAAAAAAAAATTATCTAAATCATCCATCCTATTAATTTGTTACGTTTCCATACAAAATACGTATAGGACAAACGAGACAAACAAATTTTAAAAAATTGTACATAATTTATATATTTATCTACATGGATAAGAAGATTTTCGCCTAATCCTTTAAGAAGAGTTTTTTTCCAAAAAAAAAAAGAAATCAATATTTGTACTTTCCTAACTTTATTATGTTGTTTATGTTTCTTTGTTTTTTCTTCTTTCTTGCGTTTCTTTTTCCTTTTTTTTTTCCTTATCTATATTTAGAATCTCTATCATTGCTCTTTACGGTACAGTTTATAGATGGGGGAAAAAGAAGAAGGAGAGGGGGGGAAACATTACGAAGAGAAAGAAATAAGAGAGGGTTAAGAAGAATCTGTGAACTCTTTAATTATTTTTCTGTTTGAAAAAGAAATTGTATTTACTTGAAAGAGAAGAGGAAGATATTTTTAAAAATTTTATTTATTCATAGAATCTCAAGCGAATGGCAACAAATAATTATTATATCACATTTATGTATATAAAAAAGATAGAAGAACGGGGAAGAGGAGGGAGGGGGGGGGGAGAGAAGACATTTTCTCATTGCTCCCCGCCCCCGCCCCCTCTCCCAGTTTCTTTTTCCTTCTCCACCTTCTTCTACTTTCTCTTATTAATTTCTTTATGCGGGATGATATTGACGAAAGAAATATTTGTTCACTTAATCATGTGTACTCTATTCCTGCAACGTAAAAGAAAAAACATTGATATTATAACAATTTGCTTGTTTTGTTTATTCTTTTTTTTTATAAAAAAAGGAGAAAAAACTTTTATATTAAATTATTATTTTTTTCTGTCTTTTACTTTTGTTTATATTTTTTTTTTTTAAAAAAATTATTTTAGCTTTCATGGCAAAATCTTTGCTCAAAAGATGTAAAATGTACACGAGATAGAAACGAGTATAATGAAGGGAAAATAGTGATTGAAAGCGAGAGAGAATAAGAGAGAGAGAGAGAGAATATAATATTAGGCATATGAAAAAATTGAATTTTAAAGGAAAACAAACATTTTATAAATAGAATTTATATAAAAGATAAAAATGATTTATATTTGAAAATCTGTATTTTTTCCTTTTTGTTCTAACTGTTTTTCTGTTTGTTTGTTTGTTTGTTTTTTTTTGACAAACAAATACTTTACACAGTAATTGTTAACTTTTACGTATTATTTATACCTTTTATGCAATCTATTTGAGCGAGTGTACTGCAAATACAAAAAAACGACACTTTTCCTATTTACATTTACACCCATTGTTATTTATTCCTATTATTAATATTCATGGTATTTAAGAGGATTAATGCTTAATTATGTTTGTTAAAAGTTACAAAAAGTAACAAGAAGAGAATAAGCATGTATTCATTTAAATACCGTATATTTATTAATTATTTACTCTTTGCGAATACATAAAAGACAAAAGAATATTAAACAATAGGAAGGAATCATCTCTCGCCACGTACAATTTACAGTACTTAATCCTATTGGAGATATTATTATAATTTGGTGTTGATTAATACTTCGAACAGGTGAATTGTCCTATATTTGACCGTAGGTAGATGGCGATGAATACTATTGCTACCTAAGTAACAATAACATAATTAATAGTATAAATAACCAGAGGAGAGAATATATTCCTCTTACTTGAAATCCAATAAATCCAAAAACTATACCCGAAAGTATTCCTGCGTGCTTTTTCAGCAATTCCTTTAAAGCCTCCCCGCAAGACTATTAAGCAAAGTGAAATAGGTTAATTAAAAATAATTAAAATTATAAGAGATTGGCAGATTAGAGGAGGAAAATTAAAAATACCTTTTAATTATTCTATATACTTTATATTGTTGATTAAACGTTGTAAACAGTATAAAACACATATATGCATTAAAGGTTATGTGTGAAAATCGTAAAAGGGGATATTCTGATATCTAGGTCATTAGTTAGGCAGGTATGAAACAAGAGATATAGAAGGAAAAGACAGACAGATTGACAGACGTAGGGAGAATTTACTTACGGTTGTATAAATTTCATCAACATCAGCGGTTTTTATACAATCTTTATCCGGCTTACAACAACTTTCTGGTACTCTATCATTATAGTGATGTTTTACATAGGAACTGTTACGCCAATCTTCCATTCCTAATCCAGCTCCACAGCACTTCAAGTTAATTTGTAGGTCGTCATAGATTTTCGTTAAAGATTCTTTACCCTTCTCACCGTATGATTCTTTGATAAATACGGTCATGGCTATATTTACCCTATTTAGAATCTGTTGTATAAGGAAGAAATGAGAATATATACAGTATATGAACTATTTTTATACTTTAGCCTGGAAGACAAAGCTTAAAATTGCGGCAATAACTTGCAAGAGTAGGATGAAGAGTAGGATGCCGATATACTGTTAATAGAGAAGATGACAATGTAGAGAAAAAATTGTTTACTAAACAATATATAAAGACTAAAGAGAGAGATGGGAGGCAGGGAGGCAGGGAGGGAGACTAGGAGGGAGACAGGGAGGGAAGCGAGAGAGAGAGAGAAGAGTAATAGGGAAAGATGAATAAAAGAAGAAAAAGGGAATGTGTATATTTAGAGGAATAAGATAAAAAACTACATTCTTTTCGAACGGTTGTTAGTAATCCGATGTTACCCTTAATTGCCCCGAATAAGCCAAAGGCGGCAATGACGATAACAAAAAATCCTAGACCAATAAGTAATCCAGATGAGGCTTTTATTAAATCGATGTTATTATTTACGGTTGCCACTTGTAGATACTTAAGGAGGTCTTTATTGCATAGGCCTACAATGCCTATAATAGATAAACCAAAGCCGATAATCTATTTAAAGTTGAAAAGGAAAGGATTTATTTGACAAACAGTAATAAATTAGCGAATGATATTTAGAGTCGTATTCCTACTGCAAGAATGGTATTGATGAATAGGAGAAGGAATTTTGCAAGATTGCTTTCCCAATATATACCTTCCTGGCTCATATCGTCCTCTAGTTTGTCTCTTTTAACCTTGAGGGAGCTTACACCTAGACGTATAAAGAAATGAAAATGCAACAAATAAGAGACTATATGGTTTAAATTGAAAGTGTTTTAGTCTTACCCTTCTTATTCGATAGGGGACAAACCGTATGACAAAATAAATCTTCCCTGTCTACAGCGTAAGCCAATTATAGAATGTAGATGCACTAACTAATTATGGTTCGCCAGAAAGAAACAAAACAATGGATCCAACTGTCACATGATTGATTTGTATATTGGCTTTAGTCGAAATCGAAAACTTTGTTCGACACCATAAACGAATGTATTTATTTTCAATTGTGATAAAAAAATTCTCGTAAAGAATTATAGGCCTTTCCTAACAGACAAAACTTTCCATCGTTTCTCATCTAGTCATGTAGGGCAAATATTTTAGTCATTCTTTTTTTATCTCAATCTACTTATTCCCCGTATCAAAAGCTTCTTCATTCTTCCCTTCTTCATCCTCATATTTTAATCAATTTACTATTATCTTAGACGAAAGTGAATCAGATTAAATTATTACAAAGTCCATTGGTGTTTTAATAAACCTATATCGGGCGAGGCACAACTTAAGAGAAAGTATCCTATTGCTTCTCTTCTTCCTTTTTCATCACCATCAAATTTTTAAAAAATAAAGAAAAAATTTAGTGATTTTTCTACTTCCTTTCCAGGAGAGAATTGAAAAAAAAACCCAACTAAACGACTGACGAGGCAATTAGCTTTTTTTGAGCCTATAATCTACAATGATAAAACCAATAATTTATACATATACTTCCCGTAGTTTTTTTTTATACTAATAGACACTTTCTTTCTCTTTTTTTTTCTTAGCATCTTATTCATTTATTTATAAAGTATATTAGTGAGTAGATTCTTTAAAACATATGTACGATTTATATCACATCTATCTACGTTTCTAGAGGCTATTTCGTTGCATAAATCTCTATTGTTTCGACGACATACAAAGTATAGGCATACTATATATGGAGAGAGAGAGGGAGAGACAAAAAATAGAACTAGATAGAGTATATATGATGTATATACTTGGTATATCTGCACTAGCGTATAGGGAAAAAGTAAAAAGAGACAGAGACAGACAGAGAGAGACAGAGAGAGGTTAGAGTATGAAATTTCCTTAAGTAATTTCGTTTTCTTTTTATTTTATAAGTGAAAAAAATAATTTAATACCCGTTTATATATGCAAAATAGCAAATTTAAACGTCTCTCTTAGGATGAGGAAAGAAAGTAGAGTGAAAGATGTCCAAGTTATATAGCATACACTATATATAAATATACAGTACATATACAGTATCTATATATATACATATATTGTACTATACTATATTATACAAGTCATAGAATATTAGTATTTTTAAGAGAAAGAAAAAAAGTTAACGTGACAAGAAAAATGAATAGAAATAGTAAAGGAAAAATGGAGACAAAGAAATTATAGAAAGAGTGAGAGAGGAGAATGAGAAAAAAAACTATAGAGAGACAGAGAGAGAGAGAGAGAGAGAGAGAGAGAGTCTGTGTCCTTGTAAAAGAAGCTTTAAAGTATATATTAAAAGAACATTAAGAAGAGAAAGAAGAGTTGACAAATTCAAACTTTAAGTGTGTAATATATTTTCTTACTCAATTTACAAAATTGTAGTTTGTCATTAATAGAGTTTGTTTAGAAAAATAAGGGCTCTTTTTATGATAAATTAATTCTAGGCATACAATTTTCAGTGTAATATTTCTACTTATATATATACACTATTCAGCATATTTCTCTCTCTCTCTCTCTCTCTTTCACTCTTTCTCTCCCTCTCTCGTATCACTTAATAAAGAAAATCATAATAGCTTATATTTTGTAACTCAATTTAGAGTTTGTAAAAAATTTATACTTTTCATCTGATTAGATTAAAGATAACATGTTTGATATGCTGAAAAAGAGTGTTATTAATATTTATTTTTATAGGACTAAATTACTATTGAATGTTTATAATTGTAATTGCTTTGTTTTGAGTTAATACTTTATACTGTATAGTATATATTGTATTTTCATTACTATAAAGATATGGTATTTTTTAATAACATTCAGTAAAAGGGCATCAGGAAGGAACTCAAGAATTTAGGTCATATTTATTATTTTATCATCAATTACAAATAAATTCAGGAAAACGTGTTGTAAAATGAAAAAAAAATGTGTACTAAAAACTCGTATACTGTATATATTTACAGGAATTTTCCTTTTTTTTTGAACCAAACGAATATTGAAATATTAATAAATCTATTTTCGTATAAATCATAGTAATATACTGTATATATTAAAGAGAAATTATTAAATTATATACAATATATATTGTATTTTGCTACCATTCTATCAAAAAATTATCAATACAAAATTGACAAACAACACGTAATTTTTAATTTTTTTTCTCTCTCTCTCTCTCTCTCTTTTCTTGCTTTGACAGACCTTTTTTAAAATAATCGTGATTGTTTTACTAGAAAAATAATATATATATTTTTTTTTTAAAAATAAAATGACAAACAATATTAATCGACAAACAAGGTCTAATCATACCTTTTTTAAAGAGGCTTTTTTTTATTCATAATAATTTTAGCCGACACAATTCAAAAGATAAAAATATATTATTAAAAAGTATGGTTTTAGTCTCTTATGGTCTAATTAATATATTATATATCTGTAATTATACGGAGGAACAATAAGATCTTTTAGAGCTATATAAAATGAACTGTGTGGACATAGAATAGAAACAACTAGCAAAAGGATATGTTGCGGGAGAAAAAAAACTGTACGTACTCAAAATACAGTACACGACAGAGAATTGGTTTTATTTTTGGTGTTTTCCTGTCAGATAAAGACAATTGTTCTCCAAAGGAAAGAGAGAGAGAGAGAGAGAGACGAGGGATGGGGAGAGGGGGCGCGGGCGGTGTAATAGGAAGTTGGTAAAAGTGAAGAAAATTTAGGAATGAACTCAACAATTTGGCAATAGAAAAACAAAGGAAGAGGGTTTTTTGAATAAGGAAAAGGATGAGTAAAAGGAAATAGATTGTTGAAGGAAAATAAAGAAGGAAAATTGGATGAGAGAGAGCGTATGTGAGCAAGCACAAAAACAGATATAGCAAGAGAGGAAGGGAGAGAGAGGAATGGATGGATGGATGGATGGATGGATGGATGAATGAATAGATAGAGAGATAGAAATGAAAAAATTTATATTTTCTAGCGCTCATTTCTCTTCCTCTGCTCATTTCCGTCACTAACGGTCAATTTTTTCACAGATCGTTAAACGAACCATTTAGTCATTTCCTTTATCTTTTTTATGATTTTATTTAAAAAAAAAATGAAAACCATCTATAAATAGAAAACAATTCATATTTTAGAATATGCTTTACTATAATACATTAATATATAATACAATATTTATATTCTATAGTTCATGGATGCTATTTATAGGTAAAATATACACAATGCATATTTATATATGAAGCGATGTATATAATAAATTAAAACTTAATCAATTGTCTTTATAACCTTTTACTATGGCGCAATTCTATTTATATTATTCGTTAATACCGCAATTTATTCGTAATTTGTTATTAATTATAAATAATGCGAGTTTTTAGTTTATCTATTTATTAATATAATAATTTTTTAGATAATGCACTTTTTAATTCATTTCCAAGTATTTTTAATCTTTCTATACTTTTTCTATATATTTCTTTATTATACGTCTCATACAATGAATATTACAGTATATATACAATAGATTTTTTCATATACTGTAATATGCAGTATATATATATATATATTCTATAAAATTTGCATTAAAAATTTAATCATTTTAGAAGCTTTTCTTTATCTCTAATTCTTTTTAATCTAAATTATAGAAATTAATTAGAAAAAAGTTAGAAAAATTTCTGTTTTATTATTTTTTTAATAAAAACAAAAATGAATTAAAAAATTTTATTTTAATTTGACAAGGTTTTTATGTTTATTTTTTATGAAAAAATTAATCCTATTAGATATGGAATGTTTATTTGACTAAATGTCAGTCTATAGTGCTGTCATACAGTATATATGTATATATATATATATATATATATACGTCAACTGCAATTCTACTTAGTAAAACAGCAGCAGTCCTCTCTTTAATTCGTTCGCGATTTGCTTTTGAATTAATCTAAGCTAATTAAAAATTGTTAATAAAAATAAATTCT